GCCATCATAGCCATCCACGTTGACGATATGACGATCCTCGCATCGTCGGACGAGCTCATGGCCCGTGTCGAAGCTGAACTTGACACTGAATTCACCATCAAGAAGCTGGGGGAGATCCGCCAACTCCTGGGCATGGAAATCACGCGCACCGCTGACTCCATCCGCCTCACGCAGACGCAGTACATCACCCGCATCCTGGAGAAATACCAGATGGCCAATGTGAACTCTGCTGTTACACCCGTTGACCCGAACGTGAAACTCACCCGCCTTCCTGACAACAAATCATTCCCAGACGTCAAGCGCGTCTACCAGAATATGATCGGCTCGCTTCTCTATGCGGCCATCACCACCCGTCCCGACATCTCCTTCACTGTCCAAATGCTCAGCCAGTTCAACACGAACCCAGGCCCCGAGCATCTCACTGCAGCAAAGCGCGTCTTCCGCTACCTCAAAGGCACCATCAATCTCGGAATCGAGTACCGCGTTAACCACCCGGTAACGGCGCTCGAGTTGTTCTCCGATGCCAACTGGGGAAGCGACGTCGACACGCGTCGATCCATCACCGGCTACGTTTCGACTTTTGCTGGGGGAGCTGTTACTTGGAACTCCAAGAAACAAGCCACCGTGGCTCTGTCCAGCACGGAAGCAGAGTACATGGCGCTCGCTAGCGCTACTCGCGAAGCACTCTGGCTCCGCGCTCTCTTCTCGGAACTCGGACTCGACACGTTGATGAGTGCGGAGTGGGGACAGCAAATGTGCTCTCTACTAACCAAACCAACAAAAACAACCAAAACTCCACTTTTCATAGAGAGAAAGATGTATAATATCGAGTAGGAAAAGTCACAAAACCCAAAAATCGTCAACTCCTTGTGCGATTACAGGCCCCTGTGAACAGAGCCTTGGCACAGATGTGTAAGGTTGTAGGGTAGATACGAGTTTCTTGCGAAAAACGTTGATTTGTCGTGCCCCAAAGCGTACTATTGACGAAACTCAGCAATAGAGAAGCGCCAATACGATGCCCGGAGAGTTTATACTCGTTGGATCAGGACTAACTGCCTTAAACCCTCTGAGTTGTCTCGAGTCAGGAACTAACTGCCTTAAACTCTCGACCAGCAACCGAAACCCAATAAACAGCAACCGGAACTCTTGTATTCAGCAACCGAAACCCTCAACCAATAATCCTTCCGACGCGATGATACTATTTTGAAAGAGCTAGCAAGATAGATTGACGAGCTAGATCCTCAGATGCACCTAGTAGAGCGGGGCAATCCGTGAACCTGCCAAATACAAAACAGAGATATAAATACTAAACAGAAATTGATAGAATCAGGGAAAATCTCGAGTAAGAAAAGTAGTCCATGTGCATAATTGTATAGGTATCGTTTCGCCATACGGCCCAGAGTCGAAAATCCAGGTCCAGATGACTGGTATCGCGTGTATTGGAGTCAATGACCTGTGTAAATCTTCCGTGTTCGCGACCATCTAGTTTGTCTTGTGAAGAATCCCTCGATCTTGAGTAGGATAAGTGGATAGCTCTGCTTCCCAGCTTTTGATTGACACCCATAACTCGTATCTTGTGCATATGGCCTCAGCGGTGGTTGTCCCAACTCTCCTGGCGCATTTCCAATGTTCAGATGACCTGTTCCTCGACAGTGTTTTAGAGTCGCCGTTGATCACAGGTCCAGGCCCCAATCAATTGAGTAGCTTTTCGCCGTTTAACCGTCCCTTGGCACTCTCGATCCTCCAGCATGATCCGTAACCACGTTCCAATGATTAGGGTGGCCATGAGCCGCCAGGTGAATTTGACGTGATGCACCCGATGATCCGTGATGGGCTTGGCAAACCAGCTCAGCTCGGCGCTAAGGGGGCACGATCACATGTGGACAAGGCACCTAAAGCGCGAGCGCGTCGTTGCACAATGGGCGCTTGGTGGCAGTCAAAGCACCACCCAGTAATGCAGGTATAAAACCAGCTCAGCGGCTGGTGGCACTCTTAGTCCTCAGCTCAAGTGCATGAGCGGGACATCTGGTGGCCGCTAGCTGCGCTTCCCCTGGCAGGGTAGGGTGTGGCCACACCGTCCCTAGCCCGGGGTCTCCAGGCTTAGTTGCCACCAGAACCGTCCTCCCCCAAGAAACGGCCTGCCGCGGTGCCGTCACTCATTTGGAGGAGGACTGCTCAATTTAGGCCAACTTGAGACACAGTGGGACAGTACGCGCTACGCCGAATCGCCCAGATACAGTGTTACACTGTTGTAGCTCAAGTTGGGAATATTTGCGAATATTTGCCCGGTACGGTGTTTTGCCGTCCGAAGCGTTGATCCTCGTAATCCATCTACGTCATCGGCTGACTCAGCAGCCTCGGCTTTTGACCTACCCCCACTTCCGTCTTCCTCGCTTATCCTCTGTCCTTGCGACCAACAGACAGAATATGCGGACAACTGGCACTAGCAGAAGCACCTGCTTATCCCGCCAGTGCCCTTTCTCGCGTTTCAGCCTTGTCGGCCGATCGACTAGCCGGCGACGATCGCTCTCTGACTCCCCCATTGTCTGTGACGGCGACGACACCCACGCTAATTGTCTTCCAAGGAGTTAAAAGCACTGGGGCTTCATCGACACATCCAACAAAATGCCCGTTTGCAATGGCTGCGGGAACGACTTCCCTTGGGGTGGTAACCGCTGCTCCCGCTGTCTCGACCGCGACGTTGGGAAGGAGAATGCATTCAAGCAGTGTAATGGCTGCGGGGGGACGTTCGAGTACCTTGATGGACTCTGCTGTGGCGGATGCAGGAAGAAAGGTATGGATTGTCCAAGTTCTTGGATTGGCACTTGCTCACTGTATCGAAGATATGTCAAAGACCGTCGATGTTATCCACGAGGCGATGGACCACCCTCCCAACCCACGATCTCGGAACGTCTACATCCCACCTGCAAGTATGAATCATGTGCACAACCCGCAGGTGCGTCTTGAAGAAGGCAAATCTATAGATTGTACTGACCTGTTGCTTTTGTTCAGCGTGTTGGGGACGCCGAAAGGGTAGTGGCTCTTATGGGAGGGGCCTATGCCAATGCGACCTTGTCCAGCGATGGTTTCACCAGAGTTGGTAACAACAAGGTTCGCGGAGGGCTTCGTGCTGAGCCCACAATCCAGATCCAGGTGAACGCGACTCTGTATATGCTGACAGTGCTCATCTTCGACAGATAGCGAAAGTTACTCTGGTAGCGGTTGGAAGGACGACTCTGCGGCCTTCAGACCAGACCCTCGACTACGACAGCAATCATATTGCAGTCAAGGAGTCTGAATTGGCCATGACTGCTTTTGACAAGGCACTCGCTCCCGTTCGAGCGTTCTTTGTCAACAAAGCGGACTATCATCTCCAACGGTAAGATACATTCATCATCTACAAGTTCCACTCATTTCATCGGTTATCTAGAACTGAAGTCGTTGCCTATTACCATGGGTCAAACCCTGCCGTGACTGTCGCACCAGAGCTATTGAATGGCTCGACGACTGTTCGGGAGCTTTGGGATGCTGCCACCGCCAGCTCTCTGCTCACGACCAAGCAGCGCGGCGCACGAATTCTGCCGCTCATGTTGAAAATCCGTCTTTCTCAGCCAGTGTGTCCTATTCTCGATCTTCTGCTCCTCCGCTTACCTTTTCCAGGATGAAAACGAACCTCTTGACCCATACCTCACGGAGTTTGTCGACGCTGCCACGGGAAAGAGAAAGCGAGCACACAACAAATCAACTACCACTAAATCTGCCAACCAGTCGGAGGATGATGACGACGACATCGATGGAAATGCACCAAAGCGTAGGTGATACTCCACATGGTCCTCCATCTAAAATCTTCTAGGTCCTGCTTTCCAGCCTGCCGGTGCCTACCGTTCCATCTTACCCCAACGCGCCAAGTCGTAACGGAGAAGAGCTTACCATCGTGAAAATCTCGGTTACACTCAAGGAGACGGCAAAGAACGTGCTGGAATTGGTGCTTGAGGAAGGGGTTGAGACGACGACCATGTGGCTTCTTCCGGAGAAGGAGCGTGGACGCACGAAGACAATGTTTGAGGTATCAGTGCCATTCTCACATCTCTTCCATTATCGACGGTCTAATTTCTCAAAAGGCTTTCATTGATGGGCAACGGTATGCTGCAAAGCAGTTTTACAACATCGGCCGTGGAGCTGAATCGCCGCCCACGAATGCCGAAAATCTGCATTTCTTGGAGCGTGAAGCACATGTGCAATACCTTGCTGCACGTGCAGTGAGCCGCTTTCAAGAGGGAGCACGGTACCATGAGGCTACCATTGCTGGTGCGTTACCTTGTCTTATGAATTCATGTGTGCTTATGTTGGCCATGGGCAGATATCCGTGTTGCGGAGCCATTCCTTGTGAAGGTTGCCCATGGTAGTCACGAAGACAGTACCTACCTTGTCGACTCTCTACTGTCCAACACCAAGATTATCAAGTATTCGGGATCAGAGGAGGCTGGTGCAAACGACGATATATATGGCCGCACCTGCGACGCTCTAGCACACTTCTCTCTTTGGGACTCAACGGAGACTCTGTTGTTGGCGGACATTCAAGGTAAATTGGTAATTTGGGACTTCTATCATTGCTGAATTGTCCTCAATACCAGGGATAAAAGAGACCATCTACGTGCATGGATTCAAAGCGCCCGACCGTCTGGTGTTGTTTGACATCATGATTCACAGTGCTGAGTGAGTTCTCTGACAAGTTTTCGTAACTCTCATTGATATTTTCTTAGCGATATGGCTGGCGGCGCTCTCGGGGATCAAGGTCAAGATGGAATCGACCAATTCAAGCAGCAGCACATCTGTAATTCCCTCTGCCGCAAGATGAAACTCGATTCTTTCCAGCCAAAATCCAAGCCCAAACGCAAGGGACTCAAAGAGTTGGTTGACGTGGACTGAAACGAGGATAGGACTGGTTGGATTGCTGATTAGAATAACTTCATTGTTTCATTTGAACAAAAATAGACTATCTACATGCTATTGACCACAGAAATTTCGTTAACCATCGCTGTAAAGGTGTTCCATGCATTCCGGGAACTGACCTCTGGTGAACCCACTGCCTTATATGCCATCTGGCACAGTGCCTCCATCACCGCACTTGATGTGAATTGACGCAGATCGGAGGGTGTGTTCTCTGTGATTAGCTTATCTATGATGCTTGAGTCCACCGCAATGAGTTGATTGGTCCCGCCCCAACGCTCTGGGTGGTTATAGAAGTCCCTTGGCCGTCCTCCAGTTGGAAGCAATGATTTGCGCTGTTTGCGAATCTGATGGAGAGCACTTTCGTGTTTATGCTCGTCCAGCCGGCGCTGAACAGCCATACCCCAAACAAATACAGCCACCTCCCTGAAGACTGAATCAAAACCAATGGAGAAAGGGAGAAACAATACTTGCTGGTGAATTGGGTCGGTCGGATGGTATCCAGCGTCGATTTTGCCAGTTTCGTACTGAAATCGGATGTTGGCAAGATCTTTCTCCCACAAAGGACGCCAATTTCGTTCACGCGTAATATTATAAACGCTTTTAACTGAGCGATGGGCAGGGACCAATTCGAGCGAGAGCTCCGGAAATGATTCCTGGCTGTCAATTTCAAGTTGAGCAAACTCTGTAGCATTAGAAAGCTGTGTACCGCACCGAAGACTTGTTTGAAGTGCTGCAAGTACACCAGTTTCGGTGCCCATGTCCGTTGTAGTTTGCACTGGAATCCCTTCATATACACAGGAGATTCAGTATCCGTCGGAATCAAAGAGGCCAATAGTGGGAAATCACTTACCGCCCAGCTCAAGGACAAGTTGAAGATACACTGCGGGAGGAATATTCGCGCGCCGAATTGAACGCATCGCAAGGAGAAGGAGCTCTTTCCGTGAGTACTTGTCGATGATGCCATAGATGCCGATGCCCATAGCCTCGAAGATCTTCTCGTGTCCGTCAATGCACCATTCCTCGTTGGGCCCACTGCTGAATAGACCGCTCTTGTGGACCTTTCTTGTTCCCGGGTGGCGCTTGCTGACTGCTTCGGCGTTGACAGTACGTTGGATGTCGTTGATCTGTGGTCTTCACAAGCAAATCATAGGCAAACTCGGTGAGCAGTGTAGTCATTGACTCACAGAGATATATGAACACCATCTAGTGCCAGCTTCTCCTTGACCTTCCGCCCGCCCCATCGGCCCAACGGGTCATCCTCTGTGACCGAAAGAATGGCGGTCACCTTCTCCACATCTGTAAGGTGGGAATGGCGTGTCGTGCTGAGATTTCGCATCTTGATGATTCGCTCGATGCTTCGGAGACTAAGACGGTATCAGTACACACTGTGTGCGTAGCCGAAGTACTTACCCAATATTGATGCCATGCTCTTTTGACAGCAATTCAGGAATATCTCCCTGTCGGACATGCTCATTGATACATTTCTGAATCAGTGAAGGCAACTCTGGATGCTGGTCCACTAAGATTGGATTAGTCAAAGCATCAAGGAGAAGCGTCAAGGAGAAACACTACTCACACAGTGTTCCTCGACGATGCTGATTACCCTTGAATTTCGAGGGTCCCGGTGCATCATGGTCTTCGTCAACGTCGGAGCTCATCCTCCGGGCACACCACACTCATTCAAGAAGCCTTGTCAGGTATAAATAGCTCAGAGAACAACCAATACTACAAAGAGAACAACGACGGGCAGACAAGGACAAGTCCAAGGCCCGCGAGAACAAAGCCTGTACCAAAAAGGGTAGAAAGGCTCGCGGGCGGATGGGTACCATGAACCGAGCCAACATCAGTCCATCAAGCATCCATCATGTCAGATCTGCCTGGCGGGTAATGAACACCGTAAATGATGTCAGTCGTCGATACCAACAGAGATAGGGGTGTCCCTTATCTAGGAGAAGTCGATCTCGAGTCTCCACTGAGCGCCAAACCGAATATGCCTTTTAGAATACACTCCCTTTGGGTATTTTGCATAGAATTGGATAGATTCTAGCGAGAACGGGCTCTGCGAACTTTTCCTAGTCAAGATTTTGGAATCACTGAGAGCGATTTGATAGATTTTGACTGGAGTTTGACTAGTTCTTGTGCAGGTAATTCCCTAGTTGACCATTCGGGACTCATGTCAACTCTGAGACGTGCGCTGAGCAACAAAATCGACAAAAATAGTCGTTTCCTGGTCTGTCCCAGACTGCGGCTTATCAACGTCCCTTCCCACTCACATCTCTGTCGACAACCAAGGCACGATTCTCTTCGCCGAGAACTCCGGCCATCATGCCCACTCGAAACATATTGATATTCGCTACCATTTCATCCGAGAGACTATCGCCTCTAACCAGGTGTCAGTTTCCCATGCGCCAACAGATGACAACACAGCGGACATCTTCACCAAGCGCTTACCGAGAATCAAGTACAAATACCTCTTGACTCTGCTCGGGATGATTCACGCTTGAGGGGGGAGTGTTGAGAATATGCCCGGCCGGCCGGCCGGACCATCCACGGTCACCTGACCACGGACTGACTCGCCTCCGACGCGGCTCAGTCAGCAGTTACCAATACTTGTAGATAGATACAGGACCTTCTAGATACAATGCTTGTAGTATAAATACTGGGCTCTGAAGCCCCAATAATTATCATCTCTCTTTATTGCTCTCAACAAAAATAGACCAAGTTATAATCACTATCAACTTGATAACTGTCAGGGGATGAGGGTCCAGGTGCCTAGTTGATACCAAAGCTGGGGGAACAGCCCCACGGCCAACTACTTAAGTACAGGGCTATCTGCACATGGACCAGTCATATGATCTGTCACAGCTGTCACACCACTTGCTCCCCTTACAATGACAATGTCAATTAACATTCTACACTTCTACCAACATTTTGTCCTTGACCTTTCAGTAATCTTCCTGGTACTGGTTTTCCTCCTCTGCTTCTTCCTCTTGCCAGTGCTCCTCCTCCTCTGCTTGCTCTGCTTCCTCCTCTGCCTGCTCTGCTTCTTCCTCTGCCTCCTCTGCCTCTTCCTCTGCGTCTTCCTCTGCGTCTTCCTCTGCCTCTTCTGCTTCTTCTTCAGCCTCCTCTGCTTCCTCCTCAGCCTCTTCCTCTACCTCTTCTTCTTCAGCCTCCTCTGCTTCCACCTCAGCCTCTTCTTCTGCCTCCTCAGCCTCTTCTGTCTCCTCAGCCTCACCATATCCCTCATCTCTAAGCGCCAATCGCTCAGCTCCAAACGTCTGTTGATTTCCCCCATATTCACTCTCATATGTACTATAGCCATGACTCTGGTATGCAGACTGGGTCCCTGTATTCGGATTGAGGCTCCGATTCAGCCGCAATAAAACAGAACATACCTTCATACTGTTCAGTTTGCGCATAACCTCGGTTGCTAGCGCCATGGGCATGACCACAGCCGCCATAACCTGGCTCGTCATAAGCCTGATCGTCACTGCCCAGCCGTTTGTTTTTCCCGTTGCGAACGCTTTCCTGCCAGAACATTCAATACTTGTCATTCTAATCAAGAAAAGCTTTTGACTTTAGTCAAAGCGTTGATGGTGTCTCGCGCCGTGTCTTCATCCAGATCGCGAATCCAGCGTTCGAGCTCTTGGAACATGTCGTTTTGGATTTGCGAACGGCCAGTCGCGTAATAGGGGTGGTGGAAAGCCTCAAGAATCTACGATCAATCCATCATCAGAGCAGTAATCTAATCAGACCAGCAGCGACGGACCACATCGACCGCATGATTCGGGTTGTCGTTGTTGGACCACGCCTGGACAATGACATTGACGGAGTGCCGAACCACGAGAATGGCGATTTTCCCTGCCGGCTCGTTCAAAATCAGACCAAAGTGGTCCTGCAACGGTCGGTCGGCGTCAAAATGACACGGTTTCGCGAAGACCAACCTTGGAAAGGAGACTGTGTGATGGGTCAGAGGCGTAAGGGTTATTGAACACCTCATATTGATCGTCCGATTCGATGACCGCTTTACTCCCTTCCCCCAGGACAGAGGTAGCCTGTTGCAGGATCGGCTGCAAAAGGAACAAATCAGCAGGGTCATTTGCTCGTCGGTGAAACTGATACCGTGAGCCAGGGAGCGATGACAGTGTATACGTCTGAGTTCATCAGTCGAGTTCAACAAATAGGAAAAATGCACAGCCTACAAGCGTTCAACGCGTTCGAAAGTTGGTCCATCAACTGTTCCAACCCAGGGATCATCTCCATTTTCTCGGCAATTGACCGCATAAGACCGTCCCGCCAGCGAAGGAGGGCCAACAACTTTTGCTGGACTTCTGGAGGAGCAACATTATTCGGGTTGAAGTGGTATGCCTTGGCTTCCTCCCCAAGCTGTTCGCCTTCGTTCACCTTCGAGCCCCCGCCACCAAACGGGAGCTTGGACAGAAGGGCTTTCAAAGTCGCGATTTTGGAGGCCTGATCTTGCGATTGTGCTTCGTCCATCTTCGAGGCCAAATCGGTGACACTGGCTTGGCTCAATTTACTAATAGTTTCTGTGAGTGATCGAGAGACACATCCGACCCAAAAACGCACTCTCCTGCCTCCCCCATCAAACTGTAAAGATTGGTCAGCGTCAGTGAATCGCTCAATAATATTAATGTGGCCTACGAATGCAAAAAGTCTGCTCCACCAAAAGTTCCAGTCACTAGAGGCGGGGCACGACCATTTGGTGTCTCGATTTCGGTGCGGTCACCAACATGACAAAACACTTCGTCATAGCCCATCTTCCGAAGCCCGATTTCAACCCAGTTGCTATGCGCCAGCAGGTCTTCAAGAGTATGCAGGCCGGTCCCTAGCAGTCGATATGCTTCGTAAAGCTCCGGCCCATCACGACCCCTGGCGCGTCGACCCATTTCGATGCATTCGACTAAAACACGTCGAATGTGTGCAGTAGACGTGTCCCAACTGCGGTTTTCGGTGGCTGATGCATTGGCAGTTGAGTAAAGCACATGACCGCGACAAAAACACACCCATGTAACACTACAATATGGGCGTCAGCAAGTGTCAGTCATGAGATCATGGCGTTCACCTTCATTCCTGTGCGCTCGTCAATCTCAAGTTCTTCTGGGTTAACGGGTGGCCGCAGCTTCGGATGGAAACGACGGGCGTCCCCTTCCTTCTCCGCATATCCTCTGCAAAATCGGCATCAGTGGCAATTGCTCCAGAAACATCGACACGCGCTTTGGATTGTCGATATGTTCCTAAGTAGGGAAGGCGGATGTTACGATGGCGATAATGGAAGCACTGGTCATGAACTCACCACAGGAAGGTAGACCCCAAGACGCTCGGCAGTTACCTCGAACTCCTCGGTGGAGAAGCCGAATGTCTGTTTCTGGTGAGCGAATGATTCCCTGTGGCAACGGACACTCACCATGAAGCCGAGAACCGAAACCACAAGGACCAGGGTATCTGCCGTCAACTTGCTTAAACCGCCGATGTCCATAGCCTGATCATCAAGTGTCTATCTCTGGCTAGATGGAATGAGCTCGCGAATGCCCTACCTGGGAATAGTCGCGAAGCCAGTTTCCCTGGAAGATGAGTCAGAAAATAGCAGGATCTCATAACGAGAGATGTCCGCACAAAGTAAACCTTCTTGATATCACCAGAAGAGAACTTGGCGCCGCCGGGTCCAGAAGTGGCCTCTTTGATGAGCGATTTGGCAAACCCAAAGAGGTTACCACCGCTCCCAGACAGTGCGGCATGCCCTGCAGTTTTGGCGAGTGTGGAAAGTATGTTCTCGATATCGCCATGACGAAAAGCCTTATCTGAAGGCAATGAGGCTTCAACACTGCGAAAGCGAAAAGCTTGCCATTCAAGTACGCGAAATCGGGAATGTCTCCAGCACCAAATGCAGCAACTGGTGAGCTATCAGCACTATCAGCACAAGGCTATTAAGGGGAAACAGAGGACCAACAAGAAGAGGGAGGTCACAATAACAAGGGTGAAAATGAGCAACAGGGTGTGCATGGTTATGGTTGAGAGCAAGTGTCGATGGATGGGGCTTGGCGTGGGGGGTGATTCTCAAGGGCACAGAGATCAAGCCGCACCATCGTCAATCGATTCATTATCGGAAACCATCGAGTAGTAGCATGGCGTTGTTGACTGAGTTCGAATAAAACTGGAATCGTGGGTTGCCTTGGACTGTGTACTAGTAAAATCCAAATCAGTGGCGATGAAGCGGGATTTCCGCTTTTGGAGGCAGGGAATCCTGAACGAAAAGTTAGGATAGTTCGTTGTATACTTGTGAAATAGCCAACGCTTGCTTCTTCTTCAAGTGGGTTTCACGCGTGAAAACACAACAAGAAGATTTCGAGTGTGACTGACGCGAGACGCATGACCTGTGACACTTGCGAAAATCAACCATGACGACGGTCGAGGCCAAACCACCCCCAAGACCAGCCCTCATCAACCCCCAACTTCTGACTGAAGCCCTCGGCTTCTCGCCACAACTCCTCCTTGACGACATCATCAACGTTGCCAACCAAACTGTGCAGGATGGCGTGAATGGTGTCGAGGATTTTCTACGGAAACGAGCAGACGACATGCACCAGGACGAGATGATCAATGAGATTGAGCAGGGCTTGGTGGCATTCCAAACTCTCCTCGAGTTTCACACGGATGTTGCCTTTGATTTCTTCGAGGCTTGGTCTTTGCGCAATATCTTTGCCGTCCCCGCAGACTTGCCCCTCGTCATGCCACACAACCAGAGCCTCGATTTAACACACACCTCCGAAGAAGTTCAGCAAATATTGGATGAAATTCAACAAATGCGGACGGAGATATTCAAGGTGTGTCTTCTACCCACCCTGCATTCATCGACCTGATCACGCTTTAGGAAAGAAAGCTTCATCAAGAACTTGTACGTGCCAACCGCCGAAGGAAAGTCGAAACTCAGCGGATGCGCAACATATTAAGCGAACTTGCGCCATATGAGACGATAGACGCACAGACACTCCCTGAAGCGCTACTAGAGCTACAAAAAGTTGCCTCGAGTTTGCCTGAACTGCAGCCTGCGACTATTTCCGCTCTTACTCAGCTAGGAGATACAGAGGAAGGCGCTCGTCAATGGGAGATGGGGAGAACGGGTTATTTCAAATGGGCCACTGCGCAACTGCTCGCCAAATCTTCGAGCAGTGGCGAAGATTTTCTGCCGGAAATTGCTAATGTGGAGAAGTGCATCGAGGTCAGCAATGCGCTCGACAAGGTTTCCCGAGGTCTTGCGTCTGCTGGTGTCGATACGACAGTTATGGTGGATGATGCTTGAAAGCTACTCCATTTTGTATAGTAAAATGTGTATGTCTAGTGGATATGTAGCACTATCACAAGCTCTTGAGCTTGCGCTCCTTGTTGTTCAACGCCTTCTTTTGTGTCTGTAGCTCCGCTCCAAACATTTCTTTTGTTGCCTTTTTCTCCGCTCTGCGCGTCTGCCTCTCTTCTTTGACGGCTTGTTTCCTCGCCTTTTTAGCCTCTTTGGATTCATTTCGGTCGCGTTTGAGCGTTCCGATATGTCGACGTTCGTTTTCGTCATCAGAGGATTCTGATTCAGCATTCGAGATAACTATCGGCATTCCGGTCCGAGAGTCCAGATGAATTTTGGGAACGACCTGTGTCTTGCGTGTCTCGCCGTCTCGAGCCCGAATAAGACGAGGATGGTTTTCAAGATTTGAGTATGTAGCTATCAGAAATTAGGGAAGCAGAAGCACCTTAGATAGAGGGGGCTTACTTAGTATTGTTTCACAGTCCCAACGGTCTTTCCGGTCGTCGATGTCCAATGGCATCAGAATATCTTCAACCTCATCAACCTCGCCTGATTCAATACGAACACGCTCATCTTGGCCCATCGCACGCCTAAGGGTCTCTAGCTTCGCAGCTCCGTCGTCTCCTTCCAACTTGGGTTTCATTTTGCGGCCCAGAATCTCATAGTCGTTGAGGAATTCATCCATCATCGACTCAAAGTCGTCTCGGGAGGTTATGAGTTGCGGCGCTTCGTCGTCGTCCTCTTCTTCGGGTTCATCTGCAGATGGTTCGGTATCCGATTCCTCGTCAGAGTTATACTGCTTCAGGATCATCTGGATGGTGACACTGTTAGACAGCAAAAAAGGGTAACAAGACAAATACTCACTTGGTCAAATCTCTCGTCTAAAGTCTGCAGAGCCTCGTTGCGATACATGGAAGAGCTGCTCATGCTATAGCCAGACGCGTCGCTGGTACCTTTCCTCCGCCGCTTTCCTTTGCCACCTATTACTGACATCTCAGGAAGTCGTCCAATGGTATCTCCGCCCTCAGAATCGTCATACCCATCGTCACTTCTCGGGCCTTGACCTGCTTGAGCCTTTTTGAACCGAGAGAAACGCTCCTCCCATCCCGCATCATCACCAACCTCCTCCACATCCACACCCTTCGTGAGTCCCTCTTCTGAAAACTCAAAATCAACCTCCTCGTCACTTCCACGCTCGCCATCCCCAACGAGCTCCCCGAAAAAATCGTCTTCCAGCCCCTCATCAACGAAAGCATCGTCTTCAAGTGCTTCAAGAACTTGTCGCAGATGGGGATCCATGTCGGGCTGGAAGCCCGATATGCTAGCAGGAATAGCTTGCTGAGACTCGTAGTTACGTGGCAGTTCCGTCTTGGAGGCGAGGACACCGTCAGGTAAATCTTTCAGTGAGATTCCTTGGTCTTTTTCTTTGCCCTTTGCTTTGCGTGCCGACGGTGCCTCAATAAGGACACTTTCCACGCCCTCCTCTTGGATTCCAACCGTGCGCAGATGTTGCATATAATCATACTCCGAATCATCATAGTAGATTCCGTAAAGGGATGCTTCGCCAATATTGCGAGTGCGGTCGGAGTCAGTGACCAAGTCCTCCAAATCGGCACGAGACTGCCCTTTGCGAGCGATTGGTTTGAGAACATGTTTGCTTGCATCCGGGTCATGGATTAGCGGATCGCGCTGAGAACGGTGAACCAGCTGAAAGTGTTGAGCCCCAGGCTGGCGGAATATAGATTTTGGCGGCATTTTTTAGTCGACCAGATGCGAAAAGTTGCTAGTAGGAATAATTTGTCCTTCTTTAAAGCTTCGCCGTTAGATTGTCGCGATTGTGTTGACCCCAGAGAAGGGGAACCAAGAAATCTTCGGCTGAGGTTGTGGGTCACACGTGTGACAGCTCCTTCGTCGAGCGTTCATCGCTCTGACTTGGGTGCAACCTCCACCGTCCTCTGCTTGCCAGACGCCCTTCAATATCTGCCAGCCACGCTTCTGACGTGGACTGGCTCCACTTTGTCTATCATGGACACCAAATCCAACCCCCAGCGCGAACATACACGTCGTGGCTTCAACATATACGTCTTATTTTCTCCTTTCAACAGGCCCAGTACTGACACCAGGCTCCGTGTTTACTAGTCATCAAAAAGTAGTGCTGGAGATTGACTTTTCCGGGTGCCTTTGGGTGAGTTTGAGCTGCTGTTGCTTTGGTTTGGGTCGCGCTCATGGTGGACCATCTACAGGGCTACACGGAGATTACGATTGTTCCGACGAGCAAAGAACTCAGAACGGTCCATCTCCACTCGCGCCAGTGCAGTACGAGACTTGCCAAACCGTCCATTTAACGCTCACCAGTCTGTTTGTGTTACAGCCATCCAAACGGTCACTGTCGCCAACCAACCCGCGGAATTTATACACCACGACCCACTAGCGAATCTCAGCCTTGGAGGGCCACCCGAGTCTATCGATTGTCACCGACACCCGGAACTCAAGCGTAAACTTTATACCGCACTACAAGAGGGGGAGGATGGGGAGCTAGCAATAGCGATTCCGGCTGAGGTCTTGGTCAAGCCGGCTGGGGGCTCTGAGAACTCAATGGTCAATGACTGTGCGTGGTCATGAATATTTTACTTTCTTTTGTTCAACAAAAGCAGTTGCAACACCAGAGCCGTCAACACCTGGACCCTCCTCCCAGGCCGCACAAACAGCGACTGAATTTGCCCCCATCTGCATCAATATTGCCTACAGTCTTCGGAACCCTGTTGATGGCTTCCAATTCGTAGTCCCTACCGAATCCTATCCCTACGTCAGTTTGTTCTTCCAGTCCCAGACAGTGACTCATCCTTTCCGAAGCGAGTTCCTCATGCTTACACCACTCCTTCTTCTCCCGACGCTGCCAGATGCTGGGTCCCTTGTGTTGACACTGGTCGAGAAAAATGCACCTGGGAATTCGAATTTGTGGTCCCGAGATACCTGGAAGATGTTGCCTTTGATGATCCTCCTCCCGACGCAAACCCAACCCTGGTTGTATGTAGTGGAGAGCTAGTTGAACAGGTGTGTGGCCTTCCATGATCCTCACAATAGCTATTAAGCTTGTACAGGTCGCACATCCATTCAGTTCACACAAGACTATTTTTCTGTTTTCCCAACCGGTGCCAACCTCCGTCCAGCAAATCGCCTTCGCTGCTGGTCCATTCCATCTGCTCTCGATTCCCTCGGACCATTTCGTCGAGGAAGGCAACTCGACGCAACCTCCGATGTATGCCTTCTGCCTTCCTGGCCACGAATTGCCCATGACAACGTCAACATCTACTCTACGCTCGGCCATGAGCTTCTTCACCTCCGAGTTTGGATCCTACCCCTTCGGATCATATAAACTAGCCTTTGTCGATGAGATGCCGATGCAGAGATTCGATAGCTCAACATTATCGCTTCTCAGTGTGGACTTGCTGTATAGCGAGGATGCTATCGAGCAGGCTCTGGAAACTCGACACGCTTTGGCGCACGCTTTGGCTTGCCAGTGGATGGGTGTCAACATCCAACCAAAAGTTCAGTCAGACACTTGGTTGGTGAATGGCTTGTCGCTGTACATCACTGGTCTCTATATCCGAAAGTTGCTTGGGAATAACGAATATCGTTTTCGGCTCAAGAAGGACATGCAACGCGTTGTTGAAAGAGACAATGGCACAGTCCCGCCTTTGTGCCAACCGACGCGCTTGGAGCCCCCAGATGCCTCGGAATTACCCTTTATGAATCTCAAAGCCCCTTTGGTCCTGCATTGTCTGGACCGGAAACTTGGCAAGAGCGGTACTTCGCTCGGCCTATCACGAGTTCTGCCCAAAATCTTCTTGTCAGCGTTGACGGGAGATATGACAACACTATCAACGCAGGTGTTTCTGAGGACTTGTCGAAAGGTCAGCGGTGTCGATTTACGGACATTCGCGGACCAGTGGATATACGGCAGCGGTTGCCCCACATTTTTCTTCGCGGCGAGCTTCAATCGCAAGAAGATGGCGGTTGAGATAACGATGAGGCAAGATTGTCCGGCATACCGATTTCACGAAGGAAACGAGTACATGATGGCGCTTAATAAGCCTATCCAGACTTTCGAGGGGCAAATGACAGTGCGGATTCACGAAGCCGATGGGACACCATACGAGCACGTGCTCGACATTCAATCGAACTTCAAGAGGTATGAGGTGCCGTTCAACACCAAATACAAACGAGTTCGGCGGAATACGAAGCGGTATCTTGCGAGACAAGCCGCTGCCCAGGCAGCAGCAGAGGGAGATCAAGAGGCTGCGGAGGCAATGGGGTTGGTAGATATGGGGTTCGGACTGGAGATTTGGGAGAAGGAGAGCGAACGAAACAACTGGAAAGTAGAGGACTGGACGGAAGAGGACGAGAACATGATGAACGGGGCAACATATGAGTGGATTCGCATCGATGCCGACTTTGAGTGGCTTTCGGACCTCAATTTTGACCAGCCGGACTTCATGTGGGTCTCACAGCTGCAACGAGACCGAGATGTTGTAGCGCAGCTCGAGGTATTTTCCTGTTTTCATCTCATTCCTGCTGTTGACCCAAAGTGACAGGCTTTGCGAGCTCTAACAAAACAGCCGACGGCAATTGTTTCAAGCACATTGACCAAAACAGTCCTTGTCACCAATTACTACTTTCGCATCCGCTGTGAAGCTGCATTGGCCCTTGTTCATGTAAGAAATGTGTTGCTTTGTCATCTCGCTGCCTAATACGGCTTAGTGTTCCATCCATAAACTCAAATATCTGGGTTTATTTCATCTCTTCAAGTTGTTTCTAAGATATTGTTATGAACCGGAGGATCCGAAACAAGACCTTTTTGCACATACTTACGTGCCAAAGCCGAACGACTTTTCCGACTTTTCCGAGTATTTCGTTCGCAAGGTTTGTTATTTCCGTTGCATGGAAGATCTCTTCACGACCCTTCTCAGAGTCTCATCGTTGCCATATCTCGAGTTCGTTTCGACAACGGCAAATCACCTTCCATTGTCCGAAAGTTTCTCATTGATCAGCTTCGTTATAACGACAACACTGCCAACTCAGTATGCCTTACTCTGTTGTTGCTTCTACCCCTTACTTTTCCCTCTAGTTTGCAGACGGCTTTTATATCTGCAACATCATTGCTGCAGCTGCCCACGCGACCGTTTCACTGGCCTCGCCAGAGCGTGGCGAACTTCTGCCAACCGAAGTTCGCAATGAGTACAACGAGGAAGATGCCGATCTCTTGCAACAGATCGTATCTGAAGTCGACCGTTATCGGAGTATGGACAGGCTCATACCCTCGACTCACAACAACGTCACAGTTGCAGCTTTGGAGGTAGGAAATTTTTTATCTTCTTGATAAACTCTGACTAGAGTGCCTAGTTCTATATGATTCTCATGGTTGCCAACCTCATTCCTAGTGCCCCCTTGCAATTCTTCCCATTAACGCGGTACGAATTTGCCCCTCGTTTGTGACTATATATTGAGCCGTTTTGACAGTGAGGGTAACTACACACCCGTCCGCATCGCTGCCTTCGATGGCCTCTTCTTGACCAAGTGGTATACACCGCTCATCATGAAATATGTACTTTCCGTGATGGCGTACGACCCTTCGCGAAGTATTCGACGGCATGTTGCCCGTAGCGCATGCACGAGCCTCGCCCTCCTTGTTCAAATGGGAGAAATGAAGGTGAACTCGAAGGAATCGGAGTCGCTTTTGATTGAAGAAGACGGTTCGACACCTGCCAACCACAATCAGTCCAGGAAAACTGAGATGGAAGCTATGATCAAAGCTTTGCGGAAGGACAAAGAAGTTGGCAAGAACGAGGTTTTTCGGGAGCTTATGATGCCGTTGGCATTGTAAGTTGGACGTTTATTGTTTCTATGTATCGCTCATCTTCGCAGATCACCAGAGATTGACCATGACGTCCGCTGGGGTTTGCTCAAACTCGCAGACCTACTCCTTAAGCCCGTCGACGAGGTTGCGCCGACGGTCAAACTGCATATCCCTGCCAACCCAGTGCCCGAAACTCCGCCTCCAGAGCAATCTCCTGTTTTACCCATCAAGCTGAAGATTGCTGGTCCCGTTGCCCCCAGTCCCGTCATCCCGGCTCCACCAACACCCAAACTCATTCTTCATGCCCCGACCTCTATTCCTAGAGTCATTCCTAAACCCCCTATACGTGCTCCCAGCGCGGACGTACAGGCCAAAGTGAAATTTGCGGTTCCTGCAGTTCCATTGAAGGCACGGGCTCCTCCCAAACCAAGGGCTCCGCCGCCGCCGCCAGTACCGCCCAAAGCTAACGGCGTGGCAAAGACACCAAAAAAGCCGCCCGCTCAAGCCAAGGCTCAGGCGTCGGGAATGTCTTTGAATGATCTCAAGGCTACTCGGGTGGTGTTAAAAAAACTGCAGAGCAACAAGCACGCCAAAATCTTCTTACAACCTGTCGACCCTGTCCGCGACAGTGCACCAAAGTTTGAATTCCTCGTTCAGCGTGAATTCTCAACTGAAATGTCTCTTTACAGCTACTTCTCCGTGGTCAAAGAACCTATTGACTTAGGCACCATCTCGCAGAAGCTCGAGCAAGGACAATATGCAGATCGTTTTGCTTTCCGAGCCGATTTTATACTGATGATGAATAACGCGAAGCTATACAATAAGCCTGGCTCGTTTGCTCTTGACGCGACTCTTGCATTGGAAACGCACTTTGAGAAGCGTGAGTTGCTGTGTTTTGCATTGTACAGCCGATGACCTTGATTAGATTGGGCAGTCATTAACAAGACGCTGGATGCCGCAAGGGCGAAGGAAGAACTCCAGGCACCTAAGCCGGAACCTCCACCTCCAACTGAGATCGTCACCGTTCCCGCTGTGTCACAGCCGATACCTTCGACCTCCAAATCGGCACCTATACTCAAGCTGAAACCGCCCCAGCCAACCGCGAACGGCAACAAGCCTTCTGTTAAGCCACCAAAGCGGAAGCCTGCTGTGGACCTTAAAGTCGAAGAGTCGGCTGTTGAACCACCCCCTCCACCCTATGAGGACGATGGATCACATGACATCCTCCAAGAAGTTTTGGCTATCGAGCGTGAAAGAGGAGAGCTTCAACATCGCTCAACCGCAGTGGTCAATGGGAAACCCAGCACGAAAGCTAATGGGAAGCCCAACGGCAAACGGAAGAAAACCGAAGTTTCGACTGAAGAGGAGGACAACGCTGACCATGCTCTTCTTGACTTGGTCTCGTCAAAGAAAGCGCGACCCTCACCAGTCGAAGCTTCTACATCGAGTGCTCCGAAGCTTACTTTGAGCTTCTCCAAAGTCAAAGCCCCTACCACTGGACCAAAACCGTCAAGTCACCCTCCAGAATCACGACCTGCATCATCCAATTCCCACCGGCCGTCCACAAAAGGGAAAGAGAGAGAGATTAGAGCACCCAATCCGCGGCCGAAGACTGTTGGTTCGACTCCTATCGACGAAAAGAAATGCAAAGCAGTGTTGACGGCACTGATGAAAGACCCCGCAAGTGCGATCTTTCTTAGACCCGTTGACCCCATACAAGATGGTTGCCCTACGTGAGTTGTGGCGAATCTTCTGCTTCTTTCAGCTTAAATTTTCAGATATCTGGACGAGATCGCTCACCCCATGGATTTTGGGACAATGTCAACCAAGCTAGATGCACATCTATACCAAACGATGGAGGAATTCCGGGACGACGTGCAGCTGGTGTTTTCTAATTGTCGACAGTTCAATCCCCAGTTCACATTTCCCTATGATTGTGCGGACGCGTTGGACAACTTGTTCAAAGACGAGTGGCCCAAGGCTATGGAGCGCAAGATTGCGGGCAATGACAAACGAGGTCTTCAAGGCGTTCTGACGACTTTGGTGAAGGATGATCTGTGCGTGTTTTTATCTTGCTTTTTGGTACGTAAGCTCACACGTGCCGTAGATCCTGGCTATTCCGTGAACCAGTCGATCCTGTCCTTCTGAATATTCCCACGTACTTCGACGTTATCAAACAGCCCCGCGACCTGAAGTCAATCCGAGCGAAACTCGTGGGTGACAAATACGAGTCGATTGAGGCGTTCGAAGCCGACGTCAAGCTCATGACCGATAATGCAATCCTGTTTAATGGACAATTGTCGGACGTTGGTCAAATTGCCGTGAAGCTGCAGGATAAGTTCGAGCAACTGTTACAAAAGTGGAAGGAAGGGATGAACAAGAAACGGAAGGAACCGGAGAAGAGCAATAACCCGCAGCCAGCGAAGAGACAGAAAATGGGGTGATAAGTGACACTGTACTTTAATAACGTTTTCTTGTAGGTAATATGTACTACTTACTTTGCATTGCTTTCCTGTAGTTTAGATAGCATTAGACTGTTGCATTTTGTCGCAGAAACTGGGGCTAGTAAAGACAGTATCGTGCACGTGACGTTATGGACGTATTCTGGCGCTTACCGCCACGAACAGCTGTTGTGGCAACCTCAAAGCTCTACATACCCTTTTTCTACCTTGCTGTAGCCGCACTACTATAGAGGCTACAGACGCGACAGCATGAATAGCGAACTACCATTGGAATCCAATTGCGACAATCAACTTGAAGGCTCGAAAAAGACTGTATAGTATCTTGGCTGCTCAGCGCAAAAAGACTCACACGGACCTGCAACTGGCAACGGTTTGTGGTATGGTGTAAAGCCCGTTTTCGGGTCCTTCGAAGGCGCCTGTTTACCTGAACAACGACTCGTGGCCATGGGCTATTGTCACCTACTCCTTCGCCCACAACCCCTTGGAAAACTTGAAATTTCTTGAACTGTGATCGATAACTGGTTAAACGTGACGTCTAATCCTGCTCTAGCTTCATTTTCCTTCCTACAAAACATTATTATCCCAACATGTACATCGACGAGTCTTTCAGGAGATCGCGGCGTCAAGCTCACAACCCGACGTGCCCTTCAGCCTTAGTCATTTTGGTGCGCCAAAAGTCAACGCGGAAATACTTATGCTGATAATTTGCAGTCAACTTATAATATTCGAACGGCGTCTCCATGATCCGAATGCACACCAGAATAGATGCTCTGTACCGTTGGCCTCTGTTATCTATACTTACCTGGTTCCACTCGCCTGACAATTCTAGATAATCTAAATCTTCCTTGTACCCAACTTTCGTAATCAGTTCAAGTTGGCTGTCCTTCGTAAGTATGTCACGTCAGCGCCTGGCCAAGATGCGCTTGAACTCTTAGAAGAGCCTTAGAAGCCAAGCGGAGCCAAGAAACGATCAGCCATATGTTGTGTCACGGATTGTCACGCGCTCTCTGCGTGGTCTCCAGAAAATCTCATCGTCCTGCGAAACGACTCATACCCCCAATAATGCTTGTTCCTGTTACTCTCGCTGTGGCTGCCTCGTTCTTCAGCCTTGTTAATGCTCAAGCTCTTATCATCAATACCCCGACGTGCGTCGGTATTCTATTACGTCTTAACCCCGAATGCTGATCCCCGCCATATAGCCCAGCGCCAGGTTGGGGCTTCCTTGAGCGTCTTCTTCGAGCTTATCCAATCCTTACCCTTAGCTTTCTGTGAGCCGACGCTGATTACTTGGGGTGGAGGAACTCGTGAGTGTTTTGCCTGACTTTTGTTGAGCAGGATATTGAATTCGCGTTCTGTAGCCCCGTACTTCGTCGTATGTGGCTCTCTGCCAGCTCTTTGCTTGACCGTTGAGAACTCTCTCTCTATCCGTAGTCGTGCGTGGCATCCACATGTTTTCATTCGGCAAAGCATGGCTAACTGACACTCTTCGCAGCATCGTGAATGGCGACGACCGCGCGAACGTCCTCGTCAACTTTGGTCAACTCTCCAACACGTCGATTACCTGGCAGGTTACCCAGCCCGTCGGTATGTAGGCCTCAATAATTGTTGCACCTGTTGACCTTCTTGGCAGGAACCAACTGCCTCTTCACCATTAGGGACAGCACCGGCCTTGTTCAAACTTCTGCCGTATTCCCCATCCGCCAGGGCTGTAAGATGCTCGACTCTCCGTTTTTTTTCTTGGTACTAAGTGATTTCAAGCGAGTAGCTCATGTGCTTCGCAAAGCCAAGGCAGCACTAGTCAGTCGGGAAGCGTAAGCCAACCGGGATCTACATCAAACGCACCAACCTCGAGACCCCCTTCATCGACTGCACCCCCACCCAGCGGGTCTACGACTGCCCCCCCTCCTAGTGGTTCCCAGTTGTCAGTTGCAATACCATCAGCTTCAATGTTTGTTTATCTAATCTTCACTCCAGACCCTCTTCCAGCTCGCCAGCGCCCTCTTCCTCTCGCTCGGCACCCCCAACTGGCGCAGCCACCGCACTCAATGTCCCTGTTGTCGCCTTTGCTGCCGTCGTTGGTGCAGCGTTCGCTGCTCTTTTCTAAGCTCACTACTACCCTGACCGTTCCTTCGTTTGCTACACGACATTGGCACTACTAGATCGTTTTTGGAGGGGTTCGAGTTCTTCTGGGTATGTAGCTTTGTATGCGCCGTTGTGTGTTGTGTAGTTTTTTTGTTTGTTGGTAGGTAGTTCATTGCTCAAACAAGTCGTGAGTTCTGATCAGATAGAGGTACTTAGATAACAACTTGAACCCTCAACTGAAAAATGTCGTGTTTACCCTTGACGCGACTAGTCACAACATGATTGATTGGTCGTAACATGAGAATCGACACGTACCCTTCACTGCCACCTGATTGCGACTGACTCGCTTGCAGACCTTGGTTTTTACCCTCATGCTACTCGGTATGGCGCTTTATTCCTGCTACAATTGCACTTTCTCAGTCCCTTAGCCTTCCTTCTTGCGTATGCCGTTCCTTTCACGCTTGCCCTGAAGTCTGTCTGTGATGCGATGATCAACAACAACATCACGTTCCTCACACCCGCCAACAGCAAATTGCCTGAGGGGACGTACATTGCTGTGAGCTCCAGCGGCATTTCCCACCTATCAAATCACCTCGAGGCCTATCCAGACACGCTAGTCAAGAACTTAGTTTTGTCGGATTCGACGCTCGATGAGCTTGCCAACGACTTTGGCTATTTGGACACCAACGCTCCTCCTCCTGACCACGCACAATTGGAGCAGATAGAAGCTGCCAACGAAGCGCTCTCCCTGACCCTCTTCAACCGCACTCTGGCCCTCCAAACTCTAGTTGGGCGGATTATGGATCGCGTTGCGCCAACTCTCGAGTCGCTTGTGTTGCTCAATTACATCAGAGGCGACGAATGGGAGCTTTCCAACTGGGACGACAACCGAACACGCACTGTACTTGATCACGACTTTCCCCAGCTCACCCATCTCACCATCCGGGACTACCATTGGGACTTCAAGCCACTCCCGGGCCAGCAATGGCGATTCCTCCCCCCGCTCCCGTCAGTCACAAATCTCCATATTATCGCCAACGCCTACTCGTTCTCGGACACATACCCTTCATCGTCTGCACTCCGCAGTCTGGTGCCCAACGCCGAGCGCATCCGTCTGTCTGGCCAGCCGTCAGAGGAGTTCCAGCCCCAACCATGGACCTATATTCGCTGGCCGCAACAGCTTTTGCAGACCGTCATGGACTGGCGAGCATATTATACCCCATTTGTGACTGCTCCATCTGACTGGTCCACAGGGCGTCGACCGACGATTCAAGCAAAATCATCATCCAGCCCAACTACCGTCCCCGCGGTGGCGTCTGCGGCAACCCCATGATAGACCACGACTGCATGCTTTCGCGGCTCGCGCAAAATCCCGCGATCCGTGTCCGTCTCCCGTATGAAGAAGACTACACGCAGTTTGGCGCGTCCTATGCTGCCTCGCGGCTGTTTTCGCTGCAGAGAGCGATTGCGGAGTTTGAGGAGCGTGTGGTCGATGGCGGGGAGGGCGAGTGGGCAATACCATCACGGAATGAAACGAGGGAATATCGCGGGGCTTCATTAAGGCATTGTCCTTGATATGTATACCAACAAATCTCGATTCATTGGACAACTTTCTTATGCTTGCGTTCAGGCCGAAGGATTGCTTAATATGACCATCAAATCTACGTGCCGGATCAGCAAAACTGTTCTCATATGCATGATCGACGACCGACTGCGGCGCAGTCCCCAACATGGACGATGGTCACCATATTTCACCTCCCTAAAAGTGTTGCCAAGTGTGCACATGGGCCTCCAAGCTTTGCAGTTTTTTCCACGGCGTCTTGCTATTGTTCTGGCAAGCTTGCTCAAGAAAACTCCATAAATCTCACGGCGGCAAATCTCCGACCACCGTCATGTCGTGCTAGACGGCTCGAACCTCGCTCAGGTTGCTGATAGCGGCCATTTTAGTCCGACCATAAAACGAATGCTCTCAGTTTCCAGAGATGACATGCTTCTCTCTTGTGCTATTGCGACTCTCTTCACTGCTCACGTGGCGCTCGCTGTTGCGCCGGTGGACTACCGTATACCATCCGGATCGTCGATCCACCATTCGGGGCAGGACGTGAATGTATTCGCAGCAGACGGCTCGCTAATTCACGCCTTCAAGCGCGATCCAAAAAAGTCACTCGTTTCGCGTGCCAAGTCCTCCAGCAAGGACTTTCGCTCGGTGGAGGCGCAGGCGGTCGTAAACGGAACAGACGTTATCCAATCATTTACCGCCTCATTTACGGTCCCTCCCCTGCCCAAGACCTTCAACAGCCAACTTTTCTTCATTGGCGCAGGCATTGGGATCGACAGCACGGATCCGGACTCTGAACTCCCACCGTTGGTGCAAATCGGCCTGCAGGTTTGTCTTTCTGCTTCTATCAACTGGGCGCACTTATGTTCGCCCTCCAATAGTATGGAGGCACAGCATTCCATGGCGGCTCGTTCTGGTCGGCCGCCATTGTTCTCGGGGGCTACGATGTCAGTCTCAGCCCAACTCTTGCATACGGCAACCCCGTCGTCCGCCCGGGAGAGCGGTTTACAGTTTCCATCGCAAGAGACCCTGATGGCCCGAGTCCGCCTGATGGAGAGGGCCCCTGGTACCCGTACAAGTTCGAATTCGACCACTTGGACATCCGCATTCCCTACACCATGACCTCAGTCTGGAAGAAGGCGGCACCGCCAAAACTGACGTTCAAATACCAGGAGTTCGTCGTCGGAGAGGCTGGCGAGTACCCAAGTGGCAACTTCGTGTTCGAGGATGTGCGCGTTAACACAACCGACGGGTCCCCGCGCGCACTGTCGTGGAGCGCCCAGCCCAATCCGACGATGGGAGTGAAGGTCAATGTGGAGAAGAACGGGCCTGAGAACGCTCAGATTGCATTCGTTTTTCCTCAGGGTGCTTGATCAACTTGGCAAATTTTGTTCGGAATAATATCTAGCCAATGGATTGTGCTTCGATCGAAATGTCTGAGTAAGAAACGGCCCCGAGCAAGATGTAAGTTTTTTTTTGCGTAATTATCCTCGTGTTTGCGTCTCTACGGTATCTTGCCCTTCCAGTCGGGGGGTGTTCAGGGCACAAGTGTGGATAAAGGTTTGCCTAGAGCTAAGAAGAAGCCCCATCTTCGCTTTTGGTTATGCCGGTAATCTCCGAATTCCAGATTAGGAAACTTGATTGCCAAATCAGGACTTCCTGTCTGAACGACGCAGACTTGTTTTGTTATTAAGAATTTAACATGTAAAGTAATCAGATCACAGCACACCCTATACAAGGCCGACCGCTTTTCTCAGTTTAACGTAGTTCGGCGTGCCCAGGCCAGTGACGGGGTCCCAGCCAACAGTCGCGTTGAAGCCACTGCGAGGAGAAACGGGACAGTCAGCAGAGCAGCAAAGAAACAAGGCGACTGACCTTGTATCACACCCGGGGTTGTTGCCCGCCGACACATCGTTGAGTGCTGCCCGCCCAGCGGCGCTATAGAGGAAGGGATTGAGGAAACCGAGTGGGCGCTTGCCGGCTGCAATGAGCTCGGCGTTCAGGTGTGCGACAACGGCGGCAAAAACGGGCGTCGAAGCAGACGTGCCGCTGGCTAGGTTCCACTCGTTACCTGAATGTAGGTGAATAGATTGCGGTGCATAATCAAAGGACGCGCGACTCACTGACGAGAGTTACAAAGTTAACCCCTTGGGCAGAGACGTCCGGGATGCTATGAAAATGTTAACCAGTAGATACCAAACACAAGTCGCACGTACCCGCGTCCAGCCTTGTTATATCGACCCTCGTACTGACCGTTAATGCTGGCAACATATGAGCTAACGTCCGCCTCCTGGTATGCAGGGGCCTTGAAGTAGTTCGAAAAACCTGAACAAAGATGTTACGTATCGGTCAACATGATCAGGACAGTACTGACCGCCAGCAGAGAAAGAAGCTGCAACTTCAGAGAAGTTGTTCTTGGTGTAGTTTTCGAGAATGGTCTGGGAAGCGCCAACTGATGTCACCCAGGGGCATGATGAAGGGGCAGTCGGGAGGAAGGTATCGCAGAACCACGAGTTGCCACCGACACCGCGCTCGCCAGAAGAAGTCCTGAAAGCGTCCCATCAGTCGCAGCCATTATGTAGTACATAACCAATTAATACGAACAAAACAGAAGTTCCCAAGGCCCCGAGTTGCATGTAGGCGTTACAAAGTCCCTCGGCAACGGGGAGGGTTAAATCTTGTTCATTGAAGCCGTAGGATGTCGAGAGCACAGTCGGCCGGGAGTTGTCGGCGATCAGCGCATTTACTTGATCCAAAAAGCTGCTCGCTTTATCGTCGTTCAGTGGACCAACTGAAATGAAGCGGAGAGGAACTCCGCCGGAAAGCCCAACCGCGTATTGCATATCAAGACTCTACGAAAGGATGAGTAAGGTTGAAAGAAGTGTGAGGACATGACCTACTGCTTCAACACCAGCAAAATCGCGGACCCTATTCGAATATTAAGATGCATGCATTTTCATGAACGGAGAACTTGCTGGGTGTTAGAGCCTCCATCAACGAACTGTAGGTCAAATTTCGCCGACGAGGACATCTCAGGACGATATTTGGCGAGGAAATCCTTGTGGCATATCGTGAGGAAGGTATGTGAATCATCAAGGAAGAAAGTATGCCTTGAGATCGCTCTGGTGGGCAAATTGGTTTGAGAAGCCTGAAATCCCCAGAACATTGTTCTTCTGTGTCGCAGACCGTTTCGGAATGCCCGTTTCCTCCAGCAAACACTCAAGGGTTGTGAGGTCCGCACAGCTGGGGTCGATTTCACGCTTGCCATTAATGTTAAATGGCTCGATCTTGGGTGTGACGAACGGATTCGTGAAGCTGGTCGTGGGGTGGACATATGCGACATGTGGAGACAAGTCGGCAGGGAGAGAGTACTGCAGCGTTCGGATAGCAGTCTCCTTGGTATCGGAATGCGTGAAGCTTGAAAATTCCGCATTCAAGATGGAGTTGGCCTTTGAGACGGGCACATTGAACTGGAGGGTGTCGCCTGCGGGCGAGATAATTTTTGCGGTGATTTTGTTAACATCCAGCCACGAGTTCACAGCGGAAAGTGCCTCCGACGTAGGTTTGACGTATTTAACGACCTATTTGACGCGTCAGAAAATTTGCCAGTCAGTGAGGACTGACATGCCTCGTCTAGTGTCAAATGTTTGCCATAACGCTCGCTTTTTGGATCGGAAACAGCGTACAGTTCCTTCTCGAGGCCGGCAATGTTGTTGGGCTTGAGTGAAATGCGGAGAGTGAGCTCATGGGACGAGGGAGCTAAGCCAACTTTGACGAAGCCTCGAGCAGGTGTGTCCCGACGTTCATGAATAACATAGGCCGACCGCTCTGCTTGTGTAGCCACTGCTATCGCAACGAGGGCCGCAAAGAACGAGGCGGAAAGAAGAACCATAACGGTGAAGGTGAATCGGCACAATAACAAAGCTACACTTAGTACTTATCAGGTACCTGGCGATTTCTGGCCGTCGAGCGCTGGCGGGGCCGGAGGAAGGTTTGGCATGGAGTTCGGTAAGAGCTGCTGCTGCGCATTCTATCGGGTCGCGTTGCTAACGAACCAGAAAATCTTTTGATGAGTTCAACGCCATCCATAACCGGGAACCCGCATTTGAGAAGACGAGGTTTGTCGATCCCAGGCCCGGGATCGGCGAAAGGTTGGCGAAAGGCAAGGCCAGCGGCATCACGTGCACAACAATGTTGCTCCCGACGTCAACAACCATTGCAAGTCCGACAACTAACGAGATTTTCGAGGTGAACCTCATGTGTATACCATCATCCGCAGTCGGCGTCGAGCATCCGTTTCTTGGAAGCTCAGGCATTCCCTTGTTTGCTTTCAAATTTTTACTCAAGACGGCGTCGACCACCGCTCGGTTCGCTCCCGCTGACCATGCATGCCAATGAAACCCCCCGTTGCCAAAATACACCATCAATCACACACACCCATCCTACCTCTCTATAATTTAAACATCGGTTGTTCTAACTGCGTCCACTTTCGATGTCCTTCGCTCGTTTACTCGGCACTCTTTCACTTGTCCTGGTTGTCTCCGCTGGTAATCTTGTCCAGTTCGAACAACGTAAAAGCGCTCCTGCCGGGTTCACTAGCAAAGGACCAGCAGGCGACGACCACCCGCTTTCCCTTCGCTTTGGTCTAGCATCGAACAATATTGCAGGACTCCACGAGAAACTTGCCTCTATCTCCAAGCCCGGGAGTCCAGATTTTCGGAAATGGCTCAGCGCAGATGAGGTGAGATTCCTTTGTTTCAACTACTCTCCCTCAAAAAGCTCCATCTAGGTTAAAGCCTTCGTCGCGCCGAGCGAGGAAACGCTCAAAGCTTTCAATTCATTCGCTTCTGCAAATGGACTCAAGACCACTGAAACTTCGCCATTCGGCGAATGGGTGACCGTCTCAATGCCCGTTGCCAAAGCCAACAAACTCTTCGGTGCCAAATACACCAACTTTACGCACGCAGACATCCCCGATCCAATAATGCGAACACTCTCGATGTCGCTTCCCTCAGAGCTTGTCAATCACATCGACGTGGTTCATCCCAGCACGGCTTTCGCCCTTCCTGATCCCGGTCCCCGAAAGCCCATTCGACTTGGTGGTTTACCCAAACGGGCAGCCACAGCGCCTGAAAACTGCGACGTCAGTGACCGCAACCCTGATAACGTTATCACTCCGGCATGCCTACAAGCCCTATACAACATTCCTGCGACCCCAGCGACGCAAGAGAATAATGCGCTTCTTGTTACTGGATATCAGAATCAATGGGCCCAAATAGACGACTTGCAGGTGAAGTTAGAGGCCTATCCAAACCCGGCTTCAACTCTAATCATCCCATTAGGCGTTTATGAAGGAACTACGCCCTGATTATTCAGCGGGCGTCAATCAGACTTTCCTTCGCCTCGCAATCGATCATGGAACCAACCCGCAATTACCTGGCAAGAGTGGCATTGAAGCTCAACTCGATATCGAGTATGTTGCTGGTCCGTGTGTCGTGGCCACGTTTGTCGGAAATAACTTGTGAATTTAGGGATTGCCACGGGTGTCCCCCTACAATTCCTCACTGTCGGCGGCGACGATTTCCTCATCTCCCTACTCCACACGGCAGAGTTTCTAGCCAGCACCCCCTTCCCCCCGACAGTCATGACCACTTCGTAGGATTTCTTCTACCCCCTTGCATATCGATAATAACTTGTCCCAGTTATGGCAGGGAGGAACCGAGTTTTGGAAACTCCTTGGCCAAGTCAGTTTCGTGTGGTATTGACAACCAAAGCTAACAGAGCACAGCAAAATATGCGATGGTTATGCTGCCGCATCTGCGCGAGGCGTTTCACTTCTATTTTCTTCTGGAGATGTTCGTCTGCTCTCTTTGTTGTCGTCCGTTCTCATCCATGTGATAGGGTGGTGTGAATGGGAACCACGATGACCCCTGGGACTGCGAGCTTTTCGTTTCCGTCTTCCCAGCCTCCTGCCCATATGTGACAGCTGTTGGCTCGACCATCTCCTTCAACCCTGGTTTGTTGTGGTTCATTTTTCTTCCATTTGGTTGGCTTAATAAGTTGAATAGAGATTGCGGTCAACTTCACTGGTGGCGGTTTCTCGGAGTACTTCCCGCTGCCGTCGTATCAGACTGCCGCTGTCGACGCCTTCCTCAAGACCGTCCCTGATGGGCTCCCTAACTTCAACCGTGCTGGACGGGGCTACCCCGACCTTTCCCTCCAGGGTTGGAACTACCTCGTCACATTCAACGGACAGCGTATCCCCGTCAGCGGGACTTCTGCTTCGGCCCCAACCGTTGCCGCAATGATCTCCCTGGTCAACGATAAGCTGATTGCGGCTGGCAAACCAGTGCTGGGCTTCCTCAACCCCTTCGTTTACGCAAATCCTTCCATATTCAATGACATCCTTATTGGCCACAACTCGGGCTGGGAATGTCCTGCATCGACGGTAGCTATTGACTTTTCTCTCCCGTTTTGTTTTGTTGACTTGATTATCAGGCTGGCTTCGATGCAGCAGAAGGTTGGGACCCCTTGAGTGCGTGCTGCTTCCCTGATGCGTTGTGTTTCAAACTCAATCATTGACCAGGCGGCGTCGGCACTCCCGACTTTGAGCGGCTACTTGCTGCCGCATTGGCTACATAAAACACTGGTGGATTAAATTCTTGTAGTTGAAATCACCACGTTTCATGAAACATACTCTGGCATTTGATCTTATCTCTGGCAAAGTTAGTTACTAGTGGTAGTCCACAACAAGCTCTCGTCAGAAGCACATAGAAACATTTCCCCTGAAAATTCAGAGCCGTTGCATTATGTACTAGTTTGAGTACCGAGAAGTGACAGAACGAGACAAAGATATAGTCTACCACGGGCAATGGGTATCTGAGTTTAGACGCTGCACTTTGGACTCGTACTCCCATTTGAACCCTTCGTCCTGCAAGGCTCGTATCTTGGCGCAGAATTCATCAGTGAATATGTGACCTGCTTGCGAGTCGACTCTGCACCGTTTCAATTTGGCAGCCGCCTGCCATCGAGCCAATATCATCCTCAAGACCATCGATTCCTTCAATATGCCGGTGACACCGACGAATTGTAGCGATTCAAGCGAAGGAACAAGAGTGCTTTCGGACAGTGCTTGCAAGAGCTCGTCGCTGATGAGCTCGGGGAACTCACTCTCAACGATGGTCAATTCCGTGATATGGCGCGGCAGGCGACGGAGGATGTGAAGAAGCGCAGTGACACCGATGTTTTCGACCCCGAAGGATGTGGATGTATGATGGTGGGAGAGAAAGCGTTCAAGTGCATCAGCGAGTTCGCCGGGTTGTCCAGGCATCCATAGCTCCGAATCGGGGCCAAAGTCCATATCGAGGCGTTTCAAAGCGGGGAGATTCAGTGCCGCAAGCGCAGGATATAAAGGATCCAGTTGGAATATCGGAAGCACATGCAATTCCAGCTTTTCGAGGATTGGCAGAGTTAGTCTCGAATGTGTGAACGGAGGGTCAAAAATTGTCAGTGAGACGGACAGCGAGAGCGAAACCAGGTTCTTGCAGGGCACAAGCGCCTCGAAAATACTGTTGAGGTTGTCAATTTGGATCGTTAGATGTTTGAGTTGGGACCACGGGAGGGGCAGGAGAACGGACACAGGCTTTCTCGGCCTATGCAGTCTGATTATGGCCTCTGACAGGCGGGGGGCGACTGAAAAAAGTTCCAGAGGCGGCCCCACCCACGCCTCCTCGCACACGAGCACGAGCTCGAAGTCCAGTTTGGACAGGTTTGTCAAATGGCCCGGTGGAAGCGCCGCCAGGTCTGCGAGCTCGCTTGTGGCGTGAATCGTAGCAATAAGTTCTCCCCATCTCTCCATCGTGTCTCCAAAGCCAGAAGCCACCATATCAGAGAGGTTGACATTTCCCGGCTCCTCGTCGATGTCCGAGTCTTCTTCGTCAAAGTCTGGGGATGTGATAACGACCCGAAACGTGCAGGGCCGAGAGCGCTCGAGAAAGCGTTGTGTCTTGGCGTCGAGTGGGTAGCCTAAGATATCAAAATACTCCAAAATCCATAATCGAGGTGTTTTCAACGCGACTTGTCGCAAACGGGAGCAAATTGAAGCAAGCCCGGTGACGTAGTTCATCCGCCCAACGTTGTTGTCCCGGCTGGGGACGGTAAGGAGAAGCGCAACTTGCATGATTTCAGAAAGCAGTTCGAACGGTAGTTCAAGGATTCCCGCAACCTGTACTTTGTTCGGCACTACATTCTTAGCCCTGCGAGACTTGTCTCGTTTGGTCATGAACTCTTCCAGTTTACGTTGCGTAGAGGGTTTGGAAGACGACGACATGGATGATGAAAAAAGTTGTTGGGTGATTAGTCATCATATTCCCTTGAACTTCAACTCCATTATCACCTCAATCAATCCTTTACAAGCTCTGTGTACAAAACGGCATCTTGAATTCGATTTATTACCTATCAGCAAAACAACTGGAAGTCGGCAAACCGAAAGCATTTTAACCAAGACGAAACAGCCTTCAGAGTACTTATATCCTCTGGACAACTCAACGCATCGACGGGGACCAGTATGTCTAGCTTTGACAAGGTGTATTCTCGACTGCCTGGACCAGTGCGCCAATATTCACTCGGAATCGGACTGCTTACCCATCAAGCTGTTGAATACTGGTCGCAAGAGCTGGACTTTCGTGTTCGTTGGTCCAAGCGATGCAATCCAGTTGTACTCACTCATATGTGCTACACACGCGGACAAATCTCCATAGCTCACATACGTGAATACCAATAGACCCATTGACTAGTACTAGTATTCCACAGGACATCCGCTGATAACTGGAGTAAAATCATCATACCGCCTCTGACTTGTACAGACTTCATTCTAGAAGCTTGAACGCCCAATATCCAGCGAGCAGCATTACCCTCATGGGTTAGGTCCTTCCGCAGAGCTGCTGGCGTCATCAAGTTCAGCATTGAGCCAACGGGACCAAGGTTGATTGAAAGTTGCCTGTGGCTAGCACTCGTCACCAAAACAGTGACCTGCCATTCAACTCGCAAGACCCCCGACCGGTAATTACTCTTGTGAGGATACGGAAGCCCCATACTTGAAGGACTGCAAGCTGGACACAGGCCACACCATCAAAGATGTTGAATCAAACTGGAAGTAGATCAGTGGAAAGCGCAAAAGTAGAGGAATAAATAACGAGCTGACCATGTGGGGCAAGTGCTGGTCGTGAAGAAAGAGAGATCGTAGTGGCAGTACGGCGAGAGGAGCAAATGTGATTCATGACCGCAGATTCCAAGGTCGGATTTGAGCGCCACTACGGCTAGTAAGTCAGTATATCCATCGAGCCAATGAGCAGACCTACTATCAAAAGACGTTAATCCAGACCAAAGGCATATCGGTGAATGAGGCCATAGCAGAGGAAGTAACCGATGTTCGCAGGTGGTGGTCAGGAAGGAAGAGAGTCTGGAGTGGCAGTACAGCGGAAGGAGCGGTTTCTCAATCGCAGGTTCCAATTCGAGTTCCAATAGAAGAGATCTGCTCCTCCTATCAGCAGTTTCAAGACGCAGAGCAGAAGGGAGTTCAGACGAGAGAACATTGGCCAAGTTGGCATTGACGATGACAATGACTTCGAAGGGCGTTTGCCTCTGAGCCAAAGACTATGGTCCAGTCCTAGCCTTCTTCACCACGAGCGACAAGTGCGGGAGGTAGCTAGCAGTTCGCATGCATGGCGAAAAGGATGGCAGACAATCGAAGTCGAACGAAGAAAAAAAATTAGTGACAATGTGACGCTGATTAGATAAGACTCAAGATTCGTGAACGAAGCTTGCATTGTCGGTGTAAATATGAGATGAGCTGTGTAGCAGCGGCATGATTTCACATGCTGAGCTCTGAATCAAATTCAAGTTTCGTCGTCAAGAATAATACCTCAGCGAAGCGGCCGAAGCCTTCCGCTATTCTTACTACTAAGTAGTAGGCGAATACTTCTGAATCCGCGCCCTCCAGAATCGACAAGCTGCTCATGCCAACAACGTTGCTTGATTTACATCTCAGTCTCACTAGGTGTATTACAGAAACAAGCAAAGTTCGTTCATTGATGCGTAATAATAACTACAGCAGACGCAAAAACTTGTCCAGCCAGCAGCGTTACCTGGGTGGGTTGAGTTCTTCTCCAGCGCTGACACAAAAGCATCATCGGCTTCAGCAAAGCGTCGTCAGCCTCAGCATCGAGCAGACCGCATCGGAAGTTATCTGAGAGTGGCCGACTTGCACTCGTCATGGTTCGAAGACAGCAACATGTCAGGCCACCCGCAAACCCCCAAGCAGTCAGAGACGTGCTCGTATCAGATGACAGAAGCCCCATGTTGGCATACTCCGAGGACTGCGGGCTGGACGCGTTGTTTGTGCAGCGTGAGCGAGTCGAGGAGACGGGCAATTGAAAGGCGCAATAACTGCAAAAATCGTAAAACGTAGCACGTCATGCGCCTCGCAAAGCCGGTCGTCGCTGACTGGCAATGTCGGATCTCTGTGAAAGCACAGTGCTCCAAGGGTCGCAATTGGGTGGGGTGCCTTTGAAAGAAGCCTCAATACCGAATCATAAGACAGTGGAGACAAACAATCACATTTGAGAGTCAAGAAGGTCATCGAGCGTCGAGAGATGGTGAAAGTTTCGAAGTACGACAGCTCAAGACAGAATTGCCATCGTGGATATTACCGCAGGTGGTGGTTAGCGGCAGTGCGGCGAAAGGAGTAGATGTGCTTCACAATCGTAGGTTCCAAAGCGCCACTGGGGCCACTGAGAGTGGTTAAGTCGAATGCATCAAATAATGAACAGCCTGAGTCAAAGACGTTGTTGGTCCAGACCGGAGGAATATCGGAGAATGGGGCGACGGTGAAGGAAGTGGCCGACCGGATGTGTGGGGGCAGATGGTGGTCTGGAAGGAAGAGAGGCTGCAGTGGCAGTACCGTGGAAGGAGCAGATGTGTTTCTCGATCACATGTTCCAAGCCGAATTTCAGTCAGTCTCATCGACATGGCCGGGTGGTTCTTGCACTGCTCAACAAATTCGACGCATCCGCTCGAGGTTGCGCGCATGGTCTGACTCTGGCCACCTCTTGTAGATTAGCCCAAAGACGCGAAACCGTTCGATTATGGCTGCGGTCTTTTTGCTTCTCGCACGACAACGAAATAGATGAGAAGATGAGGAGTTGACTCCGACGAGAGTTCAGCTGAAACTGCATCAGTTTATAGCGGGCATTGTTGTTCCCAACTCACAGTCGGATTATTTTTATTGGCAACTTGATGTCGATTGACTGAACTGTGTCGTAGGCGTGTAGTGATTACGCGGCAAGCTGCAGCGCTGCTCCTTGCACGGCAGAGAGAAAAGCAGGATGTGCCAGTGAAGGAGAGTGAGGATGAGGGGATTGACGAGGAAGAGAGAACACGTCGAGAGGAAGAGGCGGTCGATATGAAAGTAGTGTCAGATGCTTATCTTGAATCCACCCCCCAGCTCCAATGCATCCTCTCTTGTTTGTCATTCAACAGCCGTTGCAGGGTAATACCACGTCTTCAGGAGAACATGCGTTCAAGGTCGAGGTCGACGCTTATACTGGATTGTTCGAAGGCCCAATCAACGACGAGGTAGAGGATCTATAGGAGAATGAATCCATCAAGACGAGCAAGCAGGTGACGGTGGAAGCGAACAACGTCTGCTGCTTGATGTCTATACTCCAACTCAAGCAATCTTCAAATTGTGCCATAACCTCACGGGAAAATGTATAAACAAGACCACACTCGCTATGGGCGTTGATTTGTTATTGCCATAGGCCAAGTCTCTGTAACCACAAGTCATACATTACGATACACAAGTGGGAATTCAAGTACAACGGCCAAGTGTCCAACCAGCAGCATTACCCAAGTGGGTTAGGTCCTTCCGCAGAGCTAGGCGCATCATTGAATTCAGCATCGAGTCAACGAGCCCGAGGTCGGCTGAGAGAGCGTGTGGCTTGCGCCCGTCATGGTTCGAAGACAGCGACATGCCAGGCAACCCGCAAAACCCCGAACCGGCAATTACTCTCGTCATAATACGGAAGCCCTATACTTCCGGGGCTGCGAGCCGGACGCGTTGTTTGCCATCAAGTCTTCGAGAGCGTTAGTGAAAACAGTGTGGTGTCGATAGTGCTGAGGGCGGAGGGCAAGTGCAACATCAAGCGTCCAGTCGACAGCGTTACCCATCCGGGTTAGGTCCTTCCACAGAGCCGATAGCGTCATTCAAGTCAGCATCGAGTAACAAGTCCGAGAACAGAGGTTGGCTGAGGGTTGCATGCCTGCACTCATCACCAAGATAGTAACCTGCATGCGAACCCGCAGAACCCCCGACCAGGATTTCCTCAACTCAGGATATGGAAGCCCCATACTGATGGGACTGCGAGCTGGACGTGTCGTTGTTTGGTGTGATCTGGAAACTGAATGTGAGTGAGCGCATAGAAAGGTTATGAGGGAAGCACCATGTCGAGCATACGAAAGTCTTGTAGATCAAAAGCTGCGAGTAGATCGTTCGGCGGCAAAACTCTCATAACCTTGTTAATGATGTTATTAGAGACGCAAGAGGAGGAGGAGGACAATTTTACCTCCAAAGCCTGATGGCGCATAGTGATCAAGTCGAATGTGTCGAGGCAACAGCTGAAGACGTTGAATCAAACTGGAAGTATATCAGTGCAAGGCGAAAAAGTAGAGGAAATAATAAGCTGACCATGTGGGACAAGTGGTGGTCGTGAAGAAAGAGAGAGATGGCAGTACGGCGAAAGGAGCAGATTCCAAGTCGAATTTGAGCGCCACTAAGGTTACGAAGTCAGCATATCCATCGAGCCAATGAGCAGGCCTACTATCAAAAGACGTTGATCCAGACCAGAGGCATATCGGTGAAGTAACCGATGTTCGCAGGTGGTGGTCGGGAAGGAAGAGAGTCTGTAGTGGCAGTACGGCGGAAAGAGCAGATGTGTCTCTCGATCGCAGGTTCCAATTCGAGTTCCAGTGGGTGGGGCCAGTAATACATCTGCTCTTCCTATTAGCACTTTAAAGATGTAGAGTGGAAGAGAGGTCGAACCAGAGAACGTTGGCAGACTACGACTGGACAGTGACTTCAGCCTGAGAGTCATTCAACACCCAAGCCAAAGCACCATACTTCCAGTCCCAATTTTTTCACGATTAGCCACGAGTACCGGAGATAGATATCAGTTCGCATATACGGCGAAAAGGATGGCAGACGATGGAAGCACTGGTGGTCGAAGGAAGAAAAACAGGAATTTGGTGACAGTCACGGCTGTGATCCTGCTGATTAGATAAGACTTCAACGTCGCGAAGAAGTTTGCATTTTCAGTTCGATATACGATACGAGATGTATGTAGCCTAAAACTATAACCAGATCAGCCCGATCATAACCCCACATGTTGAACTCAAGTTTCTCCGTCAAGAACAATACCTCAGCGAAGACCTCCTCTGTTCACTCGTCTCGTCTAGCGACGGTATATCCCATTCACCTTCTCCGCCGTCCACCAGACGACCCTCAAATTCGGCAAGCGCTCTCCGCAGCGAAAAAAGCCGTGCGGCAGCATATGACACGCCATAATGGTTGTAGTCCTCTTCGTGTGGGAGGAGGACACGAATGGCTGGGTTCCACGCCAGCTGGGCGAGCATGCAGCCATGTTGTATCCCAGGATTTCCGCAGTACCCACCACGTGGACTGTAGTTGGGCTGGACTATGATTGTTTTGCGGGGATTCCTGCGTGGGGTCAGATAAAACTACCAGAAAGACGTATGCTGACCAGTCCAGAATGGCCTGAAAAATCTGTCGCGACCAACGGACGACTTTCCATAATTTGGGGTGGAACTCCTTCGCCGGATAGCCAGAAAGACGAATTCGTTGGCCGTTGGGCACTAATCTGCGAAGCGTTGACGACGATGGGTACCTCCCAGAGAACGCATTAGCGTCGGCCACGATGTGCAGATGCGTTACTGATGGGAGGGGAGGAAAGAACCGCCATCTTTGGCCTGGAAGCGGCTTGAAATCCCAATGATAGTCGCGAATTGTGAGATGGGTAAGCTGAGGAAAGTTGTGGTCGAGGGCTGTGCGCGTTCGATTGTCGTCCCAGTTATAGAACTGGCCTTCGTCTAGCCTGAGGTAGTTGAGCAACACAAGTGATTCGAGGGTTGGCGCAACACGGTCGATGATTCGCTTGACCCGCTGTTCAAGGTCTAATGCATGCTGTCTTAGCGTTTGGGATAGTTCTTGGTTGGCAGCGTGCATCCTTCGGTACTTTTCCCAACGCGCCTCGTCTGGAGGGTTCAACCGGTCATAGCTTGTGTCAAAATACCCAAAGTCGTTGGCAAGGTCCTCGAATGTCGAATCCGACAGAAGTAGGTTCTTTATGAAAGCGTCTGGATGGTTGTCAAGATAATCCGCCAGCTGGGTAATGCCGGTTGAGTTTATAGCGATGTAGGTTCCTCCAGGTAGTTCGCTGTTGTTGGGAGTGAGGAACGTGATGTTATTGTTGATCGCTTCACATGAACGGCAGATGGACTCGAGGGCACAAGTGAGCGGCAGCGCGGACGCCACGAGGAAAGCTGAACGAGTATGAACCAGCAGGCTTGATAGATATGGTGCGAATTACCGAATAGCATGACGGTGGAAACCAAACGCAACTGAGTCGTCTGCGGGAATTGCGAGTTCAGTTGTGATCAGGTGGCAGTGGAGAGTATTCGGTCCCATTCATGGATAATTTAATCTTATCGGCAAGCCTTTCAGAAACCGATTTACGACCAGTTCTCGATGTTGGTTGGTCGAACAAGTTACATATTATCATGTGACAATACAGCGAGTCTACGTCTACGCAGGCTAGATCTCGCATTTTCTGCATTGCTCATCCATTCTTATGCTGTAGTTCTCAGAGTCTAAGTTGATCGTGCTATGCTTACTGCCGAGTGTTTTTTTAGAATCAACACAACACCTATTAGCTAGTAATAAGACTCCCATCGGTAGTAGTCATCTTCCTCTGAGTTCTCTTCGTCCGAGTCTAAATCCGGCACCTTGACCTCAAACTCCCATACAAGCCCTTCATCCCGCAAAGCTTTGATCTTGGCGAAAAAATCATCGTTGAGGAGATATTCTGCCTCAACTCTGCACCGCTTAAGCTTGGCGAAGCCGTTGTCCTCCTGCCATCGAGTAGAAATCATGCGGAAGAGAGCCGGCTCCTTCAATTTTTTGGTGCCGCTGAGGAGTTCGAGCGACTGGACCGCAGGCACCAGTTTTCCATCGGACAGTGCTTGTAACAGCTTGTCGTCGATCACTTCAGCGAGGCCATTGTCAGCAATGCTCAACTCGGTGAGTTTGGGCAGGCACCGGAGGATGCGGAGGAGCGGCGTGTCCGTTATATTTCCGACAACCAAGTTGGTTATCGAAGGATTGTTCGTTAGGAACTTTTCGAGGGCAGTGGCAACTTGCTCAGACACCCATGCTTCGGGCCCAAACTCCACTTCGAAGCGCTTCAAGGCAGGAAGCATTAGCGCCTCGAGCGCAGGACAGAGTGATCCGAAAGTGGCGATAGGAAGTACGTGCAAATCCAGCTTTTCGAGTGCTGGCAGTGTTATTTTGGGGTGCGTAAACTTGATCTCCGCGTGGGTCAACAAAACTGCCAGTGAGAGGGAAACTAAGTTTTGGCAGAGGACCAGAGTCGCGAATGTGCTGTCGAGAGTATCAAGTTCGATAGTGAGGTCCTTAAGTTGAGCCCATGGAAGGGGGAGAAGAACGGAAACAGGTTTGCTCAGTTTATGCAGCCTAATTATGGCCTGTGAGAGGCGAGGGGCGACCGAAAAAAGTCTGAGAGGCGGCCCTTTCCAAGGCTGCTCGCGCATGAGCGCGAGCTCGAAGTGCAATTTGGTCAGGTTGGTGAGATAGCCTGGGGACAGCCCAGCAAGATCCGTGAGTTCACTTGGTGCATGAACTATGGCGACAACCTCCCCCCATCTGTCCATCGTGTCTCCAAAACCAGAGGCAACCATATCCGAGAGGCCGTCGTTTCCTGGCTCCTCATCCTCGTCCGAGAACGAGTCATAGTCTTCGTCATCAGAGTCCTCTCCGTTTGGAGACGTAATAATTACTCGGAAAGTGCAGGGTTTGGAGCGGTCGAGAAAGCGTTGTGTTTTGGCGTTGAGAGGGTAGCCCAATATGTCGAAGTATTCCAAAACCCAGAGTTGCGGTGTCTCCAACGCGATCTCTCTAAACCGAGTGCACACGGAAGCAAGCCCAGTCACATAGCTCATCCTTCCTGTATTGTTTTCTCGATTCGGAACCGTCAGCAAAAGCCCAATTTGCATGATTTCTGAGATCAACTCGAAGGGCATTTCGAGGATTCGCGCCGCCTGAGGTTTCCTTGAAGCTTCCAGCTTGGCTGAAGATGTAGGCGTGGACATTGGACAAAACGTGGATGAAGGATGAAGAAAAAAAGTATTCGCTGATCAATCATCATTGTTCGTATCATCCATAACCTTGATCATGAACTTGACGTTCATCGACTACTGTTTTCCTATCCCCTTACGAGTGCTTTCGCAGCTCTTCCTCTGTCCACTCCCATAACGTCTTGGCAAGAGCTGTGTTCAAGCCAGCGCCTTCCAAGGCCTCTTTCCCAACTGGCTCATAGAACTTGCCGCTCTGGACCAACTCCGAGCTTGCTGTCGCTGCCCATAGCGGATTCTTTACCCCTTCGACGAGCGGCTTGCCATGCTTCGGTGCCAGGACAGTCTGCAGCATCTTCATCTGCTCGTCGCCTGGCTCGCGTGAAAACAACTCAGTTGTTACCGCACCTGGGTCAACCGAAACAGTCGTGAACTGTGGGTGGCGTTTGGCGAACTCCTGTGCGTAAAGCAAGTTGGCCAGCTTGGATTGGGTGTATCTCTGCACGGGGCTGACGACGTTGGGGTCGAGAATCTTTGCCGCGTCTTGGAGCGTGTCGAATTGGATTGTCCCGGAAGTCACGTGCTTGTAGCCGACGGAGGAGAGGCTCACAACGCGAACGTCGGCAGCTGGCACGGTCTCTGCAGTCTTCGACAACAAGGGCGTCAGCAGCTTGAGAAGCAAAGCATGCCCCTGGTTGAAACGGTCGTCATATTCTCCCACGCATCACAAGTTTGATACGAACCAAGTGGTTGGTTGCGAACTGGATTTCGTAACCGTCGACAGACACCGCTGGCGGACAACCCATCATTCCCGCATTGAGGAACAAGATGTCCAACCTTGTTGTGGAGCGAATGAAGGCATCTGCGGTAGCTTTGACTGAAGCAAACGACGAGAGGTCGAGATTCAACAGCGACACCTTTGTTTCTGGGGAAGCTTGGCCTTTCACATCCGAGAGTGCGGCTTGACCTTTCGCGTCATCCCGAGCCGTGAGCCACACTTCTGCGGGCCTATGCTTGACGAGATTCAGCGCGTACTCCTTCCCCAGACCAGTATTAGCGCCGGTGATGAGGATAACTCTGCCGGATAGTGAGGGTATGTCCTTAGACGGGCTGAATGTGATCCCAGCCATTATTTTCGCTGCGGTCTACATATGCCGTGCCAACTCTCCACCTTTATACACCCTCTTTCGGCCGTCAGTCACGGAGCAATTACGCAGGGTACACCGGCGCGGGCGTGATAAGATAGTGCTTATCTCGCTTATATAACCATCAACTCCCTTTTTTTAACCCCAACAATATGGGCATTCACTACTACGACGAAAGTCCCAGCGGTCCTGACGAGCAAACCGGTCGCTTGACCCCCTGCTTGCCGCTACTTCAGCACAACATACCGTTTGCGATCTACGGCGAAGATGCGCTGTCTATCGTGCATCGCGTGCCTGCCGTTTTAGACGGAGTGTGCCAACATCTCTTGGTCCCTGATGTCTATTTCAACGAAGCGGCGAGAATCATGTCCAAGGGTTCATACTCTTTAGCCCTCCAAGACGACTATTCCCTGTGGCTGGAATCATCTTTGCTGAACGACACCGAATTGCATGCATTTGACCTGCAAAATAGCTCTGCGTTACTTCTTCACCATAGTCCAGAGGAGGCAGAGGAAATGGTAAGAACAGCCCATCCACATCTACTGCTTGATTATAATGCTCCGCAGAGTATTCCCCCGCGCATCTTCGTCCACAAACAATCCGTCTTCCACTTCGACATCAACGACCCCTCGTCGACCATGCTCAATCCGGAGCCTCCAGATCCGATATTCCGACCCATTTTATTTCCCAGTCTCCCTGGCTTTCTCGATAGCAGTGTCGCGAGCTATCTCAACCTCCCGTCCCTCCCTCCCGGCGGCTATCCTCATGCCATGCTCCTGGAGAAACTCACCACTTGGATTGGCTACCTCCTCCAATACACATTTCCTGGCCGCGGTGTTCATCACAACGAGGCGGAAGAAAGCCTCGATCGCATCATCACCCCTGCTGTCCTCCAAGTTCTCTCGCAGACGAAAGCGGAGAGGCAGCCGACGCTAGTCCGGTTCGTCACGATGATGAAAGGGCCGGGAACCAAGATGTTGCTGCTGGAATGGAGTGACCTTCGACGAGAGCGATTGTCAGCATGAGTGTTGTTTTGCATCATAACGATGTTGACTGATCGTTCCGTAGGGGGAAGAATAAGATTACTAGTAGCACGGAGTATGGACTCTCGAAAATGTTTCCGACGATGGCCAGCCCACGCGCTATGGCAGATTATGCACGAATAAAAGGACTCAATCCGCCATTCCTAACACCGTACAGCTTTGGATCTTACCTCGTCAGTTTACTCATGCTTTTCAGACAAATCATACGCCGAACCGCCCAAAAACCTGCGGAGATGCAATGGGGAATTTTACCTCGGTACTTGGGTCGGGCCAAAACCTCGTTACGCTTGTAGATTGTCTTGGCCAAGACTGACCAGCTCGGTTATTACAACTTGTTCGTGCTCTAGTCGAAACTGAAGGGTGATTGTACAATTGAACACAACATGCAACCTGACTGATGGAAAACATGAGAGCAATCCGTCCGATGGATAGTAGGCAATGTCTAGGGCGACGACGACGATGCGGCCTCAATCTCCGCCTTCTTCTGCTTCCAGCGCTCACTAACGAGCTTGCGACTGGGGGGGCTATGAGCGAAACAGGATTCAAATGGAGCCCAACACACACCGTTCCACCGCATCCGGCTGAATGGCTTGCAGATGAATCATTTGCTCGGCCTGGTATTGGAAGCGTGGTCAGAGAGAGTGAGCTAGAGAGTAACTCCTTGACGCACGAAGAACTTCTGCCACTCAGACGGCTTGTGTTTCTTTGCAGTCGATGTGCGCTCTGTTACCAACGCGGTAAGTCGGGGGCAACACGCGGGACTACGATAACATACTCTTCTTCTTCGCAGAGGCGGATGCGGAGATCGACTTCAAGTTGGTTGCTGTTGTAGGATTGGCCGGGGTCTTCTTGCCAGTGGTGACCATTCTGCTGCTGCCCGCATCCTCAGACCACGATGAAGAGAAAATAAGGGCGGTGGCTCACTAGTACTGTAGAGGCTAAGGGCTATGTCGATGGTGGTGGTGGTCGGAAGGTAAGGGCGCTGTTCTTCCAACGACCGCTTTTATAGGTCCGCTGTCATTTTATGTAAAATCACGCCTCCCCAAAAGATGTCGAAAAAGTGCTTCCCATCCGATTTTCGCACCAACAACGATGGGGGCAGGACCAATATGTGCTCATGCACGTCGAGAGACGCGTAAATGACCCGAAATTGACGTTCAAGACAATTTGTGGAAACAGAGCGTGACCGTGTTGGTTGATCAACAGTTATCTACGCGCGATATTGGATCTTGAAGATCTTAACCGTGGCGCTTCCCTCAACGCCCTCAACAAACATATCATGGCTCGTGGGTTCAGGATCAATGTCTTCGAGTACCAGGTCATTGACATCTAGATATGGCCCATGAGAATTCAAGAACAAGCAAGTGCTGTTGAAACCTACTTGCGACAGCATCAAGAAATTTCTGCATTGTGGCCGGGTTCCTTAACGTGAGCGCGATAATTGCCATGGAACGAGGTTTCGGACGAAGAGAAAGGCGGAGGATGGCAACAAGTGGAGGAATGAGCTCTGGATCAAAGACCTGTTTCCGTCAACTTCGTGTCTGCACACAGGAATGGCCTTACGATGTCCGCCCCGAGAATGAGTTCAGGCGCTATTTCGTCGAGGAGCGAAGTGACAGGCGCAAGTCCTTCTAAGGCTGCTGACCAGTCTAAAGAGCAGCAGCGGACATGAGGATGGGATGACGAGAGGTCTATAGGTCTGTACAATGAGAAACAAGTATTAGCTGGAGCGAATGAGCGCACTGCACGTAAGCTTGATGTTGTCCTGACATCTTGAAAGTACCGTTTCGTTGATATCGGTCAACCACAAAGCGCCATAAGCGCCTTGGAGGTGTTGAATAGTAGCCACAATGCAGCCTAAGAATCCAATACCAGCGCCGAGTTCCAAAACCCTTTTATGCTGGACAATATCTGTTGGGTTTTCAGCTTGAAAAAGACTCGCTGTGGAAGAAACAATGTACCGGGGTTGGTGATCAGGTGTTGGGCAAGGACGAGGCTAGCGAGCCACGTTCGCATTCCAGTAGTCCCTCCTTCAATCATTGTCCTCGACTCGAGGAGTGTTGTCTTTTGGTGCGCAGTGGTAATTTCTGAGCCCAACGGCTTCCAAAAGTGCGTAATGTAACTTTGCGACGGCGGGCCCGATTGCGATGTCCTGCAACTCATTTTAGCGTATGGGAGGAGCGTTATATTGGACCACCCAACGTATTCAGTAAGGCCAAATAGTGGTCGTATATTCGAGAATCGATTTCGAAGTCTGACTGCACACCGGAAATGAGTCCACACAAAACACGACATGCAAAACAACAAACGTCAGCAAGTTTTCTCTCAAGTTGCGCAATGGTCCATTTCCAGAATGTCTTCTGGTATTGTTCAGACGGCGGGAAAGCCTCAAAGTGTGGATCTAGTAGGAGCTGATTAAGAAAGAAGTCGTGCAGGAGCTCCAGCGGCAAAGTTGACGGAAAATTCAAATGCTGCGGTGGGTAGAGTCCCGCATAACCGCGTAGGATGTTGAATAATTCGCTTTCCATTGTCGTAGGAGAATTCAGGATTTTTGGTCGTGTGACCATGTGACAGGTTATGTCCAGGCTGCGCGTTGACTCTTCTTTTGCGCGCCAATTCACGCGTCCATTGAGCGAATCACGTCTTCCAACCCAAGATCTTAGCTCTCTAGAAGCTTCGGAATCGTCTACGGAGGCGACAGAAACGTTACGGGCTCTTCTTGCATCATTAAAGGCCCCAGTTTCTCAAAAAGCTGTCGATGACGCACTCGAATACCTCGCAACAACTTCGTCGAGTTTTGCTGGAGATGTTCTGGATGATAAGCTAAGGGCCGCAGTAGTGGACCAAGTCGCCGTTGGGTTGTATGCTCGGAGCCTGGACGAGTATTTGAACGAGGCAACCGAAATCGAGGCTGAAGCCGAGTGGTGGAGTAATGTCGAGCGCTCTACAGTCAACATTGTCTGGTTTTTTCTCCAAAGTACGTTTTCAGCACACTCAAGCGCTTTTTCTAATCGCCATAGCGCTGCCTGAGCGAATAACCCGGGTTTTCCGTACAATTCTCCAGACGCTTCGGGAGCAACAACTGCCGCTCCAAGCATCTTCGTTCTCCCCAGCCTCGCTACTCCGCCTCTTTCCTTCGACCGCATTCCAGCCTTCTGCACTGACGCGGGCCTTCTTTCCACATCTGGATGACCAGCAGATGCTCGTTTCCGTTGTCTGGACCCGTCCCTCCTCCACAACCCCTAGATTTATCCACTCCATCTGGTCCGCACTATTTCTCCCGCTCCATCTCACACGAGAAGAATGCAAACTCAAACGCCGTCAACTGGAGAACCTACGAGACAAACGTGCTGAACAACTAGGACGACTAGCGGAGCTGCGAACGCTGGCCTCTACGTCAGACAAATTCCCCAGCTCACGATTGAAGGCCGTCATCTCAAATACGCCATATTCAACAGAAAATGCGGAACACATTCAAGATATTGCTCTCACTCTCCTACCATCCCATGTCGCAGACCACCACACACAACTCGGACCGCTGAAGCGACCTTCTCGCCTCACTCTCATATGGCCCAAACTCGTGTTTTACCCACCCTTGTTGCTCTTTACGGTCAGGTCGCTGTACAAATCGCGCGCGTCTTTGGCGCAACTTGCTCTTGATGCAAAGGAAACACTGGAAGGGTTCATCAAGAACTCGCTCGTGGACCCACTCAAAGAAGTGCTCAAAACCGTTCGGACGGGTGGCGAAGACGGTGTCATCGTAAGGAGAGAAGGAGTCATGGCAGATTTGGATGTGCGTTTGTTTTGTTTGTTTGTGCGTTTATAACTTGACGATTTTTAGTCTCTGGAGCGAATGGCGCTGTCGCTTGCACGCGACCAGCTCAATTACACCTCCAGCCAGCTCGAAGCTCTGTCCAAACAAATCCGGGTAGGAGACCTCACACCTGTGCTTCAGCTATACGAAGAGGATATCAAGCGACCAGTCAAATCTGCGCTGACCGGCACACTCCTTCGGTCACTCTTCATCCAGGTCCAAAAGGCCAAGGTGTGTGTCGCATTTCAAGTCGGAACAGCAATTAAATATTTCTGCAGGTCGATATCGACCAAGCGCTCTCTGGAATCGACAAGTTGCTCAAGTCGCAGGAGTTAACGTTCGCGTTTGTTGGCCTCGCCCCCGCACTGGTAATAGTTGCACTTGCAACCAACTCCGTCTCGCGCATGTGGCGAGGGGCGTCTGGCCATGGTCGATTTGGCCATAGTAGGCAACGAGCGGTGGTTTGGAGCGCCATGCGGTGAGTTCGATACTTGTTACTTCGAATTAACTGAAACAATATCTAGCCGAATTGAACGTCTTTTGGTATCGTCTAAATCGACAATTCTCGGCGACCACGCAATTGGAATGCTCCTCATATCCGTAACTCGGTTGCGAGTATATGCTGAAACAAGTCTACCTGCCGGCTCACGACTAAGGGAAGGTTTTCTCGAGGATGTTCGTGATTTGGAGGACCCAGCGATGCGGAGAGAAGAGAAGTTGCGAGTTGTTGAACGGATGTGGAGGTGTTGGGGTGAAACATTGGGTTGGAGCTTAGTTGCGTCTGAAGGACACCTTATTTTATAATCTTATCCGCCACCAATCCTTTGCTCGATAGCATGAAGATCTTAAGGAGTTGGTAGAAGAAGCCCGCAGAGCATAGTCGTATTTCATCATGTCATAGAACAGCAAGCAAGCATAACACCAAACAACCTCGGCGCTCAGGCAGAGATGGTAACCTCGACTTCGACGCCAGGCTCCAAGCTAATGCTGGTCTGAGCAGAATATTAGTCCTCAGTGAACGACGACAAAACAAGCAGACGCACGATTTGCTTGACGATTTCACTGGACGAGTGGAGGTCGATGAGACGTTTGTGCACCTTCAGTTCGTAGCGGTCCCAGGTTTTCGAACCCTCACCGCAAGGGGTCTTACGGGTGGTGATGCGGAGGACTTTGGTGGGGAGACGGACGGGGCCCTTGACACGGAGCTGCTTGTCCTTTGCCCGGTTAATCAGGTCGCCAGTGACTGTAAAAATGGTTAATAAGTAGTTAGCATATCCATTGAACGACATACACTTCTCGAGGTTCTTGACGTTGCTGCTGGTCAATGTGATGCGGATTTTGTGGAGTTTGACTCCGGGGACTGGTGCCCCAGTCGCGTCGTATTCTTTTTCACCCTTAGCGACGTAACTCATGGTTATAGAGTCAGGAGGTGACTGTGCTGAGCGTTAGACACTGCAGGGCCGCGAAACCTCCTTTGGTCGACGCACCTAAAGGTTTTCTTGAGAAAAGGTCAGTTGTGACGGTCACGGGAAAATCACGTGGAATAACTTGATCATTGATTAGATACAGGATTGGTGGCAACGGCGACCTGCAGCTGTTCTAAGGCAGCTAAATCTTCAGCACGATCGTCGTCGGCCGGAGATAGTACATATATCCTTGTCCTTCCCATTGGCACCCCATAGAGAAACTTTTTGGGCTCCTTCTCCTCAGAGTCCGTCCCACTGGCAACTGTGATGTTCCACGTAAATTCCAGTAATAATTTCAATGACTTGCGGAGTCGTCGCAGAACATGGCACCACTGCCCATCGGGAAGTGCTACGAGACAGTTCTCTAGCTCGAGTCGCCGCAAAGATAACCGATGGTTGATAATGAATTGTTCCGCTGTAAGGCGCTGGCCACGTTCTACGGAAGGCCCCAGCTCGTCGGCCTCCATGGCCGCAAACACAATTTTTGAGAGTTTTAGGTGGCTTAGAAGTGGGAAGCGGTATGCCTCGAAGCGATATGGTGCGGTAGGGCCCAGAAAGTCAAGGGTTCCCAGCTCGAGCGAAGTGATATTGTTCGTCGGCGATAATATGTTCATCAGGTTTTGGTTGAATTGGAGGACTTGAGCTGGAATGCGTCGCATCTGGAACAACGACACTATGTTGATAGAGAGTGTTGTCAGAGGACGGAACAATTCCAGGAATGGGTGGTCTGGGGTTATCGTCTCGTCGAGAAACGACACCATTGCGCCGATATTCAAGCGCCGTAAGTTGGGGAAAGACTGTTGCGCAAGCTCCCGCCAGAAGGACACTTGGATGGTGACATAGTATGACATGTAGATCTCGTATTCATCTGGAGTACTACCGGGGAAAAAGTCGAGGTTGAGGGATGACAAGTTTGGGAATCGGCTGAGCCTGCTAAACGCGCTTTCGATGCTGGGTAAGGTGCCTTTTACTATGAGCGATATAAAACATCTAGAAGGACGCCAGACTCACTGTCTGCACCCATATCAAAGTGGTCGGGGTCTTTTCCGTCAAACACAACGCTTTCAACTCCCTCGAGGATTTCGCTATTGGAACGTAAGATCGCGTCGGTATTGAGGGGATACATACTCGTCGTTGCATTCGTCTAACATAGTGTGAAATCGTCGAACACTAGGGTACCGGTCATGCACCACGATTTCCTGGAAAGCCTGGCGCGTCACGACATCCTTGAAGCGGCGTTGAACCAGTCGTAGGCTTAGCAGCTCGGTATGGTGGACGAAGGTTGCAATTTCGCCCAGGAGCTCCAGCGGCAGAGAATCCATCACTGTCCAGCAGATTCCAGAGAATTCCAGTTTGAGGTTCGGAAGGTACGGTCACGCGTCAGTCACACTCGTGACCGAATAGGCGCGTCTTGCTGACTAACGCAAGGGTATACGTCTACCTTCCTTTCTAACCACCATGTCGACGGATGTCTTCGTCCAATCCTTCACCCATGTCAAAGGACCCCCAAAGCAAGAGGCCCGGGCTCTCGAGATGCTTAAACGAGTAGCGTCTCTTGTCAAACCTATCATGCGAAAGCACGGTTGGGTTTTACCAACGCTCTCTGAATTCTTCCCGGCGCAATCGAATCTACTGGGTCTTAGTGCGCACCTCTGGGCTCTCTCGAAGTCGGAAATCTGACCTGTTTTGTTACAGATGTCAATGGAGGCCAGAAGATATTGTTACGGCTAAGACCATCGCATGCCCCAGACACATTCCTCGAGGAGGCAGACGTTGTTCAGACGATGCTCCATGAGGTTCGCAATCTTAGTTTCCGTCTACAATAGCTTCTAACACAATGCTCTAGCTAACGCACAATGTCCACGGACCTCACGACGAAAAGTTCTACAAGTTTCTATCGGGTTTACAGGAAGAATATGATGCCCTTCAGCGATCTGGATACGCTGGAGAAGGCTTTTATAGCAAAGGCAACAGGTTGGGGACGAACATCTCCCACAACTTGCCCCCGCATCTGGCGAGAAGTAAAGCTATCGAGGCAGCGGAGAAGCGCAAACAAACCGCACAAGTCCTTGGTGGAGGCGGGCGACGTCTTGGAACCGGCCGATTGAATGTAGCGAATATGTCGCCCAGAGAGCTTGCTGCGCGGGTCAGTCAAGTTTACCTCTCTACTTGTTCGGCTTGACAGGTGTGATAGGCAGCAGAGCTTCGTGCTCGAGACGAGAAAGAGTGTGGATCAGGAGAAATGGCCCAGAGGGAAGCAGAAAAGGCTGCAAATGAGAGCGTCAAGCACGACGTTATCGACCTGACTGTTGATTCAGACGATGAAGTAATTGTTACTTCAGCGCCAACGACAACAAAACCTGTTACTTCTTCAAAGAACAACCCTGTCATCCGAGCTGCATCGAAACTCGTTCGACCCACCAAGCCCGAACCTACAAGTCAATGGACATGCGAGGTCTGCACATTAATCAATTCCTCGAAGGCCACACAATGCGACGCATGCTTATCGAACAGGCCACCTAATGAGGCCGATGGTTGGGGTTGCCTTTTCTGCGGAGAAACTGGAATGCCACACGAGTTTTGGAGTTGTCGGTCGTGTGGGGCAATCAAGCCAACGTCTACTGTCTGAAGTTTGGTATTCTTTGTTTGTTGTGTATTGTTAACTACTGTGTATCATAGTGTCGCATTGAATTGAACAGTCCTTGACAATGTTCATAGCATACTCATCGTCACTCTCGGGGGAGTCGAAGTTGATTCGGAGGAATGAAAATACGAGTCACAGAGTTCAGTCTTGCATGACCGTTCACAAAGTTGCATTGAGAAACTACACTAATTGCGGACGTCTCCTAGCACCATTACCCATGTCCCTTACACGTTACAGCTCAGTCCCCAACAGCTTCGTGTCTTGAAGCTCATCGCTATAAAATCAGCCCCAAGTAGATCCGCCATGGAGAATTGAGTGGGAGTGAGGAGAAGCGACGCATCGTCCGAGTACGCCCGACACCGCCGTGGCGGCCGACACGGGTAAAGCGAACGGGCAGCGCCCCTCCCCGACTCAAACTCTCTTGCACTTAAAAGTACCGGCTCCATTCGAGTGTGGCTGCTCACACGGCACACGGGGGATTCGGAGACGTCCGCAGATACAAAAAAAAAGAAAGGTTACTCCAGTTACACTGATAGAGACTTTAATTGAGGTAGTGAATGAGGTATTTGAGACTGTGCTTACGTGGGATAACTGGGAGCAGTGGCTAGACCAGGATAGACATAGTCGAAGATCGCCAGGCGTAGGGTAGATCGTTTTGCCTCCAAGAGGATGGTGAAGAAGCTACGAGATGGAAAAGGGCTTGTCATTGTCGGCCACGGGAGGTGGATAACTGACCGTATGGGTGGTGATGGTGGTTGAGAAGACAGAGGCACTGGAGTGGCGGTACCGCGGAGGTAGCAAGTGGGTTTCACGATCGTAGGCTCCACAGTTTACATCCGAGTGAGACCAGGAATGAATCTGTCGGCAAGGTTAGGTCGTAAAATGGGACGACAATAAGACCAAAGTTTACCACTGTTAACGGAGTTGGGAGATTCGCTCAAACCCCATCAAACAACATCCTCCGAGTCCTATAGTCCCCTGGTCAAGGTGATTTAGAATGCAGTTTCGAGTGGGCAGAATGCTCCGTTCAGTCGGGGCACGTCGTGGTTGAAGGAAGAAAAGCAGTTTGGCGTGACGTATGTGACCGGCTGCCGATTAGATTCTACTAGATTACTTCGAGATAATCACCAGTCACAGTTCACGTGACAATTCCAGCTTTTCAGACTCTTCTTGCAGCAAGTGCAAGGAATGCAGCAGCATCATTCCTCGTACATGGACATCCCATGGGGACATCGATTTTCACAACAACGTGTAGGCTGCCGAGAAACTAGATTCAGACATCATATGTCTTTGGCCCTTGGCCATCGTCGACGTACGATTTCTCATCTGAGACCTCTTTGCGGAACACGTCCATCCAGGTGACGCGTTCGTCCTTGCGTTTCACCACGCCTACACATTCTATGGGCAACTCTCCTTCACAAAGCCTCAGCCCCACATACCCCACCTCGCGCTGGGCGGGACTTCCCGATGACTGTCTGGCCGAAGTTTGTTTATTCTCACATGCTTAACCGCCAAATTTGACGCGCCTTGCAGATCCTCAAACTTGTCGATGGTTTCGACCTTCTTTCCATCGAACGCTGCTGTTTATATCTCAGCCTCTTTCTGCGGGACCCATCTTCTACCTTTATATGGCGAGCTGTTATTCGTAATGGCACTGCACTTTGCCTGCCTCCGTGTCCCCCCGACCTTGGCCCCAGACACTATATCCACCTCGCCTTTGGGTGCTTCTGTCTGGAAAGTTAGCTTTTTTATCCTCGTTCTCGCCACTCAACGAATTTTAGGAATGCGGGGCACTATCAGCTAGCACAACTTACTGGATGCTGCGGACTCGCCTCTGCTCAAAATGCAAAAAGACGCTGTAAGCATCGCTTTAGGCAATTGTTTCCGACCTGAGATTCATTCAGCATTAAACGATGTAATAAACGGAATCCACCTCAACTTTGGTTTGTCCAAGACCGAGACATTTCCTTTGAGGATCTTGTTCGTACACGGCCCTCCTCTCATCGTACGTCGGTTATCAACACCTCCACAGCGAACCTAATTCGGGACAGGACGTCAAATCGAGTACCTTCGCAGCGAAATAATACACATCCGGGTGTCGATAGCCACGAAAACGGACCGGGAACAGAAGCAATGGCTCGGCGAACGGAAAAGCTCCGTCAAGGCGATTCTGGATGTAAGTGTGTGGTGTGTCTTGTTGTCCTTGATGACATTGTTCTCTGTTCTAGCACGCCCTCCAGACGTCGATGTTCGAGGCCCATTTGAGGGACCGGAGAGAGATCATAATGAAAGCCAGGGCCGTCCTGTAATTGCTCTCGTTCTCCATCATTATTCGATCTCATACAGATTTCAGCATTCGTAAGAAGCTGTTCACCCTGGGTTGGGGAGAATGGATTCAAACGATGCCGGCCTCGGAATTTGATGACCACCCACTCGTCCGGTTGCCTGCGCCTCTGACGCCAACTGGTACGCTCTCGCTTATCTCATGTGGCGAGTTACTAACTATTACTCTACCGTTAGAATGGCAAGAAATCCGAGCACCTCTGGAGGGCTATATGGAGGAGATCAAGGAGCGTCTGGCCGTGGAACACCAAGAGGAGCTCCGTCGCGAAGAGGCACGACGATATAAAGAGGCGCAGGCCTCTCTAGATCGTTGGCAAAACCCGAATAAAAAGCAGAAGAAAAAGAAGAATCCCAGCGGCTTTGTGTTTGTCTCCGTTTCATAAGCAGCCTTCTACTAGGACTAACATTTTTACTAGTTGAGTTTGGGGTCGATGTGGAGGCATGGGAGGCGGGTATCATCGTCGTTCGAAAAGTGTGTTTATAGCTTGGATTTGTATTGTGCGAACACTAGAGTAGTCGCAATATCTTGGGTGATCTAATTGGCACGTCGCATTTGTCACACCAAACTGCTTTTCTTCCTTCAACCACGAAGTGCTCCAACTGAACGGAGCATTCTGCCCACTCGAAACTGCATTCTAAATCACCTATGCCACTTCTCGGGGGGCTATAGGACTCGGAGGATGCTGTTAGACCGGGAGTTCGACGTTCACAGTGGTAAACGTTATGCTTGTTGTCCCATTTTACGACCTAACCTTGCCGACAGATTCATTCCTGGTCTCACTCGGATGTAAACTGTGGAGCCTACGATCGTGAAACCCACTTGCTACCTCCGCGGTACCGCCACTCCAGTGCCTCTTTCTTCTCAACCACCATCACCACCCATACGGTCAGTCATCCACCTCCCGTGGCCGACAATGACAAGCCCTTTTCCATCTCTCAGCTTCTTCGCCATCCTCTCGGAGGCAAAACGATCTACCCTACGCCTGGCGATCTTCGACTATGTCTATCCTGCTCTAGCCACTGCTCCCAGTTATCCCACGTAAGCATAGTCTCAAATACCCCATTCACTACCTCAATTAAAGTCTCTATCAGTGTAACTGGAGTAACCTTTCTTTTTTTTGTATCTGCGGACGTCTCCGAATCCCCCGTGTGCCGTGTGAGCAGCCACACTCGAATGGAGCCAGTACTTTTAAGTGCAAGAGAGTTTGAGTCGGGGAGGGGCGCTGCCCGTTCGCTTTACCCGTGTCGGCCGCCACGGCGGTGTCGGGCGTACTCGGACGATGCGTCGCTTCTCCTCACTCCCACTCAATTCTCCATGGCGGATCTACTTGGGGCTGATTTTATAGCGATGAGCTTCAAGACACGAAGCTGTTGGGGACTGAGCTGTAACGTGTAAGGGACATGGGTAATGGTGCTAGGAGACGTCCGCAATTAGTGTAGTTTCTCAATGCAACTTTGTGAACGGTCATGCAAGACTGAACCCTGTGACTCGTATTTTCATTCCTCCGAATCAACTTCGACTTCTCCCCTGGTAGTGCGCCAGACGAATACGAGATCTACATGTTGTACTTCCATTCAAGTGGCCTTCTGGGAGCTTGCGCAACATCTTTTGAAGCTTGAATATCGGCCCGAGCCCCGGGCCGGTGACGAAAACGTCTCATCGTTGATCTCAACCCTCACACTGCACAATGGTTTACTGCTTGTCGTCCCATTTTGCTACTTGACTGTGTCGATTCCTCTTGGTGTCACCTGGATCTGAACTTTGGAGCCTACGATCGTAAAGCACATACCTGCTTCTTCCGCGGTACCGCCACTACAGTCTCTCTTTCTTTTCGACCACCACCACCCACCCGGTCAATCAACCACTTCGTCCACTGTTGTGCCCTTCGCTGTGCTTTATACCGACTTCCTTCCAGCTCGATCGGACTGTCTTTCTCGAGTATCAGATGTTTTGTCGGCCTTGCCGTTGGCCAAGGTCACTGTTTCTTCCTTTCGTCCACTGTTTTGATTTTACCGGCTTCATTCAGCTCCATTCAATTGTCTTTTCGAGAGTATCGAACACTTTCCGGTTTTGCCAGGCTGCAATCGAGTCGACAACGAGCCCGTTGACTAAGGTCACTGCTTATTCCTTTTCGTCCTCGTTCTAATACTCAATCTTAGGCATAGTATAAAAATGTATCCACCCTTCCACTTCTGGTGACGAGGCTTCACTCCACGGCAGTCCTCAGGGTCACTTGCCTCCTTATACCCAAAACGAGTGCTTCGCTCGTCGGGGAGTGCCGGCGCATTGGTGCACGGAATTTACCGTGCCGAGATCTTGCGATGTGCCGTCTCGTTAACCTCGACGTGTGGTCACTCGACGCCGACTTTGATGACGCCTTTGGCTCTGGGGAGGCCTGCGCCACTTTGGTAATGCTGCAAGTTGGACATACTAGTTCTTCTTACCAAGAACGAGTGTTTCTTGGTAGCAAGAACTAGTATGTGTTGCTACGCGATCCATCACACTTGTCTAGAGAACTTACTGTAATCTGCTCAATTTATTTTGACCTCATCTCTTCAGTTGTCCCCCACCACTTGCTCTTTTGTCTGTTGGAGTGGGAACAGCGACCATAAACTGAACTTGTTGGGTGGGTATCGGAGCTTCGTCCTGAAACAACTAGTTGCTATCGTCCGAGTGACCTTTGCCTCGAACTTCAATGGTTCCAGTGAACCGCCTCCGAAATCTTGTTTTCTATTGAGTAAGCGGCACATTATGGTTGACGAGAACAGCCAAAAGAAAGTACAATGTCGTTTAGTTCGCTGGAGGACGAATTGATAAAGGATAGGCGGTCAACTCGGACATGGGATGAGTGTTGCTTGCCAATGAGAGACTTGTAATGCGAAGGGTATTATTCCATAGAAAGTTACACGACAAACGTCGGACACGAAATACTGTGCATCTTTAGAAGATAGCACGGACTAGACCACCTCCAATCGCCGCGCCTATAAATAGGTCAGCGAAGAGTGATATGATCAAGCAGAATTAGACATACCAGCGCCAAAGCCAACACCACCAGCCGCTGAATGAGCCATCTGGAGGGAAGTATTGAGAATACGTAGCAATGAGGAGAGAAGAAAGGCTCTAACAGTTTCGCCGTATTTTCCGTACTTGCTCTTCTTCTCCTGTTGGCCCTGGACGTCTTGCTGGAGGCCAATCGAGTTGGTCGGTCCAGTTGGCGCTATGTTCTGAGGGGGAGGGGCATCTCGGCCGTGATGCGCGGCCATAAATGGCTTATAAGGCTTCTTAGAGACGGGAGGAACATTGCGCGCCGGGGGTTGGGGTGCCGAGGCAATCTTTTCGACATAAGCGCTGGGGAAGAGTGCTTCTTTCCCGTTATGCCTGCCCAACCACCAGTCTTTTAATTCATGAGTGAAAGGGCAGAGTAGTATGCGTCGATAGACACACCTGCATTCTCCTCCTTGACTATTTCGATGATATCTCCTTTGCTGAACGAGAGATCGTCTCCTTCTTGACCATTTTCGTTGTAGGGCCAGATAGCACGGCCTTGCATCGTCACAGGGGCCTGGTAAGGCGATGGTGTGTGAGCAGGGGTCGGCATTGACATTGCAGGCGCATTGGAGCTCGACGGGAGCTTCTGGAGGAATGCTGCGGCGTCTGCATGAGAGATTTGGTTCTGAGAGACAAGGAAGTTGATGTCGGCCTCAAGACGCGAGACGATGTGGTTCATGAGAGCAGGGTCGGTCATGTTGGCAGGAGGAGAAAGTGCGGGAGGCGGTGTTTCAAAGCCTTCGCGGCCATTTCTTTGTGACTTTGTCACAGTCACAGTCACACTTACTCCCGCCTTGCGACGGTGATGAGCGAACAAGACGAGTCTGCGAGACTATGGAAGGTGAACCGCACCATCCACGAACTCGTCAAGGACAGGGTAATAGTCATGTTTGCGTGTCTTCCCTGCACTTATCAGTTTCAGGGATTCCAGGTTTCTGACGATGAAATCAACATGGACCTCGCTTTTTTCCGAGAACACTTCACGACCAACGGCGCAGTCGAGTAACTGGCTCTCCCCAAAATCCTCTGATAATTGACGCGTCGCAAAGCCGAAACCGCCTCCATTTCTACACCAACGCACGCACAGACGCGAAAGACCAGATTTTCATCTTCTTCTCAGACGAGCGCAACGTGGGAGTAAAGACGATGCGAAAGTGCGTTTAAGTATACTGCTCCTCGCTCTCGTTCGCTTTTGATAATCGTCAGTCCAGGTTGCTGAGCATCCTCGAAGAAAAAACCATCTCACGAGGAGTCATCATATTCCCCTTGACCATGACCTCGGCTGCTCGCAAGGCACGCTTTCTGGCCTTCTCACACAAACGCTTCTGACAGAGCTCCAAGGTCATCACTGCCATGGCCCAACAGTATCGTCTCGAAGAATTCTCTGAATCGGACCTGCTGGTCAACATCACCCACCACACACTTGTTCCCCGCCACGACGTCCTTTCTCTAGAGGAGAAGAAGCAGCTCCTCGAAAAATAGTCTGTACTTTCGCCACTCCACTTTCGTCTTGCCTGATATTTCTTCAAGCCGCCTAAAAGAGACGCAACTGCCCCGCATCCAGGTGGCTGACCCTGTTGCGCGTTACTATGGCCTGCGACGCGGTCAGGTCGTCAAAATCACTCGGCCGAGTGAAACGAGCGGACGTTATGCCAGCTATCGTATATGTTTTTAACTGTGTATCTTTCCTGCTGTTAATCTGTAGCCTTTATCTTATTAAGCTTTGTGGGCAGCAACTAGGACTACTGGAAGGAAAGCCTGTCTTAGAGTTGCAATTTCACCTACACTGTCTCGACCACGTGATCTTCCTCAAAGTTAGACGCGCCAGTCTTGGAGCAACCACGCCGCGTCCTCCTTCTCCATTCCGGCTATCTTTGCTACATCACTGAGCAGCGCGTCATTTGTCGTTCTTGCCAGCGCCTCTTCGGTCATGTTGGAGGTGAAGTACACCAACACGCGATTCAACAAACGGTTGCCCTTCAAGTCGTAGCCTCTGTCGGCCAGACGCGACACTCCGAATTTTTTTCTACGCATGAATGTCATATAATGGAATGCACGTCCAGCGGAAACGTACTCGTTATCATGACCATGCTTGGCACAACACTCTGTCAATTGAGCTTCAATGTAGTTCTCAGTACCGAAGGCGTTGTAGTGAAGATCCTTTGGGGTAAGACCACGCAAGATAACAGCGTCGGTGATGAACCCAAAGCGGTACCGTGGCACCGTTGGTGGAGGGTTGCCCATATAGTTCGCAAGACCAGGGCCAGGGGAAGCAGCCAACACTCTAACGAACCCGCGGTGTGACTTCTCGGGCACCCTAGGACGGGTCCTAGGAAATATGAGCAATGTTGGATTGACACGAGCGCACTGACATTCATGATTCGAGGGATCTCTGGCATGATATTTGGGTTCAGGTCATGAAGTTGTAATGGCCGTGGCGATGTGTGGCCAGTGACCACTATTGTCATACAGACATGTTCACAGTCGTTCGCCGTTGACATATAGCGAAGATGCGTTAGCGTGGGACAGGCCACAATAACAGGAAAACTCAGATTGTGATAGATTGTGATTGTGGGTTCAAGTTGGTTTTGATGATCATGTGATTTTGAGTCACACAATAATGCATGCATATTCTATCCGAGCTCTCCGTTTTCGCCATTATTCTCCAGCCTGTCAACGAGGGACATGGAGAAAGAGTCTCCTGTGTATCAGCAATAACTGTACGATGTGATATCATACGACAGAATCGGACTGATTATGAGAATTCTCATGTTTATTGGACAGAGCACAATTGAGGAGTTACATTGAAAATGACGGGGCATTACTATGCATCACTTTCATATGCTGCAGACCAGTCAGCTGGGATAACACGGTCGTAGCCTAAAAAGGCGCCACAATCGATAGACTTGTCGGCCATCGTTCCATCTGGATAGTAAATCTTTGTAATGGCCGCCTTCAGAATGTGTTGGTGAGCGGCAGGAACCTTTCCCGCCATGACTAGTTGAAGAAAGACTTGCGCACTGATTGTGTAATAGTAGTAAGACAGAGTTAGGTGTTGGGAAAGACTCCTCACACGAAGTCTCGGCAGCCCTTGCAACCGAGACTGGAACCATAGCCAAGGAAGGTCATCTGGTGCAAATTCTTGTTGGCAATGAAGGCGATGAATTCGCCCAACGTCTCGAAGCCCGTCAGGGTGAATTGGAGAGTATTGAGTGACGAGATGGAGCTGTTACTATAGGGCAAAAGTTTGGCATACAGAGTGCCAGGAACAAAACGCTCTGTATCCACATGTGCCCAAGGCTCTTCAAGCTACAAGAGTGTTTAGTACGTGATCGGCGAATCGAGTCAATTCTCACATTATCGAAGTCTATCTCGTCATATTCATCCTCTTCGTTAGTGACATCCATGGATAGACGCACAGCTTCCACACTCTTTTCAGTCTCTTCAGATGGCTTAGGCTCGTCGGATTTGATGGGCAGATGCAAGACAACATGGTTTTTTTTGACTACAAAACCTTCGTCGTCAGGAATATTCAGAAACTCGACGCAGAGCAATCCAGTGAGCTTGCGGTCTTTGTAGATACTGGAAAGCGATAATGCGGGTCCCATTCGCTTCGAAAGATGGAGCGGTGTCCATGCAGCCTGACTCGTCTGTGTGAAGAATATCTGGAGCGACATCTAGCAGAAATGTGTCAGTATAGCATGTTTGCCCTAAAAACTGTGGCTACCAATTGCAAGTGCGAGTATGAAAGAGAAAGCAGTGACTGTGGGTCCATCCATGTTGTCGTGAGAGAAGATCATGGTCACAAACAACTCAACTCGTCGTCACGTGTGTGACAATCTCACTCAACTTGAAGATGTCCACCGCAACTTTGAGTGAACAACCCAGGTACAGGTATCTCCGAGTCTTGGCTTATTTCTTTCCTCGAGTCTTACCGACTTAGGTGTGTCCAGCGTTATTCAAGTGCATGATCATGGATAAATCTTGGTGGTTCCAGCTGTCTACCAAACATTCCCGAAGAGCTGCAAGAAAGCGAACGTAAGGCCATATTAGAATTTTTCCACGCAATTCCTACAGTCGAGAGGCGCAAAACAAACATATTCTACGTCACATTACCCGACCGCCCCGCTTTTGCTGTGAAATATGGTGGGCTTGACCGAGTTGCGGAGGCCAGTACCCAGACCTTCTTCTATGATCTAGCTGCGAGGGACGCAGGCTCCGATTCAAACTCTACCCCACGGGTTCCAAGAGTCTACCATGTTCTCTATGACAAACCGACCTATTATTATCTCCTGGTTATGGAGAAGATACCCTGGCCAACGATCGAGGCCTGCACCGATCTCCCTGACGAATACACCGTTCCACGTGTCGCAGCAGCAGTCAAGTGGCTATTCGACCAGACGCCATATGTCCCCCCATCATTGTTTGGAAGAATATCAGTCCCTCTCGAGGGCGAACGACCACTTGTGTGGCATCGCTTTTTCAAGGACCATGAACCCTCCCTGGCCTTTGTTCATGCCGAAGCATTATCCAAATACGTCACAGCGGTATGCTAGTCCACTCCACACCAAGTACTCATCAAGAATCATACCCAGATCCTTTCGCGCTACTCCCGCCGACGGCCATTCCGTCCTGTCTCGTTTGCAGACGAGCCAAATGTTATTTACCACTCTGACGTGCGGAAGCCCAACTTCCTTATTGACAGAGACACGGGCCAAATATGCATTATTGACTTCCAGCATATCGGCATCTTCCCCCAGTCATTTCGGACATACGGTCTGCTCCACTATACCGATCCGCTCGCCGCTGCAGTCAGGGAGGCGCTTGGACTTGAAATCACCGACACTATCAGGTCCATGTGCACTGCTGCGGGATGCCTCGTCATGACCGGCGGTGCTCCTACCTTTGGTACGACCTGCGTTTTTTTTTGCCAGCTACTTACATCAAGTCTGATTTTTCTTTTGCTTTAGGTCTCGATGAGTACGGTGTGCAGAAGAAGAAATATAAGCGCGACCTATTCAAAGTCAACAATGTTTCTGCAGTCGACTCGGAGAAACTGGTGTCAAGTCCATGATGCTCTTCATACGATAACTTCACCACATGTAGACATCCCAAGAATATTCCAATGCCTGGTCCTGCCTGTACTCTATACTGCTACAATACTCTAAGTACTGAGTCAGAGTCTATTCTAAGGCGATGGGGATGATGATCAACGAACAAGACTGAGAATACACAACATGGTTGTTCATTTGAACTCCTCCTCCGAAAGGTATTTCTATCCGCTGGCCCCTGGGTCTATGCATATGGCAGCATATTGGGCGATGGAGCATTACTTCCATTCCTGGCTTTCGCTCATGCTGGGGCTATGGTCATCACGGCGGTACTGTGACTTTACTTGTCCGCGGTAAAAAAAAATTGTGAATTTTTGTAGAAAAAATCTCGGGCACGTGAACGGAAAGTTAGACGCGCCAGTCTTGAAGCAACCACGCCGCGTCCTCCTTCTCCATTCCGGCTATCTTTGCTACATCACGGAGCAGCGCGTCATTTGTCGTTCTTGCCAGCGCTTCTTCGGTCATGTTGGAGGTGAAGTGCACCAACACGCGGTTCGCCAAACAGTTGCCCTTCAGGTCGTACCCTCGGTTGGCCAGACGCAACACTCCAATGTCTTTGCTACGAGAGATGAATGTGGAATGCACCGCCAGTGGAAACATACTCATCTTCGTGCCCATGTCTGTTGAGAGCAATAATCCACGTCCTGTCACACCGCGTAGTATAAGCCCTGCGTCGTGACGGTCACTGCCCTTTGGCATTGACCGCTCCGACGCAGTCTCGTCCCGGACTCCCTCCGCGCTCAACAATGTCGGGCACAACACTCCTTCAGTTGAGCTTCTATGTAGTTTTCGGTCATGAATGACTTGTAGTGGAGCTCTGGCGGGGTGAGACCACGCAGGATCACAGAGTCGGTGATGAACCCAAAGCGGTACCGTGGCACCATTGGTGGAGGGTTGCCCGTGTAGTTCGCAAGACCAGGGCCAGGGGAAGCAGCCAACACTCTAACGAACCCGCGGTGTGACTTCTCGGGCACCCTAGGACGGGTCCTAGGAAATATGAGCAATGTTGGATTGACACGAGCGCACTGACATTCGAGGGATCTCTGGCATGATATTTGGGTTCAGGTCATGAAGTTGTAATGGCCGTGGCGAAATGTCGCTATTGGCCACTGTTGTCCTACAAACAAGTTCACGGTCGTTCGCCGTCGACATATGTAGCAAAATGTGTTGGCGTGGGGACAGGTCAAGGGGCGACCGTCACAGCATAACGTCAAAGTGACCGGTACAGAGGCCTCCAGAGTTATTGCCATTTATAGAAGTGTGACCCCTCTCATTCCTTCCACTTCATAAAGCACTGGAGCACTCAAGCCTGAGTAATTTTGGTGAAAAACAAGATGGAACAACAAATAACTCAAGAGCCGTTGGCACAAGTGTTAATTAGCTGTAAAATTACAGATTCTCAATTAGTTTATTTAGATCTACTTGATTGGTACAGCAGAATTGGGCGGAGAAGATTGGTAAATTGCACTGACACTGTGAAGGAGAATAGGTATAATGAGCTGGAGATAATTTGAAGCATCTGAAGTAGCAAGATAGAACAGAGCAGCCCTCCCGGCCCTTGCTGAAGCGTGACTTCCATAAATGGCAATAATTCTGGAGGCCTCTGTACCGGTCACTTTGACGTTATGCTGTGACGGTCGCCCCTTGGGACAGGTCACCGGACTATTATCACCAGTAGCGTAAAGAAGGAGAAAGCATTGTGGGTCCGTGTGTGTGTGTATTACGTAGTGTGCACGTGCGTAATCACCTCTGTTCCTCGCAGGTCCACAACTTAATCCTCATATCAGGTTCGGTAGCTCTCTGAGGAGGCAGTATTACCGTATTACAAACAAACAAACAAACTCGCGATCGGATGCCAACGCTCACCGGTGCTCAAGATTCACCACCGACATGGCAGCTGTAAAGCATCTCGAAAATGAAGCCAAAGGGATATACTAGCACTTAACCAAAGCCTTCCTATAGCTACCACCAGTTTGCATTCCAAGAAGATTTCATTGCCTAGTTCGGCCTGTACTTTATAAACACTGCTACAGTACTCTACTGAGTCGGAGTCTACTCTAAGGTGCTGCTGGAGAAAAATAAACAACAGAATAAGATATTCCGGATGAGGTCGTAATGAGGGTGGATGCAAGAGCGGACAAAAAAGGTCAAAAAAGAGTGTGCCAGGATGAGTAAGAAAGGAGTGCTGATGCGACGGTTGATGCCAGAAAAAGAGAGAGAGTCGTTCCTATGCAAGGGCCTTGCCGCCAGCCTTGGCCGCGCCGTAGATGCGGAATGTTCGCACATGGGTGAGCTCCTGTGGCCCAAACGGCATTGTAACGCGTCCTTGCAAGTCTATAACGGGACGGGGAACTTGCTGGAAATTCGCCGAAGCGGGTGTTGTAAGGGACAATTCGCCGTCGTCGTCCTCCATCCGGGCTTCAGCAAGTTGCGGCCAGTTGAATCGTGGTCGTATGAAGCTAACATGAATGATGAGCAAACCCTTGATCAACAAATAAGAATGTGAGACAACAATACACACCTTTCATAGTCCCACAACGCTTGCTCGAACTCCTCCTCCGACAGGAACCGCTTTCCCGTCGCAGAGTCCGTGAACATGGCGACGTATTGAGCGAGAGCAGGCTTGCAACCAAGCAGCGTTTGGATGTGTTTGGTGGAGTGGTACTCGAGCTCTTGTGGTGCCATCGGGATGAATGTTGATGGCCACAAAATCAGACCAGGATGTTGGACACGCTTTTCAGCATACTTCTGGGGACCAAGAGCCGACTCGACGTAAGCACCGTTTGAGACATTCGAGCCTGCTGATGCAGTCGACAGAGCAGAGGCCGTAGAGGCTGCAGAACCGTTTCGTGTATGAGTGGGTGGCGCTGCTGCCAATATCTTGATGGTTTTCGAGGACGTGATGGTCTTGGAGCTAATCGACGGTGTGATGGTTTTGCTGCTGGAAGAAGCCAACATTGACGAACTTGCCATTCGTGGCAGAGTAGGAGTCCTCTCTGGCGGCGCATCCCATTCACTTGGTGCAACCCAATCAGAAGCTCCGCGCTCAGGACGTGTTGGTGGAGCTTCATCGTCGTCCGAATCCGAAAAGAATTCGTCGTCCAAGTCATCATCGTCCTCGTCAAAATCGTCCTCATCACTTTCTTCTGGGGTTCCACTCAACGTTGACTTTGTTGGTTGGCGACGAAGTGTCGGTGGTGGAGGGCCCGCGCCAGGTCCGCCCCCCGCTATACCAAGTCTTTCAGCTGCTTTGGCACTCAGACCAGTAGGAATGGGAGTTTCCGGCTCGAATTCTTTGGTGGGCGGAAGCGCCATGCTGAGTCGGTTTTTCTTTCGTCGTTCAGGGACCCCTTGGTGAACAAGGTCTTGCCGAGAAGGAGCATCCAGAGGCGCCAATTTCAAATGCATAGCTGCAGGGAGATCAACAGTGGCGAACACCTTGGTCAGAGTCGAATGGTAGATTTCGGAAGGCCTAGTATGAACTTTGAAGTGCGTTCCCAGCATCCGTTGGAAAACGCGTTCAAGATCGCGAGCAGCCGACTTCTGGCTAGACCATGGCCCTGCTGATGCTTCATCAGCAAGCTCTGTGGGACCTGTGCTTGGCGTGGGCGGGGCCGATACATCGGAAATCGCATCAAGTGTTGCGGCAGACAACGGTGGAGAGTTAGGGACCCCAGCACGCGTATGGGGAACTGGTGTCATAGGACCTGGCCCAATTTCGACAGTGGCCAGAGGAGCAGGAGGCGGAATAGAGATAATGAGATGGTCAACGCCGCTGAACGGTCGGTGAGTAGCTTCGAATTCGAGTTGGGGAGGAGCGCTGAAGTCCGACGAAAGCTTTTTGAGCTCGACAGACCCGCGCTCGGATGCTTCGCCGACAAGAGTGGATGCTGTGTCAGTGAAAGACGATCGCTCTGACGCAGAATCCGAACTAGATGTCATGCTCGAGTCCAGTTTGCTTTCGTCACTATCGTCATCGGAGTCGGAGTCGAAGAACGTTGAAGAATCCGCTGTTATTCTAGGACGTGGCGTTGGAGTGCTTGCGGAAACGGTTGGCGCAGTCGGGGTCGCCAGATGGCTCACGGTTGCCTCCGGAGACTCCTCTGCTGGCGCATCTCCGTAGGGAAATATTGTTTGGTCATCAATAAGCTCCACACGACCTCCCGGAACCAAGACACGGTGCACCTCCCGCAACACATCGTCCCACTTGTCAAAGGGCACACACAATCCAAGATTAGCCATTCGGACCAGGTCGAAGGTGTTCTTTCCAAAGGGAAGAGCGTAGTTGAGAAAGTCGCCGAGCTGGAGACTGACATTAGGCAATGATCCGTCGGTCAGAGTTGGGAATGCGATATTGACAAGGTCAAATCCAACGAACTGCGTTGACGGCCACAAACGAGCAGCGTCCTGAAGCCATGCACCAATGCCACATCCGAGTTCTAAGACACTCTGTGGAGGGTCCTTGTACTGGTGGAAAGTCGGCGATGCGTCAGGAAGAAGTCGACGAATGAGTTGGTGCGTGTATCGTTCACTACAATCCCGGGTTAGAGTTTGAACGATAAAGAGGCTTTGCCACGCACCTGTCCAGGACAACCGACTCAAACGACTGCATATACGGCGCATCGGGATATGGTTGGAGCTTGACCCTGCGCTGCACCCGCCAATGGTCCTTGTGTTGGAACTGCTGACGGCTTTTGTCGTTGTTGACGGGTGGCAAAGGGAAGGTAGGGGTGCGGAGTGGGGTCTCACTAATTGACGAGACAGAGGAAGCGGACTTTCCTCCGCTTGACGAACGCGACCAGTTGGGGTCATCGACGCGATTGGAGGCCATTGAAGCCAGGGAACTCTTCTTTCGTAGGTTGAACAACGAGCGGCTGGGAGGCCGCTCGTCCATCTTCTCCGGTGTCGGCTCGCGGTCCTTCTCCTTCTTGAAAGTGAAACCACCTGAGACAGAGCGGGACATGAGCGATGGGGAGCGTAAAGCTGGTGTTGACGGTGGGGAGTTTAGTCTGGATAGTCTGTAATGGGGGTCTGGAGATGCTGCTTTGCTGCGAAACGATTCCGCCGTGGCAGAACCGGGTGGGGTAGGAAGCAGCGAGTTCGAAAGCGAGCGAGCGATTTCCATGGCCGCCATATATAGTGGTAGGTAGCACGCGCTTTGTTCGGCCGCGCTTGACTAGATTTCGTGTGCAATGGGGGGACCGGTGGGTGGTAGTCAAAGTGCAAAGCAAAGCGCTTAGCCATCAAAATTCTCCGACTAAGTAACTACATCATCACGGATTCAAAGCTACAATATGTTTCCCATATCCGTCTAGTGCGACAAACACTCGACATCTGTCCTCAGTCGTCGTCCTTCTTCGGTGGTGGGCCAGTCGGCTGGAGCATTTTCTGCGTTGGGCAGGCCTTAGCAACCAAAAAAAAAACTAAGCGAAAGAACCACACTCACTTCCGTCATCTCAAACTTGACCCGCCCCAACGACTCTCCGTCCGCAATGGCAAGAAAAGACGTCAACGTCGAGTGCCCGACGATGGACGAGAGCGTGTCTCTATGCTGGTGGGTCACCCAGTCGCTTTCACCACGGGTCAACGCACTGACACCCTCCAACAATGTTGCAACACGTACTACTTGGACAAGTCCGCATGCCCTGCAAGCTTCGTTTCAAAGTGGTCCAGATACTACGAGGGAAGCAACTCACCCGTTCCTGTGTACCTGGCATGCACTTTGGCACAAATCGCAATTCAGACTCGGGAGGAAGGGAGTGAAACAACAACAACTCACGATGCTCAAGCTGTGTATTTGCCGTATATCGAAGCTCGGAGGACTGTAAAGTGGGCCTCAGTGGCTTGGGGACGCTCAGACAACCGCAGTTACCATCGACGCAATTGGCGGTTTGTCCCAAAAAGGCAACGAGTGGCTGTGCTTACAGTCTGTCAAGAACTGTCAAATTCGATGTCAACTCCACCATCTCTCGATAACCCTCCTCGAGACGTGTTGCTCCCGCGGGATTGACACCGAGAAAGACGGGCCAGGCGGACATCTAAAGGTTGATTTGTCTAGTAGTCAGTACATTTAGCCGTCCTCCCGTTGAATGAACTGTGCTTTTTTCAAACCCTAGCCTCAAGATTGAAAGGACCGGTTAAAGAAGAGTCGCTAGCTAACCATCCAACGCGCTGAATTAGGTTCGGTACTCGGAATCTACTGATACAAACTACACGATAGGATATACTATGCTACTTAGGATTATATTGAATTCCTCCTCGCACCCCGCCCTTTCCTAAGCTCCGGTCCCTTTTGTCTCCCATCGATCAGTGCTGAAGGGAGCTGGCCTTCCTCATCCAATTTCTCGAGGATCGTCAATGCCGCTTCGTACCCCTTCTTCTGGATCTCTTCGAAGCGGCTAAACTGCAGTGTCCCATACTGAGAAAGAGAAAGTCAGTCCAATTTGCCGATGCTAGTGCAGTTGGGATTAACTTCTTGGACAGGCATCGCAATATACATGCACCCCCGGGCCACTTTTGCGTCTTCAAGTTTCTTTACGCTCGACACGCTGTGGAAGCAATCAATCAATCAAAGACATCATTTCCAAGAGATGGGGGACTGTACTTACTATGCGAGACGGCCTTGAATTTCAGTAATTGGGGGTACCAATCGAGCATTCGAAAATGGATTCCAACGATTGATAAGAAGCCACCAGCCCGAAACAGAGTCGCCAAAGTTTCTGGGGGTATTGTCGTCCACCTGAAGACAACATCAGGATTCAAATTATCAAGATCGTCTAAAAAGCCACTGACAGCACCGACATCGCAAGCGAACACGGAGCTTGCCCCCATCGAAAACATTGTCGAGACCTGATCAGCGTGGTTAGTGCAGTCGATGCCGAATCTAATGTCAACAAACAGGTAAATTATCCACTAAAAAGCATTAGAACCACCGTATTAAACCAATAAAAGGTCTTACCGTATCCACCGTCAACGAGCATTTCACCCTCATGGCACAGTGGAGGTAGCAGGCCGACCAAAGTCATTGATGCACCTTCGTTGTCGTTAAGTATAGTCCTTGATAGGACCGAGATGACACTTACGAATGAATCGCCAGGCATAACCATTCTTCATTGCGATCAGCAAACAGCAAAGACTGCAAGGTCAACAGTTCACCTCATGGATGTCCATCCGAGATGTGAGGATATTGGTCGTGTTGCAAAAGAAAGGCAGCCACATGTCTTCAATGTGTAGATCGTAGAATGCTTTATATATTCCTCGGTTGAATTCGTGTCCCTTCGGTTTACTGTCAGTGAACAGGCCACAAAAACTTTCGCGACCCACCGTTGTGTAAGCAACAATCGGGTAAGTCACGTCGGAGAGGATTCGCCAGATATTGCCCATGCGACTGCTAAACTGCTTCGCTCGACCGGAGGAGGATAGAATATCGCCTTCGCGAGCATAAAGTCCGCCGATCAACGCGCCAATACTGGTACCGCCGATGTGGTCAATAGGAATTCCGTACTCCTCGAGTGCCCGGATAAGACCCTGATTATTTCGGTGAGCCTAAAGCCATAAAAACGCGAATATACGAACAAGATGCGAAATACCCCGTGCCCCACCTCCACCGAGGACGAGTCCGATTGATCGCCCACATATCCTCCGAGCAAGTCGAGCAAAATCATTCATATGTGGCAGTCGCTGTGGTCGCGGATCGTTCCCAGTTTTCCTAAGTTTCTGAATCTCGCTCTGAACCTTGTCTTTGAGATTTTTCAGAGTGGTGACAGCGTCTGGGTCTTTTGGCGGCGCAGGAGTTTTGGAAATCGGTAAGACAAGACCCTGTCAAGTGTTATTAGATGAAATGGAAGATTTGTATCTCGTACAGGAAGCTCCAAGTGGAGGTGTTGATGAACCCATGGACGCAGTTTCAACCACTCACGAGTGGATCCTGGCACCACAGTACGGTCAGGATGCAAAAGTACCAATTCCTTTCGCGCAGTCGTCTTCATAGATAGCAGCAATCGCTCATACTCCCCAATGGACGGGTCGTCGCCCATTCCAACGACCATAACACAGTCAGCCTAAACGACTGGGCAGTGAGCTTTCGGAATGACGAGAGAGACAAGACGAACCTGACGAATGCATGTTTGTGTCCATGCACTGTTGACTGGCGAGTCTGCAACGTACAACACAGTTCGAAACTTCTGTTCTTGGTCAGCGAGCCCTATAGTGCATGTTAGTTTTCAAACGTGAACAGTAGTCGTGTATGACCCACAGCCAGCAGCCTTGAGTTTCCCCATACGAGTGAAAGCATGTCGTCCAAGATGTGATGACATTGATGCTTGATTGAGATAAGATGTTGTCGCACCAATGCCCTCTAATGCTGTTTGCAGTTTTCGGGCAAAGGCATCAATTGGAACCAGGCGTGACACAGGTATGATTGCGACGGTCTTGAGATTATTGTTATCTGACGCATTCCGCGATTGTGCTGTTGCTGATGAAGCAGAGTCAACCTCGTCTCGAACCCGCGACGCGATCATGCGCAGAAGTCTATCGTATGAGGGGAAAACATGAGCATACGCAAAAGCGAGGAAGATTGCCTACTGTGCGGTCGTCTGCGGGTTTCTGAAAAGGTCTGTTGAGTTTCTTGTTGTAAAAACGATGATATGATCAAACAGACCTGGCGCTGATGGCATTGAACAACGTCTGAGGCATACGAATCAACTCTGTGTCGCGGATAGCATGGACAGTATTTCGCCTTGTCGAGCTCGTGATAACATCCAGCTCGCCAACTGTGTCCCCTTGTCCATACTCACCAGCAATAGTGACATCACCGGCATCAGATTCAGTGATGGCGCGTAGTCGCCCGTTGATGACGATATAAAAGCTGTCACTAACGTCGCCTGGTCTCCATAAAACTGACAATCGATGAAGGAGGCATATCAACCGCTAAAATGCACATACCCTGACCCGCGTTTACCTGCATCCAATCGAGAGCAGCGTCTATTTGGAGCACTGCAAGCCGTCAGTGAAAGTATAAGATCAGCGGGAGGAATTACACAAAGGCGATAGCAGTGAAATCAGGCGTTTAGCCAATGTAAGAAGAACGATAGGACGCTTCTCCAGTAACCTTTCGAGCGCGTGCGATGGCAAAAAACCGACATACACATCGGTCTTGGCTTTAATGTCGACATAGGATGCCGTATTACAAGTCGCCGCTGCACAAATCATTAACGGAGTCTGACATAACAAAAGGAAATGGTACCCAGATAACCTGCGATTCCACCAGGTTTAACGGTAAACAAGAGTTTCTGCTTGCTGGATTGCTTCTTGGTTCCAGGAGTCCTCCACGGTTCCGCGTCTGCCAACGACGGTGAAGCATCTTGCGAAGATTTGCGGACATTAGTTTCGGTGACGGGCAGCAAAATGTCCAGGAAACCTATCATAATCAGTCGAGAATAAGATTGAGACCGCGTGAAAAAGACGCACCCTCGATGACATAGAACAGTCCAGTGTTGATCTCTCCTGCTTTGGCGAGCGTGGAGCCAGCTGCGAAGTACAATATTTCGACTTCGTTGTCGAGACCACTCATATATCCGTCGCCAGAAGCGATGGTCGACGAACCCGTTATGGAGGAGGAATCGTCACCAATGTCAAGCAATGAAAGCGAGCCAAAGGAAGAGGTAAAGACCTCAGATCCCGAGGACCGTCGGCCACTCGCGTCAAAAGGCAAAAAAGCAGGAGAAGCTTCGACACTTTCAGTGCTGCTTATCGGTGGCTGTAACAACCCTATGGATTTCGCAATGCACGACATGACTTCGTCCCTCAAATCAAAGTCCTCAACAGATGCACTAGACGAACGCCGCGTGTGTATGGCTTCCGACAGAACAGGTACTGGTTGACGAGATATACGAGGCGTGTTGAGGATACTGAAGGTCCGTTTGAAAGCGGGATAAGTGTCGTTGAGTTGGGTAGCAGATGTCATCAGGTCTCCGGCCTGAACCGTACGAAGCGACGCTAAATTGCGGAAAGGACCAGACTGGGAAGATGTTGGCCGCCTCGTGAGTGGACTGTCCGCTAGCCTAACTTTGGAGCTGTTGTTACTAGGATTGACGCTGGCCAGAGTGTCTCCAGAGCTCGAAGAAAGGGAAGAAGGAAGTGGCATAGGCGAACTAACAAGGGAACTGTTACTCAAGCCGAAATAGTCGGAATCGCTTTCTGAGGGTTTTGCTCCATCAAAACGATGTCTGAGTTGTTCAAGGCCGCCTCCTTCGTAAAATGATGCCGGGAGAGGATGACATGCGATATCGTTCATAGCCAGCTCCGTCCGCAGGATTTCAGATGTTAAACCAAGATATTTATGGGCGGCATTGAAAGTTACTCTGGCGAATCGAGTGACAATGACCTGAACGATATGACCTGCCGCTTTGGGGAATTTCTTGGTGAGCCGACGAAAGGCTTCCGCAGGAATCACAGCCAAAGTGGTGTCCTCCGTTGCTCGGGCCACAGCCCCACGATGAACATTTGCAGATCTTTGCGAAGGAAGTGGTAGAGCTGGGCCGGTAGACTGATATGCCGTTTCGGATTCACCATCCATTGAGAGCGGAGACATGGAACCAGCTCGATGAGGTTGAACCGGTGTGAATTCAGGGTGAACTGTTGAAGTGGTAGATGATGTTGATGACCGTCTCGTCCGACTTTTCAACTCCAAATGAGACACATCCGAGTTATTTCGATTCCGAGGAGGCATGAAAATTCCCGGATCTTCTCGTTCGCTGTCGTCTTGCCAGCTCATTTTAACGTCCTCGGTGAACAGAGACAAGATGGTGAACAGACTTGACAACGTCCCTCCGCTGCCAACCTCATTCAAGAGTTGATAGCCATTCATGTCTTCGTCTTCCCAACTGCCAATATTATCCTCCGTATCCCTCCCAGTGTGAGCAAACACCTGGACCATGCCATCTATGACACAGTAGAAACTCTTGTCTTGATCTAAAGACATACTGTCTCCCGCGATCAGTCTCCGCGTTTGAAGGTGGCGAGCAAGTTCATGGAACACAGGCTTTTCGAGCTAGGAGCAGTCAAGCGAGGAACAAACTCAATAGAATAAGGACGCACAAAACCAAAAACACGGACAGCTTGAAGAAAATCATCGAGATAGTTGTGGAAGTTTGGAGGAGTGTCAGCTGTGTTTTTATGAGGTGATGCTGGTCGAAACGCCTTTTCACTCACAAGTATTGACGTCGGGATGCAGTTCATTTGCGTCAGGTTTGACAAGTGGGGGTTCTTTCAACTGGGTATAGTCGTTCAAGTAGCGGAATCGTATCCAGTAGTTGAGAGCAACAGCCGAGATGAGGAAGAGCGCGGCAAATGACCAGAAATTCAGCTGTTGGGAAATTGAGTTTTGCGTTTTGTCAAGTGAGGAAAGACAAGCGCACGGTGAGGGTCATGGAATACGAGAGTATGGCATATATGTAGCGAGGGATAGTTATAGTTGCAAATGCGATGAGGCTTTTGGCCCACGAGAGAGCCCATACTGCGATGGATTAGATCCGGTTTTTCGAAAAAAGAGTCTCAACTCACAAATAACCCAGAAGCAAGCAGATACGAGAGAGACCAGGGGATGAGAGGACGCAGCAGCGCTGCCAGGGTCGACACCCAAATTCTCAGCGTTCACCGCCATGGAAGAACGCGACAGAGAAGACGTCATAGTTGCCGAACGGTCACGGGAATGTGACGTCAAAGTCACGGTGACGAGTGAACCCAACACCGAACCCGAACTGTTGTGAAATGGCATCTACATCGGGTATGGTTACGAGTCATATTATCAGCTCATAACAGCGAACTCAGTCCCGCGTAAACGCACCATCGAATCTAGTATTGAAGCCCCTCCCGCAAAAGTTGCTAAAAGTACGTTTAGCAATCGTAGTACCTGACCACGCGTTTTATAAAGTCAAGTGCATCCATTTTTCTCCAAGACCTCTGCGACGAGCACTCTTCGGTGGTTGAAGCCACTGGGCTCTTCGAATACCTGCCTTCACGGCGTTAACATGGAACCTTTGAGTGTAGCCAAGGTAGCAGCCCTCGACCTCGATGGCACTCTCATCGCCGGCCCAAACAACCGCTGGCGCTGGTGGAACAAATCTGTCCCCACTAAGCTTTCGGAAATTGTCAAGGACGGGTGGGTCGTTCGTTTGATTCGTTCCTTCGTTCAATTGGTTAAGGTATGCACTGGTCATCATCACCAACCAGGCTGGGCTTAAGAAGCCTGAACAAGTGGCCGGATGGAAACGAAAACTTGCTTCAATAGCTGCCGCTGCAAGTTTCCCCTTCCAACTTTTGAAAAAGTTTATGCTCATGGTTGTTAGCTTCCTGAAGTTCCCTTTCGAGTGTTTGCTGCTGTTGCTAAAGATGAGTATCGGAAGCCTATGAAGGCATTTATCGCTGTTTAATCAAATGTTGGGATCAAAGTTGGAAGTCGGAAGTCTGAACTTTTGTGTGACATGCAGGGCAGGTGTAGTTGGTACTCAGAAGTTGAAGGCCATACAAATAGAAGTCTAACTATGATTCATTTTTGTGCTTATATCCAGTTTTGACCATATTTGGACTGATGTCTGGAATTTTGATTATTTTAATTATGTTGGCCGGTGTTATTTGACTCTGAGCTGTATAAGTATCAGTTTAATCAAATGGTTCACATTATACTTGCACCTTAAAAGCCTACTTAACATTGAATGAAGATCACTAAGACCATTTTCAGCAAGAAAATAGTCTTCTCAGCTGTAAAAAAATTCCAACAGTCAATATTTAATGCAAAATATGACTTTTGTTAATTTATAGTCCTGTACTATTTTGTTCAATTTGGCCAGATCACTGGTTTTGATAAACTCAAAAATTGCCAAAAATCCGAGAAATCAAGCAAAAAATATTATCAGTGTTTCCAAAAATTTATCTTAACTGTGACATGTCAAATTGATCAAATAGTACACTATTGCCAAATGAGAAGCTATTAGAGTCTAAGACAAAATAAAAATAAAAATATTATAGAATCCTGTGTCAGAGGAACCTCCCTTTCGGCCCCCCAGACATGATTCCAATTCCAATTCCAGTCCGATTCTGATTCCAGTCCAACCCCCCACTGAATCCCACACCATCATGAATCCGTCACCACCCTCCTGATGGTCACCCTGGGACCTAGCCTGCGACACTGCCCAAGCCTTCTGTGCCCAACAGCGGCAGCTACGGATAAGCAGTATATAGTCAGCTACCTAGCAGGCAGACCCTTATGTCAGGGGAACCCCTGCTTCGGCCTCCTTTGGACCGTCCGAGCGCATCTGAGGCACATCCAACCGGCGCCCCCTCGGATGCTCCGACCCACCCTGACCATCATCTACGGCCTCCTTCGCCCGCACAATCACCGATCCGTCAAGACCCTCCCAACGATCACCTTGGGACAGAGCCTGCAATGCCGCCTCAGGCCTTCTGCGCTCTACGTTGGCAGTTACGGACGGCCAGTATATAGTTGGCGCCCTAGCAGGCGGACCCTTAGAGTTTCTTCTCTTTGGATCCTCCCCTGCTAGGCTTTTGTCGGAGTCTCCAGGGTTGCCCTTACACCTTAGAGTTTCTTCTCTTTGGATCCTCTCCTGCTAGGACCCTGATTTCGGGCCTCTGGGTTTGCCCTTACACAAATCAGTGCTGCAGATCCGCAAGCCTGTGATATTGTAATTACCAAATAAGGTAATTTTGACATCACGTGCTCCACAATTAGGGCCTTTGATTTATCCGAAATCTAGGCCATTGATTTGGATCCTGATCTCTGCTAAAAAAAGTCCAGCTTTGGGTGGCCACTTTGTGCAGCACAAAACCCCGATATGAGTATTAACAGTAGCATATACTCCATAGCCTGTGTCAGGGGAACCCCCGCTTCAGCCTCCTTCGGACCGTCCGAGCACATCTGAGGCACATCCGACCGGCGCCCCTCGGACGCTCTGACCTACCCCAACCCTTGTCCTCGGCCTTCTTCGCCCCCACACGATCACCGATCCATCAAGACCCTCCCAACGATCACCTTGGGACAGAGCCTGCGACGCCGCTCAGGCCTTCTGCGCTCTACGTCGGCAGCTACAGACAATGAGTATATAGTTGGCGCCCTAGCAGGCGGACCCTTAGAGTTTCTTCTCTTTGGATCCTCCCCTGCTAGGTCGGTCCCTCCGTGTATTTCCATAGCTCTTATTCATGCTTTGGATCCTCCCCTGCTAGGCTTTCGTCAGAGTCTCCAGGGTTGCCCTTACAAACAAAAATAAAAATAAAAATAACAATAACAATAAAAAATCATGGAATCCTACTTACAGGCACTTGTGACTTAGGTTCAGAGGCTTAATATTTATAATTTTATAGAAAATTCTCAAGACTCTTATACCTGTATATAAGCTATCACAAGATTTAATAAGGAAAGAGGATATTTATCAAGCAACCAGGGCTAGAGCTTATCCTTACTTAATATGACTCAGATTCACGCCAAAAACATATTAGATAATCAGTAGACACATGATCAGTAGTCACATGGTATGTAACAGTAGACGTGACTAAGTCATGTAGCAGCATCTTAACTCTTTACTCCTCTCTCGTCATTCTGTCTCTTCTTGTGGCCCTGTCCCAACTGCCTAAGTATATACAACTACTCCCTCCCCACCATAGGCTACAGGTCATTAGTCAGATGAGGCACTGGCCGGCCTTACAGTACAGTACGGTGTACGGTGCAGTCCGAGATATGGTGGGTAGATCGGTCACATATCACAGCCTTGGGAATGCTAAGCATGCATTTTCGGCCGGATTGACTGTTTCCAGGTGGACACCAGCTACCAATTGCAAATCCATGGCACAGGGAGCTGGAACAGCGGCCCGGTGATCCCATCACCACATCAACCAGCACTTACGGATAAAATACGGACCATATAGTCAAATGTCGGAGCTCCACAGCATGGAGCTTTTGTTCATCCATACATCTGTATGCCATATGGCTATGGATATGGTGCCGAGCCCTATATAGATCCAGAATTTGTAAAGTGTTGTTTGAATGTCTGTGTAAGGATAATCCTGTAGGCCTGAGATCAATATGCTAGCATAGAGGAATCTAAAGAAGTGAATAATAGTTAGGGCAACCCTGGAGGCCTGACATCAAGGTCCTAGCAGGGGAGGATCCAAAGAAAAGGAACTTCAAAGGTTATCAGAGTAGTGGAGAATAGTATTACAGTTCATTGACTTACTGATAATTCAAGTATAATTGATTCTATCTTATGTTTATTTTATTTTATTTTCTCTCTCTATTTTCTTCTGTCAAGGCCTAAATATGTCACAAATGTCAAATTATTTATTGTTTAAATCAGTTTTTGATCAAATGGCCATTTTATAGGTGGCCTATAAGTCAGTACCTACATATCTTTACAATAGCTAATTTATCAAGTTCAGAGTTCAGAGTTCAGAGTTCAGACTTTCCTCATATGGTCACGTGACTGGATTCACACGTCAGAAGTTCACACTTTGGTCCAACTACCGACTTGCCACTTCAGACTTGCCTCCAACTTCTGACTTCGGAGTTTGATGTTACATAAATGATGTGACTTTGACCTTTTGCATTAATTAAACAGCGAAAATACACCTCATAGAAGCCCGATATCGGAATGTGGAATGAACTGGAGAGGATATTTGCTGAAGACGGAGTAAAGATCGGTAAGATTCTCCTTATCATGGCCCACTTCTTATGAGCGACAGACAAATCCGACTCTTTTTTTGTTGGAGATGCTGCGGGCAGAGAGCGAGATTTTGCTGCGACGGACAAGGAATGGGCAGACAAAGTTGGCATCCCATTCTTCACTCCCGAGGTAAGGATTGTTTGCTAAACGACTTCTCTATCTTACTCCAAGCCAGGAGTATTTCCTCAAGAAACCGGTTGTCCACAGTTGACCGCGTTAACCCATGTCCTCCCGTATACCATCTTGAATATAGTATTACCATGCAAAGTAGTTGTAATTTCTAGCTCTCCGGGCCAAGTGTCGCGAACGTGCGGGACCGTGGAGCCGAAGCCGAGTCACAGTCACTCGCTTGGTCGGCTTCCCACTGGCAGGGAACGTCCTCCAAACGACTCACCTTGTCTCATCTCCCCATTAATCTACCAACCTCCAATGTCTACTCCAAGGACTCCCACAGCGACACCACTGACTCCTCGACGGGCCTCGAAGATGGCTTCTAATCAGAATTTGAACCATCTTCTCAACTTTACGCTGCCGCCCCGCCAGTCCCAACCACAAAGCCTACCTCGGAGAAGCAGGAAAACTGCAAACCACGGAATATGGAACAGGGAACGTGAGTAGCAGCCTTAACACATTATTCGGCTGGACGAAATGAAAACAGGTTTCGTCAACCAATATCGCTTCATAATGAACCCGAATGGCGACTATACCGTTCACTTCGCGGACCCTGACATGCAAGATACCTTCTCTTTCGTGTTATGGGATCCGCGATAACGCCTGTCATCGTAGATTCTTCCAATGGCAAGACATCTTGCAGGTCATAATTCCTCGTTCGTCCGCCCTGGCATCGGCTTCAACGGGAGAGAACAAGGAGGGTCAAACAACATGTCCGATTTGTCTCTCTCCACCTACGGCTCCCCGAATGACTAAATGTGGTCATGTACTGCCTTTATCGTCGTCTATCTTGAGCCAACTTGACAATCTTCCAGGTGTTTTGCTTCCCATGCATACTACATTACCTCAATATATCAGAAAGCAAGTGGGCTCAATGTCCTATTTGCCTCGACACGGTCAACGAGAAGCAGCTCAAGGCGGTGAAATGGTATGAAGGTCCTCCTCACTCTGAAGACGAGGCGGAAGAGCCCGTTGCTGGCTCATCTTCCTCTGTCTTTGGGCTAGAGACGCTGATGGAGGCCTCCCCCCGTCCTGGATCGACTATGCGGCTGCGTTTAATGCAGCGTCCGCAAATTACAACCCTTGCACTTCCTCGGTCAACAACTTGGCCATCCGATCTTTTGCCCCCACACCAAGCCCCCTTCCACTTCCTCCCTGACGTCTTCGAATACGCTCGATTCATGCTTGCAACACCAGCTTACCTTGTCGCTCATTTGACTGGGGACCTCGATGAATTGGCATCCGAGCGGCGGATACTTTCTGGGATGACTGATGACCTTGGTGTGGTCTTTGTCGATGCTGCCGAGACGAAGGTCAGACAACAGCTGGCGAAAGCTGCAGCTCTAGACTCTCCAGTGCTGCAAGCAGCAATCGATAAAGCATTGAGAGGCCAACATGAGGTAGAGACAAGAATGGCGAGGCGTAAACAAGAGGCGATCGTTACTGAGGATGTTCCTCAAGAACTTATATCAGCTCGACTCGACTCTCCTGCTCTTACGAACACCAATCGCAACAGGAAGCGCAACGTCAACCCTCCACCACCCTCTACCTCAACCTATTATTATTACCAAGCCAGCTCTGGCCTCCCAATCTTCCTTCACCCACTCGATATCAAGATACTGTTGTCTCACTTCAACAACTATCCTGCCTTTCCTGACACAATTACCATACGGGTCGATGCCTCAGCGGAAGGCACTGTCAACGATGACTTGCGAAAGCGCTGCAAATACCTCGCAAATATGCCCGAAGGCGCCGATGTCGTTTTTGTGGAAGCCGATCTTTCTGATGTCGTTGGCCATGCTGGATTGAAGAACTTCGAGGGTCCCTTGAAGATGCGAGCATCCAGGAGAAAGGACAAAGAGCGTAAAGATGAGAGGGCCAGAATCCGCGCTGAAGAGCGGGAAAAAGAGCGAGATCGTCAAGTTGCTTCCAGTATACCTACCTCGACGTGGAGGTTTGCGAGTGATATCGGTTCACCCTTACCGAACGAGGTCGTATCACCACCAGCTGAAGCTGAGGCTCAACCACCAGTTGCACAGGGTGCTTGGGGTGCTCGTAGTTTCGCAGCCGCAGCTAACTCAACACCGACAACCTCCAATCCTCGCAATACCGCTGTGACGTCATCCCGCGAACGAGAGCGAGAAGAAGACGAGTGGGATATGGACGCTGCTTGGCATGAATTAGAGACCCGGATTAGCACAGGGAATGGAGGGGGTGGGGGTGGGGGTGGCAAGAAGAGAAACAACCGAATGGTTGTACTGGGTGGCGGGGGACCTGGTGGACGAAGGAGGCGGTAAACTGACAATCTTTTAAGCATAATAAGGCAATCCTTCGCAATTTGTGTAGCACCACGTTAACAATATCATTGTACCATCTCTTAGCTTGAAAATATTTAAAGCTCCTGCACTGTTGAGCTATGGAGGAGTCATAGGCATCACCTGATCGCGCCTAACTTTGGCGTCTACTCTAGTCTTTGACTCCGAACCACAACCACAGCAGAACACGCGTTAACAACGTTTCACACAAATGCCTCCAAGAAAACAACCAGCAGGTGCCTGGGGCAATCGTCCTCCCCAGGCTCAAGCCCCTCGAGCTCCAGCGCCCGCAGCACCCGCAGCACAGGCGCCAGCGTCTACTTTCCGGCCGCCCCGTTCGTGTCTCTTTCCAATCATTTAGCAACAATCCACTGAGTTGAAATACCCCCCCGCAGCTGGCCACATTCAGACGGTCGGCGCGAAACGTCCTGGCCATGGCACGAAAGGCCGACGCTTTTTAATCAATGTCAATTCTTTCACGATCGACTTCCCCGACGGATTTATCTTCCACTACGATGGTGCGTGACCACTATCCTCTCTCTCAATCTGCTGCTTGTCGCTGAATCATGCATAGTTGGTACGTATAGACAACTGGAGCTGGAACATTGGATAATGACGCCGCTCCCACAGTCATCTCAAGCGATAAGCCCCTGCCCTTGGGCCTCAACATGGACATCATTAGTGCGCTCCAGCAAGCTGAACCGAAGATCTTTGAGAATAACCCGGCCTCGTTCGATGGACGCAAGAATATGTATACCGCTGCAGAATTGCAGCTTGATGGTGATGGACGAGAGGTAGTGACTTTCTCTTGCTTTCTACATCCTCTCAATGCATTCCAGTTTGATGTGTACCTCCCCAACACAGCTGTAATCTCCCAACCCAAGGTGTACAAGGTCCGCATTGCCCTTGTTGCTAAGATCAACAATGAGTGTGTGCTATTCCTGTCTTCATGACATCAATAATGACACTTTGCTAGAATTCTTCATCGCTTTGTCAAGGGGAAACAATCAGAGGACAGCACCGTCAGCACTGGGCTCCAGGCACTCAACATTGTCAGCCGCATGGATCCATCCTCTAAGTACCGTTCAAAAGGGCGCTTTTTTTACACCCTTGACAACTCTCTCGATCTTCGTAATGGCCTTATTGCAGTGCGAGGCTACTTCCAGTCGATCCGACCAGGGCAAGGCCAGATGCTTCTCAATATCGACATCTCAACTGGTGTCATGTATAAGGCTGGTCCCTTGATCAACCTTTGCCTCTTATTCCTCAGAGAAAGATCACCCCAATCTCTGACTTCAGCTCTTAATGAGCGCCAACGCCTCCAACTCAGCCGCTTCCTCGTTGGGGTCCGTGTAAAGACCAAGGATGCTGGCAACCCTAACAATGAGCGAACCCGTGTTATTCGCCGGCTGCATAATCAGGGAGCAAATGAGGTGACATTTCTTATGCGGGAGGGAGGCCTGCGGAAGACAGTTGCCCAATATTTTGAAGAGACTGCCCATCGTCGTCTTCAGTTCCCTTCAGTCCTTTGTGTTGAGGTATGCTTTACAACTACTTCAATAATATACTGACTGCTCTTAGATTGGCCAAGGGGCTCTAATTCCACTAGAGCTTTGTGAGGTTGTGCCAGGCCAGTTGATCCGTAAAGAGATACCAGATGATAAGAAGAAGGACCTTGTTCGCTTTGCTTCTGTTGCACCTCAGCAGCGACTTCAAGATATCCAGAAGGGCTTAGAGGTATTTTCTCTATTATTACAAGCATAATACTCAATTGAACTAGGTTCTTGCTCATGGACAGTCTAAATATGTGATTAAGTTTGGTGTTACTGTTAACCCTCGGATCATGCAGCTAGAAGCTCGTCTTCTTGATGCTCCTCGACTTATTTATGGTCAAGGGAGTAAGCAACCTGTTGTTGTAAGTTCTTTCTAAATTTGGGAATAATAAGACTCATTATTCTGATAGCAACCAAGCAATGGAATGTGGAATATGTATAGTAATTTCTTCTATTATATATCTATTTATTGACCAAATCTAGGGCGGACAAGAAGTTTTATGAGCCTGTTACAATTGCAAACTGGTCCTTGATTATTCTTGATCCGGGTTTACCTGCCAATAAGAAAAATGAGATTGCAGCTGGCTTTATTTCTGGTTGCCGGACTACAGGTAAGTTGTCCTATTCTATTCTTTCACACCTGATAATAATCTTAGGGATCACATTTATTCGTGAACAACCTGCTACTATCCAGCAGTTTAGTGCACAAGGTACTCAGGGCTTTAACGATGTTTGTTTATTTTTATGTCATTTTTTGAGTTACTAACATATTTGCAGAGGCTAACAGCAGCTGGAAGAGAAGCATATCAAGTGACCAAAAATGCTCCAACTCTGTTTCTTGTTGTACTTCCAGATGGAGGTAATGATATCTATACTGCTGTAAAACAGTATGTTGTTGTTACTTTACTTTACTTATCTGATCATTATCCAGCTGGGGAGATATTGTAGTATGTTTTCTTTCATTCTTTTTTCAATTACTAATATTTTCTAATACTTGTATAGAAGGGTGTTGCTACACAATGTGTCAAATCCCGTAACTGTGTTGGGGCCAATATGCAATTCTGGGCAAATGTTGCATTGAAGTAAGTTGAGTTAGTGACAAGAACTTATCATTCTGAATTTTTTTCTTAGAGTTAATGGGAAATTGGGTGGAATCAATGTCATTCTTGATCCAAATCAGAATGCCTTGCTAGCAGATTCCCGTTTCTCTACTGTGGTTCTTGGTGCAGATGTCATGCATCCTGGGTAAGTTATACTTGCTGATAACTTCTTGTCTGTAATCTTACCTTCTCTACAGAGCAGGAACAACAGGCCGGCCATCCTATGCTGCTGTTGTTGGCAGTAAAGATCTGCATGCAGCAGGTTATGTGGCAATCCATGGTGTACAGCAATCCCGTCAAGAGCTTATTACTGAGTTGCGGTCTATGACCAAGGTATGTGGTGTATACTTTTTTTTTAGCCTAAATCTCATTACAATCAAGTATGTCTTGGAGAAGCATATCAATTATCGCAAGAATACAGAAAAGGCTTCTGAGGCAGATGCAAAACCTAAGCGACTTATGTTCTTCCGAGGTCAGTATTTCCTTTGAAAACTGTCATTTACCTCTAATATTGTGTAGATGGAGTTTCTGAGGGTCAATTCCAACAAGTTCTTGACTTTGGTAAGCATATTTCTATCGCATCCCGAATAGCTAAAATAATATGAACCCAGAGCTCCCATCCATCAAGGGTCATTCATTTTCCTTAACGAAGTAAACCATACTCATGGCAATGTAGATGCATGCAGGGACCTCGGCATATCTCCCGCAATCACACTTGTTGTCGTCGGGAAGAGACACCACAACCGGTAGGACAAATCAGTCATGTATTCCTTCCACACAAATAACATTTATCGAGGTTTTTCCCTCAAAACAATAAGGATGCAGACAAAAGTGGCAACTGCCGTGCGGGGACTGTTCTCGACCGTGGAATTGGCCATCCGACCATGTTTGACTTTTACCTGCAGAGCCATGGGGGCTTGCTTGGTACGAGTCGCCCTGCACATTATTCTGTGCTATATGATGTGAGTGTTTGATTCCGTCTCTGTGCAGCGTAATCATGCTATCTACAGGATAACAATTTGAAGTCGGCTGAGTTGCTTTTGCTCGTATCACGAAAATTGACCTTGCTTCAGTGCCGACGCAATGCAATCTTTCTGCTATGCGCTCTGTCACGTTTACGCTGGCTCGACCCGCTCAGTCTCGATTCCCCCACCGGTTTATTGTCTGTCAACTTTCCCTGTTGCGTCGTTGTCCAATCATCTTGTTTCTCTAGACGCCGACAAAGTTTGCGCCCGAGCCAAGATCCATTTCGATCCCTCGAGGCAGGATACCAACTTCTCGGAAACTGCATCTACGGCTACTGGGACGACGGCAGCAACGGAGACTCTCGATGCTTTCAAACGCGACTTCATGCCGGTGCACAATCTTCAATCCGAACGAGCTTATTTCTCGGTAAGTCGTGCAATCCACTCTCTCCTGGCCGCCACTGAACCCGACCATAGTAATTGGAAGATGCTCGTAGCTAGAAACTTTTACATTCGTTAGTCATTACTGTCGTTACGTGTCGTCAATTCGATTGTGTTTATGTCTATGCAACCGCCACCTCAAACTTGAGCCCCTCTATCCGATAGACCTGCATTCGCTTTTCGAACTTGCGACTGAACTTGCGCGAGCTGGTATATTTGACGTCTGCCAACCGCGCAACCAGCGGCGGGGCCATTGCATGCCTCTCTTCTTCCGTCCACCACCTTGTTTCCACCATCTCCTGCAGCTCGCTTTCATCGAAATCGCATCTTAACGATGCCAGCCAGAGGACTTCGAGTTTCGGCACCAGCGGGGTGGCGTCGAAGGGCGTATAGCGTAAGGAAGCAAGAACACCGCTGTCAATGCAGTTCGAGCAGTTGTATATTTCTAGGTGGGAGAGGTTGGGGGTGTGTTGGAGCGCGGATTGGAGGTCCTCTGGAGTAAGCGCACAATGGTCGATGTGGAGACGTGATATGAGAGGAGAACGAAGCTGGAAAGCCGTGAATGGGGTAGGCGACCAGGTTATTACGCCTGAATGGTACTCTCCGTACAGTTTTAGAGACATGAGCTTGGGGAGAGATAGTGACTGGAAGAAAGGCGTAAAATGGGCCGAAGAAGACGTGTTGGCAATGCTGATCTCGAGGGTGCGTAAGAGTGGTATGACAACTGGTTGTGGCTCGGTTTCTGGTTCAGGAAGAGAAGCCCAGCCAGAAGTCTGGAGCGTCGCTGAAATCAGACCAGTGCATCGGAGGATGATGTCCAGACAAACTTGAGGCGAATCGTGAGCAAGCGCAAGGTTTGTAAGCTGCATCCATGGTAGCGGGAAGACAGATACTTGCCAGAGAGTCGCCCTTCGTAGTCGTGTAGCCGTCACCAATATATCCTGGCTGAAAGAAACCTCCTCCTTGCCGGAGCGCTGCCTCGACCTTCGTGGGGTTGACGAGTGGTACCCATATCTCTGGTGTATCGACGACGCGTATATCTTTAAATTTTTGGCGTCACACATCTTCCCTCTCACGGCGATCATCTCCAGGAATCCTCACATCCGCAAACCTCGCATCTCACTGGCCTAAACGCGTGCCGCGACCAACCGCGCTCCATGCCCACTCGCCTGTCAACCGGCCCACTGCCTGGCTACTCCACTCCAAACCTGCGCCGGCCCGCGCCAGAACGTCCCCCCAAAATCTTGCAGCTCCGCCAATCTGCCAAGGCAACTCACATCGACATACTGACTACTACGGGCCGGGGACGTAGTACGCATGAAAAAGAGATGGGATGGGCATGAGTTTCGCGACATGTTTTTGGGGAGCCAACCAACCCCGCACCGGGCCAACGCGGCTACGAAATCTCCCGGCACGTCAAATCCGGCTTCTGGCTACATACTGACTACTACTGGGGTGGTGCCGGCGCCTCCGAAACGTGGCTTTGCTCGGGCCGGACCCGTTGTTTGGGCCGCGAGCATGTTCTTTTGTTGGCTGGGGAGAAACCGGGGTCAAGGTGCGTAGATTTGGCCGAGTTAACAGGCAAACTCACCTTTGGATCAGCTCCAAACGACCCAAATTATGGGATTGCGATGGCCGGAATCAGCGGAAGCACGCGCGAAGCTGGGGTGGTCGCCAAACCCGTCCCTTCAGAGCCGTTCGCGGGGGCAGAAGTCGATGGGGAACTTGCTACACTCGCCAGGTCAGGTTCTTTGCGTCCACTGCAACGAATCCGTAGGTTTTCGCAGCGCAAACGCGAATCGGGCAAGTGCTGCGCCAACCCAAACAACTCGTGAGTGCTTTCCCAATTTGTTTGAACCTCAGGCCGACTCACCTGAATCTCAAGGTTGCGATGGCGGTTCGCAAACGGCGCGGCCGAAAAAAGGCACGTTTGTAGGTACTTGGGTAACCGCATGTTTCTGCGTTGGTAAAATTGACGTTGTTAAGTTTCAGAATGGAGACTTACTGCGAGAGCAACTACAACTTTGACTTACTCATTAATTTGTGTCAGTGAAGCTATTGACGACGGTTCAAGTAAAGAACTTACTGGCCTTTGGTTTCGCTTGGGGGCCTTATTCACTTGAGCAAGCTAAACATGTACAACTCCGGACGGCGCTGGTCGGTTAGCATTGCGCTGGTCGGACTCGCAGGAGGCGATGGACAGCGCGATAGACAGCTAAACTGACCGGGTAAGCTTTCAAGTTATCTCTGTCTGTTGTAATCAATCCACTTACTTGAATGTAGATTTCGTCTTTTGAAAGCCAGCGAACGCAAAATTGGTCATTCGATAACGCGCTAAAACAACTGGGTAAGCTCTTCTCCCATTTGTTCAAGCAAACCGACTCACGAGTTTGCGGCAACTCAAGCAACTTGGGCAAGTCTGTATTCGCAGACTTACCCTGCATGTTTCTGCAGGGCCGCTCCTTGACAGACCGCAAACAAAACCTCGCCAACAATGGGCTTGTATTTGCGTTCGCGCTTGCTGCAAAGGTGAGCGCGTGCGAATTTGTGATACTTACTGTTTTGTTTCAAAGGCTTCGATGGCGTTGCGAGCTCGTTCGTGCTCGTCTGGTTGAGCAGGAACAGTGAGACCAAACGGCGAAAGCAAGTTCACTTACTCACCGATTGGTTTCAGAGGCCTTCGAGAGCGACAAACAAGGCCTCAAAGTCAATGAATTGCAACTTTATAATGTCGGATCTGAGTTGGTAAGTGGATATGATGTTGCAAACAGAACTGACCAACGGCCAGGTCAACAACTCCGGAATGTGGAAATTGCGCCCCAGTGTGAATCTAGCAAACGCGCCGCAACCGACCTGGATGTGGTAAGCCAGACTCAGATGAAGTAAAGAACAACAAACTTATTTGCAAACAGTGTTGCTTGCTTCCGGGCCCAACGTGGAAATGAACGAGGTCAGCGCGGGCAACTCTGGCGAGCCCAGAGTACTCGCGCTCGACCTGACGACAAGGTAAGCTAGCTTGAATCAAAGTCAACGACAACTTACTTCACTAACTAGAATGGAATGGAGGGCATGGACCGGACGACGAGTCTGATAGAATACATATCAGTACACACTGTATTAGCTAGAAGGAATGAAATATTTGCGCACCTTTTTTTTCGCGTGCCATCACATAGCTCGTGACTCGCATCTCTTGATCTTCTCCTCCATCTCGATCGTCTGCGACGGCTTCTTCGACCACCGCAGCCTTCCACAAGCGGCATGTCCGCCTCGAACGTTGGGTAATGGTGGGAACACGGGAAACAGTGGGGAGATAGGAGAGAAACGGCGGCAGGCCGTATCCAACGGGTGAGTCCGGCCCAGCATTAAGCTATGCTTAGCGTTCAACGGCGACCTCGTTAGGCTGGCCGCTTCAGCCCAAACGGCAACCTTAGCCCAACCCCCAATCTATCCCGGCGGCTATCCGGCTTTCCTTCTGGCAACTCGCGACCGACTACTGACTCCAGGCTGGCACGGCGTTCTATCCGCATCTTGGGACTGTATCGGCCAGCTCGGCTGTCTCCAAAACTGGGCAAGCCGCGCCAACAACCACTCCCTCAAACATTATGCCGGCGGCTCGCCCATGGCAACTACTGGCTACGAATTGCGGCCCGCCCGCTTGCTTCAAAAACTGAGCGGGCGGCGACTGGGTCGGCCCGGCCACCAACCCGCTCTTGCTCAATCTCTCCCGCCTTGACCTCGGTATCGTATCAACTCCGCCAGCTTGCTGTCAGTGGTCGCTCTCCCTCGTTTGGGCGGCACACCGAGCAGATCCATATTCGCTTTCACAACGTGGGCACTGAAAGGTCAGCGAGCGGCTTTGACGTTGTAGCGAACGAAACTCACCAACTATAGTCTCAATTCCCTGCTCAACGCCGTAGGCAGCAGCAACGACTGCGACCTCGTTGTTGAAGGCAGCGCGGACCATCCTTCAAACCAGGTCAGTTGCCGCGTTCAAAGCGAACTCACCAGACATAGGCTTGAACTGAACAAACTCGCGTCAGTCATCTCCGTCAACATCGTAGACAGTGAACTTACTGTATTAACAGTCGCGCGCCAAACCATGCCCCCATGCCCAAACCGAGCTGGGTCAAGGGCAACGGGGTAGGGAGTCCGGAACGCGGGGGTTGCCTAAGACAACCTGTAAAAACGGTCAGTAGTCGTGATCAACGTCGCAGGCGGCTAAGCTTACCAAAAAACTCAGCGCTTCAACACCAAGCTAACCTGAGCCCAAGCGCAAGGCAACGCGTGAGGCTGTTGAGACCAGGCCGTGAACGGAACTGCGAAGTAAGTCAAACTGGGTAATCTTGAAATAGGTCAGTTGCCGATATAAAGGCAGATACAGCACTCACAGCTCGCTCCTCGTTCCAACCCAGACCAGCTCACGAGTCGACTATGCCCAAATCGAAGTCGGCGACGTTGTTGTCCAAAACCAAGGCCAGAAGTGGAAGCTGCCAAGTAAGTCAAACTGGGTCGCTCGTTGAATTAGGACATGTACTTACCTTTGCACAGACTGAGACAATTCTAAGCCCGAGGATGAAGGCGAAGATGTCGATGGCGGGGAGTCGGAACGGTGGGCGGGGGAAAACGCCAGCTGTGAAGGAAGTCAAACTATACTTGCCTCCTGTCAAGAACAAGGGCGCGACGAGCGCAAGCGCAACCCGTTGTGCTGGTCACTGTTGGACGCGGAACTTGGACATGGCGAGCGGGCGGGGCGGGAGAGTGCGAGTCGGATAGTGTACAGGCTGTGGTATAAGAGAACATTAATGAGAAACTCGATGTTGGGCAAGCTGAGTGCAGGTTGAGTGGGAGAAGGGAGAAAGAGACGATGGGAGTCTGGGAGGACAAACCCAGGTTTATATACTTGCTATAACGGCATGTTGGGCCGAATCCGAGCTGATGCGCTGCAGAAATGAGCGGAGTTGACTTTCGCTTAAGATAGCCGTCAGTCTGAGATTTCAATATTGAAGCCTGATGCCGCCGGGAACAAAATCGAATGGCTGCAACTGCACTTGGGCAGTATTTCTAGTGTGTAGAACCCTTAACATGGCTCACATTCCCTCAGAAGGTGTCTAGATACACAGAATGGTAAAAGCGAATCTTGGGCAACAGAGCTTCATCGCGGGCTTCCGAGCCCCGATGAAACACTTCCCACGTTGGGACACGTCGGCTACAGGACGCTAATGCGGAGATCTGGCCAGCTCCGCCACCCTGGGATGTCGGGAAGCGAAATGTTGCATTTGCGGATATCTATCCTATGGTACGTTAGCGGGCGCCGCGCGGACGGAAAGGAGCATGGGAGGCGTTGCAAATGATGTGTCACATGTCACAGAAGAAATTTCAGGCCTATCGGCGGCTGCGATGCTCTACTGTTAAATGATCAGTAAAATCGCTCTCATCTTGAATCTCATCGATTGGAGTATGGATAGAGCTGCGATGAAGCTCTGGATAAGGTCTAGAGGCGTTGAACATTATTTCCCACGCTCTCATTGACCCGATCACCACTGTTTGGGACACCAATTCCAGAATCTGCAGAGCATTTCCATATCGGTCAGGATGGATGTTCAGCTGAATCAGCAGCGCGGCGCAGCGTGTGGACCAGGTAAGGCGAGGATGATGACCAGAAAAGATGAGGAGGCAGTTCATCTGATCGATTTCGGACATCATCATCCAAAAGGACAAAACTACTCTAGGCACAAAAAGGTTGAACCGGCAAAATATGCAAAGCCAACAAGACATAAACGTAACCACTCAGACCAAGAAGCGTTTGAAATGCTCGCCGCTCAGCTTCACATGTGCTCACCTTAAGCGAGGCTAAGCCTTGGCAGGGCTGTCCCCGCCCGTCTTCAACGGCATTCACTCTCCATTCCCCGCCCGTCCGCCGCTCGCCTAACTCTTCCCCGACGCTCGCCCAAATAAATCATCCGTCAGCCTTCATCCCCGAAACCCGGCGGAGTCGGACGCCGTCGCCGTAAGCCTGATGCATCACTGTCGTGTCGGCATATCACACGCCGTGACTCTTTTGCTCTTAACCGTCAACAACCCAAGACACTCTCCCTCGCAAATGCTGGCACCAAGTGGCTCCCCGACGTGTCGCCCTCAGGTCTGTCCCCACTTTCTCCTTGTTTCTTGTGGGCTAACTAACTTGAAGCAAGCGTCGGCGTCGCCTTCGGTGCGCTAGTGAATGAAGCCGCCAGCGTGGTCTTGACCTCCAGGTATGTGTCATCTTGTTGCTCGATTCTGTGCGCTGACCAGTGATTCTCAGGTTTTTGTCCCGTCGCGTTTCACCAGCCTTCCCAGAGTCCCTTAGACGCGTCCACAAAAGGTCTGTTTTTCACTTTCCTTGTGTTTCTCGTGCGCTGACCAACTCAGTCTACAGCGTCGTTTTTACTGCCTTGGTGCCTGCCGCTCGCGCCACTTGCTTCCGAACGAGTGCAGTGCTGGTAGCCAGCGGACTTGATGCAGCTATGAACAAGCAGGTCAGTGGTTCCTTCCTGCGCCGTGGTTCTGTACTGACTTGTGGCGTGTAGATTTTGGCGACACCGCCATTAGCGCTGCGACACTGCAGTCACGCGACCATCAACAAGCAGGACTATCTTTTTACCACTCGTCTACGCGGGCAAACCGTGTGCTTCACCCTTCTCAACACTAGCACAGACGCGTCATGCGTTGTCTCGAACATGCAACGTGAGTTAATTCTACTCATATTTGGCCCATGGTTGAAGGAGACTTTCAGAACTTTGGAGCCGCTTACCCAAGTCATTGCACCTGCGGCACACGATAGCGCGTCTATACTTTGTGTGTTTCCTTGTTCTTCTCGCTGACTTACAGCTTATTTCTGCTCATAGAGGCCGCATTCTCACGCAAACGGTGGATTTTCTTTGGTGTGAATTTGTCATTACGTAAGCGATTTCCTGTTGTCATTTTGACTCAAAAATAACTCACTTTTGCCAGACTTTTTTGCCGCCGGAGGCGATGCGAAACCGCCTGGACTTAAGCTTGCGGCTGCTGCCGTTTGCAGCAAGGTATGTATGATTCCAAAAAATCCCCATTCTCGATTGACTGATCAGGCCCAGACGTTGTATCCGGGCTGATGCGGTGTCCCGGGCGTCGGATGCCGGTATGCCGGCCGTGATCCGATCACTGATACGCATCATCCGATGATTTCAGCGCGCAATTCTGCCCTCAAAATTCGCGTCAAATCGGCTCATTTTTTGCGGGGTTTTGCCGCCGGAGGCCCACATACAGGTTGGGCCAGCAAAGTTGACGTTGGCAGCCATTTGCTGCCCTCAACCCGTATGTGTGTGCTTTGTTTTCCCACTTCTTGACTAACTGTGTCTCCAGGTGACACCGTCTCACGTTGTAGGACTCTCGTTTTTCAACGATCAACTTCAACTTCTGCTGCGTTGGAAGCACTGGTAGTGACTGCAGTCCTGCCTCGCGGTCGACTTGCAGTAGCGCCGGAGGCGCTGCCGCCGTCCCCCCGTATGTCGTATGCTGCTTCGCTCTCCCATTTCTTCGGGTGCTTGCGACACGCTTGCAGCAATGCTGCAGGCGTTAATCCTCCCACATTCAACTTCTATTCGCGAATGACCTTGCTTTCCGCCAGTGGGTCTCAAAAACGCCACCAACGTTCCACGCAACCTAGGCCACGCCCCACCGAAGCCCGCATCACGCCGCGACGTCGACCAGCCACTTCTCATGCGCGGGTGACTTGAGCCAGCGACCTGGCTCTCATGCTCGTGCCGCATGCCATGGCTCCACAAGCCGGGAGATCACGAGCAGGCTCTCGCCATTTGGCCGTCTCGGCGCTGCGATCTAAACCCACTCGGCACGACCAGTGTCCTCCGGCAAAACCCAATAGGGCCGCCTTCCACGCCAACCTTGCCCGCTGTGTTCTCTGCCACACCCACCGCGGCCCCGCTTTTACGCTGGCAATAATAGCCGCGCGCCATCTCCCGCTGGCTTGCGCTGTCAGCTTCATTTAATGGTGAGCCTACGACACTCTGCTTTTATTCTATCTAGCTTACTTTGTTGCAATCCGCGACAGCGAGGCTAACTTGTGGCCAACACTGGTGCCTCGACATGTTCTACGCCTCGTTGCTGGCCTTCTCTCCCCTTTCCACCTCGCCCTCCCAACGAGCTGCGCTCCCGCACTACCCATCACACGCCTCTCTTTTTACATCACATGTCGGGCCCGACGGTCTTCCTTGCTGGTCACCCGCCAACGACAAGACAACCCACTCTTGCGGCCTTGACTTGTCATCCCATCAACAACGCAATGGGCTGCCGACGCTGGATTTTGCGGCGGGTTGCGAGTAACAACGTGTTGGCCCTCACACTTTGCGAGTAGCGGTACTCGTCGCCAGCGGCGTTTGCTATGGACCTCATGTCAGCAACAACAACACCCGATTTTTGGAGCTGCCCGGTGACGTTGCCGGTTTAACGCTGCCAAGATGGCAAGTCTACAATGATTAGCTTGAATTCTAGCTCACTTTTTCTCAGTCTTGCGTTGTTGCAATCCAAGAGAGAGCGAGTTTTGAAACGACCTTTTCGGGCTGCTTTGCCGTCGGTCGCCTTTTCGACATCGCAGCCGCGTCTGCCCACTCCCATCTTCCTGCGCATTCGGTTTCGACTCTCTCCGAGTGCCATCAAAAGGTGTTCTCAGCGAATTCTTGGCGGATTTTCTTGGTTTTTGTTGGAGGTGGTAGGGGGAGATGGTGGGATGGTGGGTATGTCGAGCCGATGGGAAGCCGGTGAGAGGGGGGAGGGGACACGCGGTGATCGGGGAGGTGCACGCGCGGCGAGGGGACGCGACGCGACGGGTACTAAAATCATGTATGTAAATAGCGTAATACACGAAAAAAAAGTATATAACTACGAGCCCTCGCGCGAGCCTTAGCGAGCTGCGAGCCTTTGCGATGGGTGAGTTGAGGGATGGGTGGAGGGTAAGGCTCACCTTTGCGATGGGTGAGTTGCAGGAGGGTACGAGTCGCCCTGCACATTATTCTGTGCTATTAGTTTGATTCCGTCTCTGTGCAGCGTAATCATGCTATCTACAGGATAACAATTTGAAGTCGGCTGAGTTGCTTTTGCTCGTATCACGAAAATTGACCTTGCTTCAGTGCCGACGCAATGCAATCTTTCTGCTATGCGCTCTGTCACGTTTACGCTGGCTCGACCCGCTCAGTCTCGATTCCCCCACCGGTTTATTGTCTGTCAACTTTCCCTGTTGCGTCGTTGTCCAATCATCTTGTTTCTCTAGACGCCGACAAAGTTTGCGCCCGAGCCAAGATCCATTTCGATCCCTCGAGGCAGGATACCAACTTCTCGGAAACTGCATCTACGGCTACTGGGACGACGGCAGCAACGGAGACTCTCGAGGCTTTCAAACGCGACTTCATGCCGGTGCACAATCTTCAATCCGAACGAGCTTATTTCTCGGTAAGTCGTGCAATCCACTCTCTCCTGGCCGCCACTGAACCCGACCATAGTAATTGGAAGATGCTCGTAGCTAGAAACTTTTACATTCGTTAGTCATTACTGTCGTTACGTGTCGTCAATTCGATTGTGTTTATGTCTATGCAACCGCCACCTCAAACTTGAGCCCCTCTATCCGATAGACCTGCATTCGCTTTTCGAACTTGCGACTGAACTTGCGCGAGCTGGTATATTTGACGTCTGCCAACCGCGCAACCAGCGGCGGGGCCATTGCATTCCTCTCTTCTTCCGTCCACCACCTCGTTTCCACCATCTCCTGCAGCTCGCTTTCATCGAAATCGCATCTTAACGATGCCAGCCAGAGGACTTCGAGTTTCGGCACCAGCGGGGTGGCGTCGAAGGGCGTATAGCGTAAGGAAGCAAGAACACCGCTGTCAATGCAGTTCGAGCAGTTGTATATTTCTAGGTGGGAGAGGTTGGGGGTGTGTTGGAGCGCGGATTGGAGGTCCTCTGGAGTAAGCGCACAATGGTCGATGTGGAGACGTGATATGAGAGGAGAACGAAGCTGGAAAGCCGTGAATGGGGTAGGCGACCAGGTTATTACACCTGAATGGTACTCTCCGTACAGTTTTAGAGACGTGAGTTTGGGGAGAGATAGTGACTGGAAGAAAGGCGTAAAATGGGCCGAAGAAGACGTGTTGGCAATGCTGATCTCGAGGGTGCGTAAGAGTGGTATGACAACTGGTTGTGGCTCGGTTTCTGGTTCAGGAAGAGAAGCCCAGCCAGAAGTCTGGAGCGTCGCTGAAATCAGACCAGTGCATCGGAGGATGATGTCCAGACAAACTTGAGGCGAATCGTGAGCAAGCGCAAGGTGTGTGAGCTGCATCCATGGTAGCGGGAATACAGACGCGTTACTGACTTGCCAGAGAGTCGCCCTTCGTAGTCGTGTGGCCGTCACAAATATATCCTGGCTGAAAGAAACCTCCTCCTTGCCAGTTCCCCGCAACTCCAATGCCTCTAAACTGCGGAATGCACCACTCGGTATTTGCCCTAGTGTTGGGAGGAGCTTCGTCGTCAAATTTAGCGCTTGCCATCGTCCAGGAACGACGAATAAGGTGTCCAACAGCAAGGCCAGCGAAACGGACTCGTAACCTGCCCCTAATGAGATAGGCAGAGGTAGGGGAGCGCTGCGTTCAAGGAAGAGTTTGGTGGCCTCGACTTTGGTGGGGTTGACGAGTGGTAGCAGCCGCACCCATATCTCTGGTGTTTCCAACGCTACTTTGCGCCAATGGCTGCAAACTTGACCCAAGGCCAGCACTTGTTGAATCCGTGGTGGTGGGTCTCCGGAGACGGCAGAACGGAATATTCTGCCGAGCACTGTTTTTAGGGAGCGTCCGAACAGGGGTGACTATGAGTTGAAGAGCTCGAATAAGCTCTGTTTCGCGTCGAATGAGTGCTTGGAGGTCCGAAATTTGGCTCTCCAGTCTGACAATAGTGGCCTGCGATTCGCGTATGAGGGCATTAGCATGGTCTTGGACTGTCAAGGAGGTCGTTTGGGCGAGGAGGAGGGCGATAGACAGCGTTTCGGCCATGAAAAATCAGAACACATGGCCCAGGCGAAGAAGACACAAAAATGATCTGTTTGCCGGTTGAGTCTCATGGTCGGGAGCCCGCGTCTACGCTGCTATAGTACTGGGCAGGGTCGTGTTTTATGTGACTCGAGGCTGGCTATCTTTCCTCGAACGGAATGTAGGTGCAGTTTGAGGCATCTGAAGCAAATTTTGCTTATAGGTCACACGCTGTCACTCGATGATACCGGACCGAATTCTGCTGGTAGGTAGTTTCACAATAGCGGAGGACGGGGAGAAAGAGACGACGACCGATTAAGAAGGGCTATGCTGCGAGTAAATCCAATGGACATCACCAAGTTCCGCAGTGACATTACACTTCCAACCTGCAGTCCTGCTCGAAATGAACCCCAGCCCTTGAAATTCGCAAGCATTCGTACCCCCAAAAGACACGAACGCTCGCGAGCATTTATTTCGACAACGGCAGGTGGAGTACAAGCTGTCCAAAAATGGCTTCTGTTTTGGAGAGAGTTGCCTGAAGGGTGGCCATGGGATGTATGCATGTGGGAAGAGCGTGGAATCCAGTTGTGAGCGGACCGAGCGGAAATGTAGGTGAGCTAAGCCTAAGCGCTAGCGAGGATATCTCTTTAGCAGGGTTTGCTCCTCAAGTTGGAGCCGGTTGGCTGCTCCATATTTGATACGCATGCATTGACGCGAAAAACGGACCGCAGGACCTGAGCCTGAGGGTTTTATCAGAATACGATCCACAGCTTCGCACTTTTGGCAAGTCCTTAGAATAGCACAGGTAGCCGAGGTTCAACAGGCTGCTCAGTGCTGTTGACAGAATGGTGCTGTCGCATAGAGATCCACAATCTAAGCGACGATGGCGATGTGGGGTAGACCGTCGATGTGCCAGTTCACTAACAGGACAGCTGTTGGAGCCACAACGGAGGAGAGCCGGCAGACGCTTTATGCACAATCGCTTGTCATAGCCTGAGGAGCAGATTGACGACAGGGTCGACCAGATTGACGAAGCCACAAGTACAAGCCAACAGTAAAGTGACCGTGGGTGTGTGAGAGGATCCGTCGCTACCGCTGTCCGTGGCAACGATGAGCGGTGTCTAGATCTGGGAGACGATTGAAATCCTGCTGGAACGGAGTATCAGATGGTGTTCACCTGTGGAGTGAGAAATTAAGGCAGATGGGTGGCCAAAACGCATGAACGCTCTAATAAACTGGCAGCGTTTAAAGTGGGATATTGAGGCTATCATAAGCATTATTAAGGGGCTTTCCGAGTTCAACATAGCGGTCGGAGACAAGGAAACAAGGCTCGTGACCGTGTTGGTCACGGTATGAGATCATGATGTGACACATGTGACTGGATGATTCCCAGCTCCACCTCGACAGAAACTCCAATGCCATCTCAGGTCTTCCCCGCCGAGAGACGCCCTGTTTGCTCAAAGATACACGATGCCAAACGAGTTTCGAGTCCGACAGTACATAAAAGCCAATTTGGAGGGGGAGGACAAACGGAATAGCACCACTTGTGGAGCATCCGACTCCGAACGGTTAGCTATGCACATGGCCACCTTTTTCGGTTGAGTAATTTTCAGGGCACGCATATATAATACCACCGCGGAAACAGACCCGGGCCCCACTTCAACTCAAACCAACTCTTTCATCGTCGCTCTCTCTTCTCTCTCCTCTTGCTGTCCTCCCTTCTTCTACATCTTTACCTTCTACGCCTCTCAGCCCTGGCTCCCCGACTATGACTACGGCGGCGGCCGGGAATGCAGCTGGGAATGACACTGCGCCACCACCTATCGTTTTATACTCGCGCGCGTTACAGGCCTACACTCTTCGGTTGTGGAATGACTCGTTGAGAAAAGCAGAAGAGGAGCAACGTCGTCGGCGTCGAACTGATATTTTGCGGAAAGAGAGCGGGTTGGCTATCGATGTCCAGGTTCAACGGCAACCAGCGACCAGTCCCTCATAACATTGGTGCAACTTCATCGACTCTTGCCACCAGGCCAAATGAGCCTCGCACAGCACGCTGCCACACCCATTCACCCATCCAGCAAGCCACTCGCAATATGCTGCTACGTGTTTTGGCTCTCCGACTACCTCCGATCGCAGTATTTATTTGCTGCACGCGGTCATGGTGTTGTGAACGACCAGCTAGAAAGACAGACACAGTCTGGTCTCAACTGTACTTTATTGCTTGTATTATATGTTCAATTTTATCAACTACGCTCGTCCGCTCTGATCTTCTTCTCTGAGTTCTCATGGTAGAGACTGGTTCCCAGGATGAGGCTAATTCTAGCTCTGACGCTCGAACTTGACTTCGAAGTGATCCTCTTTTTTAATCTCCCTGGTTCCCAGGTAGAGGACGCCTATTAGCTTTCCCCGGGGGGTACTGGTCTCTTGGGCCATGGAGAGGCTAGGCGCCAGACCTCTTTGTCCAAGAGAACTTGAAAGTGATCCTCTTTTCACCCTTGCTTACGTTACAGTATATTCTTTACTCCCAACCACCACCCCACCGACGTCAACGCCTTCTTGTACTCGCTCTTCGCTCAGGACTAGGCCAATTGACGCACTTCCCCCCTCAATGACGCCACACCGATCATTGGGAAGGTACGTGGATGCCCTTGAAGCCATCGACCATGTCAACAAGGAAGAGAAGACTGTCGGTGGGCTTCATTTACACTGTATCCTATCAACTGACAGTCATGCACGAATGCACAGAATTTTCAACGTCTGCTCTTCAAAAACTTCCCCACACTCCCCATGTCGTCAATACAGAGTCGCCGTGCTCTTCTCGGGACTTGACAGCATGTTGACTGATATGCCGAAAGCGCTGACTGCAGACAGAAGCACGTTTATTTGCCGAAACGGCCAACGTTCGTCGGGGAAGGTCTTATTATACTGCCCTCCGCCCCAAACCATCTCCCACCCACGATGATGGGTGCACTCCAATTGCTGCTGCATGCTTCCGTCACCGTCATGGCGGCTTCTACTACGAGCCAAAAGTTCGCGACTTCCGTCTTCACTGCGCCTGGTCGATTTCCCACAACGATGTTCACGAAGTACTATAATAACCCGACACAAACAGCATCTCAAGTCCAGCCATTAGTCAAGGATCCAGTTGAGACAGTATGTGACCGGATCGCGTGTTAATAGTTCAAGTTTATATTTCCATTGTCCAGGGCCTCGTCTACCCACTCGCTTTAACGAGCCCTGATACCATTCCTACAAACGATACTACCGATCCACATCCTTTACCGCCTACTGCATCGTCGTCTCTCCTGCTTGAACAAGCTTTCAATCAGATCATTGCCATCTCCACCAACCCGACCTTTGGCTCAAACAACTGTGCACGGTGCCAGGCAGGATTGGGGGTCGCCAAATTTCTCGCTCTCGCATCTCCAGAGAATGGTCCAGTACTAGCCGTAAGACTTTGCGAACACTTCAAATTTTCTTCGAGCTGTGGGACCTCCTTCAGCCGTTTGGCTTTGGGTTCCGTGATAACCCAGGTCGTTGCAAACGCGAATGTTGGCGGATATGATGGACAGATGCTTTGCCAGAACTTCATCAACGGTCTTTGTCCCCTCCCGCCGGCCACACCGCTCAACTTGACTTCATGGTTTACCAAACCGAAACCAAACCCGATTCCGCCACCCAAGAAACCCAGTGGCAAACTCCTCAAGGTGCTTCATGTATCGGACTTCCATCTCGACCCACGATATGCAACTGGCGCTGAGGCTAATTGCACCTCCGGTCTCTGCTGTCGGAGCCATGGCTTCAACAGTGCAAGCCCAAACACGACGCTGTTCCCCGCGCCAAGGTTTGGCGCCTTCAATTGTGATACCCCTCTCGCGTTGGGACTAGCAGCGTTGCAGGCTATCCCAGTTCTAACGGGAGCAAAGGGGACTGGATTCGATTTCACAGTCTACACTGGCGACTTGGTCTCGCACGACCCGGATAACCAGCTTTCGAGGGATTATGTGACTTACACTGAGGTCAGGATTCTAGTATTGTCTTATATCACAATCTGATTTTGACTAATAGACCGTCGTTTTCGATCTTTTCAAACGAACACTTGGCTCCGGTCCTGTTTATGCGGCATTGGGAAATCATGATTCATATAATCAGGCTCAGGATGCCCATCACGCACTCGGAGATAGCCTCGCGCAGCAATTCCAATGGAACTACGACCATCTTGCGGCCCTTTGGCAACACGAATCTTGGCTCCCTGCTGCTGCCGTCGCCCTGGCTCGTGCTCACTACTCTGCGTATATGGTACAGCGTCATGACGGTTTCCGTGTCATTTGTTTGAATACTGACATGTGGTATCGTGCGAATTACTTCAACTATATCCAGCTAGACACCCCCGACAATTCGGGAATGTTACGATTCCTTACAGACGAGCTACAGGATGCGGAGGATGCTGGTGACAGAGGTATGCTGAATTCGCCCGTTCTAGGAGTCGAACTTGATGGTGTTTAGTTTGGATCATCGGACATGTTTTGTCTGGTTGGGATGGGTCTAACCGTGGGTTGAGTCTTGAATATAATTCCTCTTTTTGAACCCCTTCCCAGCGCTGGTTAACCCAACAGACTTGTTCTACCAAATGTGAAAAAAAAATTCCTCATCTCTTCGCATGCAACAACTCATTCTTGATAGTATTGATCGCTACTCTCCGCATGTTGTTGCGAGTATGAATGGTCTTTTCATATCTTACATCCGCTCATCCGGTATTCAGACGTCTTCTTTGGACATACTCACGAAGATCAGGCGAGCCAACTTCATTCTTCGTTTCGCACTAAATCTGAAGCGAAAGCCAGGCCACAATCTTCTATGCCAACAACGCAACCAACATCAGCGCAGGGACTGCGCAAACCATGGCATGGGTGGGTCTGTGTAGTTCATCTTTTTTGACTTGACGTCTTATGCTGTCGAAGATTGGACCATCGCTTACCCCTTTAAATCACCTCAACTCTGGTTTCAGAATGTATGAAGTCGATTCGTCGGTACGCTAAGATTTTTTCGGTGCAAAGCTAGCTCTAACTAGTGGTCAGACATTTGACATCATGAATGCTTACACGTACGAGCTCCTTCACTCTTGCGTTCGTTGGAAACTCAATCGAATCTAGTTGGAAGAGTGACGTCAACACTTTCAGTGCTCTTGACCATCAACTCGAGTTTGGTCCACCCTACTCGTTCGAGTACAGCACACGGGATACATATGGCCCCAGCGTTCCTGGCTGGACTGCTAGCGACCCACTGAACGCTACCTTCTGGCATCTTGTCACTGAGGCTATGGAGGCCAACTCGTCTCTCGTGGCGGTTAGTTGATGCTTTCCATGCCCAGAAATTATGTCTGAATTTGTACAGACATTCAACACGCTCCAGGGCAAAAGCTCTGTGTTGACTGCGCCATGCACTGGGGACTGCGTCAAGGCGAAGATATGTTATCTGCGGAGCGGGTCGGCGGCAATTGCGAAGCAAAACTGCATCCCTGGGTTCGGGTCAGTGCAGTAGGCGAACGAAATGTAATTGATCCAAGCCTGAACACTGACTGATTCATTGTCTCACTTCCACGGTTTCAACATTTCGAGAAAGCCTTGTCTTCGTGATCTTATCTTATCAAACCCACCGGAGTTTCCTCGGCGCTTTGGCTTCGGTTATAGTCCATGCGAAAGCAAGTGACCACTTGCAGCCAGGCTTGCTCTCGTACGACCATGGACGCTACTCACGTCCGCAGAACCCGCGTTCATACCGCAGCGATGATATGGGCTGTGTTCCTTGCTGGCTGGTTTGTGGTCGGGCCTACATCGAGCATTGAGCTATGTGCTTATTGCTGTAGGAACGACGGTACACTGGGCCCCCTTATTCCCAGAATCCAAGAGGTATATCATGTAGGTTATCAACACATAGCTGTTGTCCTAGTCGGCTGATAACTCATAGCTTGGGTACATTATCGTCGCTTTGCTCTTTGTTTTTGCATCCTTGGTGTGTTGTCTTATTTGGTTAGCTGAATATGGGTCTCATTGAATCGAACTCAAGGGAGCGATAACTGGTGCGATTTTGACCATCAACTTGACGCCAAAGCTCGGCTTTGGAAAGGTTTAAATTATTTCATCTTCTCAGTCGGGTGGTTTATTGAGGATTGGGTCAGATGTTGCTGCTTGGTATGACACCATTACACTCGACTTAGTGATTATTCACGTTTACAAGCACCGCTATTCCAAATAATTGGGTACAGCCTACAATCGGCAGCATTACCATACCCTGTTTTCGCCTTCGCGTCGTTCTTGAACTCGATCGGTGTTTGCATGCTGGTAAATCTACCTAGACTCTGTCATAGAAGCTCATATGTCTCACTTCCAGGATGCTCAAGCGAATGGTTATGTGGCTAACATCGCGCGAAACGGCGAGGCCCGAATGGGGTATACGCAGGCTGCTTATGGTGGACAATATTAATATTCTCTCGTCAAAAACATCAACTGAGAGACTTAGGTGCTGGTCTATTCGCTGCGCCGCTTGTATCCACGCAGTTTGCCCAAATCCACCGCTGGTCGTTTCACTACTTGGTATCTCTGGGAATCACACTGTCCAACCTCATTATCCTCGCTCTGGTTTTCCGGGGACGATCTCAGGCAGGTCAGTAATCCGTGATGGACTTCGAGCGCGTAGTCAAATGAGTGTTTGTCCCCGCAGAATGTCTTCAATCTCTCGGCCAAGAGCCTGCACCGACCAGCGCTACCGCTCAGGGAGAAGCCAAGAATAATCACATGCGGGCGCTGTTCACCGTCAAAGCGCTACATTTAATGGCGCTTTTCCTCTTCGTCCATGTTGGTGTCGGTGTCGCGAACGGAGGTTAGGTCCTTGATCAGTGTTCTCACGCTTTTGATCGCAGGCTGGTCGGTGAGCTACATGATTAATGTGCGTGGGGGAGGTGCCCAGAGCGGGTATATCGCGGCGGGATACTCTGGTGGCGTGGTGCTGGGCCGCATTGTGTTGATTCCCTTGAACAAACTGGTCAGTGACAGCCGTTTTCGAAGATTTATTCTGACTCCTTCACAAGATCGGGGAAAATCGGGTCGTATACGTATATACCCTCATCGCCATCGGGTACCTCATGCTTTTAACAACTCGAACACAGCTAACATTCGTCTCGAAAGTCTCCAGTTGGTCGTGTGGCTCGTCCCCTCTCTGGTCGGTGATGCCATCGCGCTCGCCTTTGGCGGGATGATGTCCGGCCCGCTATACCCGCTTGCGCTCAACCGGGCCACCAGACTGTTCCGCTCCCATCTGTTGACGCCTGCTATGGGCTGGATGGCCGCCGTCGCTACTGTTGGCGGGGCCATCATCCCATTTATTGCTGGGGCGATCTCAAGCAGGGCTGGCATCAAAAGTCTGCAGCCAGTGTAAGGAGTTAATGGCCCTTCTACGTCATTCTCTGAGAGGTTTCAGGATCGTCGCAGGAATGGCGGTGATGCTCATTTTGTGGACATTAGTCCCACAAGCAACTGCACCAGTTGCTGAGGAAGAAAAGCGCGCGACTGAAGTGAAGGATGAAAAGCATGCGACGAGCCCCCAACGTGAAATTTAGTGAGAGGTGATTCAGGCTACAGTTTATAAATACACGTAAAATTACAACCCCTACGCTTCATATTCCCTCCATTCGCCATCCAACATTTTGATACCTCTTCTCAACAACCGTCTCCGCCACTCCATCATTTCTCCTTGCACACCTGTTGACTGTGCACTCGCCCCCATTCCTTTTCGTAGCCAGCGCACGTCGCGAGCGCGAATGGCACGTAAATATGGAAACTGGGGGAGTAGAGTTCGCTCCAGAATAGGCCAGAAGTCGGGGTCTGGCCGGGGGACAGAGAGGATTTGAAGGGGAAAGGGTATGGCTGCCGCGTTTGGAAGACTGATGTAAGATGGAAGTGGGCGCTCGAGGGACAGGTGGGTAAGCTTTGGTGCGAGAGACATCAGTGTTGAGATTGATGGGGATGTGTGCAGTCGTGTTGGCCAGGATTTCGGGGTAAAGAGGAGGAGAGAGCGAAGATTTGTGCCGTGTGATTCGATGAAGGGTGTAGATAGCGTGTTGGGAACGTCTTCGTAGGGCGTAAGTGTGAGCTTTTGGAGGGCGGGGAGTGGGGAGTTGACAAGTATAAATAGTAAATGTGATGAGCAGACGGAGAGAATTGTCAGCGTTCGCAGGCGAGGAAGATGCAGTGGAAAGAATGGTTCTGGCGCAGAGATCGCCTGCACGGGGTCTATAAGTTCGGCTGGGTCAAGTCCGACTCCAATAACTTCGAGCTCTTCAATATTGAGACAGCTACGAAGGAGGTTTGTCAAAGGCTCCTCCTCTCCATTATCTGGGGCGGGAGAGTAGCTGATCCCCTCTAAGACCTTCAACGAACTCGCACATATATTCCGTCCCAAGCTTTCCATTACCCGTCGACTGAGCACAAACGACGGGTTCATTGAAAGCCGGGATAGAAACGGGACAAGGGGGAAGAGCCCAACTAGCAGAGAATCTAGCATAAGGGCTTGCGCCTGGCCGACATACTCGACAGCAGACAAGTCAAGTGTTTGAACCCATCTTCCTGGGCTGGAATACGGAAAGCGATGCAGCGGCGACCAGTTCTGGTCTGCCAGTTCCAAACGCATTGTGAATTGAGTGAAGGCAGTCAATTTGGAGAGCTTGACGCGGGAGTAGACCAATGGACAAACCATGTCCTGCGCCAAGGGTCAGAAACTTGGCAATTGTAATGAAACATACCACGACCGACCTTGAACGCCTTGCACGCTCTCATTAGCCCCCACAGGTCCCTCAATTCAGTTACCCATCCGAAAATAGCCGTCCAGAGTTCGACAGGGAGCTCTGGAAGTCGTTTGGGCGGTGGGAGTAATGCGACAAGTAGGAACGCGCCAGCGTGCCTGGCGTAAGGTCGCGGACGCAGGAGAATTGTCGAGGTCGAGCTCATCGAAACGTGTGGAAGAGAGACGGTAGGAACATCCCGGAGGCGCGAATGGGAAAATCTGGAAGATGGTTATGGGCAAGCCGCGGCATATCAGATGACGATGAATGGTTCTGGCGTAAAACTTTTCGTTGTGAAGCAAGATTGCGCACCTCTGCTGCTTCACCTCAACGCTGCTTGCTCACCCATCGCAAAGGCGAGCCTTACCTCCACCCATCCCTCAACTCACCCATCGCAAAGGCTCGCAGCTCGCTAAGGCTCGCGCGAGGGCTCCTAGTTATATACAACTTCCAGTGTATTACGCTATTTACATACATTGATTCTAGTACGCGTCGCGTCGCGTCCCCTCGCCGCGCGTGCACCTCCCCGATCACTTCCCCCTCTCACCGGCTTCCCATCGGCTCAACATCACCGTGTATTCTCCAACTCCCTCTACCACCTCCAACAAAAACCAAGAAAATCCGCCAAGAATTGGCTGAGAACGCCTTTTGATGGAACAAGTGCAGTGTTGTGCCTCGCTATCTCGGATCGCCATGATGCAAGATTGAGAAAAATAAGCAGTCGGAAAGAGTCGAAAGCGCGGCTGAGAATGCGCAGGGAGACTTGGAGAAAACTTCACAGCCAGTGTTGCGAGGTGAGAGCAATGTCGTGGGCAAGAACTGCGGTGTCTCAGCACGATGCGCCAACGCTGGCGGGAGAACGGGGGGTGACGTTTCAGCCTCGCTGTCTCGGATTACAACAACGCAAGACTGAGAAAAAGTGAGCTAGAATAAAAGCAGATCCTCGTAGACTTGCCATTAAAGAGTCAGTGCAAAGGCACCGGCCAGTCTCAGATCGGGATATTGCACGACTGAGAAATCCAGAGAGGTTGGCAGCGTTAAAGCGGCAACGTCCCGAACAGCTCCAGAAATCGGGTGCCTGTGGGGGAACATGTTGTCGTTGCTGACACGATAGCGCTGCCCGTCCACGGTAAACGTCGCTGGTGACGAGTATGTAGCGCGGAACTGCTACTGGCAAAGTGTGAGGACCAACACATTGTTACTCACAACCCCGCCGCAAAATCCAGCGTTGGCAGCCCATTGCGTTGTTGGTGGGATAACGAGTCAAGGTAGCAAGAGCGGGTTGTCTTGTCATTGGCGGGTGACCAGCAAGGAAGACCGTCGGGGACATGTGATGAGGCGAACATGGCGGGTGTGATCCGCGCAGCTCAGGACGAGCGCGTGGGGAGGGCCAAGTGGAAAGGGTGGGCAGCATCAATCTCAGGGCGGCAGGGCAAGGTTGGCGTGGAAGGCGGCCCTATGGTTGGTTGGTTGGTGAGGAAAGTCGTGCCGAGTGGGTTTGGATTGGAGCGCCAAGACACGAGAGCAATTGGCAGGACTGCTTGTGATCTCTGGCTGGACGAGGGCTAGGATGAAGCCATGGACAATGATGGATCCATCGGGGATGCGGCACGAGGGCGAGAGCTGGGTTGCCGGCTTAAGTCGTGAGGGGATGAATGGTGTCTCGTCATTTGTGCCTGAGAAGTTGCCGGCACCGCGCGATGCGGGCTTTGGTTAGGAAAATGGACAACTTGAAGGGGGCCTGACGTGCGCAGAAGGGTCGTGGGGGGAGTGGTGGTGTTTTTAGGACAGTAGGTCGGTCCGCTGGCGGGAGTCAAGGTGTCGCAGGTGGTAGGACAAAGAAAACGTGTTGCGATCACGGGCTTAAAGTGATGGTGGTGATCTGCCAACGGAGTTACTCAAGAAATGGGAGAGCGAAGCAGCATATGACATACGGGTGGACAGCGGCAGCGCCTCCGGCGCTACGCAAGCGCGAGACAAACGAGAGTTGTACAACGTGGGACAGTGTCACCTGCAGACATAGTTAATCAAGAAATGGGAAAACAAAGCACACACATACGGGTGGAGGGCAGCAAATGGCTGCCAACGTCAACTTTGCTGGCCCAACCTGTATCTTGGCCTCCGGCGGCAAAACCCCGCAAAAAATGAGCCGATTTAACGCGAATTTTGAGGGCAGAATTGCGTGCCGAAATTATCGGATGATGCGTATCACTGATCGGATCACGGCCGGCATGTCGGCATCCGACGCCCGGGACACCGCATCAGCCGGATATGATGCCTGGGCCTGATCAGTCAATCAAAAATGGGGATTTTTTCGAAATCATACCTTGCTGCAAATGGCAGCAGCCGCAAGCTTAAGTCCAGGCGGTTTCGCATCGCCTCCGGCGGCAAAAAAGTCTGGCAAAAGTGAGTTATTTTCAAGTCAAAAGTGTGTCGGCAAAATCGCTTACGTACTGATAAATTTGCACCGAAAAGTCTCGGAAAGTGCAGAGCCAGAAGTGTTCTGTTGTCGGACGGGACGTGCGCGGCGTTAGACACACATAACATGGCCGTTGACGCCAGAGGTAGGGACGCGATGGGTTGTTGACACCAGCTGTTGACGCGAGCGCATATGGGGTTGACAGTCTGCAAGCTGTAGGTAAGCACAAAAATGGAAGAGCAGAAAGGTACGCACTAGGAGAAGGAATTCAGGTCGCGAGAAAGCAGAGGTTGAGATCTACTAATGGCGCGACCCTTCGAGCAATTAGTGAGCACATAAGCATAGCGCGCGAGAAATATCAGACCTACCCGCGTTGCAAGTGGCAGGAGCGACAGTAGGATATTGGGGTCGTGGGCACGAGCGGCAGGCACCAAGGCAGTAAAAACGGCTAAGTACATTGGTCAGCGCACAAAAACACAAGGAAAGTGAAAAAACAGACCTTCTGTGGACGCGTCTGAGGGACGCAAGCGGACAAAACCTATTAAGCATCACTGGTCAGCGCACAGAATTGAGCAACAAGGTGACACAGACGCGACGGTGACTCCATTTACGTCGAGAGTGGTTGAGACCACGCTGGCAGCTTATTTCCCCAGTATAAACCGCGCAGAAACCACTGCGAGATGCAAGTTAGTGCAAGAAACACAACGAGGGCCAGCAGAACATACATAAACTTCAAGGGCAGTAAGCGGCCGGGAGTTCGTGCATGTTGCGCCGCAAACTCTGAGTCATATGAGCACACTGAAGAGAAAAGGGCAAGGAAACAAACCTATGACAAGTCTGAGGGGCGCTTCAAGTTGGTGAGCCCGCGAGAAACGTGGAGAAAGCGAGCAATAGACCTTAGAATAACTTGAAGGTGGGTGACGCGTCGGAGAGCCACTTGGTGCCAGCATTTGGGTGGGCGACGCGAGGGAGAGGGTCTTGGATTGTTGACGGTTAAGAGCAAAAAAGTCACGGCGTGTGATATACCGACACGACAGTGATGCATCAGGCTTACGGCGACGGCGTCCGACTCTGCCGGGTTTCGGGGATGAAGGCCGACGGATGATTTATTTGGTTGAGCGTCGGGGGAGAGTTAGGCAAGCGGCGGACGGGCGGGGGAATGGAGAGTGAATGCCGTTGAAGAAGGGCGGAGACGGCCCTGCCAAGGCTCAGCCTCGCTTAGGGTGAACACATGTGAAGCTGAGCGGAAAGCATTTCAAACGCTTCTTGGTCTGAGTGGTTACGTTTATGTCTTCTTCCTTCACGCTATTTTGCCGATTCAACATTTTTGTGCCTAGAGTAGTTTTGGTTTTTTTGGATGATGATGTCCGAAATTGATCAGCTGAACTGCTTCCCAATCTTTTCTGGTCATCACCCTCACCTTACTTAGTCCACACGCTGCGCCGCGCCGCTGATTCAGCTGAACATCCATCCGGACCGATATGGAAATGCTCTGCAGATGCTGGAATTGGTGTCCCAAACAGTGGTGATCGGGTCAAAGAGAGCGTGGGAAATAATGTTCAACGCCACTAGACGTTATCCAGAGCTTCATCGCAGCTCAATCCATACTCCAACGGATGCGATTCAACATGAGATCGATTTTGCTGATCATCCAACAGTAGGACATCGCAGCTGCCGATAGGCTTGAAATTTCTTCTGTGACATGTGACACATCATTCCCAGCGCCTCCCATGCTCATTTCCGTCCGCGCGGCGCCCGCTAACGTACCATAGGATAGATATCCGCAAATGCAGCATTTCGCTTCCCGACATCCCAGGGTGGCGGAGCTGGCCAGATCTCCGCACTAGCGTCCTGTAGCCGACGCATCCCAACGTGGGAAGTGTTTCATCGGAGCTCGGAAGCCCGCGATGAAGCTCTGTTGCCCAAGATTCGCTTTTACCATTCTGTGTATCCAGACACATACTGAGGGAATGTGAGCCATGTCAAGGGCTCTACACACTAGAAATGCTGCCCAAGTGCAGTTCCAGCCATTCGATTTTGTCCCCGACGACATCAGGCTTCAATATTGCAATCTCAGCCTAACGGCTATCTTAAGCGAAAGTCAACTCCGCTCATTTCTGCAGCGCATCACCTCGGATTCGGCCCAACATGCCGTTATGGCAAGTATATAAACCTGGGTTTGGCCTCTCAGACTCCCATCGTCTCTTTCTCCCTTCTCCCACTCAGCTTGCCCGACGTCGATGTTCACTTCTTATATACTACAGCTTGTACATTGTCACTCTCCCGCCCGCTCGCCATGACACCCTATCCAACGACGACCAGCACAACGAGCGGCGACTGTTGGGTTGTGCTCGTGCTCGTCGTTCCGATTTGACTTCCTTCACAGGTCATCTTTTTCCCCCGCCCACTGTTCCGACTATTTATCATCGACCCGCTCGTCTTCGCATTCACCATCGGGCTTGGAATCAAAGGTAAGTACAGGTCCTGATTCAACGAGCGACCCAGTTTGACTTACTTGACAGTTTCCACTTTCACCCGTTCTGGCCTTGGTTGTGGAGAACAACGTCGCCGGCATAGTTGACTCGTGAGCTGGGTTGGGTTGGAATGAGGAGCCAGCTGTGAGTGCTGGATCTGCCTCTTAATATCGACAACTGACCTATTCCAAGAGTTGTCCGGGCCTCGTTCTCCTGTGAGTATAAGTCCTAATTTAACCAACGACCCAGTCCGACTTACCTCACAGCTTCGGATTCCTCCCGCCCATGTCCATTCGCTTCCTGGATTTTGGATGGCGCGTGTGTCATTGGCGACTTGCTTGTCGTTTGACTCGTTCTTGCCAAAAAAGGTGAGTATAAGTCCAAAATTGACGAATTACCCAGTTTGACTTACTTCGCAGTTCCGTTCACGGCCTGGTCCCAACAGCCTCACGCGTTGCCTTGCGCTTGGGCTCAGGTTAGCTTGGTGTTGAAGCCTGAGTTTTTTTTTGGTAAGCTTAGCCGTCTGCGACGTTGATCACGACTACTGACCGTGTTTACAGGCTGTCTTAGGCAACCCCCGCGTTCCGGACTCTCTACCCCGTTGCCCTTGACCCAGCTCGGTTTCGGCATAGGGGCATGGTTTGGCGCAGGACTGTTAAAACAGTGAGTTCACTGTCTACGACGTTGACGGAGATGACTGACTCTGTTTGGAGACGCGTCTCGGACAATGCCGAGCTCGTTCTTCATTGCGCGGGCTTCAAGGCCGAGCAGCGACGCGTTGGCCGTCAGCTGGTTTGGCTGGGAGTTGGATAAGGTGAGCGCGGTACATTCCTGTCCGTAAACCGACCACCGAGCGGGTTAGCAGATGAGCTGGTTTGGATTTCCAGGCTCGGGATCGCCGTTACCGACAGAGATTGGACTTGGGTTGGGTTGGGCTGGTTGTTTCACGCAAAAGGTGAGCCCACCACATCTATCTCGGCAGATTAGCAACCGACCTTGTCAACAGAATTGTCTGCTGAAGCGCCGTGTGCTGCTGTCAATTGGTCCGTGCTGCCTTCAACAACGAGGTCGCAGTCGTTGCTGCTGTCTACAGCGTTGAGAGCAGGGAATTGAGACTATATAGTTGGTGAGTCTCGTTCGCTACAACGTCAAAGCCGCTCGCTGACCTTTCAGTGCCCATGTTGTCAAAGCAAATATGGATCTGCTCGGTGTGCCGCCCAAACGAGGGAGAGCAACCACTGAGGGCAAGCTGGCGTAGTTGATGAGTTCGAGGGCGGTTTGGTGGCCGGGCCGACCCGAATACAAGGGAAAAGCAGAGGGGTTAGTTGGCGGTAACGAGTTGTTTGGAGGCATTTGGCGATTTTGTCTCTGACGCCCCAGCTTCCCGCCTAGCTTTCGAGGCAAGCGGGCCGGGGCAGTCCCGCGATTCACGATGCGTTGAGCAGCATGCCGTTCTAGCACGGCGCAGCGTGCCGGCCTAGTTCGTAGCCATTAGCTTGTCGTGAGTTGCCGGAGGGGAAGGGGGAAGCCGGATAGGCGCCGGCGTAAGTTGTGGGGGTGGTCAAATGTTGCCGGTTGGGCCGGAGAGGGCACGGTCGGCGTGGCCAGGTCGCTGTTGATCGCTGGGCGTGGCCGGGTAGAAGTCCGAGCACTGGGGATAGCGGGCTGGCTGGGCCGGACTCACTGCTTGCCTCGAGATCCCCCGCTCCCCTTCCGCCGTTTCTCTCCTGTCTCCCCGCCGTTTCCCGAGTTTGAGGCGCACATGTCGCTATATCGAAGGCTATCGTCGTCATCGAAGAGGCCGTCTGCGCCTGCGCTGACGATTGGGATGGAGGTCAAGACCAAGAGATGCAAGTCACGAGCGATGTGACGGCACGCGTAAAGGCGAGCAAATAGTTTCGTTGTTTCTTCTACTTAATACAGTGGGGTACTGATATCTATTCTGCCAGGCTGCTCGTCGTCCAGTCGATGCCCTCCATTGCATTCTAGCTGGCGAATAAAACTGAAGGTCGGTTATAGTTGACTTTGATTCAATGTTACTTACCTCGTTGTCAGCGCTATCTTCTGGGCTTGTCGCAGTTGCTCGCGCTGACGTCAGACTGAAGGTAAGTGAGTATGTTATTCTTCAATTTATCGGCGAGCTTACCCTGTCCTCAGTAACCATACGGCGGCGCATTTACTGCTTTCGAGCTCGAGCGCGAAGCCAGGATTATCTTTTGGAGTTGGTCAGTTCTATTCACAAGGTTACATATATCCACTTACTGAACTTCAATTGTAGAAATCACATACTTGGGATATCAATATGCGCTCACCTTCTGTTCAACCACCGCAACGAAACTCAAGGTAAGTGAGTTAGCAATTTATCTACTTTGAATTTTGACTTACCTGGTCATCGAATAGCTTCATGCGAAGACCACTTCTTGTTAGTGTTCGCGTTCACGTTCGCTGCTCAAGCAAATAAGCCCGCAAGCAAAATTGAAACTCACTAAGTTGGTAATCTAGTTACTTTGACTGCGAGCTTACCTCGTCGTCAACAGATTCACTGAAACAAACCAGCAAGCATCCGACCTTGTTGTTGCCCTCCGCGCTCATGCAGACCTTGCCCAGATTGCAATCACGCTTCAATCGCGGCAGCGCTGTTTGCGAGCCGCCTTCGCAAACACGAGATTCAGGTCAGTTAGCAGGCTTAAGCAAAGCAGAAAACAACTTACGAGTTGTTTAGCTTGCTCAAGTGAATAAGGCCGGTAAGTTTGTAATCCATTTACTTGAACTGCTAGCTTACCTCGTCGTCAATAGCTTCACTGAAACAAATTGGTGAGTATGTGAAGTTGTTGTTGCTCTTCGTGCTCACCGTTGGCAGCCTAACCAGGCCAGCGTTCAAAATACCAGCGCATCGTTGGCCAGTTTGTATTTGCGAGGCTCTCGCAGTAAGTCTCCATTAACAACATCAATCTTACCGACCAGCCCCGCAGAAAACATGTGGTTACCCAAGTACCTCCAAACGCGCTTTTTTCGGCAGCCGTCGGTTGTTCCGGCCATCGCAATCCCACAATTTGGGTCGTTCGGGAGCTGATCCAAAGGTAAGTTTGCCTGTTAGCTCAGCCAAATCTACGCACCTTGACCCCCAGCCAACAAAACGACGCGTCCGGCCTGAGGAAACCCACGTTTCGGAGTTGGAGGTACCGCCCCAGTAGTAGTCGTGAGCTGGCAGAAGGCGTATTGGCCGTGCCGGGAGATTTCGTAGGCGTTGGCCCAGCGCGGGGTTGGTTTTGAGTGCTGAGCCAGCCAAAGGCAAGTGCGCTACGCCCATCTCTCTTTTTTTTTTTTTTTACGATCCCTCCGTTTCCGGCCCGTATCAGTCAGTATGTTGAAGCTGCTTGGGGGCGTTATGGCGCGGGCCGGCGCTGGTTTGGATTGGAGTGCCGAGCCAGCGGGCTGGTTTACAGGCGAGTGGGCATGGAGCGCGTTTGGGCCAGTGAGATGCGAGGTTGGCAGAGGGTTGCGGATGTGAGGACGGGCTGAGATGATCGTGAGAGGGAAGATGTGTGACGCCGAGCCACAACCACCATCTCGTCGTTGTTATCACGCGTCGTCGATACCATCGGCTCGAATGGGGTATACGCAGGCTGCTTATGGTGAAGAATATTCTCTCGTCAAAAACATCAACTGAGAGTCTTAGGTGCTGGTCTATTCGCTGCGCCGCTTGTGTCCACGCAGTTTGCCCAAATCCATCACTGGTCATTCCACTACTTGGTGTCTCTGGGAATCACGCTGTCCAACCTCGTCATCCTCGCGGGGACGATCTCAGGCAGGTCGGTAATCTGTGATGGGCCTCGAGCGCGTAGTGTCTGTCCCCGCAGAATGTCTTCAATCTCTCGGCCAAGAGCCTGCACCGACCAGCGCTACCGCTCAGGGAGAAGCCAAGAATAACCAGATTCGGGCGCTATTCACCGTGAAAGCGCTACATTTAATGGCGCTTTTCCTCTTCGTCCATGTTGGTGTCGGTGTCGCGAATGGAGGTCAAGGCTGCTGAGACTGTCCTTGATCAGTGTTCTCACGCTTTTGATCGCAGGCTGGTCGGTGAGCTACATGATTAATGTGCGTGGGGGAGGTGCCCAGAGCGGGTATATTGCGGCGGGTTACTCTGGTGGCGTGGTACTGGGCCGCATTGTGTTGATTCCCTTGAACAAACTGGTCAGTGACAGCCGCCTTCGAAGATTTATTCTGACTCCTTCAAAAAATCGGGTCGTATACGTATATACCCTCATCGCCATCGGGTACCTCATGCTTTTAACAACTCGAACACAGCTAACATTCGTCTCGAAAGTCTCCAGTTGGTCGTGTGGCTCGTCCCCTCTCTGGTCGGTGATGCCATCGCGCTCGCCTTTGGCGGGATGATGTCCGGCCCGCTATACCCGCTTGCGCTCAACCGGGCCACCAGACTGTTCCGCTCCCATCTGTTGACGCCTGCTATGGGCTGGATGGCCGCCGTCGCTACTGTTGGCGGGGCCATCATCCCATTTATTGCTGGGGCGATCTCAAGCAGAGCCGGCATCAAAAGTCTACAGCCAGTGTAAGGAGTTAATGGCCCTTCTTCGTCATTCTCTGAGAGGTTTCAGGATCGTCGCAGGAATGGCGGTGATGCTCATTTTGTGGACATTAGTCCCACAAGCAACTGCACCAGTTGCTGAGGAAGAAAAGCGCGCGACTGAAGTGAAGGATGAAAAGCATGCGACGAGCCCCCAACGTGAAATTTAGTGGGAGGTGATTCAGGCTACAGTTTATAAATACACGTAAAATTACAACCCCTACGCTTCATATTCCCTCCATTCGCCATCCAACATTTTGATACCTCTTCTCAACAACCGTCTCCGCCACTCCATCATTTCTCCTTGCACACCTGTTGACTGTGCACTCGCCCCCATTCCTTTTCGTAGCCAGCGCACGTCGCGAGCACGAATGGCACGTAAATATGGAAACTGGGGGAGTAGAGTTCGCTCCAGAATAGGCCAGAAGTCGGGGTCTGGCCGGGGGACGGAGAGGATTTGAAGGGGAAAGGGTATGGCTGCCGCGTTTGGAAGACTGATGTAAGATGGAAGTGGGCGCTCGAGGGACAGGTGGGTAAGCTTTGGTGCGAGAGACATCAGTGTTGAGATTGATGGGGATGTGTGCAGTCGTGTTGGCCAGGATTTCGGGGTAAAGAGGAGGAGAGAGCGAAGATTTGTGCCGTGTGATTCGATGAAGGGTGTAGATAGCGTGTTGGGAACGTCTTCGTAGGGCGTAAGTGTGAGCTTTTGGAGGGCGGGGAGTGGGGAGTTGACAAGTACAAACAGTAAATGTGATGAGCAGACGGAGAGAATTGTCAGCGTTCGCAGGCGAGGAAGATGCAGTGGAAAGAATGGTTCTGGCGCAGAGATCGCCTGCACGGGGTCTATAAGTTCGGCTGGGTCAAGTCCGACTCCAATAACTTCGAGCTCTTCAATATTGAGACAGCTACGAAGGAGGTTTGTCAAAGGCTCCTCCTCTCCATTATCTGGGGCGGGAGAGTAGCTGATCCCCTCTAAGACCTTCAACGAACTCGCACATATATTCCGTCCCAAGCTTTCCATTACCCGTCGACTGAGCACAAACGACGGGTTCATTGAAAGCCGGGATAGAAACGGGACAAGGGGGAAGAGCCCAACTAGCAGAGAATCTAGCATAAGGGCTTGCGCCTGGCCGACATACTCGACAGCAGACAAGTCAAGTGCTTGAACCCATCTTCCTGGGCTGGAATACGGAAAGCGATGCAGTGGTGACCAGTTCTGGTCTGCCAGTTCCAAACGCGTTGCGAATTGAGTGAAGGCAGTCAATTTGGAGAGCTTGATGCGGGAGTAGACCAATGGACAAACCATGTCCTGCGCCAAGGGTCAGAAACTTGGCAATTGTGATGAAACATACCACGACCAACCTTGAACGCCTTGCACGCTCTCATTAGCCCCCACAGGTCCCTCAATTCAGTTACCCATCCGAAAATAGCCGTCCAGAGTTCGACAGGGAGCTCTGGAAGTCGTTTGGGCGGTGGGAGTAATGCGACAAGTAGGAACGCGCCAGCGTGCCTGGCGTAAGGTCGCGGACGCAGGAGAATTGTCGAGGTCGAGCTCATCGAAACGTGTGGAAGAGAGACGGTAGGAACATCCCGGAGGCGCGAATGGGAAAATCTGGAAGATAGTTATGGTCAAGCCGCGGCATATCAGATGACGATGACATGAGCCGGACGCCGAGAATCCATGGATTGCGTCATCGACATCGCCGGGTCTGATGTCCGATCATCGGACTCTGCGACACTGAGGTTTACTTTGTACATTGGACAAACATTGGACGACCACCAACGATTATCTTGCCATCCTTTCCGTCGTACACACGAACTGTCCGCTATTTTTGGTGCGCTGGAAATTATGGTGTGCTCGGGGGCGAACGACACTGAAGTCACTGTCGTAGTCGATGCCGACATCCTCTGGTTCGAATTCCCTTCTACTCTGCATCTTGTAACTGCAGAGTAGTTTTAACACTGGCCCCGGTGAGATTCGGCTTGAAACATGCGATCGGGAAACACAACTGCTCCTTCCGCGGTACTGCCACTGCAAACTCTCTTCCTTCTAGACCACCATCTGCCCACACATATCTGGTCGGCCACTGCCTTCACCGTCGCCCCATTCACCAATATTCTTCTTGTCTAGATCAACAACGTCTTTCGATAGTACGACTGTCCATTATTCGACTTGACCAATCTCAGTGGGCCCAGTGGCGCTTTGGAACCTACGATTGTGAATCACATCTACTCCTTTCGCCGTACTGCCGCTAACCACCACCTGCGGTAATATCCACGATGGCAATTCTGTCTTGAGCTGTCCTACTTCGAAACTTTCACCATCTCTCGACGCTCGATGACCGTCTTGACTCTTGCCTCGGCCATGCTGCAAGTTGGGATTGGTTTTCTTTCCGATCCTCCGCCGTCACCTCTTCAATCTGTTGTTCTGAAGGTCATCCTCCGTTTCTGTCTCCCTCTGCCCCCATTAACGACCGTTTTCCAGTGCCGTCGACCTTTTTTGTGAATGTGCTTGGAGACTGGCCAAACAACGTGTCCAGCTTGCAGTCCTTGGAGTATGGGGCTTCCATATCCTGACACGAGCACAGCTCTGACTGCTTGGGGGTTTGCGGGTGGCTTGACATGTCGCTGTCTTCGAACCATGACGAGCGCAAGTCATCGGCCGCTCTCAGCCAACCTCCGACGCGGTTTGCTCGATGCCGAAACCTATGACGCTTTGTCAGCTCTGAGGAAGGACCTAACCCACTGAGGTAACGCTGCTAGCTGCACAAATAGCGTTTCAGTCGTAGTTATCATCATACTTTTTCCAAGTCATCGAGAGTTAATGAATGAATGAACAGGAATGAACTTTGCTTCCATTTTGCTTACAGAAGTAACAGAACTACACCTACTTGTACAAATCCATACATGACGTCAGAGCAGAACACCGCGTGTGTAGTGTTGTTGTCCGCTAAAATATGGGCTAGATACCTATGCTGTGGAACATGTAGGCTAAAATATGGTAATTACCAATTAGTATTCTATTCGGCGTATGAGTAAGACGAAATTACGACTTGAGGGCCTTTAACTTGACCACTACTCCTTCGACAATTTCTTTGAGCGAGGCGAACACTTCATTATAGTCCGTCACATCCAAGTTTGAGCCCTTGCTCTCTCTTGAGGTTGCGGGGTTCCACCGCCCAGCGGGGAGCGCCATGGAAAACAGGGCTTCTACGAACGCCGCTCGAAGCTCGTCGCCAGAATCACGGAAGAAAGTCATTGTTTTCTCACGCAAGCCAAAAGGGAACTGCTTCCCCCACAGAGTCAAGCGAAGATAGGAACGAGTGTAAGGGCTTTCATCACCCCTGTCCCAGCCATACGCGTCCCGAAATCTCACCCACTCGCCCTGTTTCTGGGTGGGCACGAAAGTCTGAGTGACGGCTTTGAGCAGCACATAGACTGCCGACTCCAGGTCATCATGTGGGAGTAGGTCGCCGCCTTGGAGGGGATATACGGCCATCGTGTCAAGTGTTCCGATAACGGGACTTCCCTCTGCTGGTAACGGCGCCCCAAATATCCGGCCAAGCTCCCAGTCGATAAGAAGGGCTTGTTGAGAAGTAGACAACACATTTCCGGAGGAAATGTCCAGATGCATGATACGACGCGAAAACATATCGAGCAAGCTTTCAAACAGGTGGATGGCAGTAGCGATCAATTGGGGGACGGAAAGCTCCTTCAATTTCTTCGTGTCTCGCGGCGACTTGAAAGCCATGACCTCCATATGGTGGGGACGCATCAGAGTCAATGGATATTTCGGATGTTGGGGTTGTGAGTCCGGTAATACGGTAAATGGGGGCCCGACCGCTGCAAAGCTGGCCACGAGTTCTGGTGTATATGCCGGAGGATCTGAACGAGCTGAAAATAAATGGTCAAGGATGATTTTCTCCCTCCACACACGCGCATCGCTGATAAACGTTAGCTTGACAACAAATCTGAATGCACTCTCATCATCGTGAACACCCTCCAGGATGACTGTCGACCGGTCGAAAAGACCAAAGCGAAGTGGAGAGAGGTAGTTGCCGGTAAGTTGAATCGGGGGGTGATCGGGGAGATGAGCAGCAGCGGGTACCGCATCGCCAGGCTGGTACTCCTCAGGAAGTGAAGTGAACTTGTACGAGAAGAGTGGATTTAACCCAAGTTCATAGGGCGAAGCGGACTGGAAAAGCCAGAGGAGAGCTGCTACAGTGGGAAGTGCCGAGCCAAAGCAATCATCGATAACCGCGAATTCGAGCCGGTCCTGGTTCAAAATCGACAAAAAAAGCTTCGTCTCCTCGCCCTTGCCATGGAACGACAGTGTCGGAACATACAGTCGAGTATTCTGCGTCAGCCGGATTTTCACAGCATTGAGGATGGCATGTTGGTACTTTCCAACACCGCGTGTGCTTCCAATAAGTGGATTAGTGTCGATTTGCGGTGCAGCGACTGTGGTGTATTCAATATTGACTAGGACATTGTGAAACGTAGTGTTTGTCGCAGCCCGAGGACGAAGAGCAGCGTCGAACTGTCTTTGCTTTCTGTAGTCAAGTTGTTGTTCACCATGATTTTGAGTTCGGAAAAAGTCCATCACAGTGTTGGAGGTCTCAGCAATGGATGGGATAGCTACCTGGAGGAAAAAAAAGTTCAGACTACAACAGACCGTATGAGACGAGCATACCATTGCTAGTGCTGATAGCCAATAATGCTCGTTCACACGTAGAGCCTCCGTAGAATTCGTTGATTCGCTGTTGTACGCCTTCACGACAGCCCCTCTGAGAGCAACATCGACGCCAGACTCAGCCTGAGCTTTGAGCTCGTCGAATCTACCAATAAACGATTCTCCCCCGAGCTTCCGCAGAATTGATTCGAAAGGAGACGAAAGGACACGGCCGTGAAAGTATCGCCGACAAATAGTCTCATCGTGGTCCCGCAAGGCTTCTAACCTTGTATCGGTAATCCCAACAAGGGCCCCAGTTACTGATATCCTTTCCAGTGTTTTGCGTGAATCGAGAGCATAAGGGTCGATGTCCAACATAGCGGCATCTTCTTGTGTCTCGAGCTGGGTCACTGGTTCCAGACCAGGAGCTGAGCGACTCTGCCAAACAAGTAAATAAGCCGGAGACTGGTGAATACTCGTAAGCATACTGGTAGTACGTCCAGGAATTTCTGCCTCTGGGCTGCGACATGGGCTTGATAGGATTCGAGTGAGTCCATGTCACACCAGCGTGCAATTTCCATTCAACATTTCCCATTTCATTTCAAGCCTACACAGCAGGTCAAAGCATTCGTACCAAGGAGAGAGAGAGAGGAAAATAATGATAAGAAAACGAGACCGAGCTAGCGGAGTCGTTGGTACTGTACATGCTACGAGAATGTACAAGTGAGCGAACAGTAAAAAGGCGGGATATCCAAGTAACGTAGGGGGGTACCAGTGGTCATCGCTCGATTCGTCAAGTTAGCTCGTTATTTCCGGAAGAAACCCGTTTACATCCGGTTGCTGCGGACGCGCACAAACCGCCTTCCCTTGGGCTTCTCCTTGTCGTCGGTTTTGGCGTCAGCCTTCGCGTCAGCTTTGGTGTCAGCCTTTGCGTCGACTTTGTCAGCGGCAGGTGATGGGACAGCAGGTGCGGCACTTGAGGCTTTCGGGGCCTCAGCAGCGGGGCTGGAAGCAGCGGCAACAGGCTCCTTCAGTCCACCACCAACAACAGTGTCTTTGGCCCCAGGCTTGTTGTCGTTCTTGTCAGCAGGCTTCCCAGCAGCAGGGGCATCTTTAGCGGTAGAGGCAACTGGTACGGCAGCGGAGCTGGTGGCTTCAGGTTGCTGTCCCTTGCCTTGACCCTGTTGTTGGCCCTTACCAGTTTGTGTAGCAACAGGGGCAGTTGAGGCGGTACCGGTCACAGCAGCGGAGCCAGTGACGGCGACAGAAGCAGAAGCAGAGGCGACTGATGAGGCAGCCACACCCGATGCCAATGCACTGGCGGATGCAGACGAAAGCACGCCAGAGGAAGCTACTGCGCTAGCAGAAGCAACAAGGGCAGAGGCAGAACCAGAGGCGGCTACACTGCTGACAGCATTGGGGTCGGTGGTCGCAGTGAACTAATTGAATTTAGTTACGAAGAGAAATATACGAAAAAAACGCACATAAACACAGTCATCGAACGAACCATGTTGCGCGACAGGGCCAATGGCGGGGGCGTGGTTGGCAGACGTGTTGATCGAGCAAACGCGGTAAGCACCAGGGGGGACACCAGTTGCAAGGGGGGTCGACAAAACGCCATTGACACCGGCATCGTTGATACCCTTGAAGAAGAAGAACTTGGTCGGGTCCGTGGCGGTCGTCTGCTCGAGCGACGTGAGCGCCTCGACAACGAAATGGGTGTGGCCAATGATAACACCCTGCTTGTTGAGCTGCTGTGGAGCAGCAAAGTAGGTCTTTTGCGCGTTAGTGAAGGTGCCGGCTTGCATACCACGGAGGGCCATCGAGATGTTGAATGCTTTGTTGGCAGGGATGGTATCGAAGTTGCCGGGGAAGATGAACTTGGCCGAGGGCATGTTGTCCCGCGAAGGGATAAGACCAATGGGGGCGGGGTTGCACGAGCCAGTTTGGACTTGGAGGCCGTTGGTGAGAGGGGTAGTCGACAGAGTATCGAGGCAGAAGTTGATGTAGTTGTTGGTGGAAGTCGTCGAGGCGGTCTGGCCAGCGACAGGTGGGTTCTGACCATTGTCGGTGAAGTTGACACAAACAACAGAAGGGTCAAGTTCTAATGGAAGATTAGTGAAATCGAAAACGTAGCGTATGGAGCTTACCAAGAGACGTTTGCAAAGCGAGAGCGTTGCCTCCGTTTGCATTTCCGTTACCGCCTTTGCCACCACCATTGCCATTGCCATTGCCGTTGTTGTTTCCGTTACCGCCCTTGCCGCCGCCATTGCCAGCCTTGCCAGTCTGGGTTGCCGCATTGTTGCCGGTGGCGGTGACAGAGATGCTCGTGGTGGTGAGGGCATTGCCATTTCCGTTGCCGCCCTTGTTTCCGCCACTGTTGTTATTCCCCCCACCGTTGTTAGAGTTGGAGTTACCACCATTGTTCGAATTTCCTCCACCATTGTTGTTATTCGAGTTCCCTCCACCGTTGTTATTCGAGTTCCCTCCACCGTTGTTGTTGTTGGAGTTACCGCCGTTGTTGTTCTTGCCAGTGGCCTGCGAGCCGGGAGCAGTGAGGTACTTTGTCACCTCGACGGTCTTGGTCTGGATCACAGTCGACACAGAAAGCGTCACGGTCTAATTACGATAATCAGGCGTCGATCAAATAAGCGATCAGGACATACATTACAGAAGGTTTCAGTGTCGAAGGTGCCGCGCTGGGGGATGGCGCTGACCGAAGAGGCGGATAGAGCGAGCGTGAAAAGAGAGACGAAGGTCGACTTGGAGAACATCATGGATAATAAAATGAAGGAGGTTAGATTAAAGAAAGAGTTGCGTTGAGAGCTTGGGGACCGTAGGCCTGCCAATTCAACCAGTCAAGCAATCTAGGGTAAGAAAACACCGTGAACGTACCTCAGTAGACACCAGTGTCGGCGTGTGATCAGTGTGTGCGCTGGGCGACACGCAAAGAGAAGGTCAATGACCTGAAGTGTGAAGGTGGGAAGAGGGAAAAGAAAGGTGTCCGAGTCGAGACCAACAACGGGTTTAAGTCGCATCGGCATGTGATCACAGTGATGCCTGTTGATGGCTTGATGACTCACAGGAACACGCCAATCTGCCTCAGCGCTCCTTCCGTACAACTCTTCGTCTCGAACGTTATCCTTTGCCGAGACAATCGACGCCCACAACAAGCCTCGTCCAGGGACAGAATATTGGCTTGGCCCTTCTAGCTTGCAGCAGAAACCAACTCCTTTCTTCCATTCTATCTGTTACCTTGAGATGCCTGCTCAGGCCGACATCTGAAACGTCAAGTCCAAAGTTAACTGGCGGCCATGGCAGCCCCGTCAGTGACTATGAATAGCCCTCCCCACTCTAGGCCAATCGACGAAGATCGACTGCTGCTCTCCCGACCAGAATTCAGAAAACCGTACATCTCGCTGATCACTGACCCTGCTCGACCCACAAACAGTGAAGCCTCTCGGAAACATCCAGACCAAGAGTAAAAGTATCACGACGAAGCTGATAGAAAATGCCTCATTGGAATGTTGCTAGGCATGAACATCAGACGCCGCGCTCCAGCATCATGAACACCGCATGCTGTCAAGATGTTCCTCAGTTCAAAAAAAGAGCGTAGACCCAGGTCAAGTCTAAGACTACAGCCTCTTCACCAGTTACTGACTAGCACTCCAGAATCCGCATTGGCAGCCTATCTTGACAAACTTGGGATTGCAGAGCTACAACACGTTAACACCGCACACATGTAGCGCTTAGCCGTCGTATTCATACCAACTTATAATTACTGCGGTCCCAGAATGTCCGCCATGGACTCAACGAATCTGTCATAGTCATCCTTCCCCTTCGACTTCTGAGCAGGCGGTTTGACACTCGGCGCACTTGTCGGTGCCGGCACCACCCCGAACTTGTCCTTCAACGAGCCCAATAAATCGGGTCTTGCTGGGAGAGCTTCTGCATTGTCTGAAGAACTACCCGGGGCCGCATTGACCTTCGACATTGACGCTGTCGCTCCAGCATTCTTTTTGCGCAAATTTGCAGGTACGAAAGCGGTAGCTTCCTTTTTGAAGTCGCGGAGTTCTGGAGCGGCAAATACTGTTGCTGCCATCAGACTAGCGCTTTCAACCGCGTCAATGGGCTTTGCTGGGAGTGATTTTGGCAGCGCTTTTGGTGCAGAACGAACTTGATAGGTTTGGTGCGGTATGTTGGAGAGTGGATCTTGCATCGAAGATGGGTTTCGCACAGGAGGGAAGAAACCAGGCGGCGCTGGCGGGAAACCATAGACTGGCAGAGGTGGTGGTACCCATTGAGGTGCAAAACCAGGTGGGGGAGGAGGCAATAGTCCATGAGGCGGCGGCCCTAAGGGTGGGGCCGGTGGAAATGGCATACCCAGAGGAGGAGGTAGAGGCGGATTCATCGGGGGTGGAGGTGCTAAATTTAAACACGGTTGAGACAGTGTCAACACTGGTCAACGAGGACAAACCAAGTTGGCCCGGCGGGGGTCCCTCGGGCATGGGAATATCATCGTCGCTATCCACAGCCTCTTCATTCACTCCAGGAGGAGGACCGTCAGGCATGGCAATGTCATCTAGGGAAGATCAATGTTTTTTTTACTTGCAATTGAAGACCTACCATCCGAATCTTCTTCATCTTCCGAATCGTCACTCCACACTTCCCCTGGTCGCTTTGCTGCTATGATTAGGGAAGAGTTCAGATAGTAAAAAAATAAAGAACTTACCTCGTTGTTGGTAAGGCATTCCAGGCGGCGCAACTCCAAATGGGTTCATGACAGGGTCATAATACGCGCTCCGTTCAGGGTGAATGGGTAGTCCGTCATTGCCAAATAGATGGCGTTTCGGTAGAACAATTTCCTCGTCGGCTTGATCCCCATCCCTTTTGCCGCGATAAACCAGTCTTCGTTGTTCAGGGTGTTCTTTCAGATACTCTTCCTTCTTTTGATAGATCTTGTCGAGCTCAGCCTTTGCCACCTTGTATCGAGCTTGCTCTTTGGGGTCAAGAGAGAATTCCAGCCGTTCAACTTCCTCCGCGAGATCTAGCAATTCGTTTCAGCGGAGTTACTCGAGTCTACAACACCCACAAACCGGTTACATCCTTCTTAACAAGAGCCATGTCGCGTGCTTTCGACCGACTGTCCTTGTTCTACTAGTAGTTTAAAAACCACAGAGAGTCAGAGAAAATAGCGCGAGAGACATCGAAATGCTTGCCTTCTTGAGCTCTTTCTTCCGCTGAGCCTTTCCTGCAATAATTGAACATTAACCCAGAGTGTCCTTGGAAAGCATACGGAAGGCGTCAGCAGGATTGAGGTTTTTGCCTTTCGCCATGATGGGCAGAGACAAAAGGCAAATCACACTCTTGACACGAACCACGACGACTTCAATGTCATAGTGAACACGCCCAACGCGAATGTCGTCGTCAAACTATAACACTGCCCGCCTCTTACTTATAGGGCTAGTCTTCCACCTCGTTTACATTGGATCTGGCGCGTTTTATCCCACCCACCCCGACGGCTTCCTCTTAACTTTTTTCAGTCTTCGATTGTTATTTCACAAGCCCGGTCGTCCATGGCATGCAAAGCTACCGGGTGGAATCGGGAGAGTCAAAACGTCTCGTCCTCATCGTCGGTATTTTGTCTTGTGCTGCGACCGTGTTGTTGTAGCTCATTTACTGCAAGGCGACGGCCTCCGTGCAGACTTGCTTTTCCAAAAGAATGGGTTCTCTTCTTCATTCAGAACAGAAAACTCTCCGGAAGTTGTAGCTCCTTACCTCCGCTCCATTATCGAAAAGCGTGGCGCATTTGGGGTTTCTCATACCCGTGTGCCGACGGAAAGTCGTCCTGGACACGTCGCAATTATCGCTGGCATGTATGAAGACGTTTCTGCCGTTACCAAGGGCTGGAAAACCAATCCCGTACGCGTCTTATTTGCTTGACCTGGCGGAATGGCTGAATCGCAATGGAGGTTGACTTTGATTCAGTCTTCAACCAATCCAGCACAACTTTCTCGTTCGGTTCGCCCGATATATTGCCTATGTTTGCTCGAGGAGCCATGGCTGGGAAGGTGCTGACATGGATGTATGATGAGGAGGCAGAGGATTTCACGAAAGGTGTCGTAGTCGTCCGCCTAGTTCACGTCCTTGTTGATGATAAGCAGATGCCACGGCATTGGACATTTGGGTTTACGACCAACTCGAAAGCCTTTTCCACAATGCAACCACCAACTCTACCCTTAATACCCAACTTCGCTCACCTGGGACGGTGTTCTTTCTACATCTTTTAGGTTTGGATACAACCGGGCACTCATATCGTCCTCATTCAGAGGTAACCTCCGGTCTCTTTCCTCCCACCATGCTCATCTCTGATGGGTAGGAATATATGAAAAACATCCAAGTCGTCGACAACGTTGTCCATCGCACAGAAGACCTCCTGCGTCAGTTCTATAAGGACGAAGAGACATCTTTCATCTTTACTGCTGACCACGGCATGTCTGTGTTGGGTAATCATGGCGATGGTCGTGCGTGACATTTATCGCTATTTTCCCTTCGTTTTCTGACTCGTGGTTCCGTAGATCCAGATAATACTCGGACCCCTCTAATAGCCTGGGGACGCGGTATCCGTGGCCCTCTACCTGACTCAATTCCATCCTCACACGACTTTTACTCTGAGCCATGGGAGTTGAATCACCTGCTACGCCGAGACATAGAACAAGCGGACCTCGCACCACTTATGTCGACACTGATTGGAACGAGCTGGCCGGTCAACTCCGTCGGTGTCCTTCCTGATGTTGACCCAAGCCAGCCCGGATATATACTCCCCCAACGTGGTCTGCAAACACTGGCTGAAGCCGCCTACGTCAATGCCCAGATGATTTTGGAGCAATACAGAATAAACCACGGTATGGGAACAAATCATTACAAAAAGAGGTCATTCATAATCGTACTCTAGAAATCAGAAAAGCGCGCACAGTAGCCTTCAAGCCCTTTGGTTTACTCGAACAATCGACTTCGGATCGAACGACTAGACTCAGTCAAATCAACAATGCGATCTCAAGGAGCGACTGGAGTTTTGCCAGAGAGCTCGCTTCGCAACTCATCCACGACGGCTTGGAGGGTTTGCGTTACTTGCAAACATATGAGCGCAGATTAATCCAAGGGATGGCAACAGTGGCTTACACTGGGTGGACAGTATACGCATCGCTTTTCATATTCCGTCCTCTCGATACCTCTCTCCCACAGGCCCGCCCCCGTTCGACCATACTCGATGCTTTAGCAATCATTTCTCTGGGAGGCTTCTGGACTTTGTTCGCCATCCAGAGGTCGCCTTGGACATACTATCTATATAGCGCGTTCCCATGTTACTTCTGGCATCAGTTTGCCACCCAAATATCTCCGGTTGTCCCCCGCTGGCGACAAAGACTTGTCCCTAAACAATTGCTCTATATCGCCTTGGTTGTTGCGGTTCTTCAAAGCATGGTGGTAAGCCATAGGGCTCTCATTCGCATCTATCTTTTCTGATGTTTCTAGCTTGCGTATACCCACCGCTCAATATGGAGTGTCGGTTTCATTTTGATTGGGCTTGTCTGGCCAATGTTATTCTGGAAGCAGCAAAAGTGGTCTAAATTGTCTTTCACATGGGCTGCTTCGTGTTTGGCGACTGCTATATTCCCTCTGTTGTCCGTGAACAAGACGGAGAGCTCTTTGGCCATGTAGGTCGGTTACTCGCTGCCACACGTCGCTCAAAAGAATCCAGCCTCTCGGGTGGCGCTGTAATGATTTTACTAGGAGCTGCATTCTTTCGTTCAAGAATTACTGGGACAGAACACCGTTATCTCTATGTATCTCAGGTCCGCAACGCAAACCCGCTCATTTGCCGCTTGTCAATCGGTTTCACAGACAGCCCTCATCCTGCTTGCGATGATTGTGACTTCCAGTTCAGTTCGTCACTTGCAAGAAAAACGAGGACTTCCTTTGGTGAATCAAGTTGCTGGGTGGTTAATCCTTGGTGAGTTCCCACGCGGAATTGCGCTACTGTCGTCAGTGATTGCTTTCCTACCAGTTATCGCTTCCCTCGTTCCTTTCCTTTCACGCGCCAAGCACAACAGCGTTAACTCAAAGTTGCTAATGTACTTCCTCGGATTCGGTCCGGCATTCGTGCTACTTTCTATCAGCGTCGAGGGCCTCTTCTATGCTGCTTATGCGACCACTCTGGTGTGCTGGATCGACGCAGAACGAGCCCAACGGGCTTCGCAATTAGACTCGATCAAAAAGTCGCGAAATTTCCAGCAATATCGCTTCCAGCCAGACGATGTTCGGATAGCGTTATTCTTCCTATTCTTTGTGCAAGTAGGCTTTTTTGGCACAGGAAAGTAAGTGTGTCTGTCTCAAGTTCAGTAACAGTGAGATAACCTTATTCAGCGTTGCCTCGATATCGTCAGCTATTTCTTTCTCTCGAGTCTTGCTTAGCTAATTACACCAACAAGCTCTTTCTATCTATCACCAGTATATCGGCTGATCCCAGTGTTCAATCCTTTCGCCATGGCATCCCTCCTTGTTGGTTCATCAGCAGCTATGTGCTTACGTAACTGAAAAATATTACTGCAGATATTCAAGATTATTGTGCCATATATCATCCTCGCTGTGACCTTTGCGACACTGAACGACGCTCTCCGTCTTCCACCATTCTCCTTGTTCCTCGTTGCGCTAACTCTAACACCCGGAATGACCCTGACGTTTTTCTTCAACGTCACCGACACAGGTGAGCCAAGCACATTCGTTGCTGCGAGTTCTCACACGCGTGGTAGGGTCGTGGCTGGAGATTGGGCAGTCCATAACGTTCTTCTGCGTTGCGTCTATGTTACTGCTTTGGTCGGCTGGGATATGTACCGGTGGCGAGTATCTAATGGCGGATGTATTATCGAGCGGCTCGAAGACAGTTCCGGAATGAAAAGGCTGCAGGGGATTGCGCTGGAACGTTTGGGAAAGGTGACGAGGCTGGACAACGTGTCTCGATTACGAGTCCGTTCATGCTTGAGAGAACGTTCAATGGTTGCCCTAAGGTATAAAGCCCGATCCTACACTCTCGCACTTTCAACAAACCCCATGCAGCTCACTAGCTTGCTCCGCAATATCTGGCGACACCTTTCCTTCTCCAAATCACGCGCTCTCTTGCAGATCCCCGGCATTTGGGATGACGGCCATCTCCGCCAAACCTATTCTGAAACTCTGGATGAGTGGCGGGGTAGACTTCTCACTTTGCCCCGTCGCGAGCCATTGGACAACGGAGTAGTCGTCACAAAGGTCGAGCACTTGGAGAAAAGCAAGGGAAAGCACGAGTTTCTTCGTCTCCACCTCCTCCACAAGGTGTCTAAAGAAGAACAGGCTCTAATCATCGAGCGCAATATCTTCGTCGAATCAACACAAGGCACTTCTACGCATGATACTGTCCGTCGCGGGGAGCGAGACCTTCGCAGTTATACCAGCAGCCAGAATATTGAGACGTTGACGTTTCTGCAAGGTGAATGCCCGTCGGTTATCCAAGTGGCTTTTGTCCTCGGGGCCTTGTCCCAGTACTCGACGCCAGAAACTGATATGTCGGGAAAACTCCAGAGCCAATGGTTCGCAACGGCGGCTTGCCAATGTTTGCATGAAGAGCTGAAGGGAAAGCTGGGTGGGGCAAAGGTGGTCGAAATGAGACAAACCATCTCGACGCGACCGATGCTGATGGAGTATAAGCAGCAATTGAGCCAGTATTCAGCGGTAGGCGGGATCTTTTCCAGCTGGCATCAACATTCTAAACCCGGCTAGGCATTCGAACGCGTCCAGGCGACTACTTGACGCTTGATGGTCCTTATGACTCTGTCGGAGGTGGCCCAAGCTCCTTGAAGTATTCTAGCACACGTTGTCTAATTTTGACTTGATACCGGGTTGAGAATATCAACATGGAGATAACGCACTCAGGGACCTTCATGCCGTGTTCACGCCGTAAGAAAGCCACCAAAGTCCTGGCACCAAGTTTAGGATGCTGTTTCTTGAGCTCTGCCGCTATAGGTCTGAAATCATTTGCGACCGCAGACTTCGACACCTATAGTGCCCACTTATCCCCTCTAGTTAGAGGGGCAAGGGGGGGGGGGGTTCTCCCTCTAACTAGAGGGGTTTAACGCGATTGCCTATGCTTTCTTAAACTTCCTTGTGAGTGTTAGTGGACATCCTGCTCAGCGGAGGCCCAAGTCCTCAGAGGTTAGTGGACTCATCATGAGTGTTGGTGACACCACACTCGCGGCTATCTTCCTCAGCCATCAAACCTCTTTCCAGCTGTGATCCCGACACTACCCGACCCCCCGCCCACTGTCCCGATCTGATGGCGCATCAAAAGATCAAAGTTGTGCGCTTCATTTAGATAAGCCTAGATGTATCAATAAAAATTGAATATCTAACATATTAAGGAAGATATAAGACTTTTGATCTAATGATCTGCGATCATAAAATCAAAATTGTAAAGAAGGTAATTCTAGCCAGTAATGTAAAGAAATCAAGTTGAAATTCATTCTCTCTAATAAAATATAGGCTTATGATGTATGTAATATGTTCACTGAAGTTAGTGGACAACATATGTATATAGATAGGTATATAGGAAGTTTCTGGACATATATCCATACTATAGGTTATTATGACTATTCATATACCATATTGAAGCCCTTTCATAATGATTTCATTGAGCAGTTATCTACTAACTTTTCTAGACACGGGCTACAAGTTGGTAGACAGATGTCATATATAGTAGTAGGTAGGGTAGGTTCATATATGCTACTAAATGATCCGGATATTAGATACTAAATTTAACGAGGTATAATGAGATTATAGATTCTATAATGCCTTTCCCTCTCTAAAATACCATAGAAATAGCTACTGCCACTACTATGAGTATGCTTTCTTGAGTCTATAACTAACTCTATCACGCAGGCACTATGTAGTAGCAGTTCATGAGATGTAGCATATCATAATATCTTCACTGAAGGTGTCCACTAACTTCCTAGATACAGAAGTTAGTGGACACCCCGTCTATATTAATCAGTAGGTATAGGTTATGTACTCTACTAGATATCTTGGATATCATGTACAAGATGATATATGATGATGTACTATCCCCACTGTATCATAGTGGCAACTTGGCTAGTGTGTCCACTAACTTCCAGGGTACAGAAGTTAGTGGACACTCAACTCAGTATATTAATCAGTATGTACAGAGATACCCTAGCAGATACCTTGAATATCATGTACATGATGATATATGATGGTGTACTATCCCCACTGTATCATAGTAGCCCAACTTGGCTACTGTGTCCACTAACTTCCAGGGTACAGAAGTTAGTGGACACTCAGTATATTAATTGGTCTATACTGGGGTATGTACCTGGCCAGATACTCGGTGTATAGGATAGTATATGGTTGTGTACTACGCTACTGTATCATAGTATCCCAACTGGAGGTGTCTACTAACTTCCTAGGTATGGTGTCCACTAACTTCTATACCTAGGAAGTTAGTGGACACCTCAGTATATTAATTGGTGTGTGGAGGGGTGTGTACTTTTACCACATACCTTGGTATACAATTGGTGTACAGGATGGTATATGGCTGTATACTACCCCACTGTATTATAGTATCCCAACTGGAGGTGTCCACTAACTTTAGTACCTAGTGTCCACTAACTTCCATACCCTAGAAGTTAGTGGACACCCAGTCTATATCAATTAGTATGTATAGGGTGTGTACTCTACCAAATATCTGGAATATGATGTACGGGATGATATATGGCGGTATACTCTCCCCACTGTATCATATGGCCCAACTCAGCTAGTGTGTCCACTAACTTCTATACCCCGGAAGTTAGTGGACACCGGCTGTATGCTTCAGGCTATATACATCTATTAAATCCTATGAGTTTCTCCTGAGGATAAATATAGTATTGCTCACAATAACTTTTGAAAGTCAGTAGAACCAATTAGCAGTGCATAAATAATTCTGTAAAGCTCAAGATGTACTCTCAGGTTGGAAGTCCTAAGTGTATGATATACATCTAAGTCAATTGTGATTTTGTTGAGAAACCGGGCGCATGATTTTATTTGGAATTAGATTTGACCCAGTATTGCTCCTGTTATTGACCCATTGATGTGCAACGACATTTTTGTTAGTGGACGCCAAACTATTATTGGTGCATAAATAATGGTCTTAGAGCTCATCTAAACTCTCAAAACAGATGTACTAGGTATACTACACACATCTATTTTGATTCTGACTTTGTCAAGAAAATAGATACATGATTTTACCTTGGTTCAGAACTTGAATTGCAAAGGCATATTGCGTTCACACTAATTTTCACATATCTCTCGGAATCGCTTACAAATTGATACACATCATTGGGCATGTATTCGAATCAATATGCTGCAAACCCCATACGATTTGACCTAGTATTGCTTCTGTTATTAGCCAATTGATGTGCAACGACATTTTTGTTAGTGGACGCCAAACTATTATTGGTGCATAAATAATGGTCTTAGAGCTCATCTAAACTCTCAAAACAGATGTACTAGGTATACTACACACATCTATTTCGATTCTGACTTTGTCAAGAAAATAGATACATGATTTTACCTTGGTTCAGAACTTGAATTGCAAAGGCATATTGCGTTCACACTAATTTTCACATATCTCTCGGAATCGCTTACAAATTGATACACATCATCGGGCATGTATTCGAATCAATATGCTGCAAACCCCATACGATTTGACCTAGTATTGCTTCTGTTATTAACCAATTGATGTGCAACGACATTTTTTGTTAGTGGACGCCAAACTATTATTGGTGCATAAATAATGGTCTTAGAGCTCATCTAAACTCTCAAAACAGATGTACTAGGTATACTACACACATCTATTTCGATTCTGACTTTGTCAAGAAAATAGATACATGATTTTACCTTGGTTCAGAACTTGAATTGCAAAGGCATATTGCGTTCACACTAATTTTCACATATCTCTCGGAATCGCTTACAAATTGATACACATCATCGGGCATGTATTCGAATCAATATGCTGCAAACCCCATACGATTTGACCTAGTATTGCTTCTGTTATTAACCAATTGATGTGCAACGACATTTTTGTTAGTGGACGCCAAACTATTATTGGTGCATAAATAATGGTCTTAGAGCTCATCTAAACTCTCAAAACAGATGTACTAGGTATACTACATACATCTATTTCGATTCTGACTTTGTCAAGAAAATAGATACATGATTTTACCTTGGTTCAGAACTTGAATTGTAAAGGCATATTGCGTTCACACTAATTTTCACATATCTCTCGGAATCGCTTACAAATTGATACACATCATCGGGCATGTATTCGAATCAATATGCTGCAAACCCCATATGATTTGACCCAGTATTGCCTTTGTTATTAACCAATTGATGTGCAACGACATTTTTTGTTAGTGGACGCCAACCTATTGGCACATGAATAATGTCTCAGAGTCCATCTGAACTTCCAGAATAAGTATCTGGGGTATAGTACACATACACCCATGGATATACCACCAGGCCTATGTATTTTAAGGTATTATTGCTTCTGTTATTACACAATTAATATGCAATAACTTTTAGAGAGTTGGTAGACATTATCCAGGCTTAGAGGGTTTAACCGATTCTCTAGCCATATTGAAATAGGCAAGCACAATAACATAGTATGGTATATATTCCCTGGAAGAAACTCACAGGATTCCATAGATGCTCATAGCCTGTAGGATAGAGCTGTAGGTCAGAGTCAACTCATAGAATTTCAGGGTAGGTTCTGTCTGGGTCAGGTCAGAATACATCAATGTCTAAACCTAGCCAAACCTGAACCCTTATATGGTCAACTGACTGGGTGTAATGTCTATTAACTCTGAGGAGAGATCCACTAACTTTGGTACCCAGAAGGTTAGTGGACATATTTCCAGTTGGGCCACCATGATACAGTGGCATAGTGTACCACTATATACTATCCCATACATGGTATCCAAGGTATTTGGTAGGGTACACCCCCTCCCTATACACACTGATTGATAGACTGGTGTCCACTAACTTCCGTACCCTGGAAGTTAGTGGACACAAGATACTGAAGTTAGTGGACATACTACTCAAGTTTTATGATACAGTAGGGTAATGTACTATGATATACTATCCCGTACATGATATTCAAGATATCTTATAGGGTATACACCCTGTACATACCAATTAATATACTAGGTGTCCACTAACTTCTGGGGTATGTAAGTTAGTGGACACACTACTCAAGTTAGGCCATAGTGAGGTAGGACACTATCATAGGGCTATCCTGTACATGGTATCTAAGGTATTTGGTAGGGTACACCCCCCTCCTATACATACTGATTGATAGACTGGTGTCCACTAACTTCCGTACCCTGGAAGTTAGTGGACACTAGGTACCAAGTTAGTGGACACACTACTCAAGTTAGACCACCATGATACAGTGGGGTAGTGTACTACTATATACTATCCCGTACATGATATCCAAGATATTTAGTAGGGTATACATCCTGTACATACCAATTAATATACTAGGTGTCCACTAACTTCCGGGGTATGGAAGTTAGTGGACACACTACTCAAGTTAGGTCATAGTAAGGTAGGACACCATCATAGGCTATCCTGTACATGATATCTAAGATATCTGGTAGGGTACATACCCTCTTTACACACTAATTAATATAGGCTGGTGTCCACTAACTTCCGTACCCTGGAAGTTAGTGGACACTAGGTACCAAGTTAGTGGACACACTACTCAAGTTAGACCACCATGATACAGTGGGGTAGTGTACTACTATATACTATCCCGTACATGATATCCAAGATATTTAGTAGGGTATACATCCTGATACATACCAATTAATATACTAGGTGTCCACTAACTTCCAGGGTATGGAAGTTAGTGGACACACTACTCAAGTTAGGTCATAGTAAGGTAGGACACCATCATAGGCTATCCTGTACATGATATCTAAGATATCTGGTAGGGTACATACCCTCTTTACACACTAATTAATATAGGCTGGTGTCCACTAACTTTTTGTACCCTGGAAGTTAGTGGACACTAGATACCAAGTTAGTGGACACACTAGTCAAGTTAGACCACCATGATACGGTGGGGTAGTGTACCACTATATACTATTCCATACATGATATCCAAGATATCTAGTAGGGTACACACCCTCATACACACTGATTGGTATAGACCGAATACAGAAGTTAGTGGACAGGGGCTTAGTAGACACCTCTGGTTGGGATAACATAATATACTACATATTGTGCACTACTACCACGTATTGTGCATATATGATAGAGTAAGTAGTTATGGACTCAGGAAAGTATACTTGTAGTTGTGGTGGTAGCTAGTTCTATAATGCCCTTTTATCCCCTCTCATTAGAGTGGAAGGGCATTATAGGATCTGTAACATCATTACCTCTTTAAATTTGGCATCTGGATCATGTGGTAGGGTATATAGACCTACCTACTACTATGGTATCTGTACATACTGACAAATATAGGTAAGATGTCCTCTCGCTCTGCGCCTAGGACAGTTAGTAGATAACTGCTCAATGAAATCATTATGAAAGGGCTTCAATATGGTATATGAATAGTCATAATAACCTATAGTATGGATATATGTCCAGAAACTTCCTATATACCTATCTATATACATATGTTGTCCACTAACTTCAGTGAACATATTACATACATCATAAGCCTATATTTTATTAGAGAGAATGAATTTCAACTTGATTTCTTTACATTACTGGCTAGAATTACCTTCTTTACAATTTTGATTTTATGATCGCAGATCATTAGATCAAAAGTCTTATATCTTCCTTAATATGTTAGATATTCAATTTTTATTGATACATCTAGGCTTATCTAAATGAAGCGCACAACTTTGATCTTTTGATGCGCCATCAGATCGGGACAGTGGGCGGGGGGTCGGGTAGTGTCGGGATCACAGCTGGAAAGAGGTTTGATGGCTGAGGAAGATAGCCGCGAGTGTGGTGTCACCAACACTCATGATGAGTCCACTAACCTCTGAGGACTTGGGCCTCCGCTGAGCAGGATGTCCACTAACACTCACAAGGAAGTTTAAGAAAGCATAGGCAATCGCGTTAAACCCCTCTAGTTAGAGGGAGAACCCCCCCCCCCCCTTGCCCCTCTAACTAGAGGGGATAAGCGGGCACTATAGGTGGACTTCGACCGTTGCCTTGTGCCCAGCAAGAGCATTGCTTGTCGTGACCGGTAGACACCACTGCAGCTAGATATCATGAAGAAGAAAGCAAGGCAGCCAGCGAGTGGTCTTACGAAATGCTGTACCCCTTCCCGCACAACTCTGGGTCTTTGGCAAGGTCGCTACATATTTCCTTTGCGATTCGAGTGTCGCCATAGTTGAGACTAAAGTAGTGGTTGATCTTGGGATACAACCAGTCTTTCGGGGCTTTATGTGGTTCAGTTGAGCCAATAGGGAAGGGAACGAAGTACGCAGTCTCGTTGAGGGCATGAAAGTGAGAGTGATGGAAGTCTGATTACATCATAGTTCTGTGATGATGATAGTGTGGGTGGTGGACAAAATATATCTGCCCTTCAGCATCGACTAGGGTTTAAGCACGTGTGGACAGGTCTTTGGAGTCTTAGACGAATTCTCGTTCAACCGACATGCAAGAGTTCCGGGCAGAATGATACGCTAGAACATGGGCACATGGAATTCCATCGACAAACGTTGTGCGTTATGATACAGCTCCATGTCAGACTCAGTCAACAGCCCCAGGACTACCTGGGCTTCCTCATAATGACTACTTGCAACAGGGAAAAGCTGGGTGTCAACAGAGCATACAGTCCCCAGCTCAGGTAGTGTGCCGTTAAGGAAATACGCGCGAATGTGTTTGTGGGTACATAGTGAAGGGCCAGAAAGTGAGCAATGCTGCGAAACGATGAGCCGTTGTCTGGTAAGCCGGCCTGCACCCACCCCAAAGGAGTCTTGCGTTAAGACGACCGAGTCTTTGAACCCCTTTGACACTTTTTGCGCTCTGAAAAGGATTCAGACGTCCAACGAAGTGTGTGGCAAGAGACTTACGACCACAGAGGAGTCACGGGGTCTACATTAGATGAGAAAAACAACGATTTATGGTGGATGCACGCTTACCACCGGTATTACCGATGAGCAGTAAGGGGAAACTCGTGTTGGCAGTGAACGGTCCTGAGTCGATGTAAGCACACAATGGGTAATTGAAATGACCTAGGCACCTTGAAAATTCGTCTTCGGAAATTTTGGCCATTCCCTGAACCAATGCATCGACCATATATGACTTCAGACCAATAGTACTCACAAGCAACCCATGCGCGGCATCGTCCACTGATCAGCGAATGTCGAAGTCTTGCTCAACTCAGTATAGTATGCCTCGAAATCCTCGTAGTCTGCCGAGATTTGGGCCCCATCGTTACATAACACCGCCCAGGTCGCTTCACCCAGGCTTTCGAACTGGAATTCTCCGGGATTGCATCCACATTGGAACGGCTGTCTCATTCCTCGCACCACCAAAGACAACTCCCAGAAGTCTGACGCGTTTCCACTCGCGAGGCTTGCTAGCGCTTTGGCCAGGGTGGGAAATTGAGCATAGGGAACATATAAACTTCGGAAGAGCGTGGTTCGGAAAGCGGAGAAGTCGAGAATCCCATGGGATGTACTTGTTTGAATAGGAATGGGTCGAGCACGCAGAGAGGAGGCAAGAGTTTCGATGTTGGTGAGGATTTGATCGGGACTCCCGGAATAGAATGCGCAACCAGAGGGACCGGCAGCTGCACAACCAACAGCAAAAGCTCGAAACACTTGATCAGTGTCTCGTAAACTGTTGGACCACTTGGCTGTTTGGTCTCTGAATTGACTCTACAATGAGAAGCCGACTGACATACTAGCATAGTAATCGTCCACGTCGGTAACTCCATCTATGACAATCCGTCCAACATTATCCTAATGAGTTATGTCAGCAATAGTTGGCGGCACTTTCAACGACTGTAGATTTACTGGAAACATTGCAGCAAAAGTTGCTCCCAAGACGCTGCCATATCTGTCCCGAGCTAAGAAACTTTCCGAATAAGTCTGTGAGAACGCTCGAGAAGCCCCAGTATTGCAGCTTCTCGCTGTTGTGCTTTTGGACAATACGCAGCATGTCTCGGGCAGTGTAATCAGTGTGGATGAATTTCAGGCTCCCATCGTCGTTCCCACGTGCCAGTTGCCCCATCAGAGTCCCATGGGCCCAAATTCGTGGGAGGACCTCTGCTGACGCGTTTGGTGAGGGTATATTCCACGCATCAAACAACGCTCGTTCGGCCCGACTCGAGAAAAAGTTGGCACGGGGTATGGAGCGCGCAATGCCTGCGGGTGAGTGAGTTAGTTAAGACTGAACGCGCGGTTATGGGTTTACCTCGTGGGTCAAATCCTATGATGTCGAACTCCGGTCCAACGATGGTTTGGAGTCGGTTACCGATGTTGATGGCCATGTCGACGCCTGAGCCTCCGGGGCCACCTGGATTAATTAATATGGGCCCTCGATAGCTTGGGGAGTTGTGAGAAACGACTGAGTGGACGCGGACTATGGCGATAGCAGCCGAAGGGCCGTTGGGATTTGTGTAATCCAAAGGTACCTTGTGACATCAGGCAGCCGGTAAGGGAGGCTAGCTATGTACTCACTTTCAGCCGCGCACAGTGTTTGTCGCCGTAGCATTCTGTCCAGACAAGGTCTTCAGATGGGTTAATCTTGCTCCAAATGAGTGCAAGGGTGTCGATTCAGCTGCCAATGCAACTGACCGTTGCCCAGGAGAATTTGTCCAGCGACTTGTCTTGTTTGCAGATATTGCTATACGCAAGGCAAACGCGGCCGATCCATACAGTCGAGAGGAGTACGACGCGTAAAACTTGAAGGGCGACCATGAGTGGCTAAGACAAGTGACGCGATCAGCGGTTGCAATTCTGACAACTGCGTTATTTATGCATTGATTAGCAAAGTCCCTTTCGATAAAGTGACTGTCTTCACATAGCGCGCGTCGTGGGGAAGCATACTAGTGGAAGGCAGTCCCAACTTGAAGTCACAAATGTGACTTCACTGTCACAGCAGAGACCAAACCCAGTGCTGTACAAACGGCCGTCCAAATCGGGCGAATGGCCCCAAAACGGCCCCTTTTTTGATTTTGCCTGAAGGGACATTTGATTTGTGACTGAAGGTGCCTATATTCGTACCTGAAGGCACTTAAATTTGCACCTGAGGTCTCAATATTCATGCCTATAGGCATCATTCGTTCTTGCCTGAAGGCATCTTGCAATTTATACCTGAAGGGACTTATAATTGTGCCTGAAGGATAAAAAAACTTGACTATAGGCATTTTCATCGTATAAGTACCTCTGGGGACTTGATGGTGATGTGTTCCAAAAAAGGCAATTTAAATAACATGTCATTTCAACTCATTTAAGCCACTCTCTGCTCATAACACAATGTATCTCATGAAGGGATAATTCATTAAGTTGTATCAGACTGGTTAAAAATGTCCTCAATTAATTACAGCTTGGATTTCTTAGATCATCATATACATCAGTGATGCCAAAGTACAAACCATTTAGACCTATCCTATAGCATCTTGCTCTTGTTGGTTTTCATGCTGTTTCTCTGTTATTTGGTGACTTGCCTATTGTGCTTTGCTTCAGGATTTTGAATGGTAGCCTTTTTTTTATATTACAAGTAACTTGAATTCATCTCAGTTTCTTCAAGTAATGATAGGCCTGAGGGCATTTTTATTTGCTACTGAAGGGAAAGAACAAAACTCACTACAGGAACAAGAATGAGCTGTCCTGCAGTGACCAGAACTTACACTGAAGGGGCAAAACATAATGTACTGTAGGTTCAATGCACTTGCACCTGAGGGAACAGAAATTGTGCCTCCAGGCATGAAATTGAATGCCTGAGGGAGCATAAAATATTGCCCTCGGGCACGATCTTTCGTCCCTGAGGGCGCATTGGATTTTGCCCGAAGGCAACTTTTTTGTCACTGGGCCGTTTTGGGGCCGGCCCATCAATGGGCCGTGACTCGTACAGCACCAGTGCCTATCTGTCACAGCATTACTAACTCAGATTTTGTGTCGATCCTCGATGTTGTCGCATGAAACTCTTCCCACTGAGCTCTGGCTGGAGGTCTTCGACCATCTAGACAACCACCGCTCCTTTACCGTTTCCCATGCCCCGTTTCAGCCGATTCCAGGTGTCGCCAATGAGAATAAAGTCTGCCACGACTACTTCACGCTCGTGCTCGTGTGTCGCAAATGGCGAGCGTGGGCTCTAGAGCGACTATATCGCAACTACAAGCTGTCCAAGACCGCTAAGTCGCCTCTCCAGTATGCAAACTGGGCAAGTGCTCTGTGAAACCCGTTATCGCGCTCAATTGAGAGCAGGTCAGGCGGGCAGTTGTGCCATATACCACCACTGCAACAGAGACACACAAGCCAATGCCCTCTACCGAGATTCTCAGCCGGCTTCCTAACCTAGTTGTTCTCGTCCGACCACCATATGCCCCCTCCCCACTGCGAAACCCGCGTTTTGAGTTTGACGCGACTTGTCCGCCGCTTCCCCAGCTCAAACGGCTCGATTGGTGGAACTACATCGAAGCCTCGCGCTCTGGAGGCATCAATTCACTCACTTCAGTCCTAAAACGTGCCCCCAATATCGAATATCTCTTCGTTGGCGGGGCGTTCAGCCATTTTACTGCCGTGGCTTTCCATGGCCTCGATATAGCAGCGAGTATACATCTTCCCCGCCTACGCACACTCAGAATCAATATTTCCGACGCCCTCCTCCTTCGACACGTTATGCAACGCTGGGAATTACCAGCTTTGGAAAACTTTGTCTTCGACTCTCCACTCGTCACAGGTAGTATTGGCTCGCGGCTTCTTTGGGAGACGATGGGCTCGCGACTGACCACTGTCGAATTTGGAAAGCACGTCCGATTTCTTCTGGATGACCATCTTGGGCCTTGTCTGCGTGGTTGTCCGCTGCTGCGTCAGGTAAACTACTACCTCTTTATCACTGCGGCCCTTGTCGCCGAGGAGAACGAAACCTTCCCCAATCTGGAGTGCATTGGGGTCAGCTTGTCGCATACGCCGTTCCTTGGTGGTGAGGCGGAAGAATGGGAGCATCTGTGGCGCCATGTGGACGTGTTTTGCTCTGGGGTACTTCCCAATCTACACACACTCAAGCTATGGGACACAAAACCAATTCTTCACTCGGACATACGCCTCCGGGACATGCGAAGGCGGCTCGAAACGAAAGGAATTGTTATACAGTTCTGCTGATCTACTCGTGAATCGCCCAAATAGTAAACACGCTTAGTGTCTCGTGGAACCCTGCTGTTGTCGATTTCCCTCAAATTCGGAAGTTAGGCCACCGGCTGCGCTGGATCGCCATAGTGCATTTCCGTCATATTTAGCTCAGTGCATTGGTGGTCTGATGCAACTAAGCCTGCGGAGGTCAAAGGCGACGCGTTGGGGCACGGGTGTGGCCAGGTAGCGGTGGTATAGTCGATGATTTTCACGGATTTGCCCACAGGAATAATGTGTTGCGGGAACCGGGCATCCAGACGGTGGTGATGGATGTTGGCTGGAAGGAATATGTGTTGCAGCAAGTGAAAGAGGAGGAGACGCACCCTGAGTGTGCAGCGCGCAGACGGCGAGGATGGTTTGTCGACTAGGAGTGATACAGTATCAGCCAAATAATTAACCGAGGCGGGGGAAAGGGACGAGCCGCAATTCGCTCGATCTGATGGTACAGCCCCCTCCAACCCACTCCAGCATCAAACAAGTCGTGTTGTGGCTTCCGTACTTTCCGCAAAAAGCGCCATAAAACTCTGGCGCGTACTCGAAGCCCTTCAATGCCTCGGTGTAGATTTCCGCCTCGTGACTGAGAAGCAGGCATTGCTGCTCCTGGACGCCAACCTTCAGGACGAATCGTTTGGCCGTCCCTGCTGTGAGTTGCTCTAGTGTGGTACCACGTGGCCCTCCCCAAACAACGTAGACCTTAATTCCGCTCTTAGGGGAGGTGCGAGGCGGCCCAGATGCCAGGCAGACATAGTGCTCTTGGACCGCGTTGGAGGTGAAGGAACACGGGGTCGCAGTTGGCGTGTAGTAGAGCGTAATAGACATCGTTAGTGGGATGTGCAGAGAGCGGGAGGAGACAGACAGTGATGTTGAGCCAGTGCGCTGCCTCTTTATACCATGTCCGTGAAGTGTGCTTTGTCCAAACTTTGGACGCGATCAAAGCCATTTGCAAGGCAGTGCCACTTGCCTTACTGGGCTCGAAATCTCCGCATTGTCCCGCCTCTTCAACGATTTTGGCGCAAGATCTTAGATTTATTTTTCATCAAGTTGTTTCGTCACGTGAACTCGCGTGATCGCGTCGATGTGATCAATCTCATCTCCGTCATCATCATTACCCTCCTTCCTATTTTAGGTTTTTGATGGGAGGCGGAATTTGCACAAGTGATCGCGTCTGACCCGCAATGTTTTTTTTTGTTGGCTCGCGACTCCATGCTTGATAGACAATCTATAAATAGCTAATATGTGTTCATTTGTTTGAACTACTGCTCGCGGTTTCCACTGCCGGAGCAGTCTTTTCGCTCGTATGCGAATGCGTTGTCGCCGCTCTCTCGAGATCTTGCATTGCAACATCTTCCGTGACAGCGTCAGATTGCGGCGCGTCTTTCGCTGGGTCTTCCTCCTTGGTATGGCCAATGATGCCCATACCACGCATCCCCACAGCGGTGATTAACAAACTAACAACACCGGCGGCAAAACACGTCCACGCAGCGTTGCGGAATCCGACCATGAGGACCTCTGGCGAGTCGATGGCCAGTTGGGGATGGGCGTGTTGGTATGTTTGAGAGGTGCCGGTTGCGACGCTCGAGGTGACTGCGAGGCCCAGGGAGGTGCCGATCTAACAGGTGATCAGTATATTTGGAGCGGAAATAATAATCGACTTACGCGACCAGCGATGCTGAAGAGCCCGCCAGACAGCGATTGCGAGTCGTTGTCGAACATGGAGGAAAGGTAGAGGTTTCCGACAGGGTAGCAGACGTCTGCGCCAACGACGAATATCATCACAAGGAAGGCCGTTGCCCAATATGACGCGTGGACGTTCATCGTGGCGAATATGAGAGGAGCAATCTGCCAAAGCTCGTGAGGAGTTTGTGGGAGTAAAGAAAGGAACAGCATACCACACAGCCCAAGATGCCGACCATAAGGAGGGGCTGGCCAGGGACTCGATGCATGATGTAGCCCGTAACAAGGTTGACGAGGAATCCGGCGATTGTCATAGGAATAAAACGCACTAGGATCGGTGTAAGAGTCAGAGAATGCTCGCAGCCAAAGACCTACCAGCAGTTTGCAGAGCGTTCAATTGATTAACTTGTTGGTAGCTGAAGAGAATATTAGGATATAATGAAACCGACTCGGAATCGACTCACTATAGCGTGGAGAAATAGGTGACAGTGTTGAAACCTTTGCTCACAGTCAGAGATTTAACCAACACAAACAGACACACGTACTCCACCATACGAAGAACTGCATCCCAAGAACGCTGAGCATCTTCCCCTTCCAGATCGACATGGGCAAGAGAACAGAGAGGTTGCGTTTCTCTCGGTAGCGTTCATAAAATACGAAGAGGGCGAGCACAACCGCGGAGCCGGTGAAAAGGCTGGGGATCTGCGGAGTAGACCATCCCTTGCGAGCAGTCGTGGAGTCACTGGAATATTGAGCAATCACGTCGAAGAAACTGAAGGAACTTACGCGAGACTATATGTGAGCATTCCGAAGCCTGCCGCACTCAGTATCGCCCCGCCCCAATCGATGCCCTTCTTGTAACGTTGCGCTGGCCGTTGATGGATGAGGAAAGCAAAGCCGAGGATAACGAAGATGACGCCGAGCCCCGACTGCATGTAAAATACGGCTCTCCAAGTGGCTTTACTTTGTGTTAATACACCACCTGACGAAAGTAAGCCCCTGGTCAGCGAAATTTACGGACTACACACCAAGTAGGAGGCCGAGGATGAAGCCTAGAGGCTGTCCAGCTCCGAGAACGCCATACGCTACATTCCGCTTACGGCCTTGACGATCGTTCAATCCAACGAAAATATTGCCTTAAAAAACGCACCAGGAGGGAAGAAGGCAGACAGAAGCCCGATGCCGCTTGGAGTGTTTGCAGCAGCCCCGATTCCGGTCAGCGCGACGAAACCAATAAAGGAGCCGCTGGTTGGAGCGAATGCGGTAGCAAGACTCCTAGTTGTGCGTTGGAAGATTTTTTGTGGAGGGGGAACAAGACTAACCATATCGCAAACCATATTGACCCAGTCAAGAACATGAATCGACCTCCGAGAATATCTCCCAGTCTTCCGCAGAACAGCACCAAACACCCATACGAAAGCCTCTCGGAGGGTGAGCCGGCCGGTGAAAAGGACCATAAAAACTCACGCGTAGACGTTAAGCGGCCATTGCAAGTCGGCTTGCCTGAAGCTGAGGTCTTTTCCGATTGTCGGTAGCGCGACAGTCAGAGCGCCAGAAAAAAAGACCTTTGCGAGTCAGTTCAATCACAAGACCCTCAATAGATTGCTGCAGAGACGTACGGTGAGAGTGGTTACTCCGGAGACGGACAGAATCAGGGCTAATTCGTTCAGCTGGAGACTGCTGGAGTCCATCTTCGATGGGTTTTCCAAGGGTTTTCCAACTTTCTGTCGGTTTATCTATGGTCGTTTCAACGGCAGTTACAGGCCGCATGACGTCGCGCGAATGGTGCTCTTACTCAGCCAAGGCTGACATAACGTCCAACGTCCTGGCATTAGCCACTGCGCCACGTATTTCGTTCGTGTTCGTGGGCCCCAACCGAAGCCTTCTCTGAAAAACAGCCTGATTTGATTGTTATGTAATCCAAGGATAGCTGTTATATGGGCACACAAAGCTAATAGTAAAACAAACATTATTGGAACTTATTCTGTACTTGTAAAGTATCCTGGATCTTCCTGGCAGTCGATATGATCAGGATTGCTCATTATGGTCTTGCCCTTCTTTTTCGGAAACGTAGACCTTGCCAACTCGTCCCAATGTGTTCTCAATGACGCCAGGCTATTACTGGTAGTTGGACGCGTACTAGCACGATTAAGTTCCCATTCCACCGTTAATGCAACCGGAAATCCTTGTTTGTCAATTCGAGTCAAAACATCTTCTTTGTTGTAGTTGGGGTTCTGCCGATCAAGCGAGTACTGGCTTTCCAGCAAGGCAGTGAACGACTCGAGGCAAATTGTCCTCATACTGGCGAGCTCGACAGGCTGCCAGTGCGGCGGCAGCGGGATGTGGTATAATAGCTCTAGATCATACTGTCCATCCGTCCCGGGCCTCTTGGGAGGCGATCGCAAAACAACGTCGCATCGGCCCGCGTCGAGACCGCCAGACCACATCGTAGTATTTTTAACCTCAACTCCGCTTGGGGCACGACCTTCAGCGTCACAGTCGCTCATCTGACAGCGCTTATGCTCTTCGTCCAACTGGATGTTATCGACTTCCAACTTGAAGTTGAGCTGCTGCCCAATTATAACTTGCAGCACGTTGCTTGGGGTGGCGACACAGCCAGGCTCTTGTGGCACAGTTGTGGCCAAGCGCTTCAAATTTCGATATCTCTCTCGTCCCGCTTTCGACAGCTGTTCATACGGCGCTCTTTGGTCCGGCGAGAGACCTTTCCAGAGATTTGCAACGTAAAGGAGCTCTTTCTCCTCTCCGCTTGTGGTCGACGGCAGCTGCTTGAGGTAAACCGATCTGTGGCGACATCGTAGTTGTAGTCTGGGCATAGCAGCGCGACATAATAGACTCACCGAAAGATTATGAAGGCGTTCGCTGGACGTTTGAGCCCACCCGTGTCTGCGTCTACGACGAAGTAAGCGACCCCTCGTTCCGCCCAGTGGCCAAGGTAAATTGCCTTTTTTCTTCCGGCGGGGCTTTCTCGTCGTCGATGCTGAACAACGGGCTGCAGATTTTTTGGCCGGCGCAGGAATTTCGTGGTTGCTCCAAGAGCGGGAGTCCGTGGACGATTTCGCCAGCCTATATAAGGCGTTCAGAAGCAGCCCATGACTCCCAAGAGACAGACAAACTGCATAGGCTGAAGCTGTGACTCGGTGGATTTATGATGTTGTTGACTCGGGGTGGGAGATCTGGAAAGGTCTGACTCTGGGACCGCAAGCCTGCTTGTTTTGTGTGAGCGACGAGAGGGCGGCATTGCAGGACGAGGGCCCTGTGGTCAATAGCAAGACAAAGAGTGGGATGCTAATCGAAGCATAAAAGGAGAACAAACCGTGGGATTAGAGGCGCAGCTAAACTTCGAGAATTCGAAGTCGAAAACGCCCACACACAGAGTCATGACGAACTAATTTAGTCTAAGACTGGAACAAGTTGGAGAAGGCAGTGCCTGTAGGAATGCGGAGTCAAGACCAGACTAAGGCGCCCTGTTTTGAGTCTTCGATTTGTTGGTTCACAGTGGGGGAACAACATGAACATGATGAATAAGCGCTGATGTCATCAGAAAGAAAGCAGATTCAAAGCAAGGCTGTTCTACGCTACAAAATACAACAACAGATTCAGAATTTTACATAGTCGACGCGAATGAGGAACCCTCCATATCTACTGACGGATGGACCATATAGTGGACTTTGACGTTTTCACTGTCTGTTGGTTGGCTCTCTTCCTCCATTGACGGGAGCGATTCCTGCACGTCGCCCTTGACTTCGAGGAGATAGTTGTCCTTGACGAGCTTTCTGAGCATCTTGGTAATCAACTCCTTTTCGTAGTCCGCATCCGCTTCGTCCTGCATGTCTGGCTCTTTCAGCTCCAAGTACCAGTCTATCAGATCGTCCCTGTCCACACCCAGCCCCGTTTCCTGCTCCACAGACGAGACATGCAGCACAATCAAGCTCTGGAGAGTTATGAACTGATCGTGGGTGATGATCATCCGTCGTTTCGGCGGGGCGGGGCCTGGCTGAGGCTGGTCGCTCGTGCTCGCATTCGTCGGGTCTGACTCTGAGCTTGCAACTGGTGCTTGGCGGTGAATGGTCGTCACTGGGATCGAGTGTCCATCGGTATCGTCCATGGACATCTCCACATCACCATCAGTTTCGTCCTGTGTCTGACCGTCGTTTGTGGCTGTCGGTCTAGGCGCATCTCCTCGCTCCCCACGCAGCTCCTCCTCGTCAAAGTCGATGTCGTCTTGCTCAACGTGGATAATCGACTGTCGAAGCAGACTATACGCCTCCCGCACCATTGATGGGTCAATGATAGATTTGCAGTTGGCCCGCGCTATGGCTTCGCAAAGTCGAATCATGCTCTCCAGTTGTCGGACCGTTATCCTATATGAATTTCGTCCCAGACCAGTCGAGTCGTCTTGTCGAAGAATCCGGTACTTTTCGACGAGGATGTCAGCTGCTTCGGGCGAAAGCTATAACGTCTTTGTAAAACAATTGCAAGTTTAGGGCCAAGTTAGTTACCTTGGGATTGAACGTCCTCGCATAACGAATATACCTCTGCAAAGCCTCCGTACTGAATTCAGGATTAATAGCCTCGTTTTGGAATCGGTGGACATTGACGATATGCCGGGCAATGTTGAGATCGGTCTTCTCGTCGCATTCGTCGAGTACCACAAAGAAGAGGTCAAAACGACTCATAATGGGCGAAGTCATCTGCACATTACTCCTGAGGGACTTTTTCCGGTCGTATCTTCCTCCAATCGGATTCGCAGCCGCAAGAATCGACGTTCGTGCATTGAGTGTAGCATGAATACCGGCTTTTGCAATCGATATCGTCTGTTGTTCCATGGCTTCGTGAATAGCGACTTGGTCACTGATGTCCATCTTGTCGAATTCGTCGATAGCGCAGATGCCGTTGTCCGCCAACATGAGTGCACCAGCTTCGATGGTGAAATCACCCGTTTCCTCGTCTTTGACGACAGCGGCCGTAAGACCGGCAGCAGAAGAGGCTTTGCCGGAAGTGTAAACTGCTCTGGGAGAGAACGAACAGACATATCTAGAATTTGGGTATGAGAAAACTAGAATTCGGCGCGAGCAAGCGGTTACTTACTTGAGGAACTGCGATTTTGATGTTGACGGGTCCCCCACAATACAGATATTGATGTCTCCACGAAGATGCATGCCTTCGGGAGTTTCCTTGTGGACACCACCCATCAACTGCAGAAGAATACCCTTCTTCACTATTTCATGACCGTATACGGTTGGAGCGATGCTCTGGACGAGACGATGGTAGATATGATCTCCATGAAGCATACTCTTGAGTTCGTCAAACTCTTGCTCCGTGAACGTGTTGATGAGGGCTTGTCGGATCCGCTTTTCGTGTCTCTCCTCAGGAGTGCGATTAGCCTTTTCCTGTGCCGATTCTTCTTCGTCAGATTCTTCATCCTCCATAGAGTCCGCAATATCCTCTTCGCCTCTCAGGTTTGCCCCACTCTACGGAACAAAACATTAGTTATAGGAGAGAGAATAAAGTAGAAGACCATACCCTCGCATCCGAGTCAGTCACCATACACGCCAAAAACGCAGTCTTGTACTGCAGGTCCCGCACACCCAGACTCTTCAAGCCCGTAACACCTCCACTAATCCCACCCGTTACCGCTCTTCCACTTCCACGACTCGCATCGCGTTGAAGTTGGGCTTGATTTCCTCCAGGTAATCCGAGTTGGCTAACATCGGGAATAACGATGAAGGTTCCCGTAAACGTGCATTTGTCCCCGGCCTTTGCACGTTCGACCATTTCAGACCGAAGGATAACATCAAGCGACCGTGGCATTGAGCCAGTTGGGATTTCGGAGGGGTTTTCTTGGATACGGAGCTTTTGCCAGTCAGTAAATTTCGAGTTTTCGATTTGCAGTTTCCAAGCGGTGCGATTGCCGCAGGTGAGGTTAGGACATAATGAAGGCTTGAAAGAGGTCAGTCGAGCATAACAAACACGTTTGAAAATAGGGTACGCACCTCAGTGTATTTGAACTGTTGCTCAATATCTGTCACCACTCCACTGCAGACTTCGCAGACGAAGGTGCCTGATAGCAACTCTGGTCTGACTTCGCTCGTCCGCGTCACAGTTCCGCTGATGCTCATGAGAGTCCCGATCTTCTCTGTCCTCAGACTGCGGATGCCGGAGACCAGAGGGAGGCTATAAAAAGCGACATTGAATTCGCGTGCCTTGTGGTTCGCCGAATCGGTGTTTGCCTGGCTGGGGTTTTCTTTGAGGTATTCTGGCACATATTCGCCGACCAGATTGACGACCGCTTGTTGCAAAAATGGAACGAAACGGTAGTACTGCCGTTGAATCGCGCCGGCAAGCACATCGTCCTTCAGGAGGACATGGGTGAAGTCGACGTAAAGAGTGGTGATGTTGTGGAGGGCCATATCGCGAATCTGCACGATATAGAGTAGCTCGTCAGCTTGTGCATCCGGAACATCGCCCTCTGAACCAGGTGTGGGGGCTAACGCGACCCCTTCAGTATACCTATTAGACGCGATCTTGTCACCAACACCCCAGACAAGACGAATGGCAACTCACGTCCGTAGAAACAGCTCAAAAGCCTGGGTTACGCTTGCTCCAACATCATCTTTCACACGAGGAACGTCGTTTGGCTGGGTTCGTTGCTGACGACCGCGTCTCCTGCCACCACCACTATTTTCTTGTTCTTGACCTTCTTGCTCATCTTCGTCCATCGATAATGCATTTGTTGTTGGTCGCGCAGCAGCGGACGATGTAGGATCGGGCATGCTGCTCGGAGGCAACCCCCTCGCAGGAGAGCTCATCTGGGTGGCCATTGGGAGATGGGAAGAGAGTCGCGTTACTTGTGATGTGACTGATGGCGCTTCGTTCCATATTTTTCGAAGAGAGGGAAAGAAACATGCTCATCACATGGCGAGTCCCCCAGTGAACTCCCTTGAACTCGGCGAAGAGCAGGATCTAAGCCCTAAATGTCGGTCCAAAACATGATATCGTAGCTGGCGTGTGGTATATTTTTCAAATAACGGTAGCTAGAAAAACAAGGGACAAGAACACAAATACTGCAGCCGCTGCTGACAGTAACAACCAGGTATATCAAGCAGCGACTGCGATGAGGGACGACGACGAAACTATCTGTGAGTGGTACAACATAGTCTCCATTATGGATGGAAGCAAGTAAATCGTGAGTAGATTCGGGTTTGGGGGTGCGCGGGGTCGTAAATAGGGCTCTACCAGTACACTCGGGATCTTGCGGGCATTGAATGTTGACGAAGTCCGCGGCTAAATAAGCTGTAGGTAGTTCGAAGGAGCAACTGAAATTTTGTGAGTGAATGGACAAGAAGGTTAGAAAAAAAAAACGCACTTCCAACCGAGCCGTCTGCTTTCTTTGCCTGCCACCATTTTCCCTGCTTATCAAGAATGTCAAGTATTTCACCCTTCGTAAAGGAAACTTCATTCGGGTCGTCAGCAGCAGCGGTATCTGGCGTTGATGGGTAAGTAAAGTAGTAACGCCAGCAATTGAGGATACTTGCATGAGTACAGAGCCTTGGCTTTGTAGAGGTAGTCGTTTCCACCAGCGTCAGCTCCCTGTGTGGGTCCCACGGGTGTCGTGGTTGACCCAGACATCAATGGTGAACTCGGCCCATTGTCGCCCCCTCCTATCGAACCGGGTCCACCACCACCAACAGGGAGATTGCTCAGGCTGCCACCTCCACCAGTACCAGTGCCCAGGCTTCTATTGCCCATTCCACCACCTTCGCTTGCTCCTCCGAAACTATTTTGGCTTCGCACGCCCATCGTTTGGCTCCCGCCACCAATTCCGCTCCCGATCCCACCACCCATACCGCCCATCTTGGAGTCATAGCCCATGTCAGAGCCAATTCCACCGCCTGTTCCATAATTGCCTGCATAGCCATTGCCGCCCATGTCGTGTGTCGACGCTGCCCTTGTCCGTCTTCTCCTCGACGGCGGCGTTAAGCCACCAGTGCCGAGCAGGTTGAATATGTGAAGCGCCAATGAATCCTCTTCAGATGTGAAGTAGAGTACCCAGACGATGTTGACCATGGCGAGAATGAGCCAACCAGCGGCCATCGCATCGAGGGAGCCCCGGCCAGAGAAGATACCGGCGTTAACACCCTCTACGGAGAAGACAATTGCTACAGCGCCAAAGGTTGATATTTGGAAACGATGCATCGCAATGGAGTCAGTTGCGAGCGTCCAGAAGACGCCAAGAATGAGGAAGGCTTGAAGGAAGATGGCGAACCATAATACGCCGACAGAACCATGCCCGACTGGAAAAACTCAGCATTAGAGTGAGTCAGGACTTCACACTCACATTGGGCTGTTGCTACAGCTTGGGAAATGAACGCAATGAACCATGCAACCTGGGTCTGTTTGAGTTATGGTCCGCCAAGCGGATAGGGACGCACTATGGATAGTATGCTGGTGAGCAGGAAGAAGTAGTGAGTGAGGATGGGAGTAAGGTCGAAGCCAGCCGAGTTTTCCGCGCGGAGGCATGGGTGTTACAAGAAGAGGTTCGCTGCGTTGAGCAGTGCAAAACAAACAACAAATCAATGCGTCACGCCCAGCTTTTTTTTCTTACTCTCAGATTTCTACGTCCTCAAGGCCTTGCTGGCAATCTACTGCCTTTTTTGCAACCCCTTCTATGAGCAGGCACACGCACACCACCCTTTCCCCCCTCTTGACGACGGCAACTGCGCCCGGGAAGTCGATCTATGACGCATTTTCGGTGATGTCAGCCGCCATCCGTTTCTTTGCCCAAACAGTCTAGCGAACGCAAACATCTGGATCCTCTTGTTTTTTGCAACTTACCCATTTGCGCGTCGGTATCTATCGCAACATCTTTACTTCAAGAAACCAAGATATGCCGATGCTGATGCAAATTCAGGTCTCGGATACGCCCGAGAGTGGTCTTTCAATCAACAGTGTCTTTCAAGCCTACCACCAGCGAGGTACGATGCCTCAGTAGCCTATACGTGAATACGTCGCTCGAAATCAACTGGCCCGCAAGATCACGTGAGCATCAAAGAACCCCTCGACAACTCCTTAAACAATCCCACTTGCTCTTGACCATCGACAATTACGAGTCAATGTTGCATTGGATCTTTTCCAGACTGCGCACCTTTCAACAGCGCTACTCTGTTGCCACCAGCAGTCCCGTTCAAGTTCCCAACGAAATCTATGGCTTAATCGCTTCACACCTTCCCACGGAAACTCTCCTCGTCCTTTGTGGCGTATCACGTAGTGTTTATCTCGAAGCGAACCGGTACCTGTATTCTGCTCTAACGATAACACCCATTCCCGTTGAGAACTGGCAACGCCGCAGTGCAAAGCAACAACTTGGCACGCAGTGGATCACACCCCATCGCGGTATGCTGTGTCTTCGTTTGTGGATCAAGGCGCTAGGCGAAAACTCCAAGCTACCGGTACATGTTCGTTCTGTCGTACTCAACCTTCCAGACGATTTTGAACCGGACGATGCGAGAGAGCTTGCCTCCGTGCTTTGTTTATGTATCAACCTCCAATGCCTCGAGCTTCGTCGACAGGACATGCGTTTTTGTCCTATAGGTGAACTTCAGACTGGTTGTATGAGTCAATCTCATTGCTTATGTTGTTTCCCAGTGAATATCGAGAGCGCATGCATATTTTGGAAAACTCTTTCTGGATGCAACTTCCAACTCACACATTTCCGAGACACGTTTTTCGACATCCATGAAGCACACCACAATGCTTTCCAAACTTTCTTACAGCGCCAAAGTCGGCTTGAATCCATTTCTGTGTACCAAGACGTTGGAGAGTGCACCTTTCCCAGGCTACGCCGACTTGAAATCGTGTCTAGCAACATCTCGCTTGCAGCCCGGTCATCAAGCTTGGAGCAAATGAAACTCCATGTCGGAGAAATTACATGCCATCCTTCAACATGGGGTATTCTCAAGGACATGAGACGCTTTGGCCAGCGTGACGCAACTAACCAATTGACGCGGCTTGAACTAGTCTACCATCGTGAATTTTTCATCGTCGACGTGGTTGTCCGTTATGTTGCCGAAGAGTTGCCCCATCTGAGGGTCCTTGTCATCCGACAACTCCGTTGTAGCGTAAGATCTCCCATTGGGCAACTCTCGCAATGCTGACTCTTATTTTGCATGTAGATCAAGCAGGTTGTAAATCACAACGCGAGCTTAAAGTCGGCGATGAAACAAGCCACACAACTAGAGGCGTTAATCCTCACCTTTCAGCCCGGCAGTTATGCTGACGCCGTGGGTTATCACAGACTGCTCAACTATCACGAACAATGTGCACCTCATCTCCGATACATCGAAATTGGGCCCGTAGCACAAGAGGGTAACTGCTACATCTTTAATCGTCACCGTCGGCCGTATCGCACGAAAGAATACTTCGCAGCTCCATATTCGGTTGATGATGACATTAGGCAGTGGGCCTATTGGAAGGACGAGCGAAAGCAATGACATTTTGCACTGATACTTATTGTAGTGCTCCGAAATCAACATACACGCTGTACTTTCCCCGCCAGTATTCTTGACTACAAATTGGCTTTTGAAATTGTTTCTTTAGATTTTACGCAGGCACCTCATATAGAGGCGATAACAACGCACGGCCATCAAACAAGTCATACTCCAAGTCCTTCAAATTGAGCTCCTCATTGCTCACATTGCGCAGATTGAGTGCCCGATGGAAACCTCGATCGAGGCCTTTGGCATCCAGTCCAACGAAGCGGGCGTAAATAGGGACCCCACAGACTTTGCAAAATCTGTTCCAGTTTAGCCACGGGTGAGCATGAGATGCGAAAGGTTACCCATGGAATACCCCACGTTTCCCAAAAGCGTATTCAGTGATAAACTCGTCGGCGCCACGGAAGGTGATGTCGTCTGTCTGCGGGTAAATCCACACCGCGCCGTTCTGGCGGACTGGTGAGTAAAACTTGGCTATTCTTCGACCACCACACTGACCCGGGCGCAGATGCTGCAGTTGCATGTGCGGGCGGCAGTGACCTTGGCTGGGTGGGCCAGCACATATGCAACGGAGCCGCAATGACAGTTGCCGTGGTAGAGGGCTCTATCTTCGGAAACTGGGTTCGCAGGACTGACTGGCGGTGGGGGTTGGTATGCGGTGCCTAGTTCGGAGCCTTTGAATGAGTCGCTCGGCTGGAGAGACCAGAGATCGAGGTTCTGAATAGCTCGAAGCTTGGGGAAATGTTGTCAGATCATGCGAACGTGCAACATGGCCATGAAATGACCGACATTGACGAGGACACCGTTGCCGTTTGCAGCAGAGAGACGGGCCAAGACCGCTGTGCCGCATGTAGGACAGAACTAGCAGCTCTCAGAAGCTTGAAAGCATATGCATTTCAAACCCACCTTATGCGCAATCCTCTTATCAGCGAATTCGTAGCTCGCGAGTGTTGTGTTCTCGTCGCCCTTTTCGATAACAAACAGTGTTTCTTGGCCGAGACGATACCAGAGATAGCTTTTCTGCGTTGCATCTTAGCATAGAAACATTATTGCGAGGACAAAGACGACCTTGGAACAAATGCTACAATCGCATTCTGTAGCTTTGGTGATCTCGGGAGCCTTGAACGAGAATTTGAATGCCCCGCAGTGGCAGTTGCCTTTGTACTCGACGAGCGCTGGAGTGCTTGGTTCGACAGACATGTGTGGTGGTAGACGGAAGGCCGATGCGACTCTGGGAAAACGCCGGACGATATTTATAGGCTTTGGTTGACTCACAAGTGTTGCTGACCAAGCACGCGTGATCGTGCTGATTCGCCTTATCTCGGATGTATGAGGGCATTGCTGGCTCAATCCGGCGTTCATTTTGGCGTTCGAGATGCCCGGCCGAAAGTGAAGTTCACTGATTTTTTTTTCAGCTGCAATGCTAGAGACTTGACTCCGTCTGACCCAAGTTCGCGTTCCGCAGCAAAGTGAAACAGTTCGTAACGCAGTCTGGTCATAAAAAATTCTACAAAAAGTACCCATACACATTACAGACACGTAGATCGTCAGAGGTAAGCCAATAAGTAAAAATACAGTCAGTTTCTGTTCTTCTCGAAAATTCTTACATAATCACACACCCCTCCCCATTCTCAGCAGCAGCTGGCGACCTCCTCCCTCCAGGCGACCACCAACGCGTGCCAACCACGCGACTGGGGCCGACTTCTTCCTCGTCTCCGTCAAAACTCTCGTGTGCCGTCCTTCTCGTTCGCGATTTCCGCCGCTTCTCTCTCGAAGCTTGGACGGCATTCACCGTCTGCCAGCCATAGAAAGTCTTGACCACCACCCGCTTCTCGTCCAGCTCATCCTGCCCGTGGCCGGCCTTGATGTCCTCTGTTTGCCCGTCCCTAGCATCAAGGTAACCCAATTCCTTGGCACCATATGATACCCAGCCCAATCTGGGTCGCGTCGCAGGGGAGAGTTCCCTCAGTAAAGGCTCCCCAAATCCACGGCAATCCACGGCAACTAGTTTGGCGTTGCTCAGTTCGCGCTGACGAATCGTCCGGACAAAAGTCTTCATGACAATGGGCCCCATGTGGGTATTGTCGGCTTCGAGGACACGAAGTCGCTTGCAGCCACGGATCAGGGAAAGGAAAGCATCGTCAGTGAGTTCCATGGCGCCAGAAACAACGAGATGTTCCAAAGGCGATAGGACAACATCGCCTTCCCCCTCCTCTTCTTCGTCCAACGGTGGTGTAAGCGCAGTCAGGACCGCATCAGTGATTGATGACGCGTCTTCCAGGTCCAATCTCCTCAACAACGGAGTCGTGTTCAAAAGTCTGATCAACCCGTCGTCTTCAATGCTGCTGCCAATTCCCGCCAGCTCTAAAAACTCCAATTTGGGGACGGCAAATGCAAGATGAGAGCACACTACATCGGTGAGGAGGATGCACGACGATAAGATCAAATGACGAAGTCTCGTGACGCGTCGACGGAAATGAGTAGCTTCGTCGGTGGTTCTGCCAACCTCTCGAGCATTGAGAGTCACGATCTTGATTCCGTGCGCCAAATCCTCCTTGTCTTCATCGCGACACGCCACCAAAGCCTCGATTGCAGTGTTGTGCAATCCGCGACTATAACTCAGATCAAGCACTTCAAGAAACGGTGCTGCCCGCCCGAGAGTCGCCATAGAACTGTCATCCACATGTTTGAGCCCAGAAAGACGAAGTTCTTTTACCGCCATATACTCTCCACGCAGAACAAAAGTAGCAGCAAGGTTGCGAATACCACTCGCGTCAATATTCATACACCGCCCGAGATCCAGCGTGGTCAACTTCGGACAGTAAATTCCGATGATCTCGCATGTCGTGTTCGTCACCGCCGAAAGGCCCTTCAGGCAAAGTCTCTCCAGAGACCGCGATTGGATGAGAAGGTGGTGTAATGAACGCGTGGTTATAGATGAACAGCCCAGCAAGTTCAGTCCGGTGATGAAAGTGAACGGCAAAGAGCCAGAACGGACAGAAAGCGAGGAGAGATTGTCTGTGACCTCGATAAGGGTGCCCGAACTAAGCGAGACATGACCGGCAAGGTTGACCTGGCGGATAAAGCTCCCCGCAGACTGAGCAATTTGGAGGAGAAGCGAGCTAGGTAGAATGGGAAACGCGTGCAGATCGAAGTTGCGCCAAATTTGACCGTCAAATACAAGTGATCGCCAGCTTTTGGAGACCTGCAAAATGTTATTGGAGCGACATATCGAGAACAAGTTCACATACCCGGCTGAATCGAACGAGGTCACGAAGGGCTTTGTCGCGTCCGACCCACTTGTTTCTAGACGAAGATGCTTTAACAGCAGTCCATTGATCATCCCGGATAGCGCGTGCTAGGTCCATTTCGTGTATGGCAATTAGTGAAAGCAAAACTTGTACCCGGAGCTCCCTTGGCAAGACATCATCGAAGTAGTTCACAACCTCAAAGGGTATTGGCGTGAAAGCATCGGTCGCGACACCCGGAATGAGGTCGAGCGGGGAAACCGGGAAAGGGAAGGACTGATGCCGACGATTGAGTATGACCTCATCGTATTCCAACCGCAACACCGAATCATTTCTCCAAGGCGCAAAACAATTTCCAGCACCTAAATCGACTGAAAGTCCTTCGGTAGGCGACGAAGGTGGGGTCGGGCATGCATCGCCATCATATTTCCTGAAAAGCAGTTTGCGCGCCAAAGTGCTTCTTGTTCGGGATGTCTTGGTGGACTTGACCGTTGAGTTGCCGGCAGCGAGGCTAGGGAGAGACCGACGTCGGAATAATGGACGAGCAACTGTGGTCGGGGTGTTGGCAATGGGAGCCGGAGGAACTGGAATGGGGTCAATGGGTAAGAGTGAAGTAGAACTATCAACAGGGAGCGACCCCGTATCGCCAGAAGACTCTGGCTGCTCATAACTGAGTTGCGTCGAGGTAAAGTTCAAAGGAGGAAGAGTGGGTGGAAGCTCTTTCTCCTTGCCTTTCCCTTTGCTTCCCGACGGTTGTGTTGGGTCATCGTCAAGTTCCATCGAGGTAGAGCTCTGCTCGTGGAATTCTTCGAGACCAGGGGAGGAGAAATGTGACGAAAAGGAAGAGAAGATATGGGTAGCGGCTGGTTGGCCCATGTCAAAGACATCCCTAGGATTGGGCAATGAACCTGAAGGAATGGCGTCCTGAGCCCTCCAGCTCGACCCTAGTATAGGATCATCGGGTGAATGTGAGGTTGAAAACGATGAGGGGGAGGCTAATGGGAAATATTCCCGGTCGCTATGGCTTGTTGAGGCCTCCGCAACATCAAATACATCATGGAGATCCGTTTGCAGCGCAGAAGGAATGTCCATCGGCCGTGAAACGCCTTTGCCCTTCCATGGTGAGCTCAGGCTCGCGAATTTGTCTGTTGAAGACAATAGGATGGAAGCCGACTCCTCAGTGGTCATCACTTCCTCCATCGGCGTAGGGGAAGACGACATCGCAAGGAGGCCTGGAGTCGCGGGAAAGTCAGAGAAGGGGTCAAAGTCGCTTTGAGCATCGTTCAAATCGAACATGGCTCAATGTCAGAGGTCACGATAAATGGACTAGGTAGTTGCGTGAAGGGGCAAACCCAGTGCAGTGCAAAAAGAGGATGTTCAGCAAAGTGGGCAGGCGGGAAGATGGGAGTTGAAAGGCACAGGCATGCCCGAGATCGAAAGCCGATTGAAACGATAAGAGCACTTCGTTTGAAGTGGCCGCAACCGCGAGACGCTGTGACAAGAGTGACACGGGTGACCGTTCCGGCTTTCCGGGTCGCCCCTCCTTGACTCGATTCGCTTCTTCTTCTTTATCGGAAGAGAATTCAACGTCGTCATTACTGTCTTTCTACGTTGAAAACTTTACTAAAATCGTTTTGAAACTGAAGTAAACTGGCAAATACGATTCATTAGCAGGAACAAGGAAGAGAGTATACGATAACAGCACTAGTCAGAGCAACAACAAAAGACGGGGAAAAAAAAAACTCAGGGCGACGAGCCGTTCTTCTCTTTCTCTGCTTTCCACAGCTGGTCGACGCGCTTCTTGCTGTTATACGAAACTCAGCAAACAACACAACAGCAATAACGCAAAGCTCACCGTTCTTTACCATCGGGTTCCTCCTCCTTCAACTCAGACATCTTGACCTTCTATCGGACTGGCTTTTCAGAAACAACGTATAACATCTGGATCAGCCACGAACCACAAAAAGCTGATATGAATTGAGCTTGCGGCGCTTCTTGCTCAAGTTGGTCCGTTCTGTTCATTGTATCGTCAACGTCAGTCGAATGAAACTCGATGAATGGTGCGCACTTTTCTTGGCCGAAGTCTGCGTCTTGTTGGCTGAGGGGGGGAGATGTCTTCGATGTCGTGACCATCTGAACCCTTGCTACAGTATAACTGTCGAGGTCCGGTGTTCAGCTGAGCATAGTGAGTGGGATACACGACTCACGCTCCAACTAACAAGTCTCGAATATGGCGGGGAAAGATGACAGAAGGAAAAGAGGGTGAAAGCGGACAAACAGGACACCTTAGCCTTTATACCTCTCCGTTGACAGCTTCGAATTTTATGTAAAAGGATTGCGGAAACGCGTCCAAGCGTCATCGTACTTTGGACTGTCAACCGACTATTCGTTGCCATCGCGTTCCGGCGTAGAATTGTTCCTTTTCACCAAGTCTTGGTCGCGTTATTGGATGAGCCGCTTATGATTCGCACAAAATCAAATAGACGCGTCCTTAGAGCTACTACTCCTGGGAGAGCCCGCTATGCTCTCAAACAAGTTGTTTCCATTGACAATCCCAGTAGTCGCGACCAAGAATCGTCGTCCTGCAAGAGTTTAGCTGTTATCTTGCCACTCAAATCACAAACTCACCCCGGTTCTGCCTTCCCACCCACCGCAATGCCGCAATCTCGGTATAAGTGCATCCGCCAAGGAAAAACACGACTGTCGTCGTTGGTTTTTGTAGTGGACGCACTGAAGAAAAGTCAGCCTCCAGAAGGCGCCTATAGAAAATTCGCACAGAGAGATGTCATTGATGCGGTCACTGAGTTTGGCCCACCCTTGCCGCCTTGTACGATATCGACTGTTTCGCCTGGAATAGTCGCCAATATATCTTCAAACCCACGCCATCCAGCAATGGGATGCGCCTGGACTTTGACGGGCGTTTGTCCCTTGCTGCCTTCGCTCTTCTCCTTCTCCGCTGGGTTGCTTAACACGCCACCCTTCTGTGCCACACATTGAACAAGTCGCACACTGATGGGTGCATAACCAGAATAGACGAAACTGATATCATTTTCGACCTCGTCCAATGCTTCTGGTGTGTCGTCGATCAACAGCCGAAGCGATTTTCGCAAGCCTGCGAACGGGTACTTCGATGAGTTCAGTGGGCTGTTGGCAGCTAACGGGTTTGGTATGAGGAGGTTTAATGGCGATGACGAGAGAGACAGGAGAAGGGGAAGGAAGTTGTACCCGTAGGCCTGGAAAACCATATTAGAGAAGAGCATTTTATGGAAGAAGAACAGCAGACCTGGAGTATTTCGCGCTTGAGGTTCTCCAGTGCCTTGGATTTTACGCCGCCTGCTGTGAGGCTCGCAAGACAGAGTAGCCTCAATACTGTCTGCATGTCTGCACCTTGTGCGAGCAGATCTTCAATCGCAGCGACCTGACTGTTGACTTCATACGACGCAAGTAGATCTATTGACGGTCAGAATTTTACACTTAATTGGTACTAAGGCAGTATACTCTGTTGTATTTCAAGCGTTTTGTTGAAGATTTCGGTCCTGGTCAGTGGGACGAGAAGCTCCGAAAGCCCGGTGTCTATGATGTGTCAGGCTCTTTATGCCTCTGAATGAACAGCACAAACGTAAACGTAGAGCTTGATGCTCGCTCTGCAGGCCACCGAGTTTCCCAACGAAATCTTTGAGTTGAGCAACTGTCTTAGCCTGATGCCGCCCTTTGTAGTCTTCTTCCAATCGCCTTGCAACCTTGTTCAAACGTTTCCCGACCGAAGAAAAGTTGAGGTCGCGTAGCTCAGACAAGAGCGGGTCGGTAGCAGTCGTCAGATGGTGTTTCTTCTTGGCCTCCACTTTCTTGAGCGATGTCCCGGTGGTTGTGGTCGGAGCTGCTCCCGGTTGCGGTGGCGTTAAAAGGGATATAGGCAGCTCGACGTGGGCTATTTCCGCGATTAGGTCTCGATGATGGAGAAGGCGAAGGTTTACAGTTCTTTATTCCAATGAGTTCGTCGACGAGACCTTCGTAGGTCAATTGAGTGAGCAATGGTGTCACCATGTCGACTCTGCGGTCGATTATGATTAGAGAATCGATCTTGTCTGATTCGGATTGGAGGGTGTCGGGTGTAGAAGAGTCTGTGGTGGTCAAAGGTCGTGTTAGAAGTGTTGCCAGACGCTGGATGCATGATTTAGATTGTATCGCTTGGAAGGAATAGTCAACGCACTGCTGCTTGGTCCCCTTTGCCAACGATCCTTGGGAATAGCCCGTATAACTTTTCCAACGTTAACAGAGCCTGGGCAGAATCATATACGACAGTCTCATCTCCGTCCTATGAGACCGTTCAATATTGACAGTGTAGTTATTTTTCAGGGAGACATACCACCCAAATCTCCTTGAACGCCGTGTCATGCTCCAGCGACACGACATCTGGAGCAATTGGAATGAACTGCAGTCCATATGGCACAATATGCACATCGCCCAGAACACCCTCCTCCTCCAATATTCGAGAGACGAGCGTAGATTCCCGAGGGACAAGGAGCAGGGTATATGTGTGTTTTTGGCCTTCACGCGCGTGTGTTTTGATTTGCTCTGTTTTGCCATTAGCTTGGGGAATGAATAGACCAGAAAGCGCACCAGCTATTATCTTCACATACTTGATCCTCGGCCGGCATAGATATACGATGTTGGTGGTGGTTGACGACAATGGCCCCGCCTCGAGCCAAAACATCTTGTCGACGCCATGATGCTGCGACAATGATTCGTTTTGGACGAAGGAAGTGGAGGTTTTACCTTGAGAAGTGCCACCTCAATCACCAGACCCAATGGCCCAGCAAGCGATGCATCCAGGACGAGAGTTTTGGCTCCGTTCACCTGCGCTTTGTTAGCCAGCTACGAAAGACTTTGTGCCCACGAACAGAATTGAGTGCATCCACCAGAGCTTTCTGTCCGATTTCCTTGAGGAGGTTTACGTCCAGGAGCGGCTCATCGACCTCTGACGATGCCTGGACTGTTGGTTCGTCGGAGGTAGAAGTTGCCATTGAGGCATCGGGCCGGGACAGTACCATGTACAAATCATGATGTCATCACTGATTCAATCAACAAATCTTTCAATTTGCAAGAACTTTCTCCATCCTACAAATATAGTGGGATACTCTCTGGCTCCTGTATTCTCCCACTATTTTTCCACCAGGAGGTGCTAAAATACAGCAATATTCCGTGGATCATCACTCCAAGACTCAAGTCTCCAATCTCCTCCAAGTCCAGTTCTGTTTTGTACTGTTGGCCACTGACCAGGACATGGCAGCTCGACTATCATCATCCAGCTCTCGTCTGGAGGTTGTACGACGCCGGAAAATGGTGTCACCACAATTTAAAAGCCGCGTCAACAGGACGATTAGGAGCATTGACCCTAGAACTCTTCACCCATTCGCCAAGTAGCGCGTCGGCGAAGGCGCTGTCGCTGAACGACGATATAGCAAAGAATGACCAAGAGGATGATGACGACCCCTCCGACCGCAGCACCGACCAGGACCGTCGTTTTCACTCTGGAATATGTGTTACACGTATTCAGGAGTCGGATTCATCATCACATGCCTTGATCCACTAGTATTAGCGGCAATACCGGAGGGACTCGCACCCGAAGTCTCCGGTAACACAGGTTGTCCCGCGGAGAGGTTTGGTTGGGATCGGAAGACGGAAGTGCCGGTCGGTGGGACTTGCGAGAATACGGTTGTCGTCTCAACAGCAATAGAACTGGATGCTAATTAGTTGGATTCAATAATTGAGGGAGCAAACAACGTCAATAGCGGGAGCGCATTGGAAGATGTATTGGTTTGCATGGGATTGCCTGGCAGAGTAGTCTCAATAGGTGCTGTTCCGCCACCTTTTGATGAGCCTGAGCTCGAGGTAACCGGATTATGCTGCGATAACACTGGCAGGACTGAGCTAGTAGCTGAAGCCGTGCTAGATGGTGAAGCTGATTCCGAGAGGGTCGGAAGAGACGAAAGGGCAGAGGAAGTCATCACTTAACAACAACGGCGAGCTGTGAGCAGACCTTAAGAACTTGGTTGCGAATGGGTCGAGCGAAATAACTCGCTGATAACTCCCTCGCCAATGCGGACGCCACCTGCAGATCATGAAGAACATGACGGTTGTCGATCTTCGTTGCAGTGCAGAGTCAATGAACCGTGTCAACGCGTGAAAGCCCGTGAAGCCATCATCGCCTCATTTATTCATCCAAATGATGCTGATATTTCCCACTCAAACAGAGTCTGAGTCGTATCCATACGTATCGCTTTCCATCATCTTCGTCCCACAGGAGACACACGATATTGCCCGACTGAGATCGTACTAGGAGGGGCCGAGGAGTTTTCCGCGGGTGAGGTCGGGAGGGTGTATGGAGCAGAGAAGGTGAGACTGCTAAACGTGCGTGGGCCGGCGATTGGGTCAACGGTAGTTCTCCCTTCGAGCTCTATTTCGAGCGGACTGCCTTCTAGTCGGGCTAAGCTTCGGGGCAGCCGACTCTGCCTTCGTCTTCTCCGACGGAATAGGAAGAAAGATAGCACGAGAATGGCAATAACTCCGCCAACAGCAGCAGCTATCGGAATTACTGGAAATGAATGACTGGGACGCTTCAGTGAGCTTTGAATCGGTGGCGGGTTCTCGACTCACTTAGCAAGTGAGCTGCGCGAGCTCGTTGCAACAGACGGGGCACTACTTGATGCAGTGAACAAGAAGCTGGGGGTTGCCAGTGCAGTGTCGATAGACGAGTTTATGGTGAAAACTACGTTGGATCTTGTTGCGGAGAGTGACTCGGTGAGAGTCGGACCACTGTTCTCATGTAGTTAGACTAAACAAGAAAATTTCGGTAGATAACGTGCCTTGAGCTCACAGGAGTGCTTCTGGGACTAACCATCATTGCCAGTGTTATGAACGCGAAGTTCCTCTGTGGAATATTGCTGAGCTGCACAGATTATCAAATGAGATGCAAGAGTCTAACCTCCAACTGGGTAATGCCTCTAGAAAAGGTATGAATGCGTGTCGAGAGAGCTCAACGCTTTAAGCTGAATTGGAAGCTAATCTGAGCCATTGTCGCTTGTGCCTTCAACGTGCTGAGCGTGAGGCGTGTGATCTCTGTGGCTATCCTTGAATACATGGCGCGTGGCGCGACCACAAGAGTCAGTTGTATGATGAGATGATGGAACTGCTGAGCAGATAGCGGAAGAGCAATGTTCTGTCGATCGTGGTTCAAAGGATCAACTGTGACATCATGATAGTCACACTTCTTGTTGAGAAAATGATTCCATCTGATTGCAACACTTCAATAGAGATATACCTTCTGCTGGTTGTTCTTGTTACACGGGAATAACGCTTCGCCTCGAGAAAGCTACCGGATCTGCTGTGAAAGAGACAAAGCTTTCAATGGCTGGGCCTACTGAGAAAGCCTACAAGGCTCCAATGGCATGACGTGTTGTGTTAGTGTCGCAAGACAAAGTTGAGCTAAGCTTCCCTGGTCTAGTTGGTCAAGACGTCGGTCTCATATCTCTTGAGGGATTTAACTGGATCCTGTAATCCGAAGGTCACCAGTTCGATCCTGGTGGGGAGCATCCTGTTTTTCTCCTAGTTACTGTGGGTTATTTGCGAGTGCCGACATTATTTACCTTTCGGATGGCCTACTTTCTTTCCATACTGCTGTAAATTTTGTCCTTCAGAGCACAATGCTATTAACTGGACTGTGCTTCGTCCTGGCCTACTGTTTTTCCGGTTGAACTGACATCTAGTACTTATGTATCCTAATCACTTCGAGACTCGAAGCTGTCGAGGTCTCGAAGAATACCAAACACACTCGAACCAAATGATACTGTACTTCGATCTCTGCTTCCAAGTGTGATTTCTCTCTAAGAGTCTCGGGCCTGGATGATTTTCTTCAGCGAGTGCTGGGCCACGAGTAGTGTTGCGCTTCATTCAAGGAAGAATCCGGTGTTAGAATAGATTTCAGCTGTTGAGGTGTCGACCTTCAGGCGTTGACTTCCTACTCGGAGACTTATTAGGAGACTGTCCTCGACATCAACATCTATATCATCACTTGACCACCATGACCCCACTCAGCGTTGCACTCAACCCCGACCGGAACAAATGAAACAACCTTCTCCCGAACGAACATCGAGCATCCTATACAGTCTCTGCTTCAGTGGCCGCGACAACCCTCCCTTGTGATTTGTCCACAACACGAAATCCTTGAATTCACCAAGTCGCGTGCGAGTTTAGATGGCGTTTTCTCAATTCACCGGCGTGTTGTGGAGCGTTGCATCCGAGTCTCTTGCGTGCGACCGCCCCAGACGTTCGGGCTCCGTTCCGCTTCTTTCGAGCTATTCTTGTTGAGCTTCGCGTGTGTAGTCCGTCTCTTTACTTGGCAGCAGCGATGGACATGGCCTTTGAATGGCCTCGGCGAAATCCAGGAATAAACAACAAACGAGGCTCGGTACCGCTGGGTCCAAATCTCCGAACTGATGCACCAAGTAAGATACCATAAGGGGACAGTGGCGAGCAGAATGCTGACTAGCGTCCAGATGCATTGAAAGGGTTGGAGAGCGGAAGCTTTTGTTAAATCATTCAATGTGGCCGGTTGCAGTGGCCGGAAATCGCCCGAAGAGTGACCTTGGGACTGTTTTTGCACCACGACTCTGACTTGTCAGGCTGAAGGGATTTAAGCGTGAGACGGGCAGGCAGAAGATGTTGAAGGTTCAAATGAGACTTCTACCTCGGTGGGAGCATAGATAGTGTCTGGGGGATCTCGATAATTCTCCGATGCGTCCCGAACTGCCGAAGCGCTTGTGTTGGTCCCTGGGTCACGTTCCCGAAACCAATTGAACGACGACGATTCGTGAAATTCATGAAATTAATGTAGCAAAGAGGAATGCGAGTGCACAACTGCGAGTATGTTACTATACAAGAGGGTGGGTGATGTACAACAACTACAAGGTGGCCAACGAGCCAGCCAATATGGAGATCATCAAGTCCTTTCATCTCCGTTTCAACTTGACAAGCGACAGCAGGGCGACGATGTACTTGGCGACCCAGGCCTTGAGCTGCTGCAGGATATTCGGGTGGTTGAGAGAAACGGCGGAAGCACCAGCAACACTGGGCACTTTGGAGGAGATGGTGGTCGTGCTGAGAGTGGTGCTCCCAGACGATGACAGATGTTTGAGTGGCGCGGGTGGGGGAACCCGTTCGCTAAACCACTTCGACACAAACGACGCAGAGGCCTTAGGTAGGCGTTCTTGGGTTCCGTAGTCAATGTAAGTTACCCCAAATCGAGTTGTGTAACCGTCCGCCCTTTTTTAATAGCCTTCGGTTTGTGTCAATGGACGGACAAAAACACGCACCATTCAAAGTTGTCCAATAAGCTCCATGCTAAATACGCACGCACATCCACTCCATCTTCGTTGATTGCAGCCTGCATGCAAGCAGTGACCCCGCGATAGTAGTTAACGCGATCGGTGTCGTTTACTGCGACATCGCGGGGCTTGGAACTCTCGTTCATGACGGCAAATCCATTCTCGGTGACACTAGCGGGTCGGTAAAACATGGTTTGGAGCCGGGATAAGAAAAACTCACTAGATAGGCTTGCGGTATCTCTGAGACGCGTCAGAATGCGGGGAAAAACAATGTTCCGAGTTACAATCGCACCTTCCAGAGATAGTTCAAGAGCTTGATGCGGAAAAACGCTTGTCAGAGTTACTTTTGTAGGCTGAAAGCAGTGCTCACAGAACGGAATCCTTCAGGGTCTGGCAATATATTCAGACAATGTGACCAGTGATTTGGAGACAGACGTACAGTCCTGAAGCCAGGCACAATGTGCTGTCGCTGTGTCAACAAGCCGAGTCCAAAGGAAGGCACAGGGCACGCACCTTGAGTTCCAAGTTGAGTTCCGTCTGGTCGTGTAAATGTGTAGTCCACCAAGCCCTGGAATTCATCGTCTCCACCCGCACCTAAGAAAACCCGTGATTAGTTTTGACACATCCATAACGGAAGGAGTGAGCTAACGGCAAAGATTCGTGGTATAGGTATTCATCCCATAAAAGTCCGACGAGCCATGGACGAGTTTCCATTCTTCCGGCGTGAACGGCGCCAATCGCGCTCCCAGGATTCGCTGCATTGAGGCAGGGTATCGTCCAAGGTAGATGGGGTCCTAGAGATAATTTTGGGTGATGAGCGACAGAATCCGTGGGTAACGAAACCTGACGTTGACGTACCGCATACCAGCCTGTAGAAACATCGGAGAATAAAGAAACGCGTGTGTGGTGGTTGATCTATACGTACCGATAGCGAAATCAAGGGCTGTTTGGGCGCCTTCCACATCTGGCAAGAAAGAAACGCGTTAGTCAAGAAGCCGGAAAACGGCATTACTTACTCTCAGGAGTATCGTCGTAGGGCATTTGCCAATCGCCATTTAAGGTGATGCCTATTTGCCCCCCTTGGATTGTTTTGTATTGCTCGCGATATACTTTTGTTGCGTGGGCGTGAGCGAGGATGATGTTGCGGCCAACACTAAAAGTAGCATAAGAGCAACTCAACGACGAATCTCAGGAGACCCACATCCACGGCTCCGTCGAAGAGTCGCCTTCGGGGGACCGGGTACGGTCACTCGATCGGCCGGGGGCGAAGACTCCGCGACCGTAGCCTAGAATGGCCACACACCAAGGTTCATTGATGGTCAACCTTTCAAAATAGTCAGACTTGAAGTATTTAGACAATGGCACAAATAGCAAACCAATGCTTTACACGGTCGCCAAATGCCTCGAAGCATACCTAGAACGCGTTGGAAAGAACAGCTGACGATCGAGAAACACACGCACTTTGGCATAGTTCGCATAATCCTGGACGATCTCGTCCTTGTTAAGCCAGCCTCCATAGCGATCATGCAAAGCTTGAGGAAGATCCCAGTGGTACAAGGTCTGTGAAGGTTTAGGACGAGTAACTAGAGTGGAACAACAGCACACACCACAAACGGAACGATGTTGTTGGCGAGAAGCGCGTCGATGAAGTTCGAGTAGAATTCGATGCCTTTAGGATTGACGGGATCCTTCCGACCACCGAGGGGTATGATACGCGACCACGAAAGGGAAAATCGGTATGTGTTGACGCCGTATTGTTTTAAGAGAGCAATGTCGGTCTGCCAGAGCTTATACGAGTTGGTAGCCACATCTCCGTTCTTTCCGTCGAGTGTTTTACCGGGAATACGCGAGAATCCGTCCCATATGGAAGGTCCTCGACCGTCGACGTTTGTCGAGCCTTCAATTTGAAAGCTGGCCGTTGCGAAGCCCCATAGGAAGTTAGGTGGGAGCTTGGTCACGAGCGGAGCAGCCATGAGGGTCGACTGGGGGCATTCGTATCGAGTTGTTGCTCGTCTTAAGTAGGCAGAAATCCATCACCATGCCCGGGGAAGCTTCGGAGCCTCGGACGTTTGACAAATTTCGGCCCATTCTGCTCACAGAAAAGGCTTAAGGGGTCAAGATTTGGGTAGAAACACGAGATTAGCGCGACTTGAACAAGTAGAAAGACAGAAAGTCTGGTAAGAAGGCTCACGATGTCATGCAACCGAAGGCGGTCGTACTTCGGACATGCCAATAAGTTCGTCGAAATCATCATAAGCAACGTTGCACTAAGTTTTATGACTCTCTGGTCGTGTAAAACCCGTCCCGAGATTTCACCAGTGGTGGTTGAGCGCAAGAGTTGTTCAAGACGACAACTGTCAATTTTCGAAGGCATGATGACGTAAACCTGCTTGCTGTTGAGCGTGTACCTCATGTCGCAGAGGAAACGGCCAACTTTCATTGCTGGTGCGCAATCATACCGACTGGTTGGCTTCTTTATCTAATTTTTTGGGTCTAGGGAGTACACATGAGGACTTTCGAGATGATTCGAGTGAGCGAGAAGAGGAAGGGGATGATGAGCCTGAATACGACGCACGCAATGGCCTTCTCATGAACGGGACCCACTTTTCCGACGAAAACCCCCATGAATCAGAAACATCTTCGCCGCAGGCTCCTTATTGGTCGACAAAGCGCCATACTAGTTGCGGCAACCCAACTCCACCACCATCCTGGTCAACCAAACCGATTCCATGGCGGGGCTCATCGACAAAGCTAAAAACTGCTAATGCCGCTCTGGTTCTGTGTCTCAACATCGACGTGGATCCCCCAGACACGGTCAAAACAAATCCTTGCGCAGTGCTTGAGGCCTGGGTTGACCCTCACACGATGCCTTCTCAGAAGGCAATGGAAGCCATCGCGACAAACCTCAAACTTCAGTTCGAGGGTTTAAGCCTCAAAATCATGTATAAGCCCATCCAAGACCCTTCATACGACGACCTTTGGCGTGCCTGCCAAACACTGAGGAAGAACGCCAAAGACGATGCGGTCTTGTTCCATTACAACGGTCATGGAGTACCAAAGCCGACAGAAAGCGGAGAATTGTGGTGTTTCAACCGGGGCTACACTCAATATATCCCCGTTTCGTTGTCAGAAATCCAGGAGTGGCTTCGTTCGCCTACCATTTACATTTGGGACTGTTCGGGCGCTGGTCATCTGCTTAGTAACTTCAATATCCTTGCAGAGAAACGCGATATGGACGATAATATGCGCCATGGTGGTCCTATGCACGGCTCACAGCCTTTTATGGCTTCCCTTCAACTCGCTGCTTGTGCGGCCCACGAACAACTGCCGACTTCTCCTGAACTTCCTGCCGATCTCTTCACTTCTTGTCTAACCTCACCCATCGACATTGCTCTTCGATACTATATCATGCACCACCAACTACCGAACAACATCACCGCAGACATGGTTATGCATCTCCCAGGAGACCTGAAGGACCGCAAGACGCCGCTGGGCGAGCTTAATTGGATTTTCACAGCGATTACTGACACCATTGCCTGGACGACGTTCTCACGAGATGTCTTTACGCGATTATACCGCTGCGACCTCTTAATCGCCTCCTTGTTCCGCAATTTCCTGCTTGCCGAGCGTATCATGAAAAACTACCACTGTACACCTCACACTCATCCCCCACTTCCTCCAACCAACACGCATCCTTTGTGGGCAACCTGGGACTTGGCGGTCGACGCCTGTCTTCGTCAACTACCCAATTTAATTTCTACACCAGCTGACTCAGGTCCTGTTGATCCAGGCACCACATTGCGTCCGGGGCGGATTGGTCAAGGCCATCCTGCGAGGGCGGGCTACAACTATGTTCCTAGCCGCTTTTTCGCAGACCAGTTGACTGCATTTGAGGTGTGGATTTCTCGTGGCGGTGCCGCTTTGACGAAACGAGGTCCAATGTCACTTCCCGCATCGAGCGAGCAATTCCATGGGTCGGGAGACAGTCTTAACGCCTTGTCGGAAACCGAGCCCGTCAAAGAATCACACCTTGTCCCTCGTAAACCTCCAGATCAGCTTCCTATCGTACTTCAAGTGCTGTTATGTCAACCACATCGACTACGTGCCCTTATTCTGCTATCGCAGTTCGTCGATCTGGGTCCATGGGCTGTGAATTTAGTACTTTCGATCGGCATTTTCCCATACATCAGCAAGCTTCTCCAAGCCGCCGGCCCTGACCTCCGACCTGTGCTTATATTCATATGGGCGCGAATCCTTGCTGTGGATCCTTCTGTGCAAACGGATCTGATCAATAATAACGGTTATCGCTATTTTGCGTCGATTTTAGGGGCACGTGACGACCAGACGGCATTGCCCAACTCGTCAGAGCACAAGGCCATGTGTGCTTTTATTCTAGCGTCAGCTTCTCGCGACTACCCGCCGGGCCAGGAAGCTTGCTTTCACGCGCGCGTGTTTGAGCACTGTTACGAGAAATTAGACGACCCGGACTATCTTTTGCGACAGTGGACCGCCTTGTGTATAGCCCAAATGTGGGATGGCCATGATGAAAACAAGAAATTTGGAGTGGATAACGGCGCCCACGAACGATTCGTCCAACTCTTGTCAGACGACTCGGTGGAAGTTCGTTGCGCTGCATTGTACGCGTTAGGGACATTCATGGGTGCAACGGGGGCGTTAGCTTCGAAGAAGAAAACAGGTGGTGGGGGCAGTGGTGCAGTAGCCCTCGAATCCCGAACGGACCACTTCAAACTTGAGGTTTCTATCGTCACTGGGGCCATGCTCGCGATTCGGGATGACGCTAGTCCCATGTGTCGAAAGGAAATGGTGGTCTTGCTGAGTTGTCTCGTCAAAGAGTATCGCGGGCATTTCGTGGTGTGTGCTTGGCTATATTGGGAAGAAGACAGGAGGTGGAGGGATGGGCATGTGGATGACGATGACATAAGCATCACCGACCAGGCTATCGCAGAATGGCTGGATAGCTTCCCTGCCGAAGAAAGTCAGGCTCAACGGGTCTATCTTTCCTCATTCTTCACCATGTTCATCACATTGCTCGATCTGTCTGTCGACCCTTACCCGGAAGTGGCTACCAACGCGCAAACGGTGCTTGACTACATTATGGCTCTTCTGATTGAGTCGCCCTTCGCTCGTCTTTCTTCCTCTTCCCTGCTGGATCGGCCCCTCACTCCAGATAATGCAACCAGTACCACCTCTTCTCGTACGCGAGTTGGATCACAAGCATCTTTCGTCTCTCTTTCGCCTTCTTTTGCACCGACTGCAGCGGCTCCCTCTCCTGTAGTGCGGCCAGCCCTCTCGCGAACGGAGACGATGACCAGCACCATCTCTCATGGGGTATCAAACACCATTCGACGAACTTCGTCATTTGCCAACGTCATCAAATCCTTTGCAAATGGTATTGCGTTCCCCACAGCAACGGAGGAAGGCCATCATCAAGCTCATCATCCCCACCATGCATCTATTTCAGAGCCGGTAGCTCGACAAGACTTCAATAAACCCACTGCATCTCGGCCACCGTCCCCTCATCTGAACCTCGCAAGATACGCTTCACCATATACACCAGATGCACTGATTGACGAGGAGAGTCACCATTTACACTATACCCCGAAACGCGACGCAACTTACCACCCTCAACCGCAAGCGGCAGCTCCTGTAGACTTTTTAGCTTCAAATGTAATTGAGGCTCTTACCGCAGAGGACATGGAACGACTACGCGCAAGGAGGCTGGCTGGACTCGGTGGACGAAGAAGCCATCATCGGGGTGGACCATCAGCCAGCCCAAGCAGCAGTATGTCGTCAATGGATTCAAATGGAAGCGTCATCTTGGGCCTTGGAACTGGTATCGGGATGGCGGATGTGCTACCGTTGAGAAGCACGTTCTTCGATTGGTGTTGCGAATACTTCACAGAGCCACAAATGCGGGTGAGTCTTCATTCTTGACGATTAGAATTTATGATATCAATCAGCTTTGTCAGCAAGCTGAAGCGGATGAGCCAGGCAGCATCCAATATAACTACCAGATCTGGCGGCAACAGCGCAACGAGAAAGTGCTTGAGGAGACCGCGAAACAGGTCGAAAATTTCGGTGTGTCGTTTGTCCAAAGATTTTGCAAGAGCAACCTGACATTTGGGCAGAAATGCGTTCATGGGATCGGCCAGTTGCGACCCTACAAGTTCATGGTTACCCTTTGACGATGGCTTTCCACTCCTTCGACAAACACCTGTTCATCGCCAACGAAGCTGACATCGTCAGGTTAGCAATGTGCATTACTGTCGTTCGGTCCTTGACACTTTGATAGTGTTTGGGATTGGTCGCAAAAGCGGCGATTGAGCTGGTTCCATAACGGGAACACCGCTGGGACGAGTGTTACCTCTCTAGAAATCATCAACCAAGATGTAGGTGGTATCATTCTAACAGGCGCCTGTAAGCCCATCTGCTCTTTCCGGACTGAAATCTCATTCGATCTAGCGGATGGCATCGTTCGGCTTTACAGGAATTACGACCCCTCTGTTGACCAGGGGCCTATCCAGATGGTTAGCGCGTTCCGAGGCTTGACCGAGATTGTCAACATCAACTCGGGTGGTGCTGGCGTCGTGATGGACTGGAAGCAGTCCACAGGGCTTCTGCTTGTTGGCGGCGACTCACGCATCGTTAAGGTGTGGGATGCTCAAACGGAAACGCCTATACTTGTTCGTTGGCTGCTTCTCTGTTCGCCTCCGAGTATCGCCCGCTGATGTTTGCTTCAGGATCTCGAGACAAACTCGGAGAGTCCGGTTACCGGACTCGTCTCAGATGCGGGCGCCTCATCACAGACTTTTGTGGCCAGTTTTGGCAACGGCGAAGTGAAGCTGTTTGACCGACGGTTAGAAGAGGAAAATGCGGTTGTCGCGCATTTCCTTGGCCACGAGTCTTGGGTGCAAAATGTCAGGTTGCACCCAACGATGCAGTCGCAATTTGTCACGGCAAGGTTCGTCGTGGAGCCCTTGTCGTGTTCATTTCTGATTCGTGGCAGCCTGGATGGAAAGGTGAAACTCTGGGATTATCGTGGCAAGCCAGAACACATCGCTGCCCTCAATGTCAATTCATTGGCAAGTTGGGACGTGCACCACGATGGAATTGCCGCATTCGATGTCCATCCGACAGCTGGGGTTTTTGCTGCGTATGTCATGTCGCCCGATTCCTCCTTGATTTTTGACCTTGTGCACAGTTCCAGTGCGATTAATGCTCGAAGTTGGAGGAGTCAGCGCGTCACAGTACAGTCCTTGGACATGGATTTTGTCTCTGCGAGCACTACAAGCGTGTCTAGTGGACTCGGCTTCCCGCCATCAAGGACATTCCCGTCGCCGTTTATACCAAGACTGAGCTCTCTCAAGTTTCATCCCTTGGAGTTGTTATATGGCGTTGGCGGGCCGGATGGGACGGTTAGGGTTATGGGCGGCGGAAAGCTGTAAAGGAAGATTAATCTACATGTACCATATACTTAGAATCAGCTTGGATGATATCTTGGACAGTCATCAGATACTCTACTCTTTTAGGCAAGCGAATCGCCATTTGTGGAAGCCGGCCGTGCCGATACTCTCCCATTCCCAGCCTCACTTCCTTCTTGGTATCTTTCCTCCTTGGTATTCCCCACCAAATACCTGAAGAGCTTCAATCAAACATTCCACATTCTTCAAATTTCCTGGGCCAGGTTAAAAGATTAGCATTGTTCACCTACGCCGTAACTATACGTGACTAGGAGATTTTATGCGTCAACTTGGCGTCAACCAAATGAGTCAATGAAGGTTTCTCGGAACTTTGGGTTATTCATATATATTCGGTCCCGAGTGTCTAGATTCACACGGTTGCAGACTTGCTTGAAACCACACAATGAACCACCAGTTAGGACCACTCCAGCTCAACTCTGCTACTGGAGAGCCTTTTCTCTCGCTTCTGGCGCACGATGATATTATCGTTACTCCTCCGCGGCAAACAGACAGACCGGCCATGATGGAATACATGAACGACGAGCGGGTCTATCCATGGTTGATCAGCCCGCCCTACCCATATACTCTTGGTGCTTACTTGGACTGTCTGATGGTCTCCTTTACTGAAACTCTGGAGCAGAGGCTGCGGACTGGTGGCTTGACCAGGCCATTCCAGCGGCAGAAAAAGTACTCGGAGAACTGGAGGAGGCGCGAAACGACCCCGAACTGCGAATTGTCGACGAATGCCCGGTGACCTATTTACGAGAAGTTCAAAAGGACGGGACAGACGTTTTTATTGGCAGCATTCGATTCTCCCTTTCCTGCCAGCCGTTCGAGCTCAAGCCCAGTGGGAGGGTACCCGCGGATGTTGGCGACAAACCGAAGCGTGACCCGAACAACCCGGACCTTTGGACGGTAGGGTATTACCTGGCGCCGAGTCACCATGGGAAAGGCATTATGTCGGATGCTTTCAAGAGTGTGTTGACGCTTTGGGCGATTCCAAGGATGGGAGTGAGGAAAATGGCGGTTAATGCTCTGGAGGGGAATGCGGGGAGTGTCAAGATCTTCACCAACCACGGGTTTCGGCTCCGGGAAAAGACGGATGATGCTTTTGTGAACGCGAGAGGAGTCATAAAGTCCGTCCATGTGCTTGATTGGGAACTTGCGTGACCGCGAAGGTGCCCACTTCAAGTTGTTTCTTACACCGATGGCGGGGTTTGGACATGCAACTCTCGAGACTCATTTCTCCTTTGAACCAGGCTATGTGAATCTAAATCATGGATCATTTGGCTCTCTACCGCGCCCTGTCGCTGAGGCATGTAGTGCTCTCGAACGACAGAGTGCAGCGAATCCAGACCGTTGGTTTCGTGCTTTCTACCGGCCAGCGCTTTGTGATGTCCGGCGACGACTGGCGGAAATGATTGGTGTCGAAACAGAAGAGTGTGTATTGCTGCACAATGCTTCTCATGCTATCTCGACAGTATTGTGGAATATCCAATGGAAAACGGGCGACGTCATTGTCCTGCGTAAGTAAGTAGTCTCTAATCCTGAGTCTTTTTTAATGACAGCAAAACAGTAAACACCACTTACAACTCAGTCGTCAGTACGGCGGAATATTTGACTGACCGACCCACGGGTTTCGCTCCCATAATCTCCACTCTTACGCTCGGCCCATTCCCCACTACCCCAACGGCACTGCTAACTCAATTTCGAAACCATCTTCGGAGTATTTCACGAGTTTCGCCTACTCAACGCATAGTTGCAGTAATTGACAGTATCACTTCCCTCCCGGCCCTGCTCTTGCCGTGGCAGGAAATGGTGGCTATCTGCAGAGACGAAGGTGTGCTCAGCGTAGTCGACGCAGCACACAGCATTGGGCAGGAGATGGATCTCAACCTGACGGTGGTTGGACCCGACTTTTGGACTTCTGTTCGTTCTCCGTTTGTTATCTGTATGTCAGCTGATACCGCTTCAGAACTGTCATAAATGGCTTTTTGCCAAACAATCTTGCGCAGTGCTATATGTTCCTCGACGGTATGCCGATCGCTTAGTTAGGTCCACAACTTTCGTTGATTGGTTTATTAGCAACCAGCACATGATTCAATCAAGCTTTCCTACGTCCGCTTCCTACATCCCCACCAGCCGCCGCTCGAGCGGTGGATTCACCAATCTCGTAGAACAATTTGAATGTGTGTGTCCATATCTGATCGTATGTATCCTAACACAGACGGCCGCAGGGAATTCGACAGTGGACTTTGTCCCATTCCTCAGTGTCGCCGCAGCACTTGACTTTAGACAGTCGATTGGCGGAGAACAGCGGATTAATGACTATTGTCGCAGACTTGCAAAGACGGGGAAAGAACGGCTGGCGGACATTCTAGGGACCGGTGACAAGACCTTGAGTGAGGATGGCGCAATGGAGTTGAACATGGTGCGGCGATCGCGACTCTTCCTCTTACGGTGGCTGATTGAATCATCAGGTCAATGTTGCGCTGCCCATTCCCCCCATTCTCGCCCATTCTGAATATGAGTCGGCGATCTTGGCCGCTACAACCACCAAGCTGCTCGACGCCAGTGTTTTCGTGAAGATTTTCCTTTTCCAGGACGTGTGGTGGGCAAGAGTGAGTGCACAAATCTTCAACGAGGTGTGTTGGCTTGCTCGGCGCCTGCACTGGCATGGACTTAGGATTGTCAGATTTCGGACTTTGAGAAGGTAGGTCAAGTATTGACGGAGATTTGCGAAGAAATAGAGCTAGATGCGAGGCAGTCAATCGTATAATAAGGCTGGAGCGTAATGCAAAGTACTACAATTGAACTGATCCACGCGAAGTCCTGTGATGTGACATCAGTTGATCATCAAACACGTACTCTTGGCACACGTGATGTGACACAACTTGCCATTGTCCAACGCTTTGTCTGTGTAGCTGCCGCTTTGTCGTTGCGCTTTGAAGAGAGAAGGTCCACTATAAGTGGCACCCACGCTCGTGAGTTGAGAGCATTGCTTTCCTCACTCTCCGCTCACTCACCATGAACTTGAATAGTTTTAATCCTGTCCTCTCTCTCGGAGTCGACCGCCAAAAGGACCGTCACCGAACCGGTCAGCCTCAGGCTCAGTCTCCCCGACCACGTCGTGCTGCACCTGCAAAGCGCGATTTGTTGCTCACGGCTATCAGCAACTCAGTATCGGGCTCTTTCCACTCATCTGAGCTACTCAACACGGGAATGCCAAACAGTCCTGCACCTTCTACCTCACTTCCGGGTGGCAACTCGCAGAACAGCAATAACAACATCATTCCGACGGGCCGCACCTCCTCGTTCCAGTTCTCATCCCACGGCAGCGAAAATCTATACGCGGATGTCACCGAACTTCGCAAAGCCGTCTCCGTCGAACTCTCTGGGACTTGGGTCTTCGAAGAGGCCTCCCAGGAGAACCCGTTGCATCAACGTCTCTGCGACAAGCTTGATGCCACCCACCCAGAGTTGCATGAAAAGGTGAAGGATTGGCTTCACAAATACAGGGGTTACAACAACAAAACGAAGGAATGGAAGGCAATTCCACAAGACCAGTCGTCAGAGAAAGCTCTCTACGAACCAATAAGACAAATCATCGACGACATCGTCGTTAGATTTCAAAACGACAAATCGAAGGCGAAAGTCCGAAACAGGAAGCCGAAGCTCACTCGCAAAGTCATCATCACCGCCAACGAAAAATTCAAGCACCACATCAGTGATGGCGTGATCCCCACCTCAATCAAGTCGTGTTTCGACATTGGCATTTTCGGGACTGGACCTTCAGCCGCCTCCGAGCTCGAACTTCCGGAGCCGCCGTCCTATGAAGATGTGGCGACGCCGGTAGAAATAAAAAAGGATGATGGTGACGTCCTGGAGGTTGCCAAATCGCCTGACGTTCAGGAGCAAATCGCCGTCTATGCTCGCGAGGTGCTTGTTCAGCAACCGAACCGCAACTTCGTGCGACTTCCCCTCATGTCTGGGAAATACATGCGCGTTGCCCACTTTGACAGGGCGGGGGCCCATGTCTCGCCTGCGTTCAACTACCACGAGGACGCCATTACCTTCGTCAAACTCATCTGGCTGTTCAGCTCACTCGACGAGGCGGAAGTCGGTTACGACACCTCTATTTACTGGGAGAATGGTACTCGCTATATCGAAGTCACTTCTCCCTCTGTCTGGGATCCAACTACCCAGTGCTGGATTGCTTCCCTTGGCCCACCGAGGAAGTTGAAGATCGTGCCACTGGAAGGCGAACTGCGTCCGCTTGATCCCGTCTTTTTCCGACGCGCTATTCGCTCGAGGGGCACAAAGTGCTGGCTGGTGGAAGGGCCCAACGGGGAGCGGTTCTACCTCAAGGACTATTGGATGGGGGCAGAACGCACTCCCGAGTCTGACCTCCTCCAAAGGGTCGCTGGTATCTTCGGCGTTGGCCAAATGCATCTTTGGCAGAACAACATCGCGACCATTTACGCCCAACGTTGCCATCAACCTGACGAGCAGATATTCGCGACTTACGTGACTGGCCGGCTTGTGGGGAACCGTGCTCTGATGCGGATCGTCCTCGACCGCTACGTGGGGACTTTCGAGGAAGCGGAAACCGCTCTCGAGCTTCTTGAGGCCACGCGTGATGTTGTTTGTGGTGCGTGTTTCCTTCACTGATTATCAACCATTTATTGACGCAACCTCAGGTCATAGGGACGCTTTCATCGAGAAAAGAGTCCTCCATGGCGACATCAGCTTCAACAACCTTCTCCTCACCGAAAACGCTCGGGCTGAAAATCCGAGCCCCGACAAGCCGAAGGGCGTTCTGATTGACTTCGACATGGCCCGGCATGTGTTGGCGAACGAAGAAGGACTGTTTACCGATGGAATGACGGTGCGTTGCCGTTTTATGCCCCTGGATCTTCCTTACCATCTGTCAGGGCACTCGCGCTTTCCAATCTGTCAAGCTCTTGTTGAATGACCCGCTCCTTGGACCCCACGACAACATGGACGATCTGGAATCCGTGTTCTATGCGCTCTGCTATGTTTGCCTTGGCCACAACTGTGTCGGGAACATGTTGCACCAGTTACCAAAGCCCATTCAGCAATGGACAACCACCACAGAAGGGTCAACGCTCGCGGACTTGAAGAAGAGCTTCCTGAAAGATCCCCTTACCTTCGGTGTGCAGCGATTCGATGGCGACGAGCGCAAGATTATGCGAGAATGTCTAAACGACATGCGCCGATTTTTCTTGCCTCGCATTGAAGCCTTGGCCTCGATTCTCGAAGAACAAGCTATCAATCTCGAGTCAGACGAGCCAGCCCCCGAGCCATTGAGTCATACATTTGCCGAGGCCCGCGCCGAGTACCAGGAATTCATTTCCCTCATCGACGCGTCGCTCGATAAATTGCGGGCACTTCCGCCAAAACCCGCTAGTACTCCATCTAGTCCGGGCAAACGACGCCATTCGGAGGAGGAAGAGACCCCTCCCTCCTCCGAGTCGACGTCTCCCTCGAGTCTCAAGCGTCAAAGACAGGTGGCTAACCGTCAACCATTGGCGCAACCCAGGTTTCGCACTCGAGAACGGAATTAGGATAGCTAGCTAGCCAGTGTAAAATGTTGAACGAGAAATATATTGGAGTTTGTACAACTTTTGAACAACTACTGCTGAGTTTCCGCGTGCCTGTGAACACCATTGAGGATTCTGCTTAGCCTGCTTCAATTGCCACGCTCAGTGCTTCAATTTGTTTTTGTGCACAATAAGTATTACCACCAGCGACCGAAGTCTTCGTTTAGCTTGCCCTCACTGTGCGCATGAAAGGCTTGGTTGTTGCGAAACGATTCGTTACCCGTTCCATTGACGTCAGACTCAAATCTCTTCTTGATCTCGTCGTGGTCCTCTGATGAGAACCTTCAAGTTAGCGACATAACTCAAGCAATAAAACGAATGACAAACCAGCAACCGTCTTTGGGACACCAGGCAAGAGTTTGCAAGGGAAGGCTTGTCTAAAGTTGAGTTTCGTGATCAGGTCATGATCATGATACATAGAGGGAAAGAGTCCTTCATGGCTTTCTTCTCTTTCGTGAACGACTGTCTTCACGGGTCAGAAAAAGGATTGCGAGCGAGACTACTTCATGGCGACATCAACTTCAACAATCTTCTCCCTACCGAGAACTCGACAAGCCGAAGGGTGTTCTGAACGACTTTGACATGGCCCGGCTCATGTTGAAGACATGGCCCGGCTCATGTTGAAGAATGAGGAAGGACAGTTCACTGAAGGAATAACCGTGTGTTTACGATTTTCGAGGCCCCGGGAAGCTCCACCAAATGGTGATTCAAAAATTTGGGTTTTTGAGGCCCAAAAATCGCGATTTCCTTGTCCAAAAAATGGGTTTTTGAGACGAAAATTCTGAAAACCTTCTTCAAGATATGGGTTTTTCAGGCCTTGGGGAGGTTCGCAGGAAAGTTTTAGACTGGCCTGTGCACCAGCGTCTCACCGAGTAACAGATGCCTTTTTTTGAGAGGTGAATCACCGCAAAGAGTGTTAGTTTCAAGGTAAAACCGCCGCAAGACACTTTTTGATACCTGTAAAAATTACCATTTTTGGCAGGTGTCACGCAGTTACATGTCACGATCCTTCTTCAAAAATGGGTTTTTGGGGCCCAAAAAATTGGGTTTTTGAGGCCAAAATTCGGAAATTTTTTGAAGCACCCTTTGGTGGAGCTTCCCGGGGCCTGATTTTCGTATCCTTGCATCAACTTGAAGTTGCTCACTTTTTTCCAGGGCACTCGCGCATTCCAGTCGGTCAAGTTGTTACTCAACAATCCTCTGCTCGGCGCCCCCGATATGGACGATCTTGAATCCGTGTTCTACGCGCTCAGCCCTAAACCCCGCGCTGAATTCATTTCCTTCATCGACGCGTACTTCCGCCCAAACTTACTCTCAGAAGCCCGAGAACGTAGGAGAATCAGAGTAGCTTAGTGCTCGTTGTAGTGGAACGAAGAATATATTGTAATTGGTACAATTACTGCTTACTAGTAGATTCTGAATGCCTGTGGACATCTACTACGCCACCGTTGATAACTTCGTCGTCGTTCTTCTGCTTAGCCTGCTTCAATTGCCGCGCCGAATGCTTCGATTTGTTTTCGTGCACAATACCGCCAGCAACCACTGCATCTGAAGTCTTGTCTCCGTTTTGCTTGCTCTCACTGTGCGCATGGAAGGCTTGGTGTTGCGAATCGTTGCCCGTTCCATTGACGTCAAAATCTTTAGACTTCTCGCCATTCTTCTTGATCTCGTCGTGCTCCTCTGATAAAACCTTTAGCAACATCACCCAAGCAATACAACAAATGACAAACCAGCAACCGTCTTTGGGACACCAGGCAAGAGTTTGCTCACGAGGGAGGGCTCGTCGAAGGTTGAGCCTCGTGTTTCGCCTTTAGACAGCTTTCCGCCTAGAGCATCGAGAGTAGCAGCAGCCAAGTCAAGGTCGCGAGGAGGGAGGGGGACTGGAGGCTTGACTGCAGGCAGCATAGGTGAATCACGTTTCGGGAGGTCAACAGGCGGTTTGACGGGAAGTGAGCTCTTGGATAGATTCGGGCTGGGCGGTGAAACAGGAAGACCACGTTTAGGAAGGTCGACAGGAAGTTTGACAGGGAGGGCGGGAGCGGCAGGGGCGGCGGGTGCTGGCGAGCCACGCTTAACGTGTACCATTTTCTGAATGAGAGATTAGATGACAAAGCACGCGTCGAGTATAATAACACGCACGTTAGATGGGACATAGACATCAGCCTTCTTCTCGCTGTTGGGGGTGTGGACGTTTGCTGTAACGGGCTTGGGGTCGGTAATGTCGCGAGGAAGAGGCAGGTTCTGAGTGAAACGCGTAAAAAGCGAGTTCGTTGAACGTGAAATCAAACTCGCCTTGGTGGGAAGACCTTTCTGGGCAGCGAGGTTGTTGACCGGTGCAGGGACGACAGAGGCAACGGTGAGGGAGGCGAGCGAGGCGAGAACGAAGAATTTGGGCGAGATCATGGTGGCGAGTAGGGTGTAAAGAATGTGTAGAGAGATGGTCGTCGTTCGAGTGCAAGGGCAGGTGGGTCCGTGACCGCAACAGCAAAAGAAATTTATAGCGATTATCTTATCACGCCATCATTTGATGCATCTGATCCAATATTTCTTTTTCCTCTTCCACTCCGACCGATGTATGCGTTGCCTATTCAACCGGCACTCTACCTCGGGGGTTTATTCGCTGTCAGATAGACGGCAGGTGCTGCCCGCTCACGTACCAGCAGGAATATCTTTGGTGCGTATCATTGTACCTTGCCTTTCTGACTCATCTCACCACCTTAAAAAGCATGTCGAATTCGGCTAGGACCTTCCAGCCATGTCGTGGAACGATTTTCAAGGAAAAACGCCTCCGCCCTTTGGCCATGCGATGCTAGAATACTTTGCCTTCGACCCTGGCTACACCAATCTCAACCATGGTTCGTCTTCATATCAGACGACATTCGTCTCTTTAAAGTTCACCAGGCTCTTATGGCTCTCTTCCACGACCCATATCGGCCTACTGCGACTCTCTGGATGTTGAAGCCGAGTCCAACCCAGACAAATGGATTCGTCAGACATACCTTCCTCTTCTCACCAATGTCCGTACTCGTCTTGCAGCTCTCCTTGGTGCCAAGCCGGAAGAATGTGTAATGGTCTCTAACGCGTCCCATGGAATATCGACGGTGTTGCGTAACTTGTTATGGAAAGGGGGCGACATTCTTGTTACTTGTTCGTGTCATTTTTGCTTTTTTCTTGCTTGAGAATGAACGAAAGCGCAGATAGCACGACTTACGGCTCTGTATTGTCCACTGCTCAATACCTCTCCGATACTCTGCCTCATCCGACAGTGTCCCAAATCAAAATCACTTTTCCCACATCTCGTTCGGCTGTCCTAGACCAATTCCGCGCGCATCTTGTTGCCATCCTTTTTTTCAATCTGGCCAGCAATTCATATGTCTGTTCTCTTCCGAGTCACATGAAGGCCACAAAAACTTTGTCGAGCAATTCGTCTCCAACCATCAACTTCGTTCCTTTCCTCGTTGTTCAACTATGTAAGTATACGGAGATTAACGCCACCGTCAAGATCTCGCAAAGCCTGGCATCATTCAGCTCGCAGAAATGCTAGGTACCACGGGCCATTTGCCTTCCTCCAACACCAGCAGAGAAGCTCGGAAGAACGCTATTGAATGATTGCACTAAACTAGAAGCAAGCGGCGCAGTCGATAACGATGTCAACGGCAAGCTATAACTACAGCTTTGCGTTCAGTTTGGTTTCTTGTTAATAGATATCACTCGCGTCAACTTTGATCGTCGCTTTATTTTTCTGCCTTCTTCCTCAATGAGCTCGTTGGACTCAGTCAGCCGCTATCTGGTCGACCACTTAAACTTCTCAAAATTTCCTCGTTATCAGAAGCTCTGGCGACTTGAAGATGTCACCTTTGAATATCGGCTCTCTCTCCTTAGTCCACTCATCTCGACATTGGGCCGATATGTTATAACCTTGCATATGCTGCGTGCTTAGACTGTGAACGTTGATGTCCAGCTTAGGCAACGGATAACAAAGTTTGTCTCAAGCTGCGCTGCGCCTTATGGCAATCAACGTTTAGCAAGACCTTCTAGTCAATGAGACCACTATTCAGTTCATTTTTATTGTTGACTGGTTCCCCACGGCTGCCTGAGCTCATGACTCAACGATGAAACGGGAATTGTCAACTCCAAGGGAAGCCGTTACAGTATATGGTTTGGAGCACCACTATAAATTCAGCTGCTCCAAAACCTCTCAACCAAAACCTCCCGAGAAAGTCAGAATGCTCTTGTTTATGTCTCTCGTCACGTTGGCTCTTCGAGCCTCGCAATATGCTAATGCTCAAGCACCGAGTACTTTCCCGCATGCATATCCAGGAATGCCCACCACGAATTACGGCCCAGACTGGCAACATTGTCGGTATCCTTTTAATCTGAACTCGCACTCGCCGAGAACTGATTTGCGACTTTGCTGGTAGATTTCGAGGTTACCTCACCACTGCCCAATGTTACCGAACCTCTGGGTGTTCGAAGCTTCGCCGGCAACGTCGGAGTTAACCGTGAAGGGCATCCCAATGCAACACTCTTCTTCTGGGCGTTTGAGAAGACAAACGGCAGTCTTACAACGAATTCGACGACAAAGCCATGGATCATCTGGCTCAATGGTCTCTCTTCGTGTCAGCGATCTGTACAGCGACTTACTATTTGAATGTGCAGGCGGTCCGGGTTCGTCCAGCATGATTGGCATGATGAGGGAGGTAAGAGCAGTGCATCATCTTCGATCGCCATTAATCCCTTCATCGTTAGAACGGGCCATTGCGAGTCACCGGCAACTTTTCTATCATACGGAACGATCTTAGCTGGAACAAGCTTGCAGATACCATTTGGATTGACCAACCAGGTTAGCGACATTGCTTTTCTTCGTCCTGTCTGGCTTGAACAATTTCCAGTCGCGCGGGGTATTCTACTTCTGACGCGGATGGCTACGGTTTGCTCTCTTTCACGCTGTGATTGCGATGGTTTCTGATCTAGTTTAGTTCCCGACGAAGATCACATGGGGGAAGATTTTGTACTTGATTCGTCTCTTCATTTTTACCTCATCCAAACGTCTTTCAGGTTCAATTCCTGTCCAACCTTGTCAAGATATTTCCTAGTCTTGCGAAGCGTCCTCTGCATCTTTCGGGAGAGTCGTATGCAGGAACTTACATTGTGGGCAATCTCCTCGCCGCCTCACCTTGCCATGAATCTTGCGCCTAGCCATACATTGCCAAAACGATATTCTCTACTCCCAACCCGCCAGTCAGACTCGCCAAAATCATTGTTGGCGATGGAACACTGGGAGACTTTGCGACCTCCGAACATCTGCCGACCGTAAGATGCTGCTATCTTGATTGAACCTGCGAGATGAAACCGTTTTCTAGATCACGACAATCGAAACGTACCCTCAGCTAATCAGTTACGACCCAGAGGTGTACGAGTACTTCAGACTCCAGTGCGTAATTGAGGACATGGTCGTCGTCATTGTTGAAATGATTTTTCCAGACAGCATTTATGCGGATACGATCTCAACTTCACCTACCCAGAAACGGCACATTTCCCCACCCTCAAGGACCCCAGCTTTGGATCGACTTCCTTCCCTTCCGCCGCGCTTCAAAATCGACAATACAAGTCTCTCAAGGAGCTCGCTGTTGGGAACAGTCAATTCAAGAGTGCCAACAATAAACGCGACCTGGCTCTACAAGAGGAGCGTCGACAAGCGTGGAAGCGAGATTTGTCCGGCCGCGCAAATGGAACAATCGACCCTTATTACGGCTGCTACACCTATTTGGAACTCTTGGACTACGCCTCGAACTTCTCGTTCCCTTGGAGTACGCCATTCACTTGCGAGTTGAACGTGAACTGACATGTTATAGACACGCCTCTTGGCGGCATTGACGCGAGTGCTGTTCTATGATTCTACCTTCCAGCTAAATGCTGCTTAGGTCTATGATGTTCCGGATGGGCTGAACCCCGAAGTCCCGAGCGACCCAACGATCTTCATGAATGGTCCGATTCAGTATTTTCTTGCTTTATTGTTGAATTTGGCTGTAGACCCTCTGACGAGAGCCGCGCTCCATGCACCGACATCCAAGAACTGGCTATCCTCTTTTAGCTATCCATTCGGTTTGTCCATGGCCGTTTTCCATGTCACACTTCCTGACGAAGAGCCCTGCAGGGGCAGCACCAGATAACACTCCCATTCAAGATCCTAGTGATTACTCGTCTTCACACAGAGGTTCTGTTTTGATGCTGAACCGATTTACAGGCCCAGCGTTCGCCGTCTCTTGTCTTGAAGTTACTGTGAATATGTTAATGATTGCAGAGCGATGGTTTTCTTGACGGATTTGGCGGCCAACGCATCAGCGAAGGGCGTCGGCATCGTGTTTTACGCGGGCAATGACGACTCGTTGGCTGCGCACCGTGGAACAGAGGGTAGGTGTTACCATTCATTCCATCTTGCTCACAACAATGCCTGATGATTTATAGTCGTCATCCAAGTGAGCAGATAATAGTGTTGCAGGTCAACCCTGATGCACGCATCCAGAACATGACATTTGGTGGCATTCAAGGGTTTACGCAGAAGCCAGCAACACCTTGGACGGATGACAAGGGCAATTTCGCAGGTGCGACCAACGATCTTGATTCTTCTCTCGCCATTATCATTTAACCGCTTGGCAGGAATCATCCACCAAGAGCGCAATCTCACCTATGCACTGTTCAAAGGCGCTGGCCACCGGGTCCCCGCCTCCGTCCCTGAAGCCGTATGTCTCTACCCCATCCATTCACAACAGTCCACGACATTTTGCGCAGGCCTTTGTGTTCATTCGCGACTTCGTCCTTGGAGCCAAGACCACGGGTTTGGTGAGGAGTGATGGCACTATTGTTGGTGGCAAAGACCCCCTGCTCGCTATGGATTTCATGCAGGGAAGCAACGTGATCTACTATGGGAGTGGGGCAAACGCGACGACCAGTTTGTCGACTGTTGTTCCGAGTGCTACGCTGGTGTCATGGCAGAAGTTTTTGGCTAGTCAGACTGCAACTTCAGACACCTTGTCAAGTACCAAGTGTTAGAACTAGTACAGAAACTTTAGGACTTCTCATGAACTTATGGATTTCAGCATGCGCAAAGAAGGAGCACAAAATTGATTAATATTCTTTGTGGCAGTGGTAAAAGTACATTGATTTGTAGCTACAAAGTTCCCTTCAGATACCAGAAGTATCCTCACTAGGAGAAGGTTTCCAAAAATTGTCGTAAGCCGAAGCAGACGAACGGTTCGGATGTAATTTGCAATCAGCAAAAGACCACGGATCGGTGTTAACCTCACTTCCGATGGTACGTGCCCGAGCACAAGAGATGGGGAATCAGGTCGGCGACCTCGCCTCTTTATACCTTTCAGTGGCGGTGCAGGTCTGCGCACGGACCAGCGAGCTGATCAAATAGTCACGTTGCACGTAGTCTGTCGCACCCATCTCCGATGGCTCTCTTCTACAGATTCCACTCATAAACATGAACCCCGCTCTTCCGTGTCCCTCTGACATCGACTGTATCCTCCGGCCATGTCTTGTGCAACACCATCCCATTTTTCCTGAAGACCTTTACGCTGCCCTCATTTCCGGTCAACGCGCTGACCCTCATCTTGCACATTCCCATGCGTGGCACTCCCCACTTCTCTAACACGGTCTTGAATGCCGCTGACATCAATCCACGGCCATGGTGGCTCGGAACGATATAGTATCCGACAGTCCAGATGTCTGGGTTGGCTGAGTTGCGCTGTGGCTTGGGGTCTTGCCCCAGCAACTCAAGCGTCCAGCCGGTGCCGTCCAGCTCGAAGGGCCGCTGGGCAAGCGTGAAGTCGATGCCGCCAACAAGAATTTCGCTCCCATCGGCCAGAACCTCCCGTATTATCGTCACTGGGCACGAATCGACCATCTTTAGGGCGGGCTCGTCGCGCGCTGCCTCCAGCTCTGCCAGAATCCTCTGCGACAGCGGCACCGCGTTTTCGCCCAGCCACCACTCCGCATTCGCTGCAAACATGCATAAACAACGGCTGCTTGAACCGCCCAAGACGTACCTTTCGTGTAGGGAAACGGCGTCCCCGTCAACCACTGGTACACCCGCTCGTCGTTGAAGACTGGCACCATCGCCTCTACATCGCTCATCCGCGGGGGCGTTAGCACGATGTTGTCGTACCCTGGCAGCCGCAAGAACGGTTCCCCCGTCGTTGGATTAACCTCCAGTGGATGGAGTTGGTGATTGATAGTCATGGGCGTTGAAGACACAGATTTCGCCGCTCGAATTGTTTGTCGGCGTGGATTTATAGTGGCGGCGCTCGTCGCTCACCTGATTCAAAATTGCCTATTTGGGCGGCGGATCCGATGATGTTACATGTTTTGTAGTCAACTTCAAACGATGTACTGGTAAGTAAACTCACTGAAAGGCAGACACATAATCTGAACCTGACTTCAACCTCGAATCAACTGAGAAGGATTGCTAAACCCAGTCAGGCACATTAGGCGTCTTGAACCCGGAAGGTCTGTCCCACATGTGCTTCACCTCTCGATGTACTATTCCGCCGGCCCGACCTATTCCCCTGCTGCTTCCAGCTCCCCCAAGAGGCGAAGAAGACGGCCGGCACTCTGTAACGCCGTTTCAATGCGAGCAGCCTCATATAAAATGACTACTCGTCTGCCTCGCTCTCTTACCACACCATGCAACTCACGGCAACTCTCATCTTGACCGCATTGTGCTCACTCGTAGGCTCCGTGCCAGCGAGCGTCAAAATCGATAGACTTGTCAACTCTATGGGCTCGGGGACACTCTCCCGCAAAGACGTTGCGCGCGCTCGCCAGCTCAAATCCGGGAGAGCGCGCAACGATAGCGTGCCGATCGAGGATCGGACTTTCTCATTTTTCGTGCGTTTTATTATTTTCCGCATTCCTCATTTTTTGACCCGATTTAGATTCCGATCCAACTTGGATGTCCCCCCGCTACATGTAAGCCGCTCGCCGTCTGGGCCCGCGACGCCGCTCATGGGACACTCAAAGACAATGTCATCCTCGACACCGGCAGCTCCAACACCTGGGTGGGGGCACAGACTAGCCACCCCTACATCCCAACGCGGTGCTCCAAGCTCACCGGCAACGCTGTTGTAGAACTCTAAAGTATATGTGAACCCCACTCTGATTGCGATTTTATCAGGAAGTCAGCTATGGTTCTGGTCAGCTATGTGCCTCTTCATGTGTTGCTCAGATTTGACTGGGAATCAGGATTCTTCGCTGGTGAGATAAGATAAGACTCCAAACACGCCTTCGCTGACCCACTGAAATTCGCAGGAACGGAATATAACGACACGCTTGCGCTCGCTAACGCGTTGACTGTGCAGGCCCAATCGATCGGGGCTGCCCAATTTGCGCGGGGCTTCGGTGAAGGTAAACCATCCAGGAATGCACGTGATTGAAAACATCCTCAGCATCGCTTGAGCGGACGGAATTCTTGGGTAAGTGGTCACTGTACCGTCTCTTCCCGCTCACAAGAGCCACCCGTTCTCTAGCCTTGGACCAGAGGATCTCACGGAGGGCACCCTCACCGGCCCCAACGCGCCCTCGACCATGCCCACCGTCAGCCAGAACCTGGGCCTCACCACTTTCAGCATCTTCATGGCTCCGATCAACAGCACTGCTGGCGACAAAGGCACGCTCAACTTCGGCCCGGACACTTGTCCAGATTCGACCCAATGCATCGAGGCGCCGCACTTCACGTTTGTTGCGTGACAGAGGAAGTCTAATATCGCTAAACCGCCTCTTAGGCCCGTGACCACGAGGTCTCCCGCGTCTCACTTCTGGGGAATCGACTTAGTCATCTCATGTGAATAGCGCTGCTGAATATTTTCGCGTCTAACAAGTCAAGATGGCGATGAAACCATTTTGGCGAGCAGCACGAATGGCAAGCCGAATTCCGGTGAGCCAGCCGCTATGTTGTCTGCAACTCACAAATATATCAGGCGTCGTGGACTCGGGAACGACATTAGTGGGTGTGATTTCGTGCACAGAGTTTATCACAAGTTGAACCCCCCAGGTCATCCTTGCCACGGATGCTTTCAACCTCTATATGGCCGCAACTGGCGCGACCCTAGACCCAAATGTTGGCCTGCTCAAGCTGCCCACGGCCAACTTCGCTGGAATGAAGGACCTTTGTTTTGCTGTAGGTCGATCTATCCTGTGCTAATCGTTACTAGCTATATCTAGACTGGCGCGAGTCGATTTTGCCTCACACCTGATGCCCAGGTGTGGCCTACGTCGCTCAACACACTCATAGGCGGCGACACGTCGAGTATCTATTTGGTGAGTTGCAGTTTTATCCATTTCTCGGGCTCAAGCTATTATGCCATAGATCACAGCGAATAGTGAGGAGTTGTCTGGTACTGGGCTGGACTACATCCTCGGGTGAGGAGCCTTTGTTTTCGCCACTTTTTTTTTTGACATCTTTCGCGCAGACAAATGTTCCACGAAAGGTTTCTCGTAACATACGACTTGAGCCAGAACGCGGTTGGGCTGGCAAAGACGCCGTTCACTGCTTCAACCACGAACTGCGGCAGTCTTTGTGCCTGATTTGTCCTGTTGTCACTTGTGATGCTTTAAAGTAGAAAATTGGACGGCTGCTATCGCAGCTCTAAATGCATATGCGACGTGAACACAACTTCACGGCTCCCAGTCTTCATCGTCGTCAGACATCAACACATCCTCTTCTTCATCATCCTCCGAGTCCATGTCCCCCTCGCTCTCAGTGAATGTGCCAGGCATTCGGCGTTGCGCCAGCCGTGTTGACCTCCGCGATCCACTCGCATTAGCCTCAGCCAGCCCAGTCCGCTCTCTCTCAACCCAGTCCTCCAACTTTCCACCCATCTTCGAAAGCCCCTTCCATTCGTGACGCGCAACGCGACTCCCTCCCCGGCCACCTTCCCACGCGGCACTCATCAACACAGGTTCCTATAAGAGTCAGTGTCAACCCTAGAAAACGGAGGGGGAACACCTACTTGTGAATGCCAGCTGACATCACGGACACACGCCTCAAAGTCCATCGCAGCCTTTTCCGCAGGCTCCGGCTCGGAGGGGTCAAACGACATCGCGAATGTCTGAGTTCGGTCAAGTACTTGTACCACCCGTCCGTCAAGCGACCAGATCTAAGAAAATAACTAAGAATTTACCAGGAACGCAATAAAACGCTTACATGGACCTTGCCGTCTGCAGAGCCAGAATAGATGTACTGCCCGCCAGTTGTCTCAGCAGGACTGAAATGGCAACGAATCAGCGTCCTGAGAACCGCGTGACCGTGGTAGGTCATGACGCTGCAGTCCTTGGGATGTGCAGCAAATTTCGGTTTTAGGGTAATGCGGGTAACGGTAGTCGTAGTTGGTGCCATAGAAGTGGTCCTTCTCTATTAAAAGTTAGACCAACAATAAATAATGCGTGCAAGTCTGACCTTCTTCAAACTCGGCGTTTGTCCGCATCTTGCGCAAGTCCCACAACCGCAGCTTCTGGTCCTTGCCGTTACTAATCACATATCGCCCGTCGCCTTTGGCTGAGACATAGGTGATACCCTCAGTATGACCCATCAGCACGCCTGAAGGTGTTTGTGAAGCACCAAGTGACCGTCGATCCCTGTGTTTGTCAGGAAGAAAGAAAGAATTCAGACGCTTGGGTCACCCACCAAACTTTCAGGAACGAGTCATCCGATGCACTGACCAGCACGTTACCAGAAGCAGTGTCAGCCCAACAACAACTGTTGACGTCGTCCGTATGGGCTTCAATTTTAACGGCGCGCCGGTTGGCGAGGAGGTCGTAGACAAATATTTGACCATTTCCTCCAGCGATGATTTCCTGGCCATCCGCTGAGAACCGACAGCTATATATTCGGTAGGCTCCAGCATCAAAACCCCAGAAGTTATGTTGGCGCGGTCGATGGGTACCGGGTGGATCGGCGAACGGTATGGGAATTTGTGTGGGTGCAGGGTCAGTCGTGCTCGTCATATAACATGTTGATGACTGAAAACATGTCTCAGTGGATGGTAATCGTGACGTGCTTTGTAAATAGTACCATTGAGGCATAAACCATGCGCTCATTGTCGCGCGAGAGATTGGCGTCAGTAATCGTCCATCGTCCTGGGTAGGCTTGAATGGAGTTCTTGAGCGCCATATTGGTTTTGAGGTGTTGTGAAGGCTCAGTATATTTCTTGCCAGCCTCTCGACGCTGGACCGGAACGGTGGTGTCAAATATGTTCAATCGGAAGTCTTGGGAGCAGGTGTAGAAGAAAGAAGAGTCGGCGGAGTATTGGGCAGTGTAGACGTTGGCATCGAATTCAGCGACTGTTGTCCCACTGCTATTTGGGACCAAACCCTAAAGATAATGAATGATGTTCACACAGAGACGAAAACAACGCACTGTAGTATAGTCCTCCCTGTAGAACCGTGGCCTTGCTTGCGATGCTCGAGCCCGAATTGTCCTTGCGATGTTGAAGTTGTGGTCGCGAGCCCTAATCTTCGGCCCTACCCTCCCGAAATCACCACTATGGATAAGGTTTACGCCGGCTTCCTGGGGGTCTTTGACCTCTTTGAAGTAGGCCCGGTGGCTCTGCGCATGCATGGCTCGTTGATAATGCTGGTCATCTTCCTCGTCATCGTCATCGTCGTCTCCATCGACTTCAAGTTGAGCTTCTCCAGTGAGTAGTCGGTTGAGATCTTCAATAGTCAGTCCACGGAGACCAGCAGCCCCCTGGCGTTGGAGAAGAGGGCCAAGGAGTGCTTGGAGTGCTGCCGCCTGGGTGGAAGCCCTGGATTGGCGAGGGGCAGTTGTTGAATCGTCGTCCGCGCTCTCCACATTCCACACTGGGTTGCTCATCGCAGGTGGTGGGAGAAGAGGAGAGAAGGTGCGGCTGGCATCCGGCGATTCCTACTCGTCCGATGTCTGCTCTGTAAGATGCGTGCGCTGACGTGATGCCGTGGTGGCCGGCATAGCCGACAGGTGTCCGTAATCACCGATCATGATCAACTGATCATCGCGTGACACGGCCGTGACCTTCCTGAACACGAACCCCGGCCCGTCATCAGTCCTTGCCACTCCCGCGCCATGGCGGAGACGAAACCCCTCATCAGACTCACCGCGGACGAGATAAACTGTCTCGTATACGCTTTTCTTGTCGACTCGGGTTTGCCGCGTCTCGTCCGCGTCGTTTTTTCCTGCTGACGCGGTCCAGGATTCAGACATGCTGCCTTCAATCTGCGAATGGAGGCGCAACTCGAGAACGGTCCCAACTTTACGAAGCACATACCACGGGGAGAGCTTATTGACTTGCTCGGCAAATCGCTCCTTTTCCGCGAAGTCGAAGCGCACTGGAAATCAGACAACCTTGCGCTGAACTGTCAGGTTGGTTTCTCGCTGCTGGAGCCACATATTTGCTCTCTGGTGGCGCCGAAGGAAGATGACCTTCCGCCCTCAGTCTACACCCAACGACCCCTTCTCCAGTCTATGCATGAGATGTATGGAAAACGGAAAGGCGAGGCACTCAACGGCGGTCCTGCGGACAAGAAACTAAGAAGAGACCTCAGTGACGGAGAAGGTATGCATTAGAGAAACTAATGGTCATTGAGCCGCAACGGTTATAGGAAAACTTAAAATCAAGGTGCAAGGTCCCAGTGACCATGAGACCGACCCACGCGCTGTGCTTGTTCTTCCAGGACACAGTACAGAAGTATTCGCCATACAAGCTCTCTGCGTTTCTTTGCATCTCACGCGTGATAGGTATTTGTTTGCTCTTTCAACCCCACCAAGCCAAATGTCCTTGTTACCGGGTTTGGAAATTTCTCTCGTATTTTTTTCGCCTGCTTACTGCCGATTCAGCTCTAAGAATGCGGTCGTGAACATGTGGGATCTACCTTTTCCTCCACCTGCATCGTCCGCCAACTTTTCTGTGGCCCCTGCAGAGGGACCCCATCAATTGGAACATTTCCCGGATGTCATTCCAGGTGATCTAACTAATATCGAGTGGAATCACGACGGATCCTTGGTGGCAATCGGCTCATATGACACTGTATTGCGCATCTTCACGATAACAGGCGACTTGTACATGTCGCACACACAGCATAAGGTATGTTCACGCGCCTTTTTGATGGCACCGGAAACTGAAGCCCTCTGGAGGCTCCAATATTCGCGGCCCGGTTCTCCAGAACAGGAAAATGGCTTGTTTCGTGCAGCTTAGATGGAACAGCTTGCGTCTGGGATGTTGAAAATCGCGAGTTGCTGATGCAATATCGCGGCCATCAAGGTTTATATCCAAAATCAATTCTCGTGACTCGGGAGTTGACGACGCACTAGATTGCTGTTTGGACGTTGAATGGCTTTCGGATGAAATTTTCGCGAGTTGTTCATCGGATAAAACTATCCATATTCTGCGAGTCGGCCAGGCGAACCCACTCGCCATTCTGACGTAAGTTTAACCAGACCCGTCAAACCTAAACCCTGCTGATCGCTGTCAGTGGCCATGAACGCGAAGTCAATCAAATTAGAGTCAATCCAGCGGGGACTCGACTTATTTCGTGCTCTGATGACCAGACCGCACGGGTCTGGAATATCGAACACATTCTGCGGCAGTCTGACTCAAACGGAATGCTGGAAGACACTCCCGAACCGATCGTTCTTTCTGGACACACCAATTCGATCCAGCTAATTGCTTGGTGTTGTAATCTGGAAGCGGGACCTAATGAAGTTCTAGCAACGTCAGTATAAGTTCAACTCGATCAATATCGATGCTTTATCTCACTTATAGCGGGTCTTCCGATGGAACTGTACGTTTCTGGGACAGCATAACAGGCGCATGTCTCCATATCATCGCTGACCACAAGCGGGGCGTATTTTCGCTTCGTTTCAGCCCCGACGGCCAGCGCCTTGCAACAGGCGGTGGCGATGGCTGGCTACACGTGTACGATGTCAAGACGCGCCAACTTCGTTGGTCTTGGTTTGCTGGATTCGACAAGCCCGGAATTTTCGATATTGTCTGGCAGACACACCCGGCATTGGGAGTGGACCGAATCGCACTAGGGCTCGAGTGTCGTCAGGTGGCGATTGTTGATGTGTTGAAGGTTCCAGCGTTGCAGAAGTAGCATCGGTACTGTTACTCTCTGTTACTCGTCTCTTGCTCTGGCTGGCGTTGCACATAATGTGTGGGCCGGTATTTTATAAACCATGAAAGCTGTTAGATTGCGGTGTCTGTCACATGTCACAGCGTGAAGCTTGAATAATGCCGCAGACACTGCCCTTTGCGAAGCCCCTCATAAACCAACTGACGACGAACTCAAGCACCCACAAAACATGACCGGTGAACCTCACCTTGAGACATATGGCTTCCCTCCAGGTCTGTACTGAATAGGCTAATCTCTGAGTCAACTGATGGTGTAGGCTACTTTATCATCCGTTCTGTGGGTTGCAATCGTCTGCTCGACGTGACCCTGGACGAATTCGAGGATGGGACCGAGATAGCTCTGTGGCCAGAGAAAGACAAGAGCATTGTCGAAAGTGCGTTATGGCTTCAACTTCCAACCAAATCCTATTGACATACCGCGAAAGCCCGACGCAGCCCGGAAGCAAACAACCAGGTTTCATTCTCCTTCTTAAACCACGAAACTCGACTGACGTGTATAGGTTTTCTTCATCGATACGTCGGGCGCTCTATGCTCTCGTTCTTCTGGGCACGCGATCGATGTTGAAGGTAGCCTACCTTGCCCAACTTACACCTCTAATGTTCTTTTTAGGTGATGCTCTAGTCCTTCGTCACCGTCGACCCGTTTCCTACCCCTTCCCTAACGCATACTCGCACCCCTTACCCCGCTTTTCCTATTCTCAAGAAACAGGCGAGATAACGGTCCATTTTACACACGACCCGAGCCATCCCCCACCATACTCGCTTTCGACGGAATGGGCCAACACATGGGAGCGCAAGACATACCTCCTAGCGTCCGTTCCGCTCCGCAAGCCACGCACAATCCTCGACGACGCCCACGCCTTCTTGTCCACCGCCATTTCGACCGTCAACCCGCTTACCCTCTTTAGTGGCGCCCCGACCTCCCCGCCGAAATCGGGGATTACTCACGAGGCAGTCGTCAGCACCGATATAGACCTGGGCGAAGACGAAGTGCTTGAGGAGGAACGCGGAGAGGAGGCTGAAGTGGATGACTCAGCCGAGTGGGGTCGCAAAGTGAAGGTGCTGGGTATAATCGACAAGGACAGGGAGGAGCGCGGCATAGTGGAGGCTGCTCGGATGCGAAGAAAGTGGCAGATTACGTCATTGCGGGCGACAGACGCGCGGACTGGGGAGGGCGCTGCATCTGAAGGGTACCGAGCATAATAACGGTGACATGTATTTTCTACAACTCATCTTTCGGTCGCGTCTTACGTGATGGTGGCTCCTCAGAAAGGAATAGCGAAAGAAAGTCGTGGACGAGGTCTGCAGCGACCGTTGCCGTGTTTTCTGCCCAATCATATGCTGGAGAAACCTCGACAACATCTGCACCGCTACGACAGGGTTTTAGGCTCTGTCGAGCATGAAGAAAAAACCTACACAAAGTTCAAGCCTGCTAAACCACGAATAATCCGTTTAAGCTCCCTTGCGTGCCAGCCTGCGGGTTCTGGTGTTCCAGCTTGCAGGAATTAGACCAATGTGACACCTAGGACCGAAATAACTCACTACCCGGTGCAACACTGGGGTCCAACACGTCGATATCCAAGCTATCCTGGTTACCTTTGTGGCTGAAAAGATTGGTTTAACTCACCTCAGATATACTGGTGTGTTTCCAACCCGCTTTCTTATGATTTTAACGATTTCGGGGATCCCCAGCTCGTCGATGTCGTCTGTGGAGATCAACTGGAAGCCCACCTTGTCGTCGTTTTCCAAATCTTCTGGCCCAGCAAGCTTGGTGCGTATGCCCGCATGTATGGACGCGTTGCTCATAAGGCCTTCTTCATGAGCCAGGTAGAAAAACGTCCCGTGGGTGATTTGCGACTGTTTTGTGATGGCGCCGGCATAACCAGGCCAGGTGTCCTGAATCATTTCAACGATGAGGAGCTGGAGTGGAGAAATGATACCAGGTGTGCATCGAAGTGGATAACGCTGATTGGCCCGTATTTTCTATATAATGCGCGTAGAATTGGGAGCACCTAGCGATGTTCAAAGACGGCTTGGAGTTCAAACTAGCACCCCCCCACAATCGTGTGATCCCCGCCCAAACTACAGGTAAAAATCCAATCAGTGAACACTCACAGCTTCCACCAGCAGAGGTGTCGTCACCTGATGATTTTCGGAAGAGAATTTTCTGTCCCAGAGGCTGTTGGCCGTGAGAGCAGTGTCGAGTATGCGACCTCCATCTGATCTACCGCCAATGCGTTGTCGAACGGGCTCACTGGGACGTCTCCGCAATCGAGAATCGTCGCGCCGACCTTGTAAGGATTCATTTTCCACGACATGGTGTACCCTCGAGCCTCCCGCTGACGCCTACTACCAGACCGAATAGCAAATGGCCCGAATCTTGCCCTTGGGGAAGTCAGAGTGGCCTGCGATAACTTGAACTTGAACAGTAAGTATTCACATACCCCGGGCGGTAGGTCACTCCCGTGTCGAAAGGCATCCCCAAGATAGCAATATCAAATTTCTTGCTTTCGTCTTCAAGACAGCGCGTGTATGGAATGTGCGAGAACGAAAGCGGGCCAGAGAATGGCTGGTCGATCTGGGCTCCGTACTTCTCCAGCCATGTCTCGGCAAAGGCGTCGTTTTGCGTTAATGGCAATTGCCGTGGCGCATCCGAGTGCGCCATAACGGCTTGCGTTATCAGGGAAAGCGAAAGCAAGAGAAAGCTCATGGTCGTTGTGGACGAATGAATCTCATCATGGTTCGGATTCAGATCGGCCCGGAAAAGTGGTAAACACGGTCACGTGAGACTATTGGTCAGCGAAGTCGAGACCGGGTCCCATCTTCAAGAAAACGGAATAATGTCGCCTTGAATGTTGCACAAGATAAGTATGATACGAATCGACTTGGGTGTCTGAAGAATGAAGAAGTGGAGCTTGAATGCACATCAGCTTAAAGGGTAGAAATTGCAAAATCCGAGTCACTGACTCACTGGCATTCAAGATCGAACACTGCCAGTGGTCCGTGCGCGAGTCGCACAGCCCCAAAGGGTATAAAGTGCCAGCTCGTCCCAGTGTAAATCCCCATCCTTGTGCTCGGGCGCGTACCATCGGAAGTGAGGTTAATACCGATCCGTGGTCTTTTGCTGATTGCAAATTACATCCGAACCGTTCGTCTGCTTCGGCTTACGACAATTTTTGGAAACCTTCTCCTCGTGAGGATACTTTTGGTATCTGGAGGGACCTTGGTAGTCTACATTGAAGTCAATACACGATTCCGATTGAACAAATCTTTTGTCCTCCTTTTCCCTTGCCAGTGGGTATCTTCCTTAGGCTGAACATTTAAATGAGTAAATAAAGCTGCTGCTACAACTCTATGACCCTATGCACGTCTAGTGCTTAGTAGTGGTCGCTGCTTTTGAGGTTGCAGTCTGACTGGCCAAGAACTTCTGCCACGACGCCAGCGTAGCACTCGGAACGACAGTCGACAAACTGGTCGTCGCGTTTGCCCCGCTCCCGTAGTAGATTACGTTGCTTCCTGGCATAACGTCTGCAGCGAGCGCGGGGTCCTCGCCGCCAACGACGGTACCATCACTCTTCACTAAACCGGTGGTCTTGTCTCCCAAAACGAAATCCCGGATGAATACAAATGCCTAGCAAATCATCGGTATCAAATTAGTGGATTGAACAGAAACGCACTGCTTCAGGGACGTAGGCAGGGACGAGGTGGCCAGCGCCTTTGAAGAGAACGTATGTCAGGTTGCGCTCCTGATGAACAATTCCTGTCGGTCGATCAGGTAATGTCGAGGTAAAGAATAGCTATCGCACCTGCAAAATTCCCCTTATCGTCCTTCCAAGGGGTCGCTGGCTTCCGCGTAAAGCCTTGGATACCGCCGAACGTCATGTTCTACTAGTAGTCAATATTCCGATCCACAGGATGATGAACTGCGCCGACTTGGATGACGGCTAGAGCGAGCATGAGGGTTTGCTATCAAACACAAACACAAACACCCACCCTCTGTTCCACGATGTGCAACCAACGAGTCGTCATTTCCCGAGTAAAAGACGACTCCGACACCTTTTGCCGAGGCGTTTGCTGCTAGTTGTGTCAAGAAAACCATTGGCCTACAGTCATCAGCATCTCCGCAATGGCGAATGAGAACAAAAGGTAGCGAACGCGGGACCTGAAAACGAGTTGAGCACCGAAACATGAGTTGCTAGCAGACAGGTGCTTACTAGGGTCTTGAATGGGACTGTTTTCCGGCGTTGACCCTTGAGGAATAAATAAGATTAGCCCCAATATTCCAGACGGAAAGGTGAACGGACCGAATGGATAGTCGAAAGAGAACAGCCAGTCCTTGGAGGTTGGGGCGTGCAGCGCGGCTCTCGTCCTAGGATCTATACCAAATTACACAACAACGAGGAAGTAAACCGCGAAGCAAACCATTCATGAAGGTTGTTGGGTCGCTGGGGACTTCAGGGTTCAGCCCATCCGGAATATCGTAAACCTGACGGATTTCAATTTGAAAACGGCAGTAAAGAACAAAACTTACGTCAATGCCACCCAAAGGCGTGTCTATGGTGCGTCAGTTTATGTCGAACGCGATGCAGTCAGAACAACCTACTCCAGGGAAATGAGAAATTGGCAGCGTAGTCGAGAAGCTCAAAGTATGTGAAGCAGCCATAGTAAGGGTCAATGGTGCCATTTGCGCGGCCTGACAAATCCCGCTTCCACGCCTGTCGACGCTCCTCTTGCAGGGCCAGATCTCGTTTGTTGTTGGCACTTTTTAATCGACTGTTCTCCACAGCAAGCTCCTTAAGAGACTTGTACTGTCTATTTCTAAGCGAGGCGGAACCAAAGATCGAGCCGAAGCTAGGGTCATTAAGGGTCGGGAAATGGGCCGTTTCTGGATAGGTAAAGTTGAGATCGTATCCACACAAGTGCTGTCTGAAAACATCATTTCAACAATGACAACACTCTGTCCCCAAGTACGCACTGTAGTTTGAAGTACTCGTACACCTCTGGGTCATAGCTGATTAGCTGAGGGTACGTTTCGATTGTCGTGATCTAGAAAACGGCTTCATCTTGTACTGTCAATTGAGGGAGCAGCGTCTTACAGTCGGTACTTGTTCGAAGGTCGCAGAATCTCCCAATGTTCCATCGCCGACAATGATTTTGGCGAGTCTGACTGGTGGGTTGGGAGTAGAGAATATCGTTTTGGTAATATAAGGCTAGGAGACAAATCAATAAGATCGTGAACCGGCGACTCGGAGCTGGCTCACAATATAGGTTCCGGCGTACGACTCTCCAGAGAGGTACAGAGGACGCTTCGCAAGACTGGGGAATATCTTGACAATGTTAGACAGGAACTGGACCTAAACTGGGATGAGTGAGGAACCAAAATAAATCGATGTGTCAAGTACAAAGTCTTGTCCCATTTGATCCTCGTCGGGGACTAAACTATGTCAGAAACAATCCCAATCACGGCTTGAAAGAAGACAGACCGTAACCATTCGCATCGGAAGTAGAGTACCCCGTGCCAACTGGAAATCACTCGGGTCAGATGGGACGAGGCACAAACAATCACACTGACCAGGTTGGTCAATCCAGATGGTATCAGCGAGCTTGTTCCAGCTAAACTTGTTCTGCACAATAGAGAAGTTGCCCGTGACTCGTAATGGCCCGTTCTAACGGTTACGACATCGATGCAGGGACAATATTAATGATGCCCCACTCACCTCCGTCATCAGCCCAATCATACTGGACGAACCGGGACCACCTTTGGAGTCAGTTTAGCGATGGAGATATGCAGCACAACAAAGAACCGTGCCATTTAGCCATATCATCCACGGCTCTGTCGTCGACTTTGCTGTGAGACTCCCATGCGTCTTCTCAAACGCCCAGAAGAAGAGTGTTGCGTTGGGATGCCCAGCGCGATTGACTCCGACGTTACCCGCAAAGCTTCGAACACCAAGAGGCTTGGTGATATTGGGCAGCGGTGAGGTCACCTCGAAATCTACCAGCAAAGCCGAAAATTAGTCGTTGAACGAGTGAAGACCATGAAAGATTAAGTACAGACAATTTTGCCAGTGTGGGCCGTAACCCGTTTTGGGCATTCCAGGATATGCATGCGGATAAGTACTAGGTGCTTGAGCATTGGCGTAGCGCGACGGTCCAAGAGCCAACGCGACAAGTGAGATAGCCAAGAGCATTCTGACTTCCTGAGGGCGCTTGAATGAGAAGGATTGCAGCAGCTGAATTTATAGCATACCTGGCCGGTCCCGAGCGCGGCACGCTGTCGCGGTGTCCCCGGATCGTAGACCGCTTTTGCTTTACAATTGCCGTTTCGTTGTCGAGTCATCACCAAATACGGAATTACGCAGCCGTGGAGCACAACTCATCAAGGACGAAAATAGACTGAATAGTGGCGAGCATGGTTGGCGAAGATCTCCCTGACTAGAAGATCTTGTTGACTATTGGTTGCCATAAGGCGGGCGCGGTTTTTGACGTAGTTTGTTATCCAGTGCGTAAGCTTGACGTCTCCTTCCACAGCACGCAGAACCTGCATGCTAATAATACAGGGCCGTCCTCGCAAGAAATCGCCGAAAGCATCACAGGCGACATTTGCGATGAGGGTGAGAGAACGAAAATCCCCCATTGCGGAGAGTGGAACATCTTGTCGAGTATCCATACTGCGGGCACAGTGGCAAAGCTTCTAATGCGGTAAGCAAGCAAAACGAGTTTCGCATGCATTGATGAGTGCATTCATTTTTCGCTGGTATGAACTCGGGAGGTGATTAGCCAGCGTGGGAATATAAGGCGGGCACCGAAAGCTTTTGAACAGGGCTGACTGAGTTGAACAAGGCGAACAGGGATCCAAGACGCCAACTGTCTTTTGACTCATGAGGGCGGAGTGCAGAAAAATAGAGCGGCGATCAAAGTTGATGGATATCATGATGATCCGAGGGTAGAAATACCAACGAAAATATGCCCCCCGCGACGCAAAGCTGCAATCATAGCTTCCCGTGTACCACATTATCTACCGCGCCGCTTGACTTCAATTCAGCGCAGACGTCTAGTAAGACCCTTCCGAGCTTCTCAAAGTCGGCAATCTCACTCCACACCTGAGCGCAACACCGTGTCCACCACCCCGAATGCGTTTCGTGGTCCTCAATGTACCACACAATTGTAAAGACGCCCGACTCTGGGGAAAGGAGCCGTTGGGCTATCTTTCTTTGGATAGGTGCACGGTCCAATGCTGGCGTTTGCGGGAGAGGAAGGCGGACATTAACCTGAATTGACGCATAAAGAGAAGCAAATGTGGGGTCAATATGTAAGTACCATGTTAAGAGCCATTCCGTCGTCTGCGATAAGTTGGCCGGTGGTACTCAGCATTTCTGCGAGCCGAATTCCTCCGCGCTTGGCAAGATCACGACAGTAGGCGTTGATTTTGTTCTCCCCGCCCAGCCATGCGCGGAAGTCGAGGGCAGCAGACACACTGAGGAAGGGGACAAAGTCGATGGTTGCAGTCCAGTCGAATTGCTGGACAAAGTTTTTGTGACCTTCGTGTTGCGGACGTGCAGAGGGAGAGAGATATGCGGCCGAGGTTGGGAATGTGGACTTGATGTAGTGCTGGTTGCTGTTCGGCGATTGATAAACGAGGTATCAAGTAGAAATGACCTACCGAAGAGGAACGTAGAGAACAGCCGCCGACCGTTTGGCATATAGCCACTTGTGACAATTAGAGACCCAGAAATCTGGATCGACTTCATTCAAGTTCAAACCCGTTTCTTGTCCAACGAGATGTGCAGCATCAACGAGACTGAGAACGTTGAACTCTTTGGCGATAGCGACCATTTCTTTCCAGGGCAGCCAAAGACCTGGTACTGAGACCATACCATCGATGACTGCGACGACTTGCTGACGAGGTTGGCGTTGAATGGCGGCAAGATGCGCGCGGAACTGCTTCAGGACGACAGAACGAGTTGTGGGGAAAGTGATTTTGATTTGAGATAACGTCGGATGAGGCAGAGTGTCGGAGATGTATTGAGCGGTGGACAATACTGAGCCGTAAGTCGTGCTATCTGCGCTTTCGTTCAGTCTCAAGCAAGAAAAAAGCAAAAATGACACGAACAAGTAACAAGAATGTCGCCCGCTTTCCATAGCAAGTTACGCAACACCGTCGACATTCCATGAGATGCATTGGGGACCATGACACATTCTTCCGGTTTGGCCCCAAGGAGAGTCGCAAGACGAGTGCGGACATCGGTGAGAAGAGGAAGGTATGTCTGGCGAATCCATTTGTCTGGGTTGGACTCTGCTTCAGCATTCAAAGAGTCACAGTAGGCAGATACGGGTCGTGGAAGAGAGCCGTAGGAGCCTAGTAAACTGTGAAGAGACGAATGTCGTCTGATATGAGGACAAACCATGGTTGAGATTGGTGTAGCCAGGGTCGAAGGCAAAGTATTCTAGCATCGCATGGCCAAAGGACGGAGGCTTTTTCCCTTGAAAATCGTTCCACGACATGGCTGGAAGGTCCTAGCCGAATTCGACATGCTTTTTAAGGTGGTGAGATGAGTCAGAAAGGCAAGGTACAATGATACGCACCAAAGATATCCCTGCTGGTACGTGAGCGGGCAGTATCTGCCGTCTATCTGACAGCGAATAAACCCCCGAGGTAGAGTGCCGGGTGAATAGGCAACGCATACATCGGTCGGAGTGGAAGAGGAAAAAGAAATATTGGATCAGATGCATCAAATGATGGCGTGATAAGATAACCGCTATAAATCCCTTCTGCTGCTGTCGTCACGGACCCACCTGCCCTTGCACTCGAACGACGACCATCTCTCTACACATTCTTTACACCCTACTCGCCACCATGATCTCGCCCAAATTCTTCGTTCTTGCCTCGCTCGCCTCCCTCACCGTTGCCTCTGTCGTCCCTGCGCCAGTCAACAACCTCGCTGCCCAGAAAGGTCTTCCCACCAAGGCGAGTTTGCTTTCACGTCCAACAAACTCGCTGTTTACGCGTTTCACTCTCTCAGAACCTACCCCTTCCTCGCAACATCCCCGTCTCAGCGAACGTCCACACCCCCAACAGCGAGAAGAAGGCTGACGTCTATGTCCCATCTAACGTGCGTGTTATTCTACTCGACGCGTGCTTTTTCATCTAACCTCTCATTCAGAAAATGGTACACGTTAAGCGTGGCTCGCCAGCACCCGCCGCCCCTGCCGTACCCGCCCTCCCCGTCAAACTTCCTGTCGACCTTCCCAAGCGTGGTCTTCCTGTTTCACCGCCCAGCCCGAATCTATCCAAGAGTTCACTTCCCGTCAAACCACCTGTTGACCTCCCGAAACGCGATTCGCCGATGCTGCCTGCAGTCAAGCCTCCTGTTCCCCTCCCTCGCGAACTCAACTCGAATGCTGCTGTTCTCAACTCTCGAGGCGGTACCGACCAAACTGATAGCACGACTCTCAACGAGCCCGCGATCGTCAGCAAGCTTTTGCCCAAGCTTCCAAATACCATTGCGGGTTTGTCGTCTCTTTTGACCGTTGACATCGTTTCAACTGTTCTCAGGACACTACGACGAAACGAAGAATGGCGAGAAAGTGGATGACTTCGACGTAAACGGCATCACTGGTACCAGCTGGAGAGACCAACTTGTCCACACGCACTCTGAAGAGCAACCCGACGGACGCAAAACGAAGAGCACGGTCATCGCTGGCGGTTTGCTTGAAGGCCACTCGGAAACACATTCAGCCCGCCAATTGACGCAAGACAAGCAGAAGAACGACGACGAAGTGATCAATGGCGGAATAGTAGATGTACACAAGCACACGGAAACCAAGCAGTAGTTACTCCAATATATTTCTCGTTCGATGAAAAGCCAAAGTCGTTAGTCGATGAAAAGCTCAAGTCGTTAGTTACATCAAGTCTAATAAATTCTTCGTCGAAGGGGCCGTTTATTGCTGGACGGGCTTAGGCTTGGGCTTGTGCTGGGAGTAGGAAGTGCCCGTAATTGATCGAGCGACGCGTCGATGAGGGAAATTAATTCCTGGTACTCAGCGTGGGCCTCGGCGAATGTATGGGTCAATGGGTTCAGGGCTGACTCAGCCTGTTCCGCGAGAATTGCTGCTACTGTAACGTTAACACACAGTTATTCCTCCAGTGAACTGTCCTTCCTCCTTCACCAGCACAAGCCGGGCCATGTCAAAGTCGTTCAGAACACCCTTCGGCTTGTCGAGTTGTCGGTGTAAGGAGAAGATTGTTGAAGCTGATGTCGCCATGAAGGACTCTTTTCCTCTCTATGACCTGATTAGGAGATAAAGAGTTGATAATCAGGGAGGAAGACACGAAACTCAACCTTAGACGAGCCATCCCTTGCGAGCAAACTCTTGCCTGGTGTCCCAAAGACGGTTGCTGGCTTGTCATTTGCTCTATTGCTTGGATTATGTCGCTAACTTGAAGGTTTCATCAGAGGACCACGACGAGATCAAGAAGAATGGTGGTATTGTGCACGAAAACAAATCGAAGCACTCAGCGTGGCAATTAAAGCAGGCTAAGCAGAAGAACGACAACAAAAGTTGTCAATGGTGTTCACAAGCACGCGGAACCTAAGCAGTAGTTGTACGAACTCCAATATATTTCTCGTTCAACATTTTACACCGGCTAGCTAGCTATCTTGATCCCGTTCTCGAGTGCGAAACTTGGGTTGCGCTAGTGGTTGCCAGTTAGCCACCTTTCTTTGACGCTTGAGACTCGAAGGAGACGTCGATTCGGAGGAGGTAGGGGTCTCTTCCGCCTCTGGATGCTGTCGTTTTCCCGGACTAGAGGGAGTGCTAGCGGGTTTCGGCGGAAGTGCCCTCAATTTGGCGAGAGACGCGTCGATAAGAGCAATGAATTGTGGATACTCGTCATCGCGAGCCTCGTCAAATGTATGACTCAATGGCTCGGGGGCTGGCTCGTCTGACTCGAGATTGATAGCTTGTTCTTCGAGAATCGAGGCCAAGGCTTCAATGCGAGGCAAGAAAAATCGGCGCATGTCGTTTAGACACTCCCGCATGATCTTGCGCTCGTCGCCGTCAAATCGCCGCACAAGAGACCCAAGGCCTTCCCTCAGGAAACCTTTTTTAACGTTTGCCAGTGTCGTCTCGTTTTGCGTGGTTGTCCATGAGGCAATCATTTTCGGTAACGGATTCAACAACCTCCCATCTAGGTCATGGGCCAGACACACGTAGCAGAGCACGTAGAACACGGATTCCAAATCGTCCATGTTGTCGTGGGCGCCGAGCAGCGCATTTTCAAGCAACAACTTGACCGACTGGAAGGCGCGAGTACCCTGGCCAACAGTGAGCGAAATAAAAGGGTAAAAAGAGAGTCAGAAACGCACAGTATTTCCCTCGGTAAACTGCCCTTCCTCGCTCTCCAGCACAAACCGGGCCATGTCGAAGTCGATCAGCGCACCCTTGGGCTTGTTGGGGCTGGGCGTCGGAGACCGCGAGTTCTCGGTTATAAGGAGGTTGTTGAAGCTGATGTCGCCATGAAGGACTCGTTTCTCGATAAGAGCGTCTCTGTGACCTGAAGTTGCGTAAGTAAAGCGAATGAAGGCAGCAAAGTGACGCACCACAAACAACATCGCGAGTCGCTTCAAGAAGCTCGATGGCGGTTTCCGCCTCCTCGAAAGTCCCCACGTAGCGGTCGAGGACGATCCGCATCAGAGCGCGGTTCCCCACAAGCCGGCCAGTCACATAAGTCGCGAATATCTGCTCGTCAGGTTGATGGCAACGTTGGGCGTAAATGGTCGCGATGTTGTTCTGCCAAAGATGCATTTGGCCAACGCCGAAGATACCAGCGACCCTTTGGAGGAGGTCAGACTCGGGAGTGCGTTCTGCCCCCATCCAATAGTCCTTGAGGTAGAACCGCTCCCCGTTGGGCCCTTCCACCAGCCAGCACTTTGTGCCCCTTGAGCGAATAGCGCGTCGGAAAAAGACGGGATCAAGCGGACGCAGTTCGCCTTCCAGTGGCACGATCTTCAACTTCCTCGGTGGGCCAAGGGAAGCAATCCAGCACTTAGCAGTTGGATCCCAGACAGAGGGAGAAGCGACTTCGATATAGCGAGTACCATTCTCCCAGTAAATGGAGGTGTCGTAACCGACTTCCGCCTCGTTGAGTGAGCTGAACAGCCAGATGAGTTTGACGAAGGTAACGGCCTCCTCGTGGTAGTTGAACGCAGGCGAGACATGGGCCCCCGCCCTGTCAAAGTGGGCAACGCGCATGTATTTCCCAGACATGAGGGGAACTCGCACGAAGTTGCGGTTCGGTTGCTGAACAAGCACCTCGCGAGCATAGACGGCGATTTGCTCCTGAACTTCAGGCGATTTGGCAACCTCCAGGACTTCCCGATCATCCTTTTTTATTTCTACCGGCGTCGCCACATCTTCATAGGACGGCGGCTCTGGAAGTTCGAGCTCGGAGGCGGCTGAAGGTCCAGTCCCGAAAATGCCAATGTCGAAACACGATTTAATTGAGGTGGGGATCACGCCATCACTGATGTGGTGCTTGAATTTTTCGTTGGCGGTGATGATGACTTTGCGAGTGAGCTTCGGCTTCCTGTTTCGGGTTTTCTCCTTCGATTTGTCGTTGTGAAAGCCAACGACGATGTCGTCGAAGATTTGTCTTGTTGGTTCGTAGAGAGCTTTCTCTGACGACTGGTCTTGTGGAATAGCCTTCCACTCCTTCGTTTTGTTGTTGTAACCCTGGTAGTTGCGAAGCCAATCCTTCACCTTTTGATGCAACTCTGGGTGGGTGGCATCAAGCTTGTCGCAGAGACGTTGATGCAACGGGTTCTCCTGGGAGGCCTCTTCGAAGACCCAAGACCCAGAGAGTTCGACGGAGACGGCTTTGCGAAGTTCGGTGACATCCGCGTATAGATTTTCGCTGCCGTGGGATGAGAACTGGAACGAGGAGGTGCGGCCCGTCGGAATGATGTTGTTATTGCTGTTTTGCGAGTTGCCACCCGGCAGTGAGGTAGAGGGTGCAGGACTGTTTGGCATTCCCGTGTTGAGTAACTCAGATGAGTGGAAAGAGCCCGATACTGAGTTGCTGATAGCCGTGAGCAACAAATCGCGCTTTTCAGGTGCAGCACGACGTGGTCGGGGAGACTGAGCCTGAGGCTGACCAGTTCGGTGACGGTCCTTTTGGCGGTCGACTCCGAGAGAGAGGACAGGATTAAAACTATTCAAGTTCATGGTGAGTGAGCGGAGAGGGAGGAAAGCGATGCTCAACTCACTAGCGTGAGTGCCACTTATAGTGGACCTTCTCTCTTCAAAGCGCAACGACAAAGCGGCAGCTACACAGACAAAGCGTTGGACAATGGCAAGTTGTGTCAAGTTGAGTCACATCACGTGTGCGTATGAGACGTGTTTGATCAATTGATGTCACTTGAGGCTGAACAACTCCTTACATAGTACTCCGCTAATATCATACTAATATCATTTACAAGACTAGTAAGTGTCTAGAAACTGTTCCCTAATACGCCCCAATAAAATTTTGTCGATAGACACCGTCTCTTGAGCCTTCAAGTCGCTCGGGGGAGCCGCTGAATGACATACTGTCACATACATGACCAGTGGGAGAAAGGATTCTTTCAGTCACAAGCATTGAATCACTGGTTATCGTTGTCCAGTGCTCGAGGTGACGCGACAACTAAATACAGTCCGAAGTAAGGGGAGACTGAAGACAGGAAGTGAAAGTTTCCAGGTCAAGTCGAACGTTGTCCTGCGCTCCGTCACATCACGTGTGCCAAGCTGACGCATTTGTCGCCCCTGATGACTTCAACACTCGCCTCGTATCCGAGCAGTTGCACGCCGTGAGGGTGCTCTCACCACAAGACTCTAGTTAAGACAGCATGAATTTAAAAGTGACTCGACCCAGCCACATCTAATATGCGAAACGGAAGTCCAGGCGCTCGTTCCCGACGTCCTTGGTCGTCTCAACATACTCTTGCTGCTCCTGTCCAGGAATTCAAACGCTTGAACCTTGCTCAAGTGGAGAAGACGCACCTTCTTTGTCCAAGAGTTCCATTTCCTGTCGCGCCACCGGTTTAGCGTGCGGTAAAAGAAGAAGGTCAGGATGTAGAGGCAGATGTTCATGCAGCAGATGCCGATCAGGGCTCTATTTCCGCGCTTATCTGTCAACAAGTTAGCTGGGCGGAAAGTGAGAATTAGAATTCATACATAGTGGCTGAACGAGAAAAGTCATCAGAGATGAGTAAGCGAGCGATTCGGCAGACCCACCTTGTCGTCGGTTCGATAGATATTAGCCTAGGGCAATTATGAGCAAGTACTGGCTACAGGAAAGTAAATGCAAACATAGGTTATGGCCCCGGCTTGCACAAACATATTGTAAACGCTAGCGGAAACGGTGCGGGTGCGAACGGAATACGAATTCCTCGACGCCCATGCTACTTGAATAGGATGAACATACTGGGTCTAATAAGCACACGAAAGGACATGGCTGCAATGGTCACCGACCGGGAAACCCGTAACGAGTGTAACGACGGCGAAGTAGACCCACTGGGAGGTTGCCTTGTTGAACGTGTAAAGTGCGATGAGTAGCGGTAGCGCCCATAGCTGCAGAACTATCGTCGCTGCAACACGGCTGTTGACTATCTCGCTGAGATATGCGGTAAACAGCAACATCAATAGGCCAATGACTGTGGACGGAATGGAGAGCAGGTTGGCTTGGGTAGTTGTGAAACCCAAGTTCTTAAGCGACAAGGTAAGGTAGATCTGCGGGGGTCCAGTCGGAACTGTAAATCCGGGTGAGCCACCACCACAAAAACCGAGCAAAATGCTGACTCATGTGGACCAGGCCCAAGCAGTAGATCGGCCACATTCGCCAGTCTTTCAGGGCCTGGAATATCCTCCTGGGAGCAAGTCCTTCGCGGTTATGCATGTCTGACTTGGATGGATCGTCCCGCAGCACTCGATTCACCATAATCGTCTCTTCCCTGCTTGATCTGATAAGATAACGATACCAGTTGATTGCATCACTGACCGTTCAGTAAACCAGCCTTTGGGCCGGAGATACTTCAGTTTCGTTTGTGTGGGTCCAGGCTGTGGTAGTTGAGCGTGAAGCTAGAGTGATAGCACATATGCTTGCCGGCATCATGAGGTATGAGACGAGCCCGACAGACAGAGTCAATAACCCCTCTGCGGATATCAACGCCAGAAAACCACGATTAATGGAAAGCACCAACCGAGCAGGAAAAGATATCGCCAGCCAGCCTTCCCAGCAACTCCACGAAGACGAAGAATTCCAGTCGCGAGGAACGCGCTCACAATGTGTGAGACATAGTTCGACACCCAAAAGTAGGCGAGTCGGATGGGAACTGAAGACTATGGTTCGGATTAGAATAGGGCAAACCGGAATGCATACGTTCGCGCTTGGTGTAGAAGTAGCTGAGATAAAGAACGACGTCAGGGATGAACCCTTTGGATCAGTCAGCTTTTGAATATCGTTCACATGAAGCTTGCCTCCTTCACATAAGCCAAGAAGAAAGCGCGTCGCGAGGAAGGTTTTCCTTCCAGTAAGCCAGTATTGACTGAATGCGACAGTGCTCCAGCAGACCATTTGCGTCGGAATCCAGACATCAGGGCCCACCCGTTTAGAGATCAGCTGAGACGGCAACTCTGAATGTGCTCTTCAGATAACTCCGGGAATTATATACCGAGGCAGTCTTACCAGCAATGAGGAAGGAAAGTCGGAAAAGTGTGTTTCCGAGATTGAAATCATTGGTCGTCAAATGTAAGTCATTCAGGAAGTTGTCTGTGTTGGCCTGGGAGATATTCGTGCGATCGAGATCCAGGCAAAAGAACATGATGGCTGAACAGCGTCAAAAAAACAGTCAACAGAATGAATAATGCTGACCTGCCCATATCATGATTCGGCGGTCAATCTTACGGACAAGACGCTGTAATCGCACGTCAGGAAATCAATGAGTTATATGAAGGGTCAAGAGCACAACGAGCCTTCTCTTCCCTCCAAGTCCACCGCGCATTGGGGTCGAACCGGTGGGTGTTTTCATACTGAAAACAATGTCAATTTCACAATGAAGCCCCAATAACAGTAAGCACTACGCACTTGAGGTGGTGGACGATAAGCCTCCAACGTGACTGGGTCATCAAACACGCTCGGCTGTGTCGCAATAGCATCGAGGTCATGAGTAGGCGTTCTCCACGGCGCGAACAGTCCAGTTGACTGCTCCAACGGCGCGCCAAGCGGCGGAGCTTTCTCCTCCGTCACTGATTGAGTAATTGACTTGTTGTCAGGCTTGTCGACCGAGCTCGTCACGTCAGACGACGCGCGCTGGTGACTCGGGAGATACGTGGTCATCGCGAGTGGAGTGCCTGTGAGAGTCAGTTCACCGAGTCTTTATAAGAACGCGTTCCTGATTGCAGAAAATGACCAATGGCGCCATAGAGCTCTTAGAACGCGCGATGGAACTCGGTCCGGTTACGACACGGGATCGCGCAATTGGAGGGTGGATGGCGAAATTTCCTTTTCTAGACTGCTGATATCACGTACTCTCTTTTATGTAAGAATTACCGCCGTGGTCCACCTCCTCGCCCTCTGAGTGCCCTCTGTGCAGTACCAGGTGGTGCTTTGGGACCCGCTTTGGCCTGTGAAAGCTATTAGGTCCTAAACATAGAGTTATAATAACACGCACCGCTTCGCTCTGTGGATTCCTGACCGTCTCGTCAATGCTCAAAACTAAGCAAGCTGCTTCTGAAGCGCTGCTGATGGCATTGAGTTTGACGAGAGACGGCTCCCAAACAAACGCGTCCATATTGTCTCGCACACCCGAAGCCCCATCAACATCGACACCAGTCCATTTTTCTCCATTGGCGTGTTTCATGCGCAGCTTGTTGAGAATGTCCGTAGAATCGAGCCCAGCGTTGTCGCAAATTTGCCTTGGAATAATTTCAAGGGCTTTCGCGAATGCTGTGATGATGAGTTGCTGTTTTCCTGGGATGGAAAGAGCATGTTTGCGTATGTGGGCAGAAAGATCCATCTGAATCTTGTTAATTGTGGCCAGAGAAGACAGATTGGACGCACCTCGACAGCACCGCCGCCTGCAACGACCTCTCCGTTTTTCACCGCCCTCTTCACGACCATGATTGCGTCATGCAAACTCCGTTCGACCTCCTCAATAAACTGTTCTGCCCCACCTCGCAGTACAAGGGTGCATGTTTTGGATTTGGGGCAGTCTTGGAAGAGGTTGTACCGCTCGCCACCAATCTGCTTCTCCTCAAACGACCCACACGTCCCAAGATGCTCCCGTTTGATGTCGCTGCAAGTCGATTGGATGTCTCCGCTCGTCGCTTGAACAACACGACGCAAATCGCCGCCAGCAACACGGCCCGCACAGAAGATGTCACGGTCGGCAAACCACTGGGTGGCCAGATCACCGATGGGCAGTTTGCTGAGCACAACCTTCGCGCCGGTTTTTTCTATTGCCTGCAGTTTGCGGTAGATAATCTCCCATTCGGCGTTGACGATGGCCTGGTAGTCGGCCACGGCATCAACACGAACTTCCGCGTTGTCTTTCTCCGCCTTGAGCTCGAGTTCGACGTTAAGACATAAGATGAGCGGGTCGCGGAATGATTTTGGTTGTTGCTCCGCGCCAGCGTAGGTGAATGTCTTTTTGAAGGCCACACCCTTGATCAGCAGCGAGTCCTGCATTCCTCCACCAGCAACTTTTTTCACGCCAATCAATGACTCGTCGAGATCGTCTTGGTCAAGACATTGAACAGCATCGACGACCATGTTAGAGAAGAAGGGTTTTTCGGAGTGGATGAGCTTCGATGACATGGATGTAGATGCGCATTTCAGTAGGAGAGAGCGGAATTTCCTAAAGCGAGAATGAGCAAAAAAAAGAGAGATGGAAAAGACACACTCAGGATCGGACTTATCGACGGAGATTTGTATGGCCTTTATCCTATCAGTTGCCTAACATTGTGAATTAGAGGCTGGGAATGAATGGTTTTAACCGCGCACTAGTTGGGAAGCCAACCTGAACCCCTTCATGATAATATGCGGACTAACACCATCCTCAATATACGTCCGAACCTCCTTGAGAAGCTGCGCCGCAAGCAAAACGACACTCGTTGTTCCATCTCCAACCTCGGCGTCCTGGGCTCGGGCAATATCAACGAGAGTCCTTGCCGCAGGATGGACGATGTCGAGCAGTTTGAGGATAGTTGCCCCATCGTTCGTGATCTGAGCCTCCCCACGGTCGTTGACAATGAGCTTGTCCATTCCCCGAGGCCCAAGTGTGCTTGCAAGGGTACCCGCGATGGCCAGGCATGCAGAGATGTTCGAGAGCAATTGAGGGTTTCCTTGCGATGTATCGGTCCCCTCTCGCAGGAGAACAACGGTGGGTTGCTGGAAATAAGCATTAGGTATCTTCAATGAGGCTGGATAGCTCGCTTCACCATCGGGAGCCCGCGCTGCATTTTTGGACGATTTGGTGGAGAAGAAACGCGACTGTCACAAGTGTGACTTCTTTTCGACGCGTGCAGTCATGTCCGACTCAGAAATGCCCACACGACCTCCGCTGTTCTTTGCTAGCTCAGACTCAGAAGATGAAGATGTTCCAATGGATGCAGAGGCTGAACCCGCTACTTCTGAAAGAGCATCGTCTCCCGCCTCTTCTCGTTTGTTTTCTGAGGGGAGCGATGCTGAAAAAGACCCCATTAAGAAACGCCCCATCCTTGTCGACTCTGACTCCGACTCTGCAAAGAATGCGGCGCGGAAGCCGCCTCCCGCCAAAAAAAGACGTGTTTCTCCCCCGCCCCCGCCTCCCAGTCCACCCGCTGTCCAGCTTATGTATCTGGGCGACCTGGTTTGGGGACATGGATGGAGCAATGTCTCTGGCAAGGGGTATATAAAGCCTGGCGAAGAGGTCAAAATAAAACGCGAAACAGTCCCCACCAAGGCCGAAAACAAGGCTGTGGCAAAGGGGAAGAAGGGCGGGGACGGGAAAAAGCAGATGTCGCTCGCTGCGATGCTTAAGCAGCCCTCGAAGACCGCTGCTGCCAAATCCAAGAAGACAGACACTATTGTCCGCCTCTACAACTCGCGTGGCTTTCGTATGCCCCCTTCGTTGCTTTCACCCGCTTGCTCTGATGTTTCAAAGAAATTGGTCGTCTTCCTGATGCAGTATCTTCCTGGGTGGCGCGGTTACTTGATCTTGGTGCGTCGTTAACAATTATTCTCAATGTTGCATCTAAGGCATTCCAGACATCATTGAATTTCGCGGCCAAATGGTAGACTGTCCTGAGAGGTTGACTACGGGTTGCAATCTAGTCATTTCCGTTGGGGTATACATGCTTCCAACAGCCTTCCAGCCTTCTAAAATGGACACCGACACGAACGAGAAGCCACCTGTAATGTTTTCCGAGGGCGTAGAGACACTGGACGAACAGCTATTGCGCGAGCGAAAAGCATCGATTCTCAAGCTATTCGATGAACTCAACCTTCGACCAACAGCGGGTGCCAACTTTGCTCAGCGGAAATCGGACGAGGAGATACACGACGAAGCGATGAAAAAAATGGCTCCAGCTAAAAGCAAAAAGGTAACGGAGATTGTGGGAGACGGTGAAGAAATTGAGGTCGAGGAGGGCGAGGAGGTGACGGACAATGATCTTGCCATGATATTCCAGAAGGCACAGAAAGGTGACCGCGCGATGGGCGAGATGGACCCGCCCGAAACCTTTACGCTGTCGCTGAGAGGGTACCAGAAGCAGGCGTTACTGTGAGTCTCCGTCTATGTCAAGTCCAATTTCCCATTCATAAATAATTATCAGCTGGATGTCTTCAATAGAGCTAGGCAAAATGGATGCCCGTGAGGCAGCATCAATGCACCCGCTTTGGAGCCAATATCTTTTCCCGCTCCCGCATTCGGACGGTATCATCGATTTGACTGCCGACCAGAAGCCATTTTACTTCAATCCCTATTCCGGCGAACTCAGTCTCGACTTTCCCAAAGCCGAACGACAAGGCCGCGGCGGGATTTTGGCGTTGGTGGCACATTTTGCGCTTCAGTCCGGTAACTAACTCTCGGCTTAGTGACGGTAAAAGATCCTCTTCCTGTACTATGGCTTGAAGCTGACGAAACAGAGATGGGAATGGGCAAGACCATCGAACTGGCTGCGCTCATACACACCAACTGCGAGCCCGACATCGACCGGCCGGTCGAGGAGAAGCCTGTCGGGAACAAACACCGCCAGCTCAAACTAAGCAATGCGTTCAAGAAGGTTCCGCGGAAGAAAGGCGCCAAACCTCCGACAGCGACGCTGATTGTGGCCCCAACATCGCTCCTCGCACAATGGGAGTCAGAATTGCAGCGGTGCAGCAAGCCCGGGACGCTCGAAACGGTCGTTTGGCACGGGCAAAACCGGCTGGACCTGCAGGGCATGCTGGATGATGACGATGCGGGTTCGATCAAGGTGGTGGTAACCTCGTATGGTGTGCTTGCGTCCGAACATGCAAAGGTGGACAAGTCAAAGTCCCCGCTATTCGAGGGTGGGTACCAGTTTTCTGATTAATATGGCGGTTTTATGGATCCTCGGTCAGTTGAATGGCTTCGTGTGGTCCTAGACGAGGCACACGCATGTAAATCAAGGACGAGCAAAACCGCCAAGGCTGTCTATGCACTCAGTGCTCGCCGGCGCTGGGCAGTTACTGGTACTGTGTTTTGACCGAGCCACTTTGCGAGCTGAATAACCGTTCAGGGACACCAATCGTCAATAAATTGGAAGATCTATACTCGTTATTGTCCGTCCTTCTCCACTAAAAGTTTGAGCTTGACATTTCTGCAGAAAGTTCCTTGACTTCAAACCTTGGGCCGATTTCTCATTCTTTCGCTCGTATGCAGTCTCCTTTAGACTCATGGTAATTGCGCTAATGTTGTTTATCAGATTCATTACCTTACCGTTCCTCGCTCACGATCCTAAAGCGATCGAAATTGTGCAGATTATTCTTGAATCCATCCTCCTGCGGAGAGAAAAGACGATGCTCGACACGAACGGCAAGCGTATCGTAGAGTTGCCACCGAAGGAGGTATGTCGCCACTGCCCATGCTTCTGCAAATATTAACGACAGAACAGGTCGTTGTTGAGTACCTCGACTTCTCCAGTCTCGAGCGCAGGATATACGACAGCCTGTTCAATTCCGCCAAGCGAGATTTCCTCCGACTCGATGCCAAGGGCTTGGTGGGGAAGAACTACACCCACATTCTTGCGATGCTCATGCGGTGGGTATCATCTCTATCAATGTGTGCTTTACTTGACTACATAAAGTCTACGGCGTGCTGTTTTACACCCGAATCTCGTCCTCACAAGCCGCGATGAACCCAACAAGTCCAGTCAAGACGAGGAGGACATCGATGTTAACGAGCTTATTCAGCGTTTCGCAAACGACGACGACGCGGCTGGGGCGAACGTGTTCGCCCAAAACGCCCTGCAAAACCTAGATATTCCTGATGACGACGCGGAATGCCCCGTCTGTATGGACGTCATGGAACTTCCGATGGTCATTCCCGAGTGCATGCATCGCTGGTGCGTGTAGTGGCTTTCAGTGGAGCAATATTCAACTGCTATAGTTGCAAAGATTGTCTATTAACCATATGCGCGAAGGCGGAGGAGGGTGGTAAAGATGCTACTTGTCCTACATGCTCCCGAGGTCCAATAAGGGTATATAGTCTGTCTATGTCCTCCGCTCTTTGCTGAGGTTTGGCAGGAAAAAGAGCTGATGGAGGTATTCCGGCCGCCCAGGAGCTCGCAGAACCCCGAACCCGCGGTAATTCTGCGCAAGAACGACTTTCGCTCATCGACCAAACTCGATGCGCTGATGCATAACCTCCGTTTGTCGCTAATTTACCTGAAAAATCGCGTCTGATAGTATGCAGGAAAGCTGCGGGAACAAGATCCGTGTTTCCGCGCGGTCGTCTTTTTCGCAGTTCACGTCCTTCCTGGACCTCATCCAGATCGTGCTCAAGCGGGACCACTTTGAGCACTATCGCTTTGATGGCTCGATGGATGTGAAGACACGGGGCGCGGCCATTGAGCAGTTTAAGGCGCCTGCCAGAAAAGCGAAGGTCTTGGTCGTCAGTTTGAAAGCGGGGGGTGTTGGACTGAATGTGAGTTTGCGCGTTTCCAGCGAAGCTGCACCGCTGACGGGTAGATTAGCTCACTGTGGCAAACCATGTCTTCATGATGGACTGCTGGTGGAATGCGGCCATCGAGAATCAAGCCATCGACCGTGTTCACCGAATTGGACAGGAAAAGACTGTCTATGTCAAACACTTCATCGTATGTCTTTCTACACACTCCCGGCCATGGCCTCTGACCCCCCACCAGATTGCACACACAATTGAGGGCCGGATACTGCAGATCCAGAAGCGAAAGACCGCCATCATCAAGGAAGCATTCCGCAGCTCTGGGGACGGCAAGGGAGACCCAGAGAGTATTGAGAACCTGAAGATCATGTTTGGAGACGAGGAAGAGTGAAATCATTACTAATCATATAGAATATTGTAGCATAATTGGATTTCTACTATAAGCTGTGAAAGAGTTGATAAGTTTGACCTTGAGCTTGGCTAAATATGAGCCTACTGTATGCCCTTCTGCCAGTGATGGTGGAAGTCTTAAGTTATTGCCATTTTCAAAAATATTGGCACTATGGCCACCTAGTGTTTTTCCATCCTTTTGCTCACTTTTGAGAGGGCAAAATGAAACAAAGACAGCTCTATGAATACTTTCTAGATGAAGCTCATTTTGGTCTGTCAAATCATATATGGCCTAATTATCGAGACAAAGGGTTACTCTTTATAAATACTTGAATTTTTCAGAGCTGAATCAGTTTGGCTATTGATATCTCATGACTTTGGAAGCCTTTAGTTTCATGCATATTAATATTACATCTTTCAATGCTAAACAATTTATTCAAGTAATTTATCCATAGATTGGAGAGGGTATAAAGGCCCTCAGTTAATGCCAACTTCATTCAAAAACAGCAATAAACTAAACTTGAGCTTACTGTTTGTTATCCCAGGCAGCCAGATACTGGAATATCTAGCCTGCTAGGGCTGGAAGTTGGCCCCATCACATTTGTCACACAGCCTATCACGCAGCATCAAAAACTTGTTGTCGACTCATCTTGATAACGGCTCCATATTTCATTCTTTCACCAAGATAAGGGTCAGGTTGCCCTCTCTGACCGTCGGTCCAACGGCGAGATGGCCGAGCGGTCTAAGGCGCCAGACTAAGGCCAGTTGCCTATGCAACACACCTTGTCGATCCATTCGATAATCTGGTCTTTCGGGGCGTGGGTTCGAATCCCACTCTCGTCATGTTTTACTCGGTTTCCAGCTTTGCATTTTGTCCAGCTGTGTGAAGGTCGGTACTTCGTGATTGAGACTACTAGGCAGCTACCAGGTAAGTAAGGTTCACTGAAATCAGTTTCCTTTCTTTGGGATGTCCATCCAGATTTACTCTTTGAAGCATTGCTTGATGGAGTTAATTAAGCTTGTTCGACAAACAAAACATATCAGTTACACAGATAGCCTAAGTCGCAGCTGACGAGCTACTGATTAACCTCCCCTTCCCACTAATGCTACTTACAGTACTGAAAATCCAAAGTAGAAATTTACACATTGGATCTCACCCGTTTGATTGCCCGCTCAACCCTCACACTCTCTAAATCATCCGCGCGCACCTTGACGAAGCGCTTCCACGCGCGGGCCTGGCGCACGTCCGAAGTATTGCTGACGCTGGTGAGATACGAGGCTATCACTGAAGCACTGTTCGGAATCGTCAACGATGGTGGTGGTAGTGAGGGTTTCGTCGGTATCAAGCGAGTTGTCCAAGTTTTTGGTCTTGTTGGCGCAGCGGGCCACGGCAGTTCGGGGAGACTTGACGCTGAACGCGTCTCCTGCAACTTGTGGTTAAGGTCCAAAAGCTCTGTTGCGGTCCGCGAGAGGGTGAGGTTGTGAGTGGGCGCTAAATAACTATGTCAGAAATGAGAGCAGGAAATACGCCAGGGACACAGACTCTTCACGTAGATGCTATACGATCCTTCCTGATACGCCGACTCAGCCACGCTCACACTCCACTTACCCGCTGGGTATTGCAAGTTTCTCCGGGAGCGAGGAGGGGATAACGCGCGTGGTCGACCATTGCCAACCGACGTGTCAGGTTTGCGAAAGACAGCCAGTCGATACTTGTCAACAACTCCCCGCGCAAACAGACTGGTACTAGTAGCGGGTCCGTTCCTGTCTTCGTTCCAGCTGCCATCAACGAAATCCCAATCGTCCTCTTCGTCGTCTTCTTCTTCGTACCCGTCCGTTTCTGGGTTTGCAGTCCGCGCCTGCCTGTCCTCCCAGCTCTTCAATCCGAGCAGGACTTGGAGCACTTTGTCTCGTCTCCCATACCGTATATCGTTGACCCTGACGCTTCCTATCGGCACGCCGTTATTCATTAAGAAGTCGAATAACCGATAAAGGCCCTCCTGATTGTCGTCCGTCGGGTCTTGGGGAAATGCAGAATCGGGAACGGGAGGGGATGAAGGTGTTCCATTGATTGCTTCAGCGAGACGAAGCAGACCCAGCCCATTGTAAAGTGCCCCCGCTGGGTCAACAATATGAAGGCTTGATGGAAGATGGGCGTTGGCCCATTCCAGCAGCCCCATATCTAACTCTTCAAGGATACTCTCGTCACTAGAAGCTAGCGACACTCTCCTGATTCCAAGTAGGGCTTCTTCTCCTTCCTCAACGGGAACAACCCTGCTTTGATGAGGATATCCTTCGTCGAGTTCATTCACATTGTCTTCTGTCCTTCAACGATAAAAGTTAGTGTTGACGGAGGAGAAAAGGTCTGTGTGCTCACAGCGGCACAACGACCGTGAATTCCTGGACCTGGTAAGGCGTCAAGAACCATTGCTGGAACAAGGCACTCATGGCCCATGCATTGGCATTTGGTAACAGTGCTTCAGCTTTAGGGCTAGTGTTCCAATTAGCGACAGCAACATTACAAATCAAATAACAACCCACAATCTGAGTGACGCGACGACTTGCAACATGCTACGATGCCATTCATGTTCTTGGACAGTCGCTTGAATACCGCGGTGGACGACCATATCATGGAATCCAGATAGCAAAGCGGTAAACAAAATGTCCAACCCATCTACGTCCATCGAGAATTCGCCAGTGTCAACCTCAGTTTGCTGGATATCGAGGTCTTGGAGTATCTGGGAGGCGCTCTCGCCGACTTTGCGCAACACACTGTCAAAAAGGGGACCAGACTGGAGCCAGAATGATGGCAGTTCGAGTATTCCACCGAGGTAGCGGAGGGAAAGCGAGACAGACGGTTCTGACAGAGCGCTATTTACTCCAGTTAGTTGTATCCAAGACAAGATGTAGATCTCACCGAGACCACAAAGTGATCAGTAGATACTCGATAACCGTTAACCCGCCATTGCAGCCCTCCACACGAGAGTTCTGAGTGGGACTAGCTTCCACTAAGCTTGCAATGTTGCTGTCGGCAAGGCAAGTTGCAGCAAGCTTGATAACAAAATCCAGCTCTTTCGCATCTTCATGGTCTGGTGGGAGCTGTGGCGTCCAGAAAGCACATAGGCCATTTATCGTAACCGGAGAGGCAACTTTGCGTTCGACAAGCTTTGTGGCGAGGAAGAAATGCCGCAAGCCGGGGCAACGTGTTGCAACATCAATGACACCAAAAAGCGCGTCAATCTGCGTTCTTGGCGTCTGTGTCCTAAAGATTTTGTCAGAAAGAGAAACATAGAAGTTCACAATGGAGTAACGCACGGCACAGTATACGCTAACAACTTGGCACAATCTTTCCTCAGTGTCGGGACACTTGCACTCTTGTCGCGCAAATCTGGCAGGCCACATATCTTCTTCTCCCTCCCCTTGACCCCTCCAGCGTCAAAATACCCGCTTATCCGCTCAACGACCGCAAATGGACCCATGCCCAAGCGGTGGGCAGCGCGATTAGCCGCACCTTCTGCGACTGAACCGAGCGAATCATATATCTCGTTTAGGGTTCTCCCGGGGAGGATATTAATGCTGGATGGGGTCGAGGCATGGCCTGTGTAGCGATGAACGAGTGCCTTGGATTGCTGAGTGCGGACGATAAGCGCCGTGCTGCTCATTGACGAACACAGGTCAGAGGAAACTGTGGCTTCAGCCTGTCAGATGACAGCTCGAAGGCAGTACGCAAGTAGTAGTAAGAATAGGTGTCATAGATGCGTCCATTTGTGAATGCACTGGATGGGGCGATGCGCGATATTCTGGCTCGAAGGACGGAGGACAATTGGAGGACAACAAACAGGACTTCACATCATTTAGTACATCATCAATCAGTGATAAGATCTTTTTTATTTCCTTCCTTCCTTCCAGTTGTAGACTGTCAGCCATCCAGCTCCTCTCTCTTTCCCGTTAGCAGTGCTGCTTCATCGGGGTCCTCTTCATCGTCCACCTCTTCAGCAACAACACCTCCAACTGGGAAACTTGTCGCATCAAATAACTTTTTCTCCCTGAACCCGCCTTTCCGATGACGCTCCTTGCCTTTCGCTTTCCCTTCTGCCAATGATGGTAGCTGAATAACCGCCGCCGCAGGAATAGTCCCACGCGGGTTGAGGTACAACAAATCACTTCCGCCATACGCGTCGACCATCCGAATCCACGCGTCAAATCTACACATCAGCGTCAACCCACTAAGAAGAAAGAAAGAAAGAAAGAGACGACACGTACAGCCCGTCCCGTTCTTCAACTGTCCTCATATTCTTATATATCCACTGCTCCTTGAACGCCTCCATTTCCGGCCGATGTCGGTCGAATTTGATGGGCGGCCGGTGGTCCGGGTCGTCCTCCTTAACTTTTTCATTCGCCTTGGCCACACGTGTGTTGTACGAGTCAAAAATTGGCTGCTCGAGTAAGAGCCCAAGCGCGGGCATTTTGGGTATGAAGACGTCTCGCGGGCCATATAGCTGTATGGAAAGTGTTAACAAAGGTGTAGGAGGCCAAGAAAGTATAGACCTCGTCAATCAATTCTGGCGGTGTTCCAGTGCGACAGGTTAGCACTAACGCACTGATCATTTTGCGCTACTCGTTGATGAGATGTTTTCCTTTGTTGACTCAAACTCTTACAATCTAAACCATGATTGTCAGTTCAACACACAAAAAGACCTTGGTGGTCTACCTGATGCATCATGAAGCTCTGGCCATGGAACAACACGCTGATCCATTCCGTCTCCCCATACACGACTGGATCAGCAATCTCGATGTTCTTCATAACCCTCTGATTGCTCCGATCGCCGAAGGCCCCATTGACCGTGAAATTGTGGAAGTTGTGTGTGGCCAGGTAGCGTCGAGCACCAGCTCGCAGTCGTTCCATTTGGTCTGACCCTATACGCCAAGCGCGTTTCCGCGCCATATCAGCAACTTCGTCTTGATTTGGTGTAATGGGAATGTCGCGGTCGTCGTCCATATTTTCCAGCTCCGTGACAGGGAAGATCTGGGACCAGAATTCATTCCCAGCGAATGGTACATCCATCGGAGGTGTGAGCGAGGCAGCGTGTTTGACGAGGACGCGATATAACGCTGAGGTGGGCTTGGGCGGAATCAGAAGGTAGGACGGAAAGAAGTACGTGTATTTCCGGCTGTCGCAGAGGCTGGGGTAGACGTGAATGAGGTTTCTGGAAAGGAAAACGAGACGGACGTCCTTGGGTTGAACGAGTTCTGGACTCGTATCTAGGAAATATGTTCAGATAAGAGTTGGAAGTCATGGAGAGGACACACATGTCCCCAAAGCCGGATTTCTGGGGGTAATTCCTCGTTTATGCGGGCAGCGAGGTCGTCAACACCAGGTATCTGAGTGATCATTTTGAGGGCAACTACGTTCCCCGCTGCGTGGACTCCGGCGTCAGTTCTAGCAGCGCGACCAAGGCCAACCTAATCCAGTCAAGAAAGCCACAGAAAACAAACAACGCTTACCTTGACTGGATCGTCAGCATTGTCCTTCGACACCGCGCCTATGCGGACAAGCGCGTCAAACAGCGTGTTTTCAATCGTTTTAGCGTTGCGTTGGCTACAAGAAAAGTTAGCCAAGGACCTGAAAATAGAATTTCCTTCCCATACATCTGCATCCCGCTATACCCAGACCCGCAAAAGCCAATGAGCAACGCACACATCCGCTTGGGCAGCCGCGGTGCCTTTGGTTCATCGCTGTCGACGCGTTTGGCGCCCCCACCCTCCTTCTCATCAAACTGCTCGCGCTTCCTCCGGCCCATTTTCTTGCTAGTTTGCCCCTTTGCCTGCTTCTGGCCCTTCCTACTCTTTCCCTCGCCATTGTCAGGCTCTTGTGTGGTTTTTGCGCGCTTGGGGTCGGGGCTACCACGTTGATCTTCGTTTGGACGCTTCGCAGTGGGCGATGGCTCGGAGTCCATAAGGCTCAGCGCGTCGACAAAAAGAGAGGATTGATGTCGAAATGAGCGCAGAGAGGTCGGTGCGAGCAAGACACGCAAGAGCGCATGCAATTGGTTGAAGGAAGGCACTTCGGAACTATGGGCCGATCGATTATGTAATTGCCTACGATGATAGACGTCGTCATGAACAATGGCACTTGTAATGAACAATCTGGATTTGCTCCCCCGATTCTCGACGGGTTTCCACCAGAGTTGGTGGACTAGAAAGGTGGCCTTGATCCCCAGCTGCCTATGTAAAAATCTCCAGGACTATGTCCTTCTCTGTCTTGCTATTGAGTGTCACAAATGCTGCGTCACCTTTTTGGATCGACACAGTGTGCCAGAAAAAGTGGAGTTTGGTGCTGGTATTCTGAGGCAACGGAGGAAATTATAAATATAAATTTGTGCATGAGAGGGTCAGGAAGAGTCATATCTCCCTACTGCCCCAGCTCCGGTGAAAATCCGTGAAGAAATGGGGTAGTAAACATACGATAGTAGTAACTCTCGCTCAGTACTAAGTAGTACTACCAACCGAAAATGATTGTATGTACTGGCATACTCTAAAGAAAGGTCCCAGCTGGAGCAGTGCGTTACAGAGTCAACATAAACATCGCGCTGCGACGTGGTCTTCAAGTTGGCTCACATAAGAAATTCACGCCGCTGGCAATCACTTGCTGTCTTGCCTCAACCAAGCCTCAACTAGTGGTATCATGGCTTTTCCAGCTGAATGCTTGCCCTCTGACACTGAAGCCAATTCCATGCGGGGCTTCTTCCCTTGCTCTAGTGCAAGTTCTCAAACACTGGCACTCCGAGTCCATGCGGTTCAACTCGATTATAATCCAGGCTCGACTGCCCGCCCCACCCAGCCCCCTAACAAAAGCAAGGAAATATAACCCGACGTTTCACCTCCAGGCCGTTATAAAACGGATTTCCAGCCTTGCGAAGAAATCCACCCACCCTCATCGCGTTCTTCTCCTTGAATGTTCTCCAAGACGCTCATCACCCTCTTGCCGCTGGCGCTCGGCGCTGCCGCTGCCACATCGCGTGACATCGGAGATCCACAACGCGTGGTGTACGTGATTCGTTTTCTCCGCCCTTGGCTCAAAATCTCTAACCCCGTTGCAGACAAAGGCGGTTGGAGCCACGGGTGTATTGGGGCATGGGGAGACAAAGAGGGTTCGCCTGTGCGTATAGACGAGTGCCATGATAAGATTTGGGACGCGGGCCGCTACTGGGAGCTCGTTTTCGCCAACCCCAGCGGGCAAGAGGTTGGCCCCCAGCAAGTCAAGGTCTACGGCAGCAAGGTGCACTTTGTGTGTTTGTTTACTTGCTTCATCGGTTGACGCGGCGCAATGCAGTGTCTCGAGGTCAAAGGCAACGTTGACGCGGACGGAACCCGCGTCCAAATCGCAACATGCGACAAGAACAACGCCAATCCCAACCAACATTGGACCTCCCGGCCCGACTCCACGCTTCGCTGGGGCTCGACCAACAAATGCCTCGACGTCCTCAATCGCGATCCCTACTATGCAGCGGATTTGGTGGTGAGTTGCCTTCAAAGTAGATCCAGTGGCCGCTGATACTAGCCATCGTTACAGATTTTACCCTGCGAGGATGTCAAACGCTTCCCGACCCAGGGCTGGTCTGATCATTACCTGGAGTTATAGAAGCGCACTTCTTACTAGAGAGCTACATACGAATGGTGGTATAAGTCGTTTACTCCAACAAGGAATATAAAGCTTACTAGTATTTGATTTGCCCCACTGTACCTCCGGAAACTTTGCAATACAGAAAAAAAAGTACAAACAGCTATTGACTAGCAAGATACACACGAAAGCAAGATCAAGCAGGAGGATGGGGCCCCATATATGACAGCGCAGAATGCGACGAGGCTGCAGAATTTGCACGTGACCGTGGCCGCGAATGCAATGTGGCCATAGAAATTGGCCGTGGCGGCGGGCCCGCGCCAAAGTTGTAGCCAGTATCAGCAGCATAGTAAGCCGGGTCAACGTATGTCTTGGCGTCATATGCGCCGTAGGCACTCCGAAGCGACGCGTTGGAGGCTTGCCGAGATAAGCTTTGCGGGGCTAGCGCGAGACTTGTGCTCGAGCCATTCATGCTCGGAGGCCTGTTCATTGGAATATGGGTCGGAAGTGGCGACCGAGTCAACGATGTCGACCGTGGGCGCCCCGGCGTGGATATCGACTTGCCATGCAAAGCAACCGGTACAGTTATTTCTGCAGGCACCGTCAGCGCCTGTGGCACAAATCCAAGCGGAGCCTTTTCTGCAGCTGGCGCGGGCAGCGGCTCAGTTGGGTAGTTGGGACTCAAATATTGCTCCGTTTGCGGAGGAAACGCGTAAATCTGCGAATGGAAATGAATCAATTCGAAATCTTCAACATCGTAGTCTTCACTTACCGGAGAATTAATCTGCATTCCGCCTCCGAAATCAGACATTGGCGATCCAATGTCAGACGGCGCAACTGGTCTTTTTTCCTTGACACGCCGTAAACTCTGTCGCGGCACCAAATCAACAGGGGGGCCTTGACTGCTCCCAGACATCGACCGCGCTCGCAAATGTGCAGTCCCGACTGACGGAGACAATGGCGCGGGAGTAGTCAACTGGGCAGGTACCCGTACATTTCGCGGTGGCTGATTCCTCGGAGCTGCATTGCTGCTTCCAGCCCCACGCATCGAGGCCGCAAAATCCGGATTCGAGTATCTCAATTCATCCGCCATAGTTTGTCGTTGATGTCTCGGGTCCTTCTCGATTGGCGGGGGCACAAACGACTCTGTTGATCCCATCATGCTCACGCTCCTTCGACCTTGATCATGTCCGTTGACGCGTCTCTCCTGCCCACTAACACTGCGCCGATGACCACTTCTCACACTCGCATCCTCTCGAATTGCACCCAAACCGGGATCCTTCTGCATCTTCGAGCTGGTGGCAAACTGGGCAGCAGCAGAGTCAAGAGAAACGTGATGCATATGTGGGTTGTAGCCCGATCGTCCTGAAGCAACCGACCGAGCAGTAGTTGATCCAGCATTTGAACGAGGACGACGCGGGGGTTGATACCACGAAGGGGGCTTCTCTCGCTCAACCGGCTCGCGATTATTATACCATGAACTGGTCCGTTGCATCAGTGGCTCCGGTGATGGTGCTTGAGGTGAGGCCATAAGTGGATTGGCGAGTATGAATGGTGGGGGCAAAGGAATGTCTCCATCAGGTGATACAGAAGGAATATAATTGTCGGGAGGTCGGGCTGGCTGAGGTGAGGGTTGTCGTTGGGGCTGTGGTGAGGGCTGGCGCATGGGTTGTGGTGAGGGTTGGCGCATGGGCTGTGGTGATGGTTGGCGCATCGGTTGACGCGAGGGTCTATGGGGAAGTTGAGACCAATGCTCTCTTGGAGGGGGCACAGGTGGTGGCTCTCGCATTTTATATCGTTGCGGCGGAGGAGTGGGATCCTTTCTTGGGGGAGGTTCATCGACAGGTGGAGGAGGAACCGCCGAAACTCTACGATTGATGAACAATGAGTCTCTGGGTTGTGACAGCCGTTGTGGTGTGGGTGTAGAAGTTGCAGGCGGTTGTGAAGGAAAGTCTGTTTGCACTTGCAGCGAAGGACGACGTGATTGCGGCGCATCGTTGAGCACTGAAGGTGGTGGAATTTCGATGGGGTAAATAGATAGTTGAAATGAAGGAGAACGCGCAGTCTCCGGGGGCTGCGGCCGACTAGATTCAGGTGCCATTAGATTAGGTTGTGCTGGAGATGAATTTGGGATAGTATGGATTGGCTGAGAAGTCCTTTCAGGTGAAAGGCGTCTTCTTGGTCGTATTGAAGCTGCGTCTAGAATAGAAATGCCGTCCGCCTGTGATGGTTGATAGGTTCCATTCTCCTCCCGCTGCTCATAGTCGTCGTCGATGGTAAGCCTGTCTTCAGGATCCAACCCTTGTCTGAGCGCAATTTCTTCTTGTGCTCTTCGGAGTCCCGCTTTGAAGCCTAGTTTCCTGCCTTCCTCCATCGCATCCGTCACCAGTTTCTCCTCTTTGAGCCGTCTTGCTAACGTCCGAGTTTTGGCTGCAGCGCGTTCAGCTTCGTCGCGCTGTGTTTCGACCAACTGAACCACTTCCTGAGCCCGTGAGATCTCCTTCTGCGCATGCTCAAATTGAAACTTCCACATCCTCAGTTCTTCGTTCCTTTTCGCAAGAAGCCGCTCCGCATCGCTCTTTGCCCGGTTGGCCTCGCGAAATTTGTCCAATGTTTGTTGGGTGACAATCTCAGCGGCTGCCGCCCGTTTGACCTCATCCTCTAGCCTCTCAAAGGCGCGACTCAAAGTCTTCCTCAGCCTCTTCCCCTCGTATTCTCGCTCAATGAGCATCGCCAGCATTTCCTCTGGGGGTAGACCGCCATACGCCTGTTCCCTCTGTCTTCGAAATCGGTCCGAAGGTCCCCGTTGGCTATGCCGGACGCGGTCAACTTCGTGTTGTGACCTGTTGGCCTCTGTAGGCGACAGAAGCTCCGTTCGGGGCGACGGGGTCAGCTCCTCGCGGGCAATGGTGTCGTTGACGAATTGACGTAGGATGGGACTGCTAGTAAGTTAGTGGAAGAATCGCCTGGGGTGGTTTGTACGACCTTTCTTCATCCTCAGAGTAGCCGTGGAGTGACATCCACGGCTCGGTCGACGCGTCGTTGACCGCCTCGTGGTCGTGTGGGTGGGACAGATTGATCGTCACGTCACGTCACAGCTACGTAAATAGCAAACATTCTGTCCTTTGACATCGCTGATTCTCGAGCACTGTCTGTCCCCATTATATTCGGCCTGCATGCGTATGTGCAACTAAATTTTCTTTCGCCTGCCCTACAACAATATATCCGACCGAGAGAATATTAATTCACTCACTGCCTCAGAGTCCGTGTCTGAATATTCAGCTTCCCGAGAGGATACCAGGTCACTGTCTTCCCCAGAGTCCGTATCGCGAGTTGGCGACAGAAGCCTTATCGGTATCACGTTGGTTTCTGCTCCAGAACTTGAGTCCGTGGTCAAAAACACGGCGCTGAGCATAGAGGGTGTTAAACGACGGCTAGCTACGCTTAAATTGCCAGAGCGATGCTGGTCCGATGGAAAAGACATTAAACTGCTGCTATCCTGTGTCATTGACTCGGCATTCCCGCTGTCTGGTGTGTGTGGGCCGGAATACCCGCCAATGAAGGGATCCTCATTGTGCATCATCTCCTCCGAGTCCTGCCATAAATATTCGTCCGTCCTTGCATCGATTCAGTTGGTCAATCTCGTAACGGTTGGCAAGAAATCTCACAAAGGAGCCACCACGGTAAACGTTTGGAGCCTCACCGGCGCATCGAACCAGCCGCGGAATGCTTCGCTGGTGGCCCACGCATACGCGCATGGCAACAGCGCCTCGGATTTAGGGCTGACCAAGTTAAGCAATCGCAAACACAAAAAAGTCGAAGTTGGGCAGACGCACAATCTGAGCGACAATACGAGCTCCAACGTGCTCTGATGCCATTCGCGATCTTGCTCTAGGCCGTGGCGTGCGATAAGGTCGTATGTTCCAGATAACAGCGCGGCGCAAAGAATGTCCAGGCCATCCAAGTCCATCAGGGGAGGCTCGCTCAAGTCGATGGTTGTTTCCTCTATGTCCATGTCTTCAAGTATTTCAGCTATGCTTTGGCCAAGCTTGCGCAGCACGTTTGTAGAAGAGTGGGCCTGACTGGTTCCAGAATGATGGGAGTTCAAGGATTCCACCCAGGTACCTAATGGCGAGTGCAACTGACGGGTCTGCGGGGGTGCTACAGAGGGGTTAAAATGCAAGTTGGACAATACCAGTGTAAACAACTAACCGAGACCACAGGACAACGAGGAGACACTCGATGACCGTCAGTCCATTGCTGTTGTAGTCGCCAATATTGGGGTTTTTATCGGGACTTTCTTCCATTAGAGAGGCCAAGTTGCTGTCAACAAGACACGCCGCTGCAAGCTTCGCCGCAAAGTCGAGGTCCGCTGCTTCTTCCTCTGAAAGGTAGCGTCGATTTGGAGGCTTCCAGAGATGATAGAGTCCGTTTATGGATATTGGGGAAGGCACCTCGTGCTTTATTGTCTTGGCTTCAATAAAGAAACGCCTCAAGCCAGGGTATCGCGTGCTGAGCTCGACGACACACTCAAGCGCCTCGATCTGTGTTTTGGTGCTTTGCATGCTGTGATATGTTTGTATTAGCGGATGGACGAGCCAAAAGGATAGAGTAATATACGGGAGGGTGTAGGCCACCAGCTTTCGGCAGTCTTTCCCGAGGCCACTTCTCCTCAAATCACGCGTGGGCAAGGCATGTATTCGTTTCTCCCTCCCCTCCACTCCCTCATTGTCAAAATGGCGCCTTATGTGTTCTGAGATGGCGAGCGGGCCAAAGCCTAGCCGATGGGCAGCACGGTTTGCTGCTGCCCCCGCGGCGGTGCCGAGCAAGTCGTACAGTTCATTCAGCGTCCGTCCTAAACCTGGAATCACTGGCTTCAACTGTTGGTTTTGACGAACAAGCGCCTGAGATCCTTGAGCGCGGAGGACAACTGCGGTGCTGGCAACTGGCATCTAGAAGAGAACAAGAGCGACTGCTTATGATTATCCTGATGCTCCAGCCATAGATATGTAGAGCTTGGGAATTTAACACCTTAGTTGTGATGGCACGGCCTTGCGCAGTTTTTATAGATTAACAGAGGTGTGGACGGTGAGCATGTAAGTGGAGGGCTTCGCGATGATTCTGTAGCAAAAGAATCCGTCGAGTGAACGGGATAAGGAAGAGACCTTGCTGTCACGTGTCACATTCGGCTTCGGAACGGATTGCCGAGGTCACGCACACTTCTTTCTTCGGAACCCCCATGGACATGTAGTTGGGCCCCTCCTCTTCACGAAAAATGGGCAGTCCACCGCAAGAATGGGACGTCTGGGAGTTCTCCAACGAATCCGTGTTGCACAGCCCCCTCACTCCCGCCTCCCACCCTCTCATCTTTTCCGCCCTCTTTAACCTCCGCACATGGCTTTTCTCTGACCCCCTGGGTCTCCACACGCTCACCCACCTCACCTTTGGCCGCGACGCGAATGTACCTTGGGAATCAGCTGTGTTCGCTGAGCGAAGAGATGCTATTCGCCGTTGGCTACATGACGACCCACCCAGAATCGACTTTACCGACGACGGCACGGCCTCGATTAGCGATACCATTCCTGGCAGCTCGCAGAAGCTTGTCCGCATCAGAATAGCGCGTTCTATTCTAAGGGCTATACTCAAACTGGAGGCCGGCATAGAGCATGAAGACGACGGTGACATCTCTGCAGGGATCCCACCCCAGCTCTGGTGTGTCCATAGTTTAACTCTGTTTCGTTTTGCTCAATAGAGGTATAGGATTGTGCTTTTCCTGTTTGAGAGGACCATCCTCCACGAGCTGGCCCATGCTGCCCGATGTTTATTCTCTGTCCCCGCGAAACCACTCCATGCGCGCGATAGAGAAGAGTGTGGCTGGGAAATGGAGGCCATCACTGGTGGCGCCGTCCATGTATATATGACTGGCCAGGAAGGGGTACGCAACCTCGAGGGGTCACGCATCATCGGCCTGGCCCTGCAAACAGGGAGAAACCCTGATGTTTGGCGCTGTGTTGACCGTATGCACTTGCACTTTTTTCTCATTTTGTTACTCACCACCGTCTAGTCAACCAGCGCGACCTGCTCAAAAAACTCGCAAGCGTCGACTGGCGCTACATCGAGTGGGACCTCGCCCGAATGCCCCAAACAGTCAATTTTCACGCCACATCCGTTATCTGCAGTGGCGGGGAGGTCGCCACCCCATGTAGCGTGTGGGCCAACCTCGAGGAAGGCTGCGCCAGGGCGTTCACACAAACAGAGTCTGTCGCATCGCCGTCGCTGTCTCATGTTTCTGCTGGATTCAGTGACCTGTCGGTCACCCTTACCGATCAGCGCGGGCGCGCGTATGTCGTGCATAGTCGAGAGGGAAGCAGCAGCCCTGCGTCTGCGACAGCGTGGCCCCCCGCGCGGAAGTGGGGCACATCATAGATTTTTTTTCTCCATTTAATCTGCATTATCACAAGGACAATCTACATATTCACTCGGGTTTACAATAGCTTAACAAGTTGCAGTCATTCAGAAAGTTGAATGCAAAATCATGCTTCTATGCTATTTTATGTCGACACAAACGATCAAGGCTTGCAATCTCTTGAGTTGCTTAGAGATTATTGTCCCTGATGATAGCTAGCTTGTTGACTTTGGCTGGCAAAACGGAGTTCCCCAACATTCCATTGGTTACTCCGCGCTCATGATCGGAGCGCCCACCGAAAAGTTGAAAACCCTTCGCTGGCACGTGACTGTCAGCGACCTGCTCTTGCCATCATACCCACGCCCATGCTCAATGTCCACATACACGCATAGACCACGTTGCCCTTGGCTGTACTACTAATCAGAAGCTCCTGGACTGCCCTCCGTCAAGCTGTAAGCTTCGAATTCCCAGCATGTAAGTGTCGATCCAGTTTCTCACTTAAGTTTGTCGGGACGATCGCGATAAACCTCCGTGCCTTCTCCCCCCGCAAGTTCAAACTCCAATGAGCAGTCAAGCCATCATCGTCCGCCCCCATGTTTCTAATGCCCTCGTTCGTGAAGCCCACTGGGGGAAGCCAGCCTCAGCGATCCCATTTCTTGGACGAACACTGAACGAATTATACGACTCGCTCGGCACGGTCGCGGGGACTGTCGCGAGTCGTGCTGCCCATCGACTGGGGCTGGGCCCATTCCCGGTTGCCGAACGCATCACGCACTATTTCGAAAGCGATGGAGCAGAGGAGAGGGAGCGGAAGATATGTGCATTTCCCACGCTTGATTTGCGGAGGACACGCAACCACACTACCAGTGGGGAGCCCCAAGTTGAGCTGCTCGTGAAAGACTGCTCCAAGCTGATGGCCTATACCCTCCCGTACGCTTTGTTGTCCTTCGTGCCTGACTTGTTCTCAGGCTGATATATTACAGTACGCAGACCGTGAAAACGCAAATAGAGGCGCTTGAGCACATTTTCGAGCTCGTCACGCGCTACCCCGGCTTGCGCCGTTTCTTCCTCGCAGCCAAAACCACGCAGCGCAAACTACCATTGCCAATAACCATAATCAGACTGTGTAAATTTTGGACGCCCGCCCCGCGACTCTACCTATCGGAGGACGATGCGACAGAACTTGATTTCGTTGCCAAACTCGCCGCGACTTGCCTTGTCGACAGCGATATGGCGGCGTCGGTGGAAAAATGTCCCAGCCAAAACTTTCTCGTCGAGAGCAGCGGCGGATTGACGATCATCGAGTGCTTACTCATGACATTATGGTCTCGGTGGGTCATCCCTTTGCCTCCGCATTGGGATTCTAACTCATGAATGAATTCATAGCACTCCTGCCGATCCGTCAGTTGCGCTCTCCATCAGGTATCTCAGTGGAATCCTCGAATTGCCCTCATTCTGGCGTCAATCGGGTCCGCTCTTCTATAACGTGCTGCGCAAGCTCAGCCAAAGCATAACCGAAATACTTGAAGATCTTGACATCAAGGAAACCATCATTGACTTGAGCGAACCATTCCTGATGGACTTCGACGGACTGGATATTCTATGCACCGTTCTGCTATCCGGAATTCCCCACCTTGTAGTTCTCGGTGGCATCGAGCCGGCATCTCAGTCTCAGCAAGAATGGTATCAGAGCGCACTGCGGCTTGTGTCATTGCTGAGATTGTGTGTTCATAACTTGTCCCATCATTTCGTCCCTTTACTGATTTGCTAACCCTAGTCCGAAAGCTGAGGCACTGCTACCAAGGGCATATGTGTGGGCCACCAGCAAGGAGCTCCAAAGCTGGTTTCCTACGCCGTATAAGCTCGAAGCCTTCACGATGGTGGTTCCTTCGTAAGCAGTCTGTGAATCCTAGCTTTTGAACTTTTTAATTCAGAGGCAGCCCGAGCTCAGAAGACGTTCTACGCGCAATACCAGTCGATGATGGGTAAGTACTTACTTTCACTTTCAATTTTTTGACAGCTCATTTGAATGCAGCCCGGTTTCGGTGTTTTCAGAGTATGACGAGTCGTTGTTATGGTCGTCCGACTCAGAGAGCTACAATGTTCCAAGTTCTATCTATGCAACTCCTGAATCGATACCGTGGGCACCATGTACGCATATTCTCCTCTCGATGGTGTCCCACTATTGACAAGCTTAAGGAGCCAAAAGCAAGAGCCACCATACACACGGTGTCCACTGACATTAACAACATTCCCCCCCCCTGGGCCGTTTAACTTTGCTATTAATAGTCGCTTGCCATCGCAGGAGGACTTGACAACAGAGCATGCATGGGACCACTAAAGCTAATGTAAGAGTGGAAGACGATTATTAATAGTATATGTGGATATTGATGACATTTCGCAATCTCCATCGAACATCACACATCCAGAGGCGTGCAGATGTTTCGCTAAGAGAATGAGGCGAACAACATTAGGATTTGGCATGGTCGCTATGTAGTTGGTCAACGAGTGCTCAGCGCATTTTTTCCGGGAGTAATATGGTGTATTAAATGAAATATTAATTTCTGCTCCAACAATAAGCCATCATATGTCCAGGCCGATAACAAGTCTGTTAAACAAAAGTGCAGAAAAAAGCGAAAAAAACGGGAACCACCCGCAACTGAAACAAAGAAGCCAGAGCTGGTTAGGCTCTGAGATGGGAACCACCCACCGGAAACGACGCAAAGTGGTGAGCTTTGCCCAGAGTGCCATTCGATCCACGGCAGCCACTAGGTTGATCAACCATTGAGCCCCTTGCCAGAGAGTTGGCACGCTCGCCACCGCTCGTACTCCCATTTGCGCCGGAGCGAAAACAAAGAGAGCCGGCCGCGGGTGGATGCGCCCTTGTCTCCCGGTCATCCTCGTGCATGTTGTCCAACTGACGCCCCATGAATGCGAAACGAGGGAATACATCGAAGTTGCGCGGTGTCAACTGGAGCATTCGTCCTGAAGCCGGGATTCGCGACGTCTGTCGAGTTGAATCCGCCACGGGGGGTCGTTCCATGGTTGCCTCTATTTGTCCTGGGCAAGCAGAGCCAATAATGGTTGCTTTCACGAAGTCTTTTCGTGCTTCACGAATTCGTATCGCGGCACCGCGCGTCCTAGCGGTGTGGCAAGAACGCTCCTTTGTTCTGCCGCAGAAGTCTGTCTCTGCCTTCACGGATTACTACCGTGGTCGGGCCAGCTCGCCGCTGTAGCGCCTTCACGTCTGCCACGTGTTGCGATGTTCCCTACCAGAACATTTTCTCTCTCTGCAAGAGAGCTGCCGGTCCTCCGCGGCCCTCCTCGAGGACTGTCGCATCGATCACGCCGACGTAGCGACTGACAGATTCAGTCCAAGAGAGTTGGCACGACTCCAGGTGGCAATTCGTACTCCAGGTGTGCTAGGAGCCGGGTAAAGCGGGGAGTCGTCCTCGTCGTCTCGGATAGCTTGGCATTATTGGCGCAAGCTGGTGTGGCCACGGCCAGCGACACACACACAGATGGTGGTCGGGACAAAAAGAGGTCAAGGTGACAACGTGTTACCGGTAACGTGATCAACTTTCTTCCAAATGCGTCAACATGAATCATTGTCTAACTACATTCCAAAGCCATATCTAGTGTACGTCTACACTACCATGTGGATGCGCGAAAGAGACATTGTCCATGTCGACTCAAAACCGAACACAGTCATCCACAGCAAGCAACTCAAAATCCAGCAAGTTACGATCCAAGCAACTCTCCAAATCCAATCCAGCAGCAAATCCCAACCAAACGAGCTGGCCCTCATCTACGAGCCAGTCGTTGAAACAATATCAGCGGAAGCTCCGAATGCGACTGCTTGAATAACTCGGAATTCGAGTGCAAAACGGCGCGATCACGGAGGTGATGGTGAGGGAGTCGGAGAAAAGGAAGGGGTGGTGCACATATTCCAAAGCCCTCGTACTTTCTCCCCAGCAAGCAAAAATGATCCATTATACGCGGAAGCTCCAGACGCGACCGCTTGAATAACTCGGAATAGCGAATCTCTGGTTCAAGACGGCGCGGTTATGGAGGTGATGGCAAGGAAGTCGAAGAAAAGGAAGGTGGTGGTGCACATATTTCGAGGCCCTCGTACAATTCTCCCCCATAAGCAAAAGCATTGTTTGATCATCTTAACGAGCCTTCTTGAGGATCCCCAGAAGTCGTTTACCGGAAGCAAAGCGCAAACTATGGTGCTCTTGTTTCTTCCGCAGCCTTGCACGAAGTCCTCTCAGTGCGATTTCGTACGATAACTCCGACTTAAAAGTCAGGACCGGCGGTAGTGAAGGCGATCGCAAGCCCCAAATACGAGCAACACATAGCAAAGCGCGTCTCTTGGATTCAAACAACTGCATGAGACGTGTTACTTGTTCGGGTTGACGATGTCGTGGAGACGGAGGTCGAGGAGGCGGGTTTGGCGGAAGTCCAGGATGTGTTATGGAGCTCACTAGCCATGCAATCGTAGTGGCGAAAGCCGTGATGGGAACGACAATGAGGCCCAAAATGAGCGCAGCGAATGATGCCGAGTTTCCGAGTCGGCGAATGACTATCAGTCGAGTTGCGCCATAGAGGTATTTGACCGGTGCTGGCAGTCGCATTGCAATGGGACCGGCGTCAATGGCGAGGATTTGTATTGTCGGAATGCGACGGATTGCCTCGAGGCCCTTGGTTTGAACGCGCTTGAATTTGATTGCCACATGCTCGAGAAACTCGGCGAAATATTTGAGGAAGATGAGAGCGAAGAGCCATTTGAGCCAATCATTTTGGCGAATACTGTTGAAGTCGTCTTCTTCAACGGGCCCGTTTGGAGGCGGAGGGTCTTCAGGCTCTGGATATCGTTGCGAATTGTTGTCTTCTTCCTTCTCATGTTCATCGTTATTCTGGTCGATGTCCTCTTCGTCTCCAGGATCATCATCTCCATCGCTATTATCTTGAGCTCGGTCGTTTGTTTCATTGTGGTTGTTTGTCTCAATGGGTGGCGGTGGTGGCGGTAGTGGCGGGGGCTGCCCAGCTCTCCGAAGTCGTCCACTACCTGGTGTGCGCAACCAAGTGGCTTGAAACATGACCAATTAGCCAAGGAGTGGAGCAGCTGAGACACCGACGACTAACCCGTAACTCCCGATGCAAGAGCAAGAACAATAACGCCGACTACCGAGTGCACACTGCTAGGCTTGACAATAATGTCCATAGTCTTGGTTGGTGCAACATTGACAAGCAAGCATGCAGACGGTTTCACCTTCTTAGGACCGACACGACTGTCTAAGCCCACAGTCATAAGCAGAAAGGTGATCTGGCAGAGGCCAAGAACGAGGCGGGGAAGAGAAGAGAAAGTAGCGCGGGGAGCAAATATCTCTTGATACGAAAACATGGTAGTTCAGAATGAACAAGCAGTGTCACTATCGTCACGGTGGAAAGGTTCAATTAGCCTGCCGGAAAAGGCGATGTCAGTTTCACAGAATTAGGAGGTGGAGGATCGCATACCTTATCGAGGGACAGAGTCGTGGTAGAAGAGTTAAACTATATAGTATCCATCTTCACGAGCTTACTTCCCTGTTTTTTTCTTTTTCTTCTTGGGTGACTTAGCATTGTCTTCCTTCCTGTTGGGCCCCTTTTCGGTTTCGATGCCCTTGTTCTTTTTCTTCGATTTCTGAGATAACTCTTCGTCATTATGCAGCGACGGAGCAGCTCCTGCGGAAGGCTGAGCTTCATCGTCCCCATAACCTAATATGCTCGTCAGCGGACGAAAAAAACGAGTGCTAAAACATACCAGCAAACGGATCGGCCATAGGTCTTCGCCTTTTGCTGCCCGCGACAGGTTCCGGCTTTGAATCCAAATCTTGCTCGACAGCCTTGCCCTTTCCTTTATCCTTTACTGCAGACATTTCCTCCTCGTTGATGATCTCCAAATCGCTGTCTTCTTCCTCACTTCCTTCATTCGCCAGCTCCTTCTGATACTCCTCCCGTTCACGCATCTTCTCTGTCACTTTCACGGGTACGAATGTAGACGGTGGTATTTCCTCGATTTCGGGCTCCTTGTTCCCGTATGTCGCCCGGGCAATAGCATGCTTGATGAATCGCGTTGCAGCACCTTTGTCCAGTTGTGTTGACGGCGTCTCTGGATTCTCTGCAGACGATATTTTCCCAAAGTATTCCTTGACACGATTCTGCTCGAGTGTAAGAAAAAAGCTTCATGTGCAGAACAGATTCACGCACCAGCTCCTCCACAACAGGATGGGTCTTTGGATCCAAGCCTTGTGCCTTGAGGTATACTATATGCACCCTCATTAGCATTCTCTATGCGACGAATAGAACAGGAAACAAACTGAAAACGAGGTCATAGACAAGATATGGCACCAGAGTTTGCAGTTTTGCGCGTTCGAGAGCAGTCAGGTCAGCGAGGGTCTCTGCGAAGGGCTGTTCGAGTAGAGGCGCTATAGCATCCTCTAGATTCGTTAGAGACGCGTCAAGCGCCCCAAGCTTCGCCTTCAGCTTTGTCGTCTCGGTGGTCATGAAAAAAGCTGGAATCATCACAAAAAGTGTCGGTTTGATGTATCAGGTTTTGATGCCAATAAATGCCAGCAAACCCGCTACAAGCCCCTAGCAAGACCGGGGAAGGTTCAGTTTAGTTTACCACCGGACAACAAGCGGTTTATGAGGCAGCCAAAACCCTTGCCCAGATAGCAAATCCCTATTACTCCCTGGCAATAATATTATACCTGACCGATGTGACCTTTTCTCGCCAAGTATCACTTATAAGTGGAAGGCTGTATTTACAAAGTGAAATGGCAATTCTTGATCAATTTCTTGTGCGTGGCGCGATAAAACCACATCACAATTATTCTGAATCATAACCTAATCTGCTTACAATAGTAGCACCGAGTGAATCTTCGTCTTCGCCACCCTCGTCTTCTTCACGCTCACTATCCGAATCAAAATTGACACCCTCTGCAACCCAGTCATCTGGCTCCCCTCTTTCTTCATCTTCCGCCACAAAAGCCGCCGCATTGACCTCCTCCGCCATATCAGCCACCACATCATCATCGACAACTTCTTCGGTTATTTGGTCCTGTTCTGTTGTGGGATTGCTCGTTGGAGCTCGAGTCTTGCGGTGACCAATGACGCGATCATGATACCGCATCATCATATCTCGATCGACGACCCTAGAATGAACTGGGTCAAACACAAGTTGACTACTTGACAAAACTTACATATTGACATAAAAATATTTCCAGTCTTCGTCTTGTTCAGATGCCCGTCGAGCCATAGATTTAGGAAGATATTTTGTAGTGCGGCCATGAGCAAATGCTGGGATGAGATGACAGCCACGAATAATATCGCTGGGGTCCAAGAAGCCAAATGTATCGGGAACGTCATGAGGCATATAGTGTACGCGAGGCAGGCGCTTAGCCTTTAGACCACATCGGTAGGTCGCATCACGCTGCAGCCACCGCATCCAAAGGAACTCCATACGCTGAGCTTTGTTAGGCTGGTCGGCCAGAAGCACACGGGCGTGAAAAATCCCAAGGACTTCGCCGTACCAGAGTTCATGGGAGTCCGAGTCCTGTGGGTCTTGACCCGCAACGATGCAGAATTTCCGGGTCCGGGGGTTGATGACGTCTTGGTCTCTTCGGAGATCGTAAGTGGTGAAGTTCACTCGCAGAGTGGCATGACTATAAAGGGCGTCCTTCTCGAGTACCACATTTATGAGCTCTTCATCGGTGAAACATGTGTCGTCACCATCGTACTCCGAGCCCAGGAGCCTTTGTCGTAGATGAGACTTTAACTTGCGCGTAAAATTCTAGCATAAGTGAGTGAAGGAAGAAAACCGAGATAACTAAGATCTTACATGTAGTGCAGGGTCAGGTATTACAGGATCGGGTGGGTCAATAGCCTATACACAGCCTCAGTTAATGAATGGTAGGATCGAGAAATAGATCACCATTGGACCATCTCCACCATCCGAGTCCGTGTCAGTGTCTGAGTGCAAGTCCGTGTCGACAAAGTCTGAGAGACGAATCGATGTTCGGGTGGAATCCGAGATGTAATGATGTTGTTCCGGAGGCACGTATGTATAATGGCTATAGGTAGCTTTGGGACAGAGCACAGTCCGCAAGCGTTTGCGTCGGTTTTTGACTGGCTTTGTGCGAAATCGTGGAGTTGGCGTAAGTGGAAATATTCGAGGCCGAGGGTGGGTTGACATTTCCTTTCTCCGCTTCCTTGTACCGCCTCCTTCGTTCCCACATGGCCCTCATTAATCGTCGACGTTGTTCATGCTTCGCAATCTGCCTTACATGTTCTCGTTTGTTGGTTCGTTGGTAGAAATACTTCACGAGACGGTGTGCAACTTCTCCCTGAAAGATTTCAGACAAGCTCACGCCAAGTCCCAATAAATGCTTCTTACATTTTGGGTGGAAGTAGAATCAGTCGTTCCAAACCGCGCAATAGCATCGGGGTAATCGGGGATTGCGTGAAGCTTGTATGTGATCAAGTTGAATGGCTTTTCCAGCCTCTGAGCGGGCGTCTTCTTCTTCGAGATCGGAGGTGTTGCCACAGCCTGGGTAGCAGACTGCGATGAGGCGGAAGGTATTGGTGAATTGTCCGACGTCGGCGGGGCGGGAGCGGATAAGTTTGGTGGAGGGGTCTTGGATGGTTGGTTCATTCGTCGCCTTGTTTCTCTGGGAAGCTCGTAGGTTTTGACATTCACAGTTTCACGAGCAAAACGACGGATGGTAGCGCAAAGATCTTTGGTCGCCAGGCGAAAGAGCTGGATAGTAGACGTAGTATGCATCCGGAGCTTGGCATATCCGTGCCAGATTGCTAATTCGAAAGCAAGTTTGTCGATCAGTGCTTGATGCATAGGAAATAATCCTTCGAGAACCGGAAGAATACACTGTAGAATGCTCATGAGTAAGTTGTCAAGCGGGAAGTGTGGCCGACCTGTATGATGTCTTCGTAGTTTCTGGCGGCAGCGTACTTTAACTCGGACACGTTCTTGCAGAAAGAACGGATGGTACTACGCCCGAAGGTGGGAACCTGCCGGAATCTAGCATCTCCGTCAATCTTCCGCGCCCTGATTGGATTGAAAATTTTTACCGTTGGTCAAATTCATCAATGTTCTTGAAGGCGTGTAACATTCGAATAATATGGATGACGATGGCTTTGGCGACCCCTAATTCGACTTCATGCAAGAGGTCGGGTACGAACATTGTGAACAGATTGAACGGCGTCTTGATCGTATCCAGTTTTGAGAAAGCATTCTAGGCAAATGAGCAAAGCGAATGATATGCGTGTGGTAAATACTCGCTCGGGTAGGCGCCCAAGATTGTGCCTTGAGCATTTTGTCGATGGCGGAACCAGCAACTGCATTTCCGTTGCCAAAGATGGCCGCCCGGGCGGACTCGATGGTTGACCGTCGTGCATGATCCTCCACTCGAATGTTACTCCGACGCTTCATGTCATTGACAGTGCCCGTCTCCATGATCTGCCCCTTCTGTATAAAACACCGGGGACAAGGGCAACCGCCGAAGCTTCGAATCGTTGCAAGGAGAACTCTGTGACAGATCAGTAAAAACTACTTAGATAGACCGAACCCACTTTTCTGGATAGTCTGCGCCATATATGAGGAAACGCGGAAATACCAACCGAACAAGCCCATCCCAACACTTGATTTTAATGCCGTTATCGTAAGCGTCCATAAATTCGTCGGACAGTAATAGCTCCCAAATCGCGTGGATAAGTTCGCGCTTCAGGTGAGTATATACCTCATCGGGCATATCACAACCATATTGCTGACGATATGAGTCACGGACAGAATCTGGAAGCTAATATAACTTAGAGGCGTTCATACGAGGATCAGCTACCTTACCGAAGCGAAATAAACTTGATGAAACCCAGCGTTGGATGTTGGTTTGCCACGAAATTCTTTGGGGTGATTTCCAAAGAAAGTGTAGCCTGGCCAGAGGGATGCAGTGCCGAATTGTGCGAGATGGGTTGCATCAGACCACATCATTAGTGCAATGACGATACTCTCTACAGCATCATCGGGAGTTTGAGGAGCCGGGGGCTGGGGAATGGCGTGATAGGCTTCAAGCATTGCGGGGGAAGTATAAATCTCGCTGAATATTTCTTCGTGGCCAGGGAGGAGAGGAGGTAGCCCATACTCGTTCAGAGTTGGTGCGTCATCCTCGGCCATAACGGGTGACAGCAAGTCGGATTCAGGAATAGCGCGCGCAGTGAAAATGGAGTGGTATGGAACCGTTGGAAAAGAGGCCCTTGCAAAACCTCTTTGATGGGGTCGAGCAGAGGACGATGGAGGATGTCGTTGACAGTAAAACAAGGCGCCGCAGTTTCGGATTGTTTCACACCCACACAAGGGAGCCTGATTGTAACAGAAGCACTCTTCCACTTATCTGTGATACCAAGTGGTGTGATACCGTTCTTGTCGAGCTGGTCTAAGAACTTTTGGGTAGAAAACGGCGTTGGCAATTCATGCAAAGAGATTCCATCTGACTGTGCCTCCTCGTTCGGATGCAGGAAGTTCGTAATCAACCGATCGAATCCAGCGATGGACTGTGGATGCTCTTCTTCGACATGGTATTTCATCATATGCGCGACTGAAACGTTGGGGAAGGGGTAGTACCATGGCTCCGGTGGAAGTGGAAGAGTTTGTAGAGCCGGATCACCAGGTTTGGGCACCCGATACAGGTCGGAGAGGCCCACAGACTCATCAGGATCGTGAGTTGGGCGACGAGGATAAATCTTGTAGAGACCAAATGCATTGGGCAAAGTTTGTACCCAATCTTTTGGAGGTGATGGAAGCGACGGGGCAGCGTCAGGTGGCGCGGGAGATGGCGCACTTGGTGGAGATGCGAAGGTAGGCTGTGAGATCTGATTCTGACCGTCGCGTCGTCGTCGAAGCCGGTGGTGGTCGTGGTGGTGCTGCGTCGTTGAACTTAGAAGGGACTCGAGTGCGCCGGTTGGGAAGTCCACTGGGCCGAGTGGCTGGAGGGGAGGGTGGTCGTGGTGGCGTTGGTGGAGGAGGCTGGTCGATCTCCATCTGCTATTGGTGTCAGAACTGCGTGGCAGCATAGAAGAACAGAATAATTACTGGGGTTTCCACGGAAAGTTGGGATTGGTTTGCCAAGTGCTGTTGAATGTACTGAACAGATTCCTGGTGGAGCCGCTTGAATCGAGAGCAGGTTCGATCGTGAACAGTTTGGGCATCTTCGCGGTTTTTCAAAGTTTTGCCGCATAATTGGCATTCAATTTTGCTCTTCGGCATCAAGAAGTGAGGAGGGTGGAGGAACCAGGGAACCAGGGACCCAGCCAGACAGGCAATTGCCTGCCTGTGGTCACCGTTGACCGTTCAAAAGGAAGAAGGAGTGATTAGTCAGCAGCCAGTGATTTGGTTGACTGAGACACGAAATTATGATCGGTGAGATAGCTCATCGTTCAAGTAATTGGTGAAACACTAATATACGACCAGCAGATGACGGGGGCGACGGTGCCAAAATGAAAGTATGTTAATTACGCTAGAGATTATACAGTCCTTCAGTAAAACCCGGTCATTTGAGGCATTATCCCATTCGTCTGGGAAGAGGAACAATAAGAAGCCCACCAGTTAGCCGTTTTGCGCTCATGATCCTCTTGCTGCACAGCTCAAACATATTGTTGACCCTACAAATAGTCGGAACAAGAACAACAAAGAAAACAAAGCATACCTCGACAATGGAGTTAACGATCTCAAGAAGAATACCCGTCGAAGTCGAAATCGTATCGACAACCTCGCGCAAGGCTGCAAACGTGCAGTCCTTCTTCTTAGAGAAAGCCCTTCATGCACGTGTCCTCGAAAGTAGCCTTCTCGGTGACGACAAGCGCGATTTGAGTCAAGTCGGTGGCGAGGAGTAGACCTTGTGTGGCTGAAGGTGTACTTGGGTTGTACAGGTCCATTCTCATTCCCTGCTCTTGCGAACATTGGCCAGTTGGAAGTCGCGATGTTGACGCTGATGTTTTCCATCGCGCATGTGGCGAATCTTAACGTTCAATTCATCACCAGGGATAACCATTCCAACGAAGGAGACATCGTAACTAGAAAAATGAGTTAGTGAGGTAAAGAAGAAACAGACTTAAAACATACGAAAGAACGCGTTCAAGATGGCGAACGATAGTCTCAATATAGCAACGAGTGGCTGCGCTGTACCACAGACCATGGAGGATTGCGGCGGGGAGGGAGGTGTAGTCAGAGAAGTACGGGTTGATGTGGATGGGGTCGAAGTCACCCGAAATGTTGGTTGGAGGAGCGTGGAACGGAATTGAAGTCGAGTTCAAGGTGTAGCCCTCGTTCGAAAGAGGCATCGAAAGACCTTGCGCAACACCATGTCGTTGAATGTAGGCATCGACTGGGTTATTACGACAATCGTCTTCTGCTGAGCCGACTGGATTGAGCTCCTTGAGCTGGTTGCGGACGAAGACTGGACCGGTGACAGTGATGTTGCCGTATGAGGTCTTGTCCTTGAACGTGACTGGTGACTGGATACGGAAAATCAAGCTCGTTCCAGTAGCAGCGGCTTAGAGTTGTCGATCCACTCAAACCAGTCCTTTGATTGCAGAACACCAACAGCAACATCCGTTTCGAGCTTGACAACGTAGTCAGGTTCCTCCGTCATCTCGAAAGTGTTCTCGTAGTCGGTAAAGCGACCACGGTAGAGGAAAGCGGAAACGACCTCGATGACCAGCTGCCGGGCCCGATAGACGTGACCCTTGATGGGCTGGCCGACACAAATCTTGGCCTCAGCAAACATCTCCAGTGCGAGGGGGTTTCGGGAAGCCGTTGGACAAATAGACCAGAGCAAGTGGTCGTTGATGAAAGATCGAGTCACGTGCTGATTTGGCGGTGGCCATTCCGAAGGACATCGAAGTGGTTATGCGCACGAGTGCTGCCCTGATGTGAGCATACGAGGTTGGCAGAGGAGAGGCAGTAAGAGATGGGGAATAAATCGGAGGGAATGGCTCCGATATGCTTGAGTTGAGGAGATAACGCCGCGGTACGACGCGACCAAGGCCACGCTCAAGCGGAAATGCTCCTTGGTGATAGCGAAGGGAATGACGATGAGATTGGGTATGTATTTGCCAATGAGCATGTCGGGATAAAGCTGGGTAACAATGATCATCGACAAATCTAACAAAAGAAATAAAGAGCAGTTCATACAAGCTCGCAAGGTAGGAGTCCGCCAGAGGTACGAAGAGCGAAATTGTAGAGATGCCACGCTCAGGTTTGAGGTGTCCGTCAGCCTTTTGCGTGTCTTGTAGACAACCGAAGTATTCCTTGACGATGTCGCCCAACATCTCCTTGACCTTCTCGACAGTGAACTGTTCCGTGAGCTGAACAGGATGCAATGAGTTTTAGTCGACGAAAACAATGGATTGAACATACCTTGGCAATGTCGATCTTCTGGATCTTCAGGTAGTTGAGAACATTGGTCGTCGGGGAAAATTGACTTCACGATAGCCTTTGAACTGCGTTAGCAACTTTGAGAATCAAACTAAAAATGAGCAAATGAACCTGTGAGCCAATGACAATCGCGAAATCCATTGGCGCGGTAACCTCCTCGTTTCGAACGGTGGAGAACGACTCGCCCGGTTGCCCACAATAGCACAGAACTGCTCGACAGCAGCGCTCTCCATGGTGACCTCGGGACCATGGAAAGTGTCGTGGATGTCGATTCGAGGAAGGACGGCATCGTCTCCATACTACAATTTCCACTTGGAGGCAAGAAGACGTTGAATGAGTTCGGCATGAATGTTGCCCAACATATCCTTGATGGGCTCGTCCTTGATCTTCGAGTGTTTAACAGCCATGGGGCCCTGAAGGATGAAAACACGCGGGGGGTCTTGGTCGAAGACAGATCGAAGCTGTCTTCAGCAGCCCAAAGAGAGTCCTACGGGAAAAGATCAGTCATATGAGAAAAGTAGGGAAAGTCGAACAAACCTTTTTGAACCATACTTCGAAAGTGGCATCAAGAATGGAAATGAAGGGAACAAGTTTCGAGGAAGGAGGCGGAGTCTTCTGCGGCAAGAAGCTGCTTAGTGGCAATCAGATACTCCTTCAAGAAGGACTCGATGAAAGGCAACGGGTCTTCCAAGGACTTGTAAGACTGAAGCAGGGAAGGCTTCTGTCCACCACCGTCGACACCCGCGAAACGCTCTTCAACCCGACCCTTGGCCAGTCAAGTTGCGCAACGAGACATCGACCCACCGATGTTCGTGGGCAACAAACATCAAGCGGACCATACGCAGGACGGTTTCCTCGTAGGTCATCTCGCCGAGCTCCTTTGCGACTCTGCCATCCTTCTTCCAACCAAACCACAGCTTGCTGAAGTCGCGATTCAACTTGCCAATAATCTCGTCCCGTCGCTCCAACAACCAAACGGCACGCTTCTCCTTTGGCATCTTCATCCTCGGCGGCACCGAAACCACTAACACCAACGAGAGAGATATTGGGTTGTTGGCAGAATTTGCAGTGGGTTTGGAGAATGGGTTGATGGAATTCCTCGTAAGAGTGGTGACAACAATACGACCACCAGTCCATTGGAGGATGATGGGGAAGTCGGCGTTGGCAGCAGCGATAGCGACAACTTGTCGGATTCTGTCGACTGAGCCGGGCTTGAAGGCGACATGGCGGATACCAGCAAGACGGAGACCGCGAATGATGTCTGCGGCCTTCTCCGTGCTCAGGATACCGGCCGCGACGCAGAAACCTTCGACGGGGAGCTCTTGCCACAGTGGGAGTTGGAAGCCAGGTGGCGCTGGTTGATGTAAACGACACCAGCGGGAATCTTGGCCTGTATTTCGGCGACTTTGGAGCGGAGAGCAGCGTGTGGTGTAGTGACCACCACTAGCGAGCTCTGTGATAACCAGCGTCAAGGACAGCACTGACGGAACCGGCTTGAACAGTCGAAGGAGTCATGCCCGCGACCATAATGGGTGGCTTGCCGAGGAGACGCGAGACGGGAGTGTCGATATACATGGTGCCATCCATCACTTGGTAGAATTCGTTAGTATGTGCAGAAATGAAAAGGTAATTATTGTAACATACCTGGTCTTCACCAACCTCGGCGAGAACTGCTTCGTCCACCAGTCGTCATACTTGACGCTCTGCGAACCAGATAACTCCGCGTCGCCCTTGGTGGCGCGGTCGCCCACAACGATAACACGGACACCTGGGTTCCTCGCGGTCAAAAGACCGATTCCGCTCAACCCTCCAGGTCCAAAGTCGACAGTATGGGTAGTAGTCTCGAGGAAGTTGGTCGCTGCAGACCAGTGGATTGCCCTCGCTGGCAGTGATGGAAGTCGATGGCGACGCTGAAAAGATTACATCAGCAAGATGATCAAACATGTGAAAAAAAAATCACCATCCTGCGTGGATTCGAGGCCTCCTCTCCATCCAAATCCTCTGCTATGATCTTCTCCGTCTGGCCGACAAGGTATCCATTGTGGCAAGGAACACCGACAACCAAGAAACGAGTGGAGAAGATGGGCTTGCGTTGAGAGAAGGGAATCTTGCTCTGAGCAGGCTGCTCGGAGCACGAACCTTGCGAAGGCTAGTGACAAGGCCATAGAGGGAGCGAGCTGGACCGGTAACGACGAAGGCGCGGGGGCATTGTGAAGGGAGACGCTGCAAGGCAGTTTGTCGTTGGTCGAGAATGGTCAGTGAAGTCCTCCATATCACCAACTTGTTGTCGAGACCGAGTTCTTGTGGGGTCTTTCGCGCCATTTGGAGGTAGCGAACCCGTTGTAGCTTGCCAGCAAATGTTGAAGCCACTGCTACAGATGCGGGATAGGCAGTCGATGGTCATGGAGACGCGCTAGAAAGCCATGAAACGACATCGAGGCCGAAGGTAGTGGAATGTGGAGTTTTGCGCTGGCAGCAAGAGGGATAATAAGCGCATCTTTGGTAACGGTTTCAATGAATTGCGCGACAAATCGCTGATAAATGTCGTAGAGCGATTGCAACTCGTCAAAATAGACCTGGTTCGTGCCTTGTCCGCCGAAAAGGGCGAAAACGGAGGCCTTGTCATTGGAAACGGTATTGAGAAGCCTAGATCGTTCCCATAAAGTTGGTGGCTCCCGTCTTGATGTAAGAGTCTGGAGCTAGTAAGAGTATGTATGGTCTTGCTCGGAATCCCTGCTTCATTACCTATAGAGTCTTTTATTCGCGGGCTATC